TGGAATTTTCTTGGGTATTTTCCCCACTTGTTTTTTAGACCACGAAATAGGCCTTTAATTGCGTTGAAAACAGTAGGACCCTCTTTGTTTGGCATTAAAATTACCCACCGGAACCGCGATTTTCGATCTATTAGAAATAGGGCTACAGGAAGCCGATTGTGTGGAATTGGCTTGATTTTTACTGTATCCCCCTCTATTATATCTAAAACGGCCGGGGGATTTGGAATTGACTTCCAGTCTACCCTCCTAGTTACTTTAGCCTTAGAACAGGCTATACATCGAAAATCAACCTCCCTTATAGGGTCTAAATCAGGGATACCACTAGTATTTTTAGTGGTTTTCTTTAGTAGGCGTAGGCCAAGGTGCCCTAGCCGAACATGCCACTGTTTAGCCACTATAAGTAGATCTTTATAGGCCTGAGAACCAGGCACTATAGTAGTAGTTCCACTACTTCCATCCTGGGGCCCCCTCTGCACACGGGGCAAGTCCTCCTCTAGAAGGCCCCAAGATTCGTTATCCCAGGGCTCTATTTGCACACGGGGCCATTCCTCCACTATAGAGCCCTGGGGTAGATCCTATAACCCTATATTCCCAGGGGCACCCAGGCCTATAGATCCTTCGTCAGAATCACGGGGCCTATTCCTCCGGGGTATGCCCTGAGATTCAGGGCTCGATGGCCCTGAAGAGCCGATAGTACCCCTACTATCTAGCTCTACACTACTAGGTTCGTTGTCATCGTACCTAGTATAACTATCCTTCCAAGATTGGGTTTTAGAAGGTAGTTCAACCACTAAATCTTTAGTAGTTTGGGCTAGGCTATACCCTGTACCAACTATATTAATATAGCTAGTAAGGTAGAGCCTTGGCCGAAGGTGACCCTCAATTTGAAGGAAGAAGCCCGATCTCTGGAAGTCCAGAGCTGCAATGGTAGACCCTGTAGGGCCTTTCAACGTTTCCCGGTCCAAATAGCCTCCGGCCTTATAGTGCCGGATCCCACTAAATAGATTGATATCTATAGAGGGTATATAGAGGGCCTTATTAAGGACCAACTCTAAGTATTTCGGGGGACTCTTCTGGACCAGTACTTTGAACTTTGCAGTTCCAATACCTTTGGGTTTTACAGGGCCACCACCTGTATAAATAGGTGGTATTTGACCAGTATTTTTAGTAAAACTGGTAAACCATTTCCTATTGTTTATGATATGGTCTGTGGAACCAGTATCATAGAGTAGAGCATCAGAGGTAACCTGGTGGCTACAGTGATCTTTACAGGCTGGCTTCGAAGATTTCCCACTAGTTGGTTTAGTGGTAGATTTTGAGGCCTGGTGGGTAGCATTGAAGAAAGAAGGTAGTTCTTCAGTATCTGAATCGGATTCAGAACTACTATCTTCGCTACTATCACTATAGTGCCCTGTAGTGATATTGTATGCCCCTGTAATACAGGCAAAGGAATCGGGCTGGGTACTGTGGTTCGAACTGGAATTTGAACCCTGACCCTTCTTCTTCTTCTTCTTTTGGCCGTTTTGACCACTATTCCCACTACTGCCGTTGGTATTTTGTTGGCTTTGGGGACCCTTTTTCCCCTGTTTTTTAGGGCCTTTATAGGGGCCTTTAGCACCCTTATTTTCGCCGTAGGCCCTATTAGCCATACCTTTATTGGTAGTAGAGGCTGGAATTCTATGCTCTTCCAGAAGGTCGGCTATTAAGAAGCTCAAATTCAGGTTTTCAACACCTTGGCCAACTGTCCTCAGGGCCCGCATTTGACTACGTTGCCGTTCAGCCCACTGTGGGAAGGCTTTTTCCATAGCCTTTAAGTAGTGGTTCACTTGGTCTATAGGCTGTATTTCAACCCCGTTTAGGGTTAGCCGGCTAGCCAAGTTGGAAAATTCAGCGTTGAAATCCGCTAAAGATCCACTAAATTTACTGAAATCCAACTCGTGGAACTTCCTATATAGTTGGTCCCGTTGAATTCCAGTGGAGTGCGAATACCGTAGTATTAGAAGCCTATAGGCCGCTACAGGGTCTGTTTGCCAGGCTATGGCGGCCTGTGGTCCAGGGCCTATACTGTTCCGTAACAGCATTAGAAGTAGAGCCAACGTTTGGTCGCTACCCCCTATAAATCCCTCTGGGTTAGAAGGAAAGGTAGGTATGCCGATAGCCCTAAACATGATATTTAGGCCCTGTTTCCAGATATCGAAGTTATCTGGCCCTGTAAGGCGTAGATTTTCAGGGAAATCGTACACCTTTCTTGACAGTTCTTTTACCAACCCACTGTTCAAATTGTCTTGCGGTATAGTGGGTTGTAGGGCAGGGCTTGGAGGCACTGTATTTGGTAGTGGTACCGTATAAGGTGGTACTACTAGTGGCTCCGGAGGGCCCTGGCTAGTATTACGGGCCTGTTGGGCCTGTAAAGCGGCCTTTACTCTATTTTCTACTTCAGAAGCAATAGCTTCTGTAAGCTGCTGTTCGGTAGGCATCTGGGGCCGTTGTTGTTGTTGAACAGTAAACTGTTGTAAACTATCCGTCAACGTAGCTATAGTGGCATGCAGTTGTGCCATTTGGGTAGCCTGGGCCTCTAATCGGGTTTGCAACTCCTCTATTTGGGCTTGGGGGCTCCCAGCGCCCCCAGGCTGTGCCATGGTGCCTCTGTACAGGCCCGTAGGCTACAGCGGCTATACCAGTTGCCGTAGGCTGGTAAGCACTATCCTATTACTACCTTCGCTGTAGTTATAGGGCCTATGCCACTATATAGGTCTAGGACTTCAACGGTATAAAATACCGGGTTATATTCTATACTGTAACCACAGTAAGTTTTTACACGCTACTAGCCTTGATATAGCGTAACCACTATTCGCTCTTATAGTGGTAGTCTAGTTACCTAGACCAACAACCTTACAGTGGGTTGTTAGGGCCTTAAGTTCTACTCAGTGCGGCTCTTAGAGGTCCTTGTTTTACGTAGTTTAACTACAACTACTGGCTACAGCAGTAGTTAGTACCTTGAGGTACTACGTTTTACCTACCTACTAGAATCGGTAGAACCAATACAGTTGATCAGGCTGTTGGGAAGGCCTATAAATATAGTACCTTCAGTGGGTATAATAACCCCTAGCTTTCGAAGTTAAGCTAGATTTTTCTATCTCTTTGAGAAAACCAACGTTTCGGGCTTTGTTGGAAAAGTTAAAATATAGGCCCCCAGAAGCTCTATATTAACTGTCAGCTATCTAGTATAGTTGACGACCTTGCACTAGGAGGTCTATCTATAGGTCGAAGTTCCTATAGTGGTTTCTAGCTTGGAGAAACGAAGAATTCAGGGATTCCAAGCTACAAGCAGTAGAAACAGGCTAAGCTTATAGCGTTCAAAGGCTCTAATTTGCAGGGCAATTTATAAGCCTACAGCTGGAAATAGTACTTTTCCGGGCTCATAACCTAATTAGATTTAGGTGGGTGAGGCCCTGTAGTGCACACACTAACAGGGCTTACAATGCACTTTGGGGAAGCAATGCACAGTACTATTGCTTAGCTACCAGCAGTAATTACAGGGCCTAGGCCCTATAACAGTGGTTAATTTAGTAGGTAGACCACTATTGTTTTGGGAATGCCTCTATATTTGCTATCTTAACCACTGGAGTTGGATTTACTACTTCCTTCTCATATACCCACCGACCGGGGCACAGTGCCGAATTCGGCCCAGCGGTCTTAGTGGTAAAAAACTGAATCCCGCAAAACTCATTTGTATAGGTTTGACTAAAAATGGGCTCACCTGCTCGCAGCCGCACCCAGAAGTGCCCGGGCCCACTTGCACTACTACCTTAAAAACCGGTGCAGGGTAGGCCGGTTGGGGCCAAGCGGTGCAGGGTAGGCCGCTTGGGAGCCAACCACCGGTGCAGGGTAGGTCGCTTGGGATGCCAAGAGGTGCAGGGTAGGCCGGTTGGGAACAACCGGGTGCAGGGTAGCTCGCTTGGGAAACCCAGGTGCAGGGTAGGTGCAGGGTAGCTCGATTCGGGAGAAACTAACACTTAGTGAAAAGAAGAACCAACCTTCTTCAAACTAAGATAGCTAGCCACCCAGTAATCGTACCGCCACAACCAAGATACCAGTATATAGCTACAGGCCATACGAATTCAATTACAGTACTGTGGAGCCCCCCAGATGGCCACAGCACTAGTAATCTGAACTCTAGGGTTCAACATTCTTAAATCATTAAATATTACTAATTTTACTTTTAGAAACTAAGTTAAACGAAGCTTATTAGTTGGAAAGTTAAATAAAAAATAGGATACTACTACTAGAAAGTAATACTAGCTTATAAATAAAATATAATCTAACTATAACTAAGTTATATTATATTTACTAGGGTTTTAAATACTTAGCTAACTTCTACTTATACTATAAGGATATTTAATACTATATAGAGTTAGAAATGTAAAACATATAATTAGTTATTATATTTAGTTAGACATTCCAGCCCTTCTAAGAGATTAGAGATAAGTTAGTAATTGTTACAAAGTGTAAGCCCTGCAGCAGTTATAGATAGGTATATAATGTTCTATTTTCTAACTTAAGAAGGAAAAACGTAATTTTACAGAGTTCTACATAGAGTGGTACATATATTTACATACCGATTTGGAGGTTTTGGAGCTTCCTATAATCAAGGTTGCTTTATAAGTTTTTTCTTCGTTCTTCGTTATATAATATTGACATTGCCAGAGTGGCAGTATGCAACCGGCTGTAATGTGATATTGTATGTAGTTTGAAGAGGTGAAATACGACTTTAGTATTAAACGTTAGGCAACATATACACTCAGGAACGTCGCATATTACGTTAATATATAGGGGTTTCTTTATATAGGATAAACTTGAACCTACTCCAAGGCCCTCTATGCCCTTTTAATCCCAGCTAGCATTGTAGGGAATACGACCTGCGCCTGTAGTTTCAGGCCCAGAATCAATGCTCCGAGTGGAAGATCCTGAAAAGTCTCAGGCAAAATGAATCCAAACAATGTGTTTTAAAGGTCGTTTTTGTCTTACGCTAATAATACATCACAACTAACCTAGAAACGAGCAATAATAAAACTCTACCCGAGCATCGGGAGCCAAACGGGAATCAGTTTTCAAGACCGACGATTCTGTTCTGGCATGGTAGCCAGGGGGATGTCGTCAAATGAAGGCTGGCTATACGATGTCTTTGGCGGAACCCCTGATATGAGGTCGCGCTGGGAATGGTCGCCACCCTTGGTCTTGGTCTCCCAGGTGCGCGAGGTCTGGTCGACCTTGGATCCAGAACGCCCAGACAAGGAGGTTACGGAAGTGAAGGAGCGGAGCTTGGAAAAGAGAGGGCTGAGGGTGGCGAGGGAGAACCTATCGAGCACCCAGGCGCTTCGTGGGACACAGGAGATCAGGAATCCAATTCCGATCTCCATATAGGTCCAAAACAGGACGATGGAGGCAATCCCTATTGAGTTGAGTTGTTAGCAAAGACGAGCGCAGGGAGTGGGTCATGATGGGTGGACATGCCCTGCTGGTCGAGGATTGACAGATCTGTGGCTAAGACCCTGACTAACGGATTTGTGGTGCCCTGGGTGAAGATCTGAAGCCAGGGGATCATCCTCAAGAGCCCAGCAATGACAGCGCTAAGCCGGGAGAATCAGTAGTTACATCTTAAGAAAGAAGTAAGGTCGCCTTCAAAGCATGGTCGGATGGTGACAAGGCTCGAAAACACTGACAAGAAACTGAATAGGAAAACGACAGATGCCTGGATCTTTCTCTTAAACTTCATGTTGAGCGTCCGGATCTAGTGAATCACATGAGGCAGTTAGGGAGAGGGTCAACTAGGCGAGACATGCCCAAGAACTACGGGGTAAACGACTGCTAATACGTACCATGACGAGCGGCTCGATAAAGATGGCGAGGTCGAGGACCCAGCTGATAGTAGCGCAGGCAGCCATTAGGGCCCACGTGTCCATGCACTTGGTCCGCAGTGACTCAAGGCTCTCCCAGCTCGCAGCTGGCCTCGCCCCGCATGCAAAGATCTCGAGGAAGAGAAAGGCCACGGTCCAGAGGGTTACCAGGATGATGAGGATCCAGTTGGAGATATCGAATGCTGTTCTCTCGGACCGGCCTGTCAGGTGGACGAGGTCAGTAAAATGCCAACCCGCACTGCCATAGTCGTTTCCCCCGTGGACCATGTGTAAGGTAGGTATGTACCAGTACCGTACTAACCTTTGAACAAGGCGCGAAACAAAAACAGTAGAGTCAACTTGATGAAGCCGATGGCCAACACGTGGCCGATCCAAAAGGCGTACTCGAACTTGCCGAGGGCGAGTTGTTCAGCGCGAGCGATGGTTGGATACGAGTGTCCACCGATGATGTTCGTTTGTGCTCCGACGACGAGAGCAACGCCGGCCGCTACGCTTAAGAACTGCGTGTCATCTCTGTCAGACCCATTGGACAAGAACAGAAGAAGAGGCTAACGGTATCGAAACACGGGAACCATAATACTGACCGCGGCGGGCACGACGAAAACGTCGTCGACGGCGATGCCTCGGGAGGAATGCCACCAGAATCCATAGACGCGCACTCCGAGCATGAGAATGGCCAAGGTGGGGAAGAGGACCCCAATGGCAGTCATGCTCTCCTTGTTGACATAACTTCTAGTAGGCTGTGGCGGTAACGGTGGTTGCCCTGACGTTTGTGACATATTGTCACCGATCGGAAGACGAGATTTGCTCGTCGTCGTTTACGGTGCTTGTACGGGCTAGCGATGACCGGCAAGATCAAACAAAAAGGGGTATATCAATATATCAAAGATATCACGTCTATATCAAGGTAGAAACTTAACAAGTCAGGCCCGATATCTGACTACTGGATGGATGAATCACAGTCCTTCTGCAGCAGCTGAGGCATGGAAGGTTGAGAGCCAGAACTGGGGTGAGCCACGATTTGTGGCTGCTCGTAGGGCAGGCAAAACTCAGGCTGGTCTAAGAATATGCTCCTAAAGAGGTCGGTTCACCTTCCTAAGCTGGAGGATACTGCTACATGTAAGGCTGAGGCAGAGCAAGGTGGCGCCGCGATGCGCGTGCATGGCACTTTTCTTTCCAGGTCCACCCGGCAAACTCGGGAGCGGCGGCAGGATCTTGGGGGCGGGATCTTCGCCACGGGTTGGACACTGGAAGCCGATCCCATAGGCCCGAATAAATTGAAGAAAAAGCCATCACGGGCGGGATGCAACACCGCGCCGCACCGTTACCCGGGGCGGGGAAATCGGTTATGGCTTATGGCTCGGGCCGCTTAGCAGGTTGGAAAAGGGCGTAAAACGGCACTCTCTTCGGCCAGGTGTTCCGACTAGGGCTGCATTGTGTATGTTGAACAACATGTGGCACAATACGCCCGGTGATAGCCATACCATAAATTCCAAGAATGAGGTACTTGACGGTACTGGGCTGGGCAACCACTCCAGTAAATGAGACCGAGGTGCTGAGCGCTAATAAAAGGGGTAGGCTGCTGCGGGACGGCAGGAGAGCCGGCCTTCCGAGTGGTCAAATCGTCAAACTTCATCGTGCCACAGCATTGCTACAGGATTGGAAGGATTTATCCTGACGCGGCTCCCCGGCGTGGCTGCTGGATATCCATGCTTCAAACAATATGCCCCCCGTCGTCTTCACGCCGATTATTAACCCGTACAACCCAACCCTTATGGTAGGCGACACCCCAGAAGAGGTTGGGAAATTCAACGGCATCCGGGCGAAATCCAAGGGACTGGGGGTTTCGGCAACCTGAGCGGGGATTCATCCTTTGATCCGGCTGTGTCGTTGCCGTGTTTTGACCAACGGCCGCCAGACTGCCATTGCTGCGCAATTCCAATTCCAATTCCAAGTTACCTCGTGTTGAACGTTGCTGCCTGGCCTTTACAAACGGAAATGAGATAGCCTGTGTCAGACTCCTAACTTGTGTCAAAGTCAAAGAAGGACGAGGGGGCGAATAACTGATGGTAGAGTACTCTCTGTTCCTCCACAGTATCAAGTATCTCCTAAGTTCTAGTGCGATTCCTCAAACGGACCGATACTTCCCGCCTGGCCCATCGGCACCAAAGTCTCAAGGAATGCATCCTTGTCGCTGGCAGAAAGGGTTCGCTCGTCGGCCCATGCCTGGAGACGGCCCCAGTCTGTGCATTTCCGAGTTCTTGCTCGACTGCCCTTGATCTTATGCGGGGTTTCCCAGAAGTATGTGTTGATGGCCACGTCCGCGTTACACATGATGCCCTGGCGGAGAACCTCCAGGCAGTGGTCTTCGAGACGCAAATCAGCATGGTTTATCTCGCAATGGTGCTGGATTGCCCGGTTCGGCATAAATCATCACTTACTCCAGTGGTGCACAGAGAAGGCATCCTCGTCTTCCTGGAGTCTGGGGTAATGTTCTGGGTACTGGGCCTGATATATTCTCTTCTGAAAGAGGCGTAAGCAACTCAGAGCCTGGCCACTGCTAGGGAAGACGGAGGGTTAGGGCAAATATACCACACAATGGAGCATGTGAATGGCCTCGATATAACCGACGTAACCGCTGCCATCCCGTAGTGCCACCGACGTTTTGTTCATCTTCCGCATTTCTTCTTCGGATAACCTGATCATAGACGCTACGCGTCGAAAGAGAGTCGTGTCAGCGATCGCGCATCAGGGGAGGTCCGGTATCAGGATGGCACTCACACCTCAACAGCAGCGACCAGGCTTGGTCAACTTCGGATCGGGGCTCTCCAGTGTATAGATGCTCGTAGTCGATGTCTTGGACCTCGTACTGAATGGCGGGCTGTGCTGGCGCTGAGTGGTGCTAGGTAAGTAAGATGATGACGAGGCCGAGGGTTGTTCTTTACTTTAACTCACATAGTGTCCAGCTACTTTCTGACTCAACGCCGCCATGGATTGCAATGACGACGTGGGCGAGCACAAGGATCAGCTGAATGCACAGGAGAATACCATGCGCTTGAAGCAGTTTCTTTCGCAGCCTGGTTTTCTGGCCTCCGAGCCCATGTTCGTGTTGGCCGTCACCGGCCAAGAATGGTTCCTTCTCGCTCTCCATCGTAGCCGTCGACGCCATGCGCGATGCTGTGGTGCGTAAGAAGTCGTCGACTTTCTCACATTGATCGATTTGAGAACACTAGGTAAGCTCGGTCGCGCACCGCTCCGGGCGGATAGCCTGGGAGCTACCGCAGGAACCGCTTTCAAGGCCCCCAGGCCGGACCGAAGTACCCACATCCTACCTAGTCGTCAAGTGCCGGCCCTAAGGCGATCTTCCCGTCTGACCACCAAGGCCGCCCCGCTCCATGTACATGTACATGTACGGCACAGTATAATGGACACGAGACATATCCAATTCGGGCTTGTGGAGATCTGCATCAAGACGCACCATGCATGCGACTCCAGCCTCCAGCATCCCACACTACTGTGGGGGGCGCTTAGATAGTGTTTGGTTGTTGACTCGGGATGGATTCGTTGGTCTTACTTGACTTGACGTCTTGACCGAGATGTAGGAACCTGGCGTAAGTACAGCATGCAACCATAGCCCACTAAAGGAACGCAGGATCAACCGGCACTCTGTGTGCCTCACGTCGTTGGTTGCGAGCGTTTAACTCGGCGCGACATGTTTGTAGCCTCCTGCGTATGATCACACGTCCAGGTAACACAAACCAAGCCGGCTCTCCACCAACGCTTTTGCCACAGACGATACAATGCACCTGAACAACGTTGCATTTTGAGGTGCGTTGTGACATTGATGTTGTGGTTTGATGTCAAGGAGTTCGGGGGCCGCAAACCTGTCTCGGGCGATACGTGATGACCATTCATGGATGAATTTGCATTGCTTAGTGCTGTGACCGGGGAGCAAAGCTGCCTGCTCAGCCACGGCCTATCATGGCCTCACTAACTCATCCGTATTCGCCGCCCTTTCCCCCATCCAGGCCTTCAACTTGTCCCAGTTGACACACTTTTGCACAGGCGGGTCGCGGTGGGTTGGTATATCCTGTCTGCGCTCGCCCCAGTACACAGTGTACAAAGAGTAATCCAAATGGCAAAGAATGCCTTGGCGTATGAAGTCGAGACAATGATCTGAATCCCGTGTTAATGTTGGAGTCGGACGGATGGGTTTCTGAGAAACTAGACACTCACCTGCATGGGATTGGAGGTAGTCAAAATCCTCCCCGCGGGGATCTAGGTCGGGGTAGAAGTGTTCACGATACAGGAACTTCTTGATTTGCTTCTGTTTCCTGTCAATACCCGCGACTACTCCACGGCAGGAGGTGCGCATACCACACAGTGAAGGTTATGGCCAACACCAAGCCCCGCGGCGTATCCGCCGCTCTTCAATGGTATTGAGTCGGAACCCGTCAACCCGAGTTCCTCCTCAGATATCCGTATCAGGGTTCCTATATCGCCGTTAGCCAGCTGAGTTGGGTGCGGCGGAGGAATGGAGACTTACCCGCCATCAACTCGTGCATCGATTTCTCCCATTCGGGGCCGGGATGGCCCATGAAGCGAGAGTCATTGCGTATCATGCCTCGATACTCGTATTCTATGACGGCGTTGGCAGGCGCTAACAAGACGCATCAGCAAAAGGCTGCACCGGTTGATTCTGTTAGGAAGACCTTAGTACAGTAAGGTTCCGCGAGTTTGGGTTGGCCACTATCCCCGATTCGAGTCCTTTCTGACAGGGAGAATACTGTCCCACTCAACAGTAAACAAACTGCCAACAACAACACGTTGGCGGCTAGAGAGATCCTCATGGAGTGGTTGCGTCCTGGCGAAATACTGGAGGATTTGCATCTATGGCCTTCGCCATCCCCGTCCAAAAACGGTTTGTTTTCATCGTTAAGCATCCCGGCGTCCGGAGCGTAAGTATCGGATGAGTGAAAGGTGGGCGTGGAGTGTGTGATGGCGGTTCGGGGGAGTTCGAGGGGATTCGGAATCCTGTGATGGGATGCTGGATGACTCTGACCGGATAGGATTCAAGACGGCGCCTCACTCCGCTTGCCGAACCCCACCCCAACCCGGGATTTACTGCCCGTCTACGGCAAAGACGTGGCATGTGATACAACTCTGCGTAGGGGACCAACCACGGTGAGCCTTTAAGACGGCACTATGTACTTGGTACTGTGCCGAGCCGGAACCGCGTCAGTGCTGTATACGCCGTGGAACGATCAAGGCGACAGGAATGATTGGTTCAACGCTTCGGGCCGTCTGTAGCCTTGTCGCCGTCTAGACGTGATGTTAGGCAAAGGTAGGCGCTAAGCCAACAAAGAGGGGTAGGTGAAGGTAATGCACGAGGTACCGGAATCTCCTTCTCCGAGCTCACCAAGTTCAAGGTACCGAAGCTCGGCTCATCGTCGAACAGACATCCCATCCTACTTGTGCCACTGCGGTTCTGATGCCGATACCCCGATAGACTGCGCCAGGTAGAGAGAGATAAGAACTGACCCCCTCCCCCCCTGGCTCCGTTCAGGGCTGGAACTAGCTGATCAACTCTTTCGTTTTCTATCCAGACATACAACCCATACCACCCCATCGTTGTCAAGTCCTTCTCGCCAAAATGAAGACGGTTATCATCGCCACTCTCTTTGTTCTCGCTGCGGCTGCACCTGTGGCTACACGTAGGTTCATTTCAAGTTGCACTCAAACATCCACATCTGCCATGAGCCTCCTTTTGGCGAAATTCATCTTATTGGGATTTTCGTTCATAGGGAATCAGCCAGGACAACGAGTCCAAGCTCGGGACGGCACTACCGAGTTCGACCCTGATTTTGCCTTCAAGATTAAGAAACGCGATGGAACGACCGAGTTCGATCCCGACTTTGCTTTTAAGAGGGCTGAGAGTGGGAGTGAGAAGCGCGACGGGACGACCGAGTTCGACCCAGACTTTGCTTTCAAGAAGGACAAGCGTGATGGTACCACCGAGTTTGATCCCGACTTCGCCTTCAAGGAGTAGAGAAGTAAGAGACTGGGTGTGGGGGCCAGGGGGTCCTTTACGAGAGTGAAGAGGACCGCGGGTAGGCTGTGACGTTAAGTATGGGCATGTACATTTATTTTGTACCTATCGTACTTGAGTAACTTAGATGCCAGCGGCTGTGAGTGTGAACTGCCAAGTGCATGTGGCAGTGTCTTGTTCCCATCTTGTCTCCTGGACGGAACCAGTGAATCCCAATGGAATGACCATCTTCGTGACTGTGACCAGAGAGGACGCAAGCACGAGGCACTGCTGTTGGAAGCTTTCAAGGATTTTTGATTTTGTAGCCATATTAGGAAGGTAGACAGACCATCTGCAGGCTGCACAGCCGACTCGGCCAACATGGAACCGAACTCGAGCGCGTTTCCTACGCAAGCACCGCGCACGGTACCGTGACATATGTGATGTGATTCATACTTGCAATATATTTGCTGCCTTTTCTTTCCATGCCGCGATTCGACGCTACACGGCGGCGGGGGGGTTCTATCCCCAGTGGCACAGCAAATGCACAATGCAACTCTGCTCTCTTCATGTTTTCAGGGGTGTCAAACGACAGGTCACTCACACAGCGCACGATCAAACCTCTCGCTCACATTCCACAACCAGACTTTACCTCCCAGCACTTCCACTTCGTCTTCCATCCCAATCGCATTCAGCGGAAACATCCCAACGTCATAAACACCGAGGGCTTTGTCTGATACTACTTCGAGGTTTCTCCAAGACACTTACCTAGATTCATCGTCATGGTTGACACTCGTCCCATCCGGGTCGCCATCTCTGGCGGCGGCCTCGCAGGCGCATCCCTCCTCCATGCTCTGCTAAAGTACCCGCACGTCGACGCGCACATTTTTGAGTCCAGCGCCGCATTCAAGGAAGCCGGCATGGCTATCGGCGTGACTCGCAACGCGCTGGCCTCTCTCGACCTCATGGGCTCTTCCACCACTCAATGCCTAGAGCGTGCTGGGGCTGTTGCCATGCAGGGCGTGCGCTTTCTGTTGGCCGGGGGCTACAGGCCGGGGAGTGTAGTCGACGAGGTGGACTACACGACCTCGGGGAACAAGCGGCTGACGAGCATCGTCCATCGTGCTGACTTTTTGCGCGAGCTGCTCGCCGACGTCCCACAGGAGCGTATGCACGCCTCCAAGAAACTGGATAGGGTCGACGGAGCCAACGGCTCGGGCCACTCCATCACTCTACACTTTACTGACGGCACCACTCACGAGTGCGACATCCTCGTCGGCGCTGACGGCATCCACAGCACCGTCCGGAAGCTCGTCCTCGGTGAGGATGACCCGGCAGCGTCCCCCCGGAACACGGGCGTGTGGACCGCCATGACACTTCAGCCGTACGCGGCCGCCCAGGCCAGCATCGGCAAGGACGCCGTCAACTTCGAGGACCCCCACGAGCACTCGTGGATTGGCCGCGGGTCCTTTCTCATGCACAACCTACTCGGCAACGGCCAGCTAGTGCAGCTCGTCGTCGCTGCCCGGGAGAAGGAAGCCGTGGGATCCGACAGCTGGGGCCGCACCGTGAACGCGGACGACCTCAGGAGGATCTACCAGGACTGGCCGCCGCATCTCTCCAAGGCCGTCGAATCGGTATGTTCCTCCAACCCCCTGTTTTTTTTAACCCCCCCATCCCCGATCATTTCCCGCGGGCCAAGTACCTATGTGACTAACAGCAACCACCCCTCCCTTTCCCGAAAAAAACAGCTTCTCTGCCAACAACCCTCCCAACCAGCCATGTACCTCTGGGAGCACCACCTCCCCGCCCGCACCTACGTCTCGGGCCCCGTCTGCATCATGGGCGACGCGGCCCACGCCACCACGCCCTGGCAGGGCTCCGGCGGCGGCATGTCGCTCGAGGACAGCCTCGTGCTGTCCACGCTGCTGGGGGGCCACGCATCGACCCCCGCCGAGGCCCGGCTGGCGCTCAGGGCCTATGACCAGGTTCGCAGGCCGCGCACGCAGCGCATTGTTGAGTCGAGCCGCGGGACGGGTGATGTTTTGACGGGCGCTGGTGAGCAGGGTGTAGAGGGGTATTTCAAGGAGCCGGGAACTCTGTTACGCAGGTGGGATTTTATTTTGGATCTCGATGTGGAGAAGCATGTGAAGGATGCTGTGGAGTTGTTGGACCAGTTGAAGCGGGAGGTTGCTACGTAGTGGGTTGTTGAATGGGTACAAAAATGAAGTCTCTGGCTAGTAAAGAGCCATTTATGATAGTGTAAACTACCTCCCTAGCAATGATAGCCGTTCCCATTGGGTGTTATATTTCCGTTGCTTAGTACCTGGATAGTCGCAATAATGCGAACTAGATTAGGTGACCAAGGTAGGATTCGAACCTGAACCCTTTACTGGAAAAGAGAAGCAAACGATCTCGCCAGGATTCAAACCCATAAGCTTTACCAGCTAGGAAGACCTGGAAAGCAACGTGCTACCTTGCGCCATCCGACCATTGTGTAGTAACAATTCAAGGTGGCACTTTTTACTAGACTCTTTGGAGTTCATTACGAAGAATGTATAGGTGCTAATAGAGGTTCTTGAATCTCTACTCCCTAGCTTATTACTTTCTCATGCTATACTCACAGCCCTCTGCTACCTACCTAGCCAATGTACTCTAAGCGCCGAGTAACTACCTAGATTCTGCCACAGTTCAGACGCTAGCTTATCACCCCTTTAATGCACCAACTAAGGCTAATCAGAATTTGGAATGCCACTAGTTTGGAAGCACAACGAGTTGCCTAATCTTCGCGCTATTACGTCTTCGTTGTGGGTGATGAACAGGTTCACGAACGTTAAGGATACAGCTTGAACAATCCAAGAAACCCTGCCCCTTCCTTTAATTTGCCTACTCACTCCCTCACTGCCTCACGCGTTATTCACCGCAGCTCTCCGTGAAGTGCTGTTGGGGTCCAGGTACGGCCGCTCGCCCAAACCCACTGCTCGGTTCCCGAACCGCTCACCGTAGTTGCCCTCCAGGTAGTCGAATGTAGCGGTGTGGAACACGGAGCGGTTGTCCCAGATGGCTTAGCCTGTTAGCAACTATTACTCATATGCCTAGGTAACAGAAACGTACCAATATCATTGGGGTTCTTCCACTTGAGGCGGACCTGCAAGTCGTGGTTCTTGTAGACCAGGTCCAGGAACCAGCTGAGGAGCTTGGAGCTCTCCTCCTCGGTCAAGCCATTGATATGTTTGACGTGGCCGCCAACGGGGAAAATGCTCTTCCAGCCCGTGACGGGATTGGTGCGCACGACGGGATGGATGGCTTTCAGCTCACCACCAACGTTCTCGGGGGAACCTCGCGGCTTGTCGTACAGCTGGAACCCTGCATCTTCCGCCACCTTTTTGAAATGAGGCTGCTCAAAGGTCGCGGTGAGACCCTCGAGGAACTTCTGATACGGCTCGCTGATGCGGTCGTAAATCTCGTAGCCGGAGGCCCACAGGGTGTCTGAATGGGTACTGTTAGCCGTTATCATCTAGCAACCACGGTTCGAATCACTAACCTCCCCCGGTGCTGGGCAGCTCCACCAGACGTAGGGACGTGTAATCGGCGGGCACAGGTTCAAATGCAATGTCACTGTGCCACTGGGCACTGCTCTGCTTCTTGGGGCTCAGTGCATCTGCCACCGTCTTAGAGTAAAATTTCTTGTTCTGGATCGAGCTGATGGTGCTGATTTCTGGGTCGTTTCCACCCAGCTCGCGCTCCGAGTTGAGAATGGGGTGGATATGGAGCCCCGATGTAGCCGGCCGTCCGGCCAACTCCCCAAGCCGCAGAATAAGCTGTTTCTGGAGTTCGTTGGTCAGGCCATCCTGGGCGCGGAAAAACACGACGCCACGCTGAGAGACTGGGCCTGTTAGTTATCCTATCCTGAGCCCACCGAACCACACACAAACTCACTGGTGATAGCGAGGTCTCTGAGCAGCTCGTCCGCGTTGGGTGCAGTCAGCCACTCGTTCAAGTTGGCCTTGGGAAACTCTCGGCCAATGACGGGCGTGACATCGAAGGATTCGTAGGCGTCGAGCGCGCCCGAGAGCTTTAGAGGCTCGCGGTTCACACCCTTTGTGACCACCGGAATGTCAACGTCGATCGCTGATGGGGCCATGCTGCTGGTGCGGATGAGTTAAGGGGTACACAAAGTATGAAAGAAGGTTGAAGAGCCTAGACTTCAAGAGAATGCTCAGTTTGAATGTGCTCCAGTACTCTGGCGAGAGGTGGGATGTCAGCGTCTTTATACACCAATACGTGAGGGAGGCAACCCCCCCTCCCAGGCTGACGTGACAGATTTGCATAGTTAACGTAGTGTAATGTTGCCTGCTGCCGTATCTATCCACCCCGCGTTACCCCATCGGTTCTCTCACAGACCTCGGACAACGGTAAGGAGTGTGGAGAGACCAACGGGCGACCATTGAATGAACATCATGGATGAAATTGCGAGCTCCCAGACGTGTATGCCGCCATCCTCGCTATTTATAAACGGGACCGGTGGTCATGGCGGCAATCAACCGTCAGGATGGGTGCAACTGAGCACCATCCCGTGCGATAATACCTTAACCGGCTAGCATGAGGGCTCGTAAAACGACCGTAGCGGGGACCTGTGATGCTCGCCATGGTATCCGCGTTTACTGCCTGCCGAGACGGCATTCTGGAAGGCCACTCGGGCATGGCGCAAGCTCAACCCCCCCCACGCTGGGTCACACACGTAGCCATGCTTTGTAACGGCTTGATTAACGCTTTGTCTTCCGAGTGGTCTTCCGTCACTCGCTTTCGCTTTTCGCACCCGTACCGACCGCGGTGATTACGGAAATAATGCAGCTTGTTGCTAGCCGGCGCGTTGGCTTATCGGCTAGATATGGCGCTCAGAGGGCCAGGTATGCCGCCATCGACATTGGAGTTATAGTAAATTACGATTGGCCGATGGTGTGCATCGAGTTGCGGGGTGGACGGTTATGGGAAGTCCCATTAGTCGTCAGGTCGAGCACGCTTCATCACGCCATTCCTTGACCCTGATCCTGACCTTGGCGTGGAACATCTCCACCACTTCAGACGGTGAGGCCATGGCTTCGGCTTTCCATTCTGGTCTCGATCCAACTTCGTGATACTGGGGTTGGGGATGCCGCTTTCTGCCCCCGGCTTCCCTGCTCCCGGGATTCTGGTTCCCCCACCCCGAAGCTGCCACCACTCATGGCTTGCCGTGGGATATTAACACGGCAGAGTGTCGATCAGATATCGTCAGTTGAAAGCGAAAGAAGACGGCATTTGGAAGCTAAGAGTCGACTCCATGCCCCTTCAGGCCGTTTTCCCCGGCAATGACGAGTTGCCAGACACCGAGGAAACTGGTCGAGTGTCGGGTATGTTGATTACATGTCTCGGTAGTTACTGTGCGATGTAAACTCCCGTGAGGTAGCAGCAAGGATCAGAACGTCGGGCCCTTATGGCAGGGTTATCTTAGATACTGCCTGCATGCAGTGCACCAGCACATGGCAACCCAGCTCCGAATCGATGCCGGATGTCCAAATATACCCAAGACGTGATTATGCGGACGGCGTACGCAATGATCTTAACTGGAACCGCATTCCTTCGCTCAGATAAGGGCTTTTCGTCGTCGTGTAACCAGGGCCATATAAGGTGCCAACACACGGTGGGCTTGAGAAATACGTTGAGCGTCCTGACGAATAGATCGCCCTCACGATTGTTGGAAGATTGGCATTGATTGCTGTTTCAACTTTCGTAGGGCCCGCCCGAAATTAACAGGCGCCAATGGCTACCGTATTTATTCGAAACAACGCTTCCAAGGCCGAGAGGGATCGTGACAGCAAGTCAGGCCCGGATGCCTCAAGCACGTCTGTGAACACAGTCCCACCTCTCGGAGAAGCCATCCAGGCGAAGCGGTTCTGGTTCCAGAGGACCAGATCGTATGATCCCGATGCTATCGCGACTCAGGCAAGTCTACCTCGTTAGCGAGGTCCTGGGGGACACCGGAAAGTGGCTAACTACTGTCTAGCCCAGCGTTTTCGATGACCCGGAAACGGCGAAGCAATATCAGCCGCCCCCTGAATGGTAAGATAGTCTTCTTCTAGGCCATGTGGGGTTAAGATGTCTGACGAATAATCAACCCATAGGGAGAACACCCATCGCTTCGATCCACTCGAGCGATGGACCTGGCGTGAGGAGTACCAGCTGGTGCGCAAGGTCGATTGGCGAATCATGGTGTGGACCTGCATCATGTTTATGGCTCTCGAGCTCGATAGGGCGAATATTTCCCAGGCGTTGACAGATGACTTCCTCCCGGACCTCGGACTGACCACCAACGGTGAGTCGACTACACGGTTTGAATTGCTAAGATGCTGGGCTTTTGGCTGACCGGGCCCTTAGACTACAATCTCGGCAATACTATTTTTCGCCTCTCCTTCCTCTGCGCTGAGCTCCCGTCCCAGCTGGTATCCAAGTGGGTGGGACCGGACCGCTGGATACCGTCCCAGATGACTCTCTGGAGCATTGTTGCGAGTTGCCAGTTCTTCCTATCCGGCCGCACGTCGTTCCTTGTCTGCCGCTGCTTTTTGGGGATATTGCAGGGGGGGTTTATTCCAGACGTGAGCAACTGACTTCCCCCCGGAGGTCATCCATTGGGTACCAAGGCAGACTGACACGAATTCACAGGTGATCCTTTACCTCTCATACTTCTACAAGCACCATGAGCTCACTATACGACTGGCTTTCTTTTGGACCGCCATGAGCATCGCCGATATTTGCTCGTCCCTTCTTGCGTATGGTATTCTGCATATGCGGGGTGTCCAGGGTCACTCTGGCTGGAGGTGGCTGTTTTTAATAGAGGTAAGGGCGTCGGGTTCTGGATATCTATTGCGGTGAAGGTCTTCTGGACCTGGCTAATGACCTGAGCAGGGCCTGATGACGCTTGTTATTGGACTTTTCGCCTTTTTGTTGATGCCAGCTGGGCCATGCCAGACTGCGAGCTGGTTTCGTGGCAAGAAGGGGTGGTTCAACGAGCGGTATGGCCATTTTCTTTTGTGCCCGAACTCAAGCCATGCTAACCAAGCACGCCTCCTTCTAGCGAGCAGAAGATCATCGTGAACCGGGTCTTGCGGGACGACCCGAACAAGAGCGACATGCACAACCGCCAGCCCATCACGCCTAGGCTGCTGTGGCAAAGCCTCAAGGACTACGATCTTTGGTAGGTGTACCAAAACTCGGAACTGAACAGCCTAGTGAGAACTAACTGTCCCTAGGCCGTTGTATATGCTGGGGCTCACGTTTCAGGTGCCAATGATTCCACCGAATCAGTATCTGACCCTGACCCTCCGGGGATTGGGATTCGACACCTTTCAGACCAACTTGCTGACGATGCCCCTCACCGTCGGCCATAGTAAGCAACTGTCGTCCTGACCAGTGGCCACCGAAAGACTATGATACTGATATTAGCTAGTAATCACTATGCTCTTAGTAGCCTACCTCGCCGAGGTAACGGGCCAGTTGACACTGGTGGCTGGTATCGGCCAGATATGGGTCCTGCCGTTTCTGATCTACCTGAATGCCGTCGACTTGGCGAATGTGAATAGATGGGTAATTTACGCGGTAACCACATTGCTGCTAAGCTATCCCAATGGTAAAGAGCCATACCCCCTACCTCCTACGCAACTCCTGACGACGGCTGATGACTGGGATATCAGCACACCCAATCCAAGTCGGATGGAACTCCCGCAACTCGAACACTGTCCGGTCTCGTACCGTGTCCGCGGCATGCTACAACATGTTTGTTCAAGCGAGCTCTGTCACTGCTGCCAACATCTACCGAGCCGGTACGTTGCCGAGAAAGTTAGACTCGGGCACGGATATACTAACCACGGTTTAGATGACGCACCTTACTACCGGCGCGGGAACCGGCAGCTCCTTGGGATACTTTGCATGAACATTGTGCTGTACGGTCTAGTGAAGACGTACTACGTACTCAGGAACAAACAGAAGGACAGGAAATGGGATGCAATGACGCCGGAGGAGAGGTTGGACTATCTGGCTACCACTACTGACCAGGGCAACAAGAGGCTGGACTTCAGATTCCAGCACTAGGTCGACGATGACCGGCGGGCTTATTGCGGTTATTTCGAGGGCTGATACGGTGATCTTGGAGAGGCTTTACCGGGCGACTCGGGACTTTCGGGAAGTGCTTGGCTGCAAAGGAAGGCCAAGGGAGACAATATTCGGGCCCAAGACAGTGCGCTTTTTGGGAGAAGGTAGTAAACTGGTGCCAGGTTGATGGCAATGTACTGTCATAGACCGAGCAGAGTTTATGAGGATGTGTGGTATCGTAGTCGTGGGGTTGTTGCGAGGGAAAAATAAGGAGAAGACCCGGCTTCATAATCAGGGGCCCAGTAATAGTTTTTTTGGCAAGTTTAGGGGATGCATTGACCTGTAGTGATACTACCAGGACTTCTTGTCCATTGTAGGTTCCGAGGTTCCTTCCAGATTTCCAACATCCATGAACCGACTTCAACTGGAGGGGCTGTTCACCATAATTCACGTGACTTTGAGCATCAGGAACCCCTTCCCATACCGGGCAGTTTAACCTTCACGTGTTACCCCGCCATGTGGGGGTGTAACTGACCGACGGTCCCAAGCTGAATCTTCAAACCGCAAGCTCTCCGGCGCGTTTTCAGGCCTGTCCCGTGTCTGGTCTGTGTTCCTTCGGCAACAGAAGGTGATTACTCCCGCTGACAGAGACACACGCCACCAAGCGGGAAGCCCGGGCACATGAATAAGCGGATTGCAGGGCCGGCGGCAAGACTAAATACCGCGTTTACGGGCAGACCCCACCGTGCCTCTCTTGCGTCCGCTGTCGGCTTTTCTTCTTTTCAGCCCACCCCTCCTCCGCTCTTCCGGGGCGTGGTCCAGCTCTCCACCCGGGCCGGTTTCACTTCTTCATCCAGCCCATTCAGCCACCTACCGCCCAGGGCCTTAATCCCGCCCACTATCCGTCTCCAGACAGCAGCAACAAGCCCGGCAAATTCGTGCAGGATGTCGACCACGGCAGAGGAGCAGGCGAAGCTGGTCGAGACGTCGAAGCGTCTGGCCGCCTACCAGGCTGTCAAGGACTACCTGCTTCCAGAGTACACCAGGGTAGGCATTGGCTCCGGGAGCACCGTTGTCTACGTGGTCGAGGCGATTGCCGCGCTCGGGCCCGCCGTCACCTCCAAGATGGCCTTTTACCCGACGGGCTCCCAATCCGAGGAGCTGATCGAGGCGGCCGGCCTGGACCTGCAGTACATCAGCAAGCTGCCGGCCGGCCGGCAGCTGGATGTTGCGTTTGACGGTGCCGACGAGGTGGACGACGACCTGAATCTGATCAAGGGTGGTGGCGCTTGCTTGTGGCAGGAGAAGATTGTGGCCGCCAGCGCCAAGCAGTTTGTTTGTGTCGCCGACTTTCGCAAGCTCTCCCCAAGCCTGGGGACGGCGTGGAAAAAGGGAATCCCCATTGAGGTGCTCCCCATGGCTGCTCCGAGGGTTCTCGACGAACTCCAGCGGATGGGCTCGCAAAACCCCCGCATACGGCCCGGACTGCCCGGAAAGGCCGGCGCCATCGTCACGGACAACGGCCTGTGGATCATCGATGCGCCCTTTGCACCGCTCCTGCTCTCCAAGGGCACCGAACCCGGCGACGGGAACAACGGCGTCTGGACTGTTGACGCACTCGCGGATGCGTTGATCAAGATTCCTGGGGTCGCCGAAATCGGCTTGTTTTATGGGAAGAACGGGCTACAGGTTGCCAGCGGCGCGCAGAAGCCTGTTGCTGCCTACTTTGGGATGGCCGATGGCTCGGTCGAGGTCAGAACGGCGTCGTCTTGAACAGAACGAACCGGTTTACGGCCCAAACCCTCCGGGGGATTTGCTTTGGCACTAGCCGGAAGGGCCGTTCGGAGGGATGGAGTTGTGCGCTTGCAGCTTTGCGTCAGGACGTGGCCGAGTCCGCGCGGAAGACATTACATTGTACGGGGCATATGCGGACCCGCCGAAGCGAATTCCATATGTTGCGCGCTTGGTAGTCCTAGACGCTGCAGAATCGTACGCCATTATCCGCGGTCAGATCATCGTTAGCACCGATTTTCGTCAGTTTCTGGATCCGGAGGACGGTTTGATCCCGCCCGGCAGTGACGGATGGGGATGCACGCCATGTTGATGTTCTATTCCTTTGCCCCTTACCGGAGAACACCGTTATGATCACCCTACTATTAGCTGCCGCACTGTAGGTGGGCTCCGGGGAAGATGCTTAGCAGATAAACCTAGGGTATATTTTCCATTGGGCAGGCCGTTTCACTCAACACTCTCGAGGCTCGTCGTTTTCGGGTGTTCGAGCGGCTGTGGACTTTGGTGACCCTGCTCCGATCGGGTTCAACCTTATAAACGCCCCACTCGACATATTGCATCCCCGACAGATGACGGATGGTCGTTGGACGCAGCGCTTTCCCTCCAGCTAACGCAAACGCGCACCAGAAAAAGGTCAACGCGTTTGGTGCGTCGTAGACCGGGTCTAGCGAGGCAAAGAGGACGAGCTGTTTGTCATCGACTAATTCGTGATGGATACGGAGAACCTGCGCGCTTTCTCGCGCCAACTCTCGTCGTGGGACGGAAAAGCGCTTGAGTGGCCGCTACAGTTAAAGTGCCGGCGTTATTCGGTGTTTCACCTTCTTTGCCGCAGACCCGTCGATGCGGGCCACCCAGCAAACAGCCGAGGTGGGGGCGGACTTGCCGGCCGCCGAGTTTGCTTTGTTCTTGTGTCGCTTTGGGAACATCTGGGCCTGAGCCCTCGGCGACACACGAGCTGGCGGTTTCGGAAACGAGCAGGCTCTCCCTGCCGTCTGGTGATTTGCGGCGGGACCAAGCGCCCCGGCCGCGCCCGCTGGCTGCATTTGGAGCTGCGCCGCCCTCGCCGGGCCTGGAGAACCGGCGTTGGCAGTCGTGGCGGGAACATGGGGCAGTGTGCCCTCGAAGGGTTACCTGTATAGATGTATACGAATATGAACGAGGTGTTTTGGAAATTGAGGTTTACTTTTCCCTTTAAAATTCAATTCCCCCTTCCCAGTCCCACCCGAGCGGCTGGTTGTTCTTATTGAGTCGCGTTTTCGGGTGTCGGGCACCACCCACCCACCACCATTTCGCCCGGTCGCCGGGCGGGGGCGGGGGCCAAGGCACTGCGCTCGGTCACCCGGGCGGCCAGGTACCTACCTACCTTAGTGAGGTTGTTCTGGACGGGTCGCGGACAACCTGAGGGCCTGTCATTCAGGATAAACACCTGGCCTCTACTGACCGAAATAATCGTGCCGATTGTGGGCCATCCGAACTAAGTCATAGGGATGGCGGTGTTTGGAGTGTTGGAAACGGCGTGGACGGGAAAGGAAGCGACCGCCCGGAGCGCACCGGTCTGGCCGTCTGGTTGAGATCGCGACGCGCCCTTTGAGGACCGGAGGGATCCGAGGCAGCCGAGTTGCACAGGTTTCGTGCGACGGCCGATAAATTTGCCTTCTGCGCCCGTTATTTAGTTGGCCGAGGAGTGGTTGGATGGCAGCAATGCGCATGATGCCGAGGCCGCTCATCAGAAAGCGGCCGGCGGTGCGGAGAGTCTCTTTGGCAACAAAGGGGCCAGGCCGAGCCCCTAAGACTGAGTTCCACCCACGGAAGCAACCCGCCCACCATGGTGGTGTGCGTCCTGCATCTCCGGCAACCCCACCCGCTCCCGAGGGTGCTGTGTCCCCCCGAGGTTCTTTTTTTTCTGATGCCAATCGTGACTGGCGGCGGACTTCGCATCCGGAGATTGCTGCCCTGGGGGCGGCTACCGCCTCCTCTTTCCGCGCAGACTTCGTCCGAGTTAAGCTGCGGGAAGGAAGCGTGCACAAATATTAGTTACGTCGGTATCGAAAATATGCTTGTTTTAATTCGCGCCATTACGATGTCTACACAGTTCAGTTGCTCCCGCGGTCACGGCGGAGGGAAAAGTGGATGCAGCGACCGGCGTCGGACAGGCTGGCGGCCGAGGAGTCCGAGAGTGGGTTGGCTGTAAATTTGTTAGGTGTCGGCCCAGAAATTGTTCGTCACGAGGCACAGCCACCTCGAGGACACTATTGCTTTGCCACATCGCTTGTGAACATATACAAGTAATACCGTCCATCAATCTGGACGAGGGAGTCATGGGAGAGAATGGTGATGGGATGGGGATGGCAACTCGCATTTTTGGGACGGCCTGAGCCGGAACACGGCCCCACTTTGGCCTGACGTAGCATTCCTGCGCGCGATTCCCGCCTTCACATTCACGAGTTATTGCGGCCCGGAACCTGGGGTGTGCCGGTCCGAAGAATGCAATCGCACGAGTTGCGATGCTAGGGCGCGCTTAGATTTACGGATGAGGTGCGAATGAGGTGATGAATCCGCAGTGTCTGCGAATTAGGGCATGAGCGTGGCCGGACTGTGTGTGGGGCTCCCTTATGGACGGACCCGCATTCAGCCCGGAGGCCAAAGGAAAGCGCCGTGTTGCTTAGGCGGGAGGCACCTCGGGCGCTCGAGGGCAACTCGGGTACGGTGTCGCGGATTGACACTCGTCGTCAGTTGCCCTCCACGCACGGAAGCCTGCTCCCCTGCCGCTTGCCGCGCTGCTTACCATTGGTTGGAGCTGAAGATCCGGCCGGGCAGCAAGGCGGCCTTCAAACGCTTGCCCGTCTCGTCTCATTGTTTGCGCGTCAATTGTTTTGACAAAAGGAAGCGTGCAGGCGGTCTTGTGTGCAGGGCTATGGATCACGGTTAATATGATATGGAGCGGCTCCAACTTGCGAGCTGAGATGAAATGCAAGGCTCTCAACTCCTCGCCGACTCCGGTTGTGTACCGATCAGCGGCTTCGTTCGCGCCGGGCTTGGTGGGCTGGGGTATCCGTGTCTCGGTGTCGGGCGCCACGGAGGTTAACAAAGCAAACAAATCAGCGGCCCAAGAGCGCGAAGTTGGGACTGTTTTCTAGCATTTTGTATTTTTGGTTTGGTCTGATGCCGAGGCGATGACGACGATGATGATGCTGTTGAAGAGAGGATGAGTCCGTGGGTGCCTTGGTGAGGTGGATCGCCTTCCAGTCTGCCGGGCGCCGGGCTGTGGCGGCCGATGCTAGGGGCACTCGCGCTGCTGTTGCTGGTGGTGGCTTCCCTCGACTGTCCCCACTTTCTCCCCGTCTCCCTCAGGACCCCCGGCACCATCAGCCGATCCGCCCGACTGTGGCCTCTTTTTCTGTGAGCGCTGCCGCCGCCTCCCTTCCTCGCTTCCTGAGGTTACAGATCCGCCCGAGCCTTTTTTACCCCATCGCTCCCCCCGTCCTTCCTGCCCTCGCCTTCCTTTCCCCCTTCTTCCCTCCCCGCGACCGACTCTTCCCTCCGCACCGAAGCCTCGTTTCCCGGCTCTCCTCCCGGATCTAAACAGGATCACCTTTTTCTTTGTGCTGCATCGGCCCATCGATTTTTCGACTCCGGCACAGCTCCGGGCCTCACTCGAGTTTCCTCCGGCATTGTCGGTCTTTCCGGTGCCCCGCGCCATCACCCAACCCACAACCCCTTCTCGCCTGCGAGACGCGTCCTGGTTTCAGCCCACCCACAACACCTAGTCGGCGCCATCACAACTCACCCATCAACCATGGCGTCGGTCGTGCGATCGACAGCCCTCCGCGCCGGCGGCGCTTGTGTGCGCTGTCGAAAGGGCAAGACCAAATGTGTTTACGAAAACGGCCGATCGCCGTGCAAGAATTGCGCCAAGGGCATGCACGAATGCTATTTGCCCTCCGAGTCCATGAGCCACGGCGGCCATGGAGTATCACCAGCACGCGTCCAGCAGCGGGCTCGCGAGTCCCTACCCAGCGAGCGGACTGTCTCCAGCACCTCGGGCGACCGTCAGGCCCCTCCGCCCTCGAGCGTGTCACGCCACGTCTCAACGACGGCCGAAAAGTATGTCTCATCTTTTTTCCCTACCTCTCTATCTCTATTTCTATTTCTAGAGATTGCACGCATTGCACAACTTTTCCCCTGCGTGCGCATGTGGTTTCTTGTGCCCACTCATTTCCCCCCTCCCTCGATTTCCGGTGGCTCCGTTGGCAGCGCCTTTTTTCTTCCGCACCCGGGCGACCTCCACCCGCCGAGTTTCCTCCAATTTTTAGCGTTGGCTCCGGAGGGCCAGGCAGTTCCAATTTTCCCCACCCGGGCCTCATTTCCCAAACCGGCACGCGCAATTTTCCTTTGCTCCGTGCACAACTTCCCGTCTCACCCCGATTGTCTTGGCCTTGGCACCGTCGCCACAAGTCGCCGTGTTGTTCGGTCCCTGTCACGTCGCTCAGTTTATTATCCTTGTCTTTTTAGTGCTTTCCTCCGGGCTTCCTGTCTTAAGGGGGCTTTCCGGGCTTCCTGTCTTAAGGGGGCTTTCCGGGCTTCCTGTCTTAAGGGGGCTTTTGAGAGAGCTTTGCTAGCATTCATCCATGTCAACGTTTGACTCCGGCTAACAACCATGTTTTTACAGACTCACACCGGAGTTGATGCAAGAAGGCGAACGCGTCATCTCGAAGACGTTGCCAGCATGTGTGGCTTTCCACAAGCCGTCTTTCCTCCAACAGCTCAAGAACGCTTCCATGGATCCCACCATGGTTAATGCGTTGCTTACGACTGCTGCTCGGTGAGTGCCGCCGCCGCTCCCGACTGTGCCGGTTGGGTGTGGAGCCGCCATCCGGGGCTCCCGGCCCACTTGGCGTTTTGAACTGGGTGAATGGACACTAACATTGATGCAGGCACTCTCCAGCCATGATTCGTCGGTATGGGGGCCATGGTGGTGGCTCAGCCGCCGCTGAGCACTTCGCCAGCAAGACGATTGGCCTCATCATGCAGGCCATGGACCAACCCAGCCTTGCGGATATCCAAGCCCTCTGCCTGCTTGTCGTCCACGAGTGGGGTTGCCGCAATGCCGTGCGTGCCTATGTCTACCTCGGCCAGGCTGCCCGTATGGCACAGATGTACCGCGTCGTCCACACCCACCTGCACCAACCCGAGCCGGACCAGTTCCTCCAGGACGAATCCTTCCGACGCACCCTATGGCTGATTTACATCCTCGACTGCTTCCTCACTAGCAGCCCCGGCCGCCACCCGGCTCTGTCCTCGCATGACGTCAAGGATGTATCGCTGCCATGCCTTGATATGAACTATCACTTTGGTAGCCCGGTCTATGTCCGCACACTGAACGATGCCTCGCCCCCGGCTATGGCGGATCCCAACGGCCCCCTCGCCGAAGTGGGCGAGTTTGGCCACATTGTATTGGCAACCAAGGCTTGGCGCAATGTCGTCGAGATGATGACGACGACCAGTCTCGAGACCTTTTCTGAGGCTCAGTGCGTGGCTCTGGAGCAGCAGATTGACATGATCCGCCAGTCACTACCATTGCATTTCGCCGACAAACCCGGTCAGATTACCCTGCACATCACCATGGGCAGCGGCTACACGTACGCCATGATCCACTCGCTCCTCAACTGCGGCACTATTTTTGTGAACCGGCGCCGAATTCTCCAGGCCGTCACGGATGAGAACTTCTCCATCGAGGCCTGGCGCTTGTCTTCGCATACCCATGGCGAGGCGGTCGACCGCATTCTTGCCGCGTCGCACAGCATCATCCACTCACTTTTGGCACTGGAGCATGGGGCGGACAAGGATAGCATTCTCTGCTTCCCGATCTTTATGCTCTTCTCGGCCTTCACCGCTGGCTCAACGATCGCCTACCTTACCCTCAAAGGACTCGCCCCGCCCGATGTCATCGAGTCCGCTGGGAGCATCGTCCGCGACAGCCTAAGACTCTGCCAGGATGGTTCCGAGTCTTGGCCGCTGGTGCTCCCCTGGCAACGCCATCTCTCCGTCATGACAAAGGTCCTGCGTGAGGTGAATACTTCCCGCGACATCCACGAATCGCGTGAGGATAGCAAGCAGCCCCACCGTGTCTCGCCTTCGGTCAAGGATGACGTTGTTAGCCAGGCTGACACGAACCCTGACCCCATGGACTATGACCAGGCGATTCCGTCTGTGGCGCACCCCCCACCCCCTGCCAGCATGGAGGGCCGAGACAGCGAGCCTCCCGCTCCGAGGCGGCCCGGGATCACCACGATCAATGGTGGATCTGCTGGCGCTTCGACCCCAGCTACGGCTAGCCCCCCGCCCCCCAGCCTTGTGCCCAAGGCGGACTCCCCTGGTGCGACATCGTCGGCGTCCGTCAGCGGCATGCCCCAGCCACCACAGCCCGGCCCGGACGTCGACATGTCAGCCATCGAGCTTTGTGCGGCCTTTGAGAGGCAGCTGCTCGAGCTCGATGACTTGGCCGCATTTATGGGAGGCGGAGTGTGAGTCTTCCTCTGCTTTCTCTCTCATCATGGCTTCTCCGGCGTCCGATGGATTGATCGGTTGACCATGCTCAAGCCCGCCCAGTTAGATCGCGGCGCAGTCTCATGGGTCATCCTTCTTTCATCCTCTATTAATTCGCTATTCTATTTTTCGGACTCGCTCGCTCGGCCTTGTGCCGCGGGTGCCTTCGGAGAGCTTGTGTTTTTGTATCATAATGACCATGGGTTACTGGGGAGGGGCACTGACCGCGGAACAACGGAACAACGTGGCTTGGCTTGGGACGCGCGTGGTACTTTATGTACCTGTAACATTACCTTTCCATTGTTTCCTTCTTCGCGGGACCTGGGAAGGGTACATTCCAGTATGGCTGTCCTTTTTTTTGATGGAGTGGAGATGGGCATTAAGTTGCTTGGGGTCTCTGTGTTAAGGCAGGAGTTACGGGGGGCTGGCTATTTGTGGGTTGACGGCGCTCAGGGACATATGGTGCGGAATGGCTTTAGTTAGGTATGTAAACGCCTTCATCGACATGTACGAGGAGGGACTGGCAACAACATTGTTTAGCCCTATTTATGGGTGATTTCGTCGCTTTTCTGTCCCCATCTGCTTGTTTTGTGAGGTGGTGGCATGCTTGGGATCGGTTCGACCATCTATCTGGGATATGCAGGGGCGGGTTCTCCAAGAGACCTTTGACCAACGCACTCTTCCTCCTCTTCCCCAGATGACGTATGGCGGGCCGGGCCGTGGCCGATCGTGCTCCTCGCTGATCCGACCCCCCTGGTCGAAATAAGGTTTTTGCCCCTGGTTGCCAAGTTATGTCTGGTGACTCGCGGCTCACCACCCACTTCAAAACACAATGGCCGGGAGTGCTTAAACCTTGTTTCTCTATACTGTCTGTTGTGAACAGTGCTGGCGTGGTTTTATAGATGCAATTGCATGAAGTGCTTGATGTTGGGTTTTGTGATGTGCGCGTTGCCGGTCGTTAAGCCCCTATTAAGAATGGCTTTTATCCTCACCAGAGGAGATGCTTGGAGCAGATATTGGCATTGCTGCCACTGGTGCTTCACGAAGAGGTTGTTATAATTACAGCTAACGAAAAGGCCTCCTTCATTATTCATGTAGTCTGCTTAACCTCAACAACATTCTGCCTACCCGTGCTCCAGCTCCCCGAGGGTGAGCTCCCAACATCTCAACACACGCGGAACTCTAGCTATAAAGCAGCTATGGCTCCATACTACCTGTTTTCACCACTTAGCCCCCCAGCTCCCAGCATACCAGTCGCACCGAGCGTTGCGTAATCGCCGTGTCTAGCTCTCACTGCTCTCGGTCTTGGTATTACCCTCGGCCACGACTTTATGCAAAGCCACAATCATCTCCTTTAGCTTATCTACCTCCTCCCTCAGAATCCTGACCTCGGATACCGCGGGGTCCTCCTCGAGGTTGCTCTTGGCGGAGTCGACCTGCTTCTTCCAGCCATCGGATTCGAAGTCGAACTGGCCAATCATCTGCTCCCACTCCTCGACCGTGTCGTCGTCGGCGTCGCCACGGGCGCGGTTCGTGCGGATGTCCTGGGCCCAACGCACCTCAAAGTAGGCTGAGATGAGCAGCAGGGGCGAGTAGATGATGCCCATGACAATGTCGTTGACGTGCTCGTATGTCTTCTTGTCCATCCACCACTCGAAAAAGAGGACGAGGCCGAAGATCTCGATGAGGTTGAAGGGCGCAATGAAGACGTTCTCGTCCGGGGCGCGGACGAAGGTCATGGTCTTCTGAGCGAAAATGGCGAGGTACTCGTCGTTGGCGTTGTCGTAGATGTCTTCGTAGGCCGAATTGTACAGCGCAATCAAGATATTGAGGAGAACGACCTGGCACCGGTATTAGTGAACCGCGGGAAAAAGGAAGCTGGGGGCGCTGATACGTACCATAACGACAAAAGTAAAGCAGTAGTATAGGATCAGGCCAAAGGGCGGCTGGAACCTCTCAAAGCCGCTGAAGTCGGGCGACTGCATCACAGCATTGGCCATGGACTGGATAATAAAGAGGATGTCCTCGACAGTCCTGTCGTCGGCGTAGTCGAGTCCTATAAACGCCTGCAAGAATCCAACGATGATGAAGGCCAGCAGAGCGAAGAATATGATGGACTCCTTCATCATGACTTTGAGTACGACCAACATGGCACCAAAGAAACGGTAGCTATCGAGGTAGAGCAGCAACCTGCCCCAGAACATGGGAGCGCTCACGGCGAGGAAGCTGTAGCTCAGCGTGCTGTACTTGTGCCGCAATCCGTCGGGGTCGCCCTGGCCGTGGCTCAGGGCCATGCAGCGGAAGACAAAACTGGTGATCAGCAAACCGTACAGGATCGAGTTGAAGGCGTTCCAAAAATTCAGGATGCGGTAGCCCGCCTTCCATAGCTTGGCGAGTTCATTGCAGACGAAGCCCAGAGTGAAGAGATAGAGTATCACCTCGACGACGTCGATACCGCCGTCCTCGTTCACGGTGTTCATGGCAACGGTGTAGAGGCCGAGGTAGGCGAACGACATGAGCATCTGGACGGCATTCTGGTACATGGGCGCGCGCATGCGGTCCGGATCCAGATGGGCAACGTAAGAGGTGTTGTCCCTATCCTTGTAGTCGACGAAGGTGGCCGGGTCGTTCTCGTCCTGGACCAGCCATCCGCGCCAGAGGTGGTTGATGCACTTTTGATAGCCCGAGGAGCCGATGACGCGCAGGGCGTGGAGGTCGACCGCCTTCTCGATGACATTGACGGGGTGGGTTGCGTGGCCATCGACCAAGATGGAATACCGCTTGAGCAGAACCGAGTGCAAGAGGTAGTCGGAATCCTCCTCGGATTCGATGATCTTCTTGGCAATGACCTCGCAGGCGATGGCCCGGAGATAGTGGAGATCGGCATCCCACAGCTCAACCAGTGCCTGGTGGCGCCACCAGCGTTTGTTGACCAGCAGGCAATACACGACACAGGCACCGTGCTCGCGACCACCCGCCTCCTTGGCGGCCTGGACAACCTTGGACGTGATAACCTTGCTGTGCGGGGATGTGACATGGTTTTCCTTCAGCTCGCACGGGATACACTCCTCGATCAAGTGGCGGATGCGGAGAGCGACTTCAGTGACGTTCTGGGCTGGAATGGCCGACTGAATTGACTCGTCGCGATAGCTCGGGAGAACTGGCGGGCAACACGGTTAGCCTCTGGGAAGAAAACAACAAAAAAAAAGGGAAATAAGTCAATTGACGCACGTCGTTGTCTCGACTCGTCCCACCAGCTGTTGCGATCATGATGTCCCTGGCTCGTGTGCCGATCCCAGCCGAGAAAGCGGCTCCATGCTGGTCCGGGCATTTTGGCAGTCTCGTCAGTCTCACGACGCGACGGCTCGGTGTTTTGTTGCCAGTCGTTGAGCGACCGAGTGGTGGGGCGCCGAATTGATCGGGCTTGAGAGCCTGGGAGGTTGGTTCTCGTGATCGAGAGATCAATGGGAATGAGGAGGTTCGGGGATGGGTTGGGGGGTAGAAAGGGTTAAGGGAACATGGAGGGACGACGCCCTCCCTGCGCCATCTTTCTTCTCGTCTGTCGCGCCGTTCACAGTGCCTTAGCGTTGTTGGTGTCCCAGGCCGGGCCAACGGGAAATCGAGTTTCAGCTGCCATCGGAATCAGATGACGTCGCCATTGGTGGGGGCTGTCACATGGCGATTGATTCCTAACAAAATACGGCTGCTATAGCACACTAAATCGTTAGTGAGTTATCTCTCCGCGGAAATGGCTGGTTTGACAGGGCCTTCGCTTGCAAACCTGGAACCTTGAAGGCACAGCGGCCCAGGCCTGCGGGGCGCGAACTACCAAGTATGTACTGCGTACAATCAACAACGAAGCTTCGGGCGAGGTGACGGTGGGGGAGGGAACGAGAGAACTTGAGGAGCGTTAAATGTATGATTCCCGTTCCAATGCCCGCTCTACCTTCGCCTAGCGATTAACGTACACATTCAAATTGTCTCGAAATGGGGCTCTCGGAAGCATGGGAGGAACAGCAATCATTGGCAAGACGCTCTCGTAATAAAAACACAAGGATCACCCTCTGATGCAAACCCCGCAATGAGGCCGATCTCAAAATACGTGCCAGCAGACAACACAAAGCCCGAAATTGTCGCGTGGTGACCTGAGAATGGATTTGTAAATACGTCGCAAAGCCGAGGCGAAGGGGATTAACACCGGCGGTCGGGAGTTTAGAAATAACTCCTCATGGCCTCCTGGTACCCGGGACCGCCCTTGAGGTCGCGCTCAAAGTTGGTCTGCACATCCAACACCTGCCGAATGTGGCTCATCGCGAGCGGCTCGCCCTTGTTGACGGCCAGTGCTTGGGCTGTGCGCACTGTGTTCTTGATCTGCCGCCCGTTGAGCTCGTGCCGTGCCAGTGCCGTGTAGTCCTCCTCGCTGAAGGGCATCAGGTTGATCTTCTCCAGCACCCGCACGCGCTCGATAAAGATTTTGAAGATAGCCTTCTTAGCCCGGTGGTCGAGGCTATCGTACCGCAGAGCGATGTGGATGCGAGACTGGAAAGCATCGTCAAAGGTCTACCAGATACGGATTAGCATACGGAATATCCTTTCTTTCGCCGGCACCGGTTTTGTGCTTACCTCGACCCGATTTGTCGTCAGGAACAGAATACCCTGGAAGTACTCGAGCTGCCGGAGGAAAATGCTGACGAGCGCGTTTCGGTGGATGTCATGCATGTTGCGCTTCTCCAAGAAAACATCGGCTTCGTCCAAGAGGAGGATCGCACCCCATGCGTGACAGATGTCTAGGATCTTCTGGAGCTCACTCTCCAAGTACCGGGAGTCGGTGCCCAGTTCACCGGCCGACGCCATGTACAGAGGGCATTTGAGCAGCTCCGAAATCCCTTCGGCAGTTAGCGTCTTGCCCGTGCCGGGAGGTCCGTGGAGGACAGCTGTCGAGAAGTCAGTAATTAACCGCAGCGGGTAAGGGGGCGTTTCGACATACCAACAAGCCCTTTGCCCTTGCCCTGGATCACGTCATCAATGCTCTCGGCGGCGTGGTACTTGTGAGACTCAACGAGCGCCTGTTTTTTTCCCGCATCGGTTAGACGTTATGCCCAGAGAGAGAATAGCTGTCGATGAACATACCTTGACGATGTCCTTGGTCTTGGGCTCAAGCACCAAGGACTCATAAGCCGTCTCGTTCCACTGGATTTCTTTGACCCCCGAGACGGTGAACTCTAGCCACAGCTTTTCGGCGAAGGCGAAGCCAAGCACCACGGGGGATGCGATCAGGTACTCTTCGTCGCTGAACTCTGGCACCACTTTGGCCTTGGTGCTCTCTGACGGAGGCGTCGCCGTTCCCTGGTCGTCCTCCTGCGGTGCGCCCTCGTCCTTGGCGGCCACACTATCGAGCTTCTCTCCCCCGGTAGCCTCGTCGTCGTCCGATTTGGGCACGCGAATGAACTGCACCTTGCCCTTGCCGTCCTGGTACACCTTGGTGATAAACTTGGGCTTCTCGCTGTCGCTGCCCCCTTCACCCTCCTCGTCCGAGTCGCACCCGCAGCAGCCAGATTCGTCCGAGTCGTCATCGTCGGAGAAGAGGTCATGGTCCTTGGGACGCACAAGGGAGATGGGATAGTTAGGGTTGATGCGCCGGTGAATGCTGGGATCCACCATGATGCGCCCGTTGATGTTGACCTTGATGATGGACTTCTTCTTTTTGTAGTACGCCATCCCCTGGTGGCTCTTGTAGTGCACACCTCCCAGCGACACGAACTTCTTGCCACGCTCGATCAGGTCCTTGCGCAGCTGCTCCTCGTTCTTGTGGTACTTAAGGGGGGTAGCATCCGAGGCTGGTGATCTTGCGCGCTCCGCGGAAATCGGCGATCTCCTCCGAGACGTTTCCGAACCCGTACTGCTTCCCGTCATACTCAAAGTACTTGCCCTCGAGGTAGTAATAGTCGCCTTTCATCAGGTTGTGATGTTTCTCGGCCATTTCCACTTTGAAGACGCGGGGTTCGTCGTGCGAGCCGTACGTGGTCGTATAAGCCAACGTATTGGGCTTCCACAAAGCCCAGAGCAGGTCAAATGTGATCAGCCCGTTCTCCAGCATGGGGTAGAGACTGCAAGTGAGATTAGCAGGTGCGAGGAAGGATTGGGCAAGGCTGGGATCGAGCATACCTGTTCTTGATGTCGGCATAGTCCTTGTTGATGTACTTGACGAGAACTCTCAGATGCTGGCGCTTCTGGTCAATGCGCTTCTGTTCCTTCTTACGCTCACGCTTGTCGCCCTTGGTCGCCTTGGTTTTCTTCAGTTCCTTCAAGTGCGTGCGAAGATCCTCGAGGTACCTGCCGCGAATGTGAGCGTGGGAACGGAGTACTATTGCATGCTCGAACTTACAGGAAAAGCATGTTGGGGTCGAGCTTGGGTGTGTCGTCGACGAGACTGACGCCCTTGATGTCCCCGATGACATTCTGCAGGCACTCACGAAGCAACTTGCTTTTGATATCGACAACTGTGGCTTTGTATTTGCCCTCCCAGTCGAAGGTTCGACGGACGTGGAAGATGAACTCTTCATACTGGGCATCGACTGTGCCCTCGGCCGTGTCCTGGAGTTTGTAGTTGTGGATTGTATCGTCCCACACCTGGTCGACGCGCTTGTAGTCCAGCTTTGTCGCCTTCTGCCGCTTGTTGTCCTTTAGCTGGTTGGCGTCCAAGAGAACGTTGGGGTCAACGCCACCGAGGTTGAGGGCCGCTCGTCCAGAGGAGCGTACCCCCCCACGGCGAGGCCTCGGGGCACTGCGGCGGAGTCCGGTATCGTAGACAGAAGGGGGGATGCTGTTGTTGTGACCCGATGGGTACCCGTACGAACCGCCACCTTGCTGTTGCTGCTGGAGTAGAATAAGTTGTTGGAGTTGCTGCGCTAGGCTCGCGTTGGTCACCTCATCCTTGTCTTCGTCTGAACTGCTACTTCCGTCGCTGTCCAAAGAATCAGAATCGGAGCCTGACGCGGACGGATCTGCCGCTTTGGATGAAGCCTTGCTATGTTTCTTCGCGCGCGCCTTCTTTTTGGCCTTCTGGGGTTCCAGACGCTTCTTGGTCACCCGGTTCTTCTTCGGGGCTTCTGTTTCGGACTGGTCATCGTCCGAAGACGACGAGGAAGAAGTCCCGCCGTCACCGTCACCGTCATCATCATCGCTATCGGAGCTAGACGAAGACTCTGCGGGCGACGATGCCTTTTTGGCCTTCTTCGACTTCCGCTTCGAGTATTTCTTGGACCGCTTCTCTTTGGTGGATTTCTTCTTGGTCTCAGCCTTATCGTTGACCGTGGTTTCGCCTTCTGGTAACTTGGCACCGCTCTCGGCGGGTGCTTTCGGCTCCTCGGTCTTCTTTGGGGCCGTGGGATTGCCCTCACGCACATCGGCGAGGGATTTGTCCTCGGAATCCATGAGTGTGGATGCAGCAGGAGATTGCTAAAACTGAGATTGCGCTGGAGAGCTTCTGACCAGTTTGCTGAGCCCGATTTAGTGGTTGCGGGGTCGACGGTGCCGATGAGAGGCGCGGGGGGATTTGTGCAGGTTGACAGGGAACTTTAGAGGCCACCAAAGGTTTCCAAATGTTGTGCGACAGCTGGACGGCGACGTGGCCGGCTCAGGGAGGCCCAAGCTATGCAGCAGTGTGATAACTGGAGAAGTAAGCCGCGTGCAGGCGGTGCTTGTTGGAGGCCTGCATGTGGTCAGCAGATGCCGTGGTGGTAGCTCGTGAAAAGGAAGAAGATGAAGAAGAACAAAACAGAACAAGAAAATGGGAAAAGGGCGTGTACGCAGGTAGGCGGGAAAGAGGTGCACCGGATGGAACTTGAAGCGACATGTGAAAGCGATGGAGGGGATCTCCATCAATGATACAAAAGAGTCGTCATCAAACGTACATGGGGAAAACCCCCACTTACCGTATCAGTCTCCGGTATGCCTTGTATTCGGAACTGCCGACCAGCGAATGCCGTCAGCGGCGAAAGAGATGTCGACAAAGATGTGGCAGGTGAGTGCGCAGGAATCGGTGAGATGGTTGCAGAAGAGAGATGTGAAGTTGGTTAAGAGCAAGTGATTGCCAAGCTGAGTGACAAGGATGGGCGCCACTGTTTGCTCAGCTTCCAGGTTCCCCAAACTGTTGGGATGGAACCACGAGGCGACGTTCCGCCTGGTTGGTGCTGTCCGTTCGGGTGGTTTTGCGGGCTTCTCCGCTTATCTCCTGTCCTACCTTGGGAACCAGACACGGGAACCCTCTCGGAGAGTCACCGAAGGATGGCAAAAAAGAAGAGCACTCGCGGATCGGGACTGAGAAAGACATGCGGTTGAGCTAATCCCGATTACGAGGTTTTTGGTGATGTAATCTAGTGAATATGACGGGAAGGGAGTGCAGCATATCGAAACACCAACGAATGCGGACTGGATGGAACTACCATGTAAGTACTATCCTACTGGGAGCACGGGCTGGGGGCCTGGAGGGCCCGTTCAACTACACCCTGCAAGGGTGAGCCGCGGAATGCATGCACATCTCGGCCACTGTAGCAGCCTTGCTTGTTTGACTGGACAGCGAGCTGCATGAAGTTACAGGCAAGCGCCGGCCCGCTGTCTGGGCCTTGGGTGTTGGTGTCTTGGGACTGGTCCATGGAGCTACCACTCACGGCTTGGCCGGTTTGCTCTCGAGGATAATGAACGGTTAAAGATAGCGTAGGCTCGGTAGGCTCGATGGGCAAGGAAAACATTGGAAGCCGCTGGAAACCGCGGGGGGTATCGTTGCCCGTGACTGCGGGGTTAGCACGCGACGAGATGGAAGCTTCTCTGTCCTCACTCGAGGCAGCGAGGTTATTGGGAGTTGCTAGAATAGGAACCGGTGAGGGTAGGATTTCCAGTTTGTGGGTTCCCTCCCTTCCATCGCACCGGATTCGATATTCGGTTTTCCGTGGCGCCATGCCCTTGTTCCACGGAAGGGGTGCCTCTGACGGGTGGGCGAGATAGGGACCTTCCTTACCGAGCCCGGTTGGTTAACTTGAGAGGTTTGCTGGCCAACCATTACCGCCGGATTGAGCCAACGCTCAGCGGGAAAAAAAACATCCAATCATGACATCCGCGGGAGACCGGGCGGGCAACAAGGCTGCCGAGGGCTTCTCTTAGCATTACCATTTCCAACCTCCGTTCTGCAAACTGAAATGCGGATTTCGGATACGAATGATGGCTGATGCATTGGGTGACTGGAAATAATGGGTCTGGACGAGTCTCGCCAACCCGGTACTTTCGAATGGGGTTTTCTCAGCAAGGCCGAGAGGATTCCAGCATTTGCATGGAAGTATATGGCTTAAGCAGGCTTCCTCAGGGGCCCGAGACATGAACACCATCCTTGCATGTGGTGAGGCTTCGTGCGGTCTCGGAAAAGCAGGGCGCACGGGAAGCTGCAGGGCTCTCCCGAGGTGTCGAGCATGTTGGAGTATATGCATATACAGTTTCCTGCCTGACGATCTTCAGCCGTGGCCTGGGTGTGGAAGGGGTACTTCGAGGGAAGGGCGGTGGAAAGCGGTGTCCAAGGCCTGGGCAACCAACAGTTCGGATGCCGGGGTGGTGATTCATATTGGCTTCCACGAATGGGGCTCGCCGTTCCGTGTCTGGAAGTTCTTGGGCGACATCCAGCGCACGCGCCACACCCGGTCGTGCGTACGGCAGAAGATGCCTTGCTGTGTCATCCTGTGGCACCCGTGAGCCTCACATAAGACGGTTAAATTACCGCAGATATGCAGCTTTTCCGGCCGCAACAGGCATACTGGCAGTCACTGATTGGGGACGGCTGGCATTGTATTGCCCACCATTGGCGCGTGAGTTAGGCGGCCCGGGAAGCGGGAGGGCATGGGACAAAAGAATGGGCGGCGGGCTGGCGAAAAAAGCAAACCAAGGATGATGGCCCAAATGGACCTCGTAGCTGAAATGGAGGAAGAGAAAAAAAAGTAATGGCGCTTCACGAAATGAGGTGTATTTGAACTTCGGGTTGGAATGGATGGGCGGGAATGAGAGAGGGCAAGAAGCGGCGGGCAGGTGTTGCGTTTTGTCAATTGATGTACACGTGACCCCTGCCCTCGGAAACGATGAGAGCGTTCTTTCCGTAAAAAAAGGACAACAACGGTCAAACTCAACCAAATCTCTCTCGGCCAGTGCGGGGAAAAGGGCGAATCCGAGAGACATCGCTATGGTAGGGATAAAGAGGAAAGCATCGGACGATGTCGCAGAGGTGGACGACCGACCGGGAGCCGATTCCCGACTCGGACTACCCACCGGTGGTCCCGGGCGCATTCAACCGAATCCCGGTCGAACCGGTCGCACCGGCCGTCCGGCGCCTGGGGTATCCGCCGATGGCTACTTTCGGCACCTTTATGCTTCCGAGCCCGACTTCAAGCACCTTGCCAGGCAAGACTCTCAGTTTGCAGCAGCGTAAGTCTTCGCTCACTTTTTTTTTTGTTCGACCTGTCGTTGGAATCTGGATGCTGACATCATCCCAGCCTCCAAGACAACGGGCAGCTGGACTTTAGCGACCCAAACGCCACTATGCAGTTGACAAGAACACTTTTGGGGATCGACTTTGGCTTGAAGCTGGACCTTCCTGAGGACAGGCTGTGCCCTCCAGTCTGACCCCCTTCTGGCTAACGTACAGGTTAAGGGTACGCCGACTGACACAAACCAGGTCCCAAACCGTCACAATTATATCCTATGGCTGAAAGATCTCATGGATACAACCTCATACGAACCGCCTAGTCGAAAGTTGTGCGGGCTCGATGTTGGTACAGGCGCAAGTTGCATTTACCCTCTCCTCGGAACTGCTCAGCGGCAATGGATCTTCGTGGCAACAGGTGGGTGCCTTTCATTGTTCAACGGGCATAAAATTTAACACATCCTAGACATTGACACGAAGAACTTGGATTATGCAAGAAAAAACATCCAAATCAACGGCCTGGGAGACCGGATTCGGCTCCTGGAGCGGAAACCAGATGATCCCCTGATACCACTCGACGAGGCGGGTATCCCGTCCATCGACTTTGTCATGATGAACCCGCCTTTCTACTCCTCAGAGGAGGACATGGTATCGTCAGCAGTGAAGAAAGCGCGGCCACCAATGTCCGCTTGCACCGGCGCACCGGTGGAGATGGTTTGTGATGGGGGCGAGGTGGCTCACGTTGGCCGGTTGTTGCGCGAATCGCTGGTTTTGCGGGGCCGAATCCAATGGTATACGTCGATGCTTGGAAAGCTTACTAGCCTTGATGCTCTCATAGATCAGCTCCGTGAGCACGACATCGACAACTATGCCGTTACCGAGTTTGTACAGGGGAACAAGACGCGCCGGTGGGCGCTGGGATGGAGTTTCGGGCAGATGCGACCGGCGGAGCATGTGGCGCGCGGGATGAAGGCGAGCCATTGGAGAAAGATTCTACCATCATCCGTGATGGCTGAGTTGCTGGTGCTGCCGGCTGACGAACCAGTCGATCCGGTGATCGCTGGGATTCAGAAGGTCATGGGAGAGCTGGAGCTGATGTCTTGGAGGTGGGAACCGGAAACGGCAAAAGGGCTGGGGAGAACGAAGGAAAACGTGTGGAGTAGGGCTTGGAGAAGGAAAAAGCTCCAAGACGGGAGAGAAGGAGACCAGAATGAAGCCTGCGCTGTCCTAACTACTGAGCCAAAGGAGTGCCGGCTCGGATTCGAGGTTGGAGTCGTGGCCGGGAAGGCAGAGACATGTGTCAGTCTGCACTGGCGCGAAGGTAACGACCCCTTGATTTTCGAGAGCCTGAAAGGTTTTCTTCAGGGAAAGTTGAAGGCTACTCGGGATCAAGTCGAGAGGGCAAGTAGTTAACGCTGTTAACCTGTCCGTTGGGTCTCAATGGGGAACGGCAGTGAACGGGCTGTACTTATTAAGAAACCACCCCTGTGGTGTTGGTGGGGTTGGTCGCGTAATATTCGTAGATCGATGCCGTAATAACGTAATTTCACCATCGCCTCCTCGAGCCCAAATTTCGGGAATTCGTAATCTGGATGCTTACAAAATACATGCTTCCAACCTGAACCCATGATCAATCGCACACGATCAATTCAATCACCCACGATCAACCGCCCACACACATTTCAGCATGACAGACTTACCTCAGGCGGCGTCCCGTTTCACGTCGCAGAACCAAACCACGAGCGAGCGGCTAAAGACAAACACGGTCGGCCTGGTTGCGCTCTCGGACTTTCGCAAGCGGCGCGCCGATATCCTTGAGCAGCAAGAGCGCGAAGCTCGCGAGGCGGCTCTCTCAACACGCACAAACAACTCGACACCTGACCGGTCGCTGACTGCAACGCCAAACAACGCGAGTGCCGATAACAGCGAGCCAGAAAGGCAAAAGAAGAAGAAAAAGCGGGCTCGGGCGCTGGTGTCGTTTGGGGACGACGAGGAAGAGGAGGATGCCGCCGGGCCCAAGATTGTTACCGGCCGGGGAGCAGCGAAAAAGAACAAGGAAGAGGCTGTGGGCAACGATGCCGGCAGCGGCGGCGAGGCTGCCGCAGAGAGTGTCTCCAGCGACGACCACGATAAAGGGCAGAAGGGATCCACTAAGATTGCGGTCAACTCCTCAGTCGGCGTTGTGCCGCGGGCGCTGACGAAAGCCGCGCTACGAAGGGAAGCTGCAGAGAGAGAGGTGCTGCGTAAGGAATTCCTCCTCCTACAGGCTGCCATCAAGGCTACCGAAATCGCCATCCCCTTCGTTTTCTACGACGGCACCAACATCCCTGGAGGTGTCGTGAGGGTTAAGAAGGGCGATTTTGTCTGGCTATTTCTGGACAAGAGCCGCAAGGTGGGCGCGCAGCTTGGGGTGGGTGCGGATAAGAGTGCAAATGCCAGGCGAGACTGGGCCCGCGTCAGCGTGGACGACCTGATGCTCGTGAGGGGAACCATGATCATACCACAGGTAAGTCTATCACATGTCTCTATTGGTGTGGTAGGCTGTACTAATATCTGTCTAGCATTACGAGTTCTATTTCTTCATCATCAACAAGACCATGGGCACAAACAACAAGCCCCTCTTTGACTACAGCACCGAAGCTACGCCGACACAGCCGACGGCAGCCGGTCCAAGCGCAGCTGGCATTAGCCGCGCGCCTGGTATCTCTGAACTTGAAGGGGTATCGGACGATCCAACCATCACGAAGGTGGTGGATCGGCGGTGGTACCAGCGCAACAAGCACATCTACCCGGCCAATGTCTGGCAGACTTTCGACCCCGAGAAGGATTACTCGAAGGATATCCGCCGAGACCCGGGAGGCAATGCCTTTTTCTTTTCGAAATGAGGCTGCCCGAGCGTGTCGCGTTGATTAGCATGGGAATAACCCTACAGCATGGGCGGCAGGGCTGTCCGGTTCAGGTTTTCGTTCGAACGACTGGCCTAGGCTGCCTCTGTGTGAGCTTTACTTGGACGTTTCGTTTTGGAGGCAATAGAGTTTTGCTTACGTTCAGCCAGTGAACTGCCAGACGCCCCAACCCACGGCGGCCAGCATGAGCCAGCCGGGCCAGAAGAGCATCAGCAGCAAGGAATTGCCACCGGGCCCGAGGAGTAAAACGAAGAACTCAAACTCGAGCCTCTTTCGGAATCGGCGAGAACGCTTGGAGTCCCAAGCCGTCCATGCCAATCGCGCCGTCAAAAACAGGGTCCTCACAGCAAGGATCCTTAACGCGAGGAACGTCCTCCAAGCAATGCTCTTGCTTGCCCATAGAGAGGCCGTGGCTACGATGGTGGCGGCGAAGTAGGTTCGGACGAAGAGATGGAGGGCAGCAGAACCGATAAGGTGCTGGAACTGGACCGCACTGTTAACGAGTGGGTAAATCGTGGAGATCACATCAGACCGTTGGCTGAGGGAGACGGTCGGAGCGGTTCGCGAGGCGGCTAGAAGGGCCATGTTTGTGAAGTAGTGGCTCTCGAAATCGTTGTGGGAACACTTGTTGTGGGAACACTTCCATGTCAAGGGGGGAGTCTGCTATTTTGAGTCTCGAGGGCTCTTCTAGAGGAGTGGGAAGAGCCGAGAGAAAATTGGTGCAGTTTAAGTAGGCCGGTACTGTGTGGCGCCCGTCACGGATATCACGGGAGACGAAGCCAGTTCGCCCCGAGCCCCACAACGGAACAAGCTAGAATGGCTTGGCGCCCACCAATACCCGACTGTGACATGCCGAGCCGCTTCCGGCAAGAACAATTCGCCGCATCTCGGTTGCAGCCCACAAGGTCACTCTCTGGTCCCGCGTCTCGGCAGTTTGTTAGCGATGGCGCCCGTTACGTTCCCACGGCCCCTCTAGTTGCCCCCTCCTCGATCCCAGCGGTAACTAATATATCGTGGTGTTGTGGACCCAAGAACCCCGCGCCAGAAAGTAGACCCACGTGGGGGTCTTGATTCGCGACGTTGAGGAAGAGGGAGCTGTTGGTGGTGTGTTGCGCTAAGACTCCAGTGCAGTCCCCAGAGCCTATGGAGTGACACATTCCTCGACTGGTTGGGCGCGGGGGTTCGTCGTGCGGCGAAACGGTCTGAGGGGTTTGGCGGGTCCTGTCAGGGGGTCCACGAGGAGGTTGCTGTTTGTGTTGTCTGGGCTGCATGTGATGCTTCCGAGCTCGGAAACGGGAACATTAGAGGAGTCGTGATTGGTGATCGAGTTTGTTGGTTGAATGCCGATCGAATCGAGGGATCAAAACACCAGCGGATGCGAACCTCACATTCTTCATACCATGGAAGTGAACCCCATCTCGAACCGGGTCCGATCGGAACGGGTGTCTCACCCACGGTGGCGTGGGGCGGCGGGGCTGCAAGCGGAGCTGTCTCCTTCCAGGAACGTGCAACGGCCCTGCTACTGGTTGGCCAAGCCATTCCTGGTTCCAATGAAGAGACTCGTTTTGGCAGCAACGACCCGGGAGCGGTTTCGTTTGCCAACGTCGGCGACCCAGATGACCAGGGCAGCAAGCAACTCAGAGCAGGTCTAGATTACGATTTCTTAGATTATATTGGATTTCAAATACAATCCATTCAACACTCCATGATTTGGCCTAAAAGACTACAATTAGTGTGTCAGAATGGAAACTTCCAGGTTATTTGTGCTCTACTTTGCAAGATGACGCCCCCGGATGTCGCAGTAAGAGTACGCCCAGACAGCGTTGGCTGATTCACCATCACGTCGCAAATTACGTATGTTTGCCCATGAGAAAAACATTGGAAGTATCCACGGTGAGCCCTGCCAAACCAAACACGAAACAATCATGTCATCGCGTTACCGGCAAACCTTCCTCTGCTTGTTTTGGTGAATTTCATAATAGTAATGTGCTGAGTTTATCACGGGTGACGGCTTCTCGAACTCTTTCCACTCCTTAGGTAAGGTAGCCAAAGTGACCAAACCCATGTTCTCTGTTCTAGCAAATAGTGATTTTCGTTGTTTGTGTTAGCACTATCATTGTTAGTATTCATAACACATGTAAAAGGGTATTCCTCGGAATCCCAGCTCTCGTACCGTTTAAAGAACCCGGGTTGCTTCCATGGCTTTACTAAACTTGTAGTGTTGTTTACACAAGCCACGTCTGATGTCGCCAGGCGTGTCGCGTGTCTAGATACCTACCTAGGTAGTTGCCTACCAGTGATTGCTAATAACATCCCCTATACCTACTCTTACATTCATTTAGTCCCATCACTTCCCTCGTCCAGGTGACCTGGCTGCCAGTTGGAAACAGGATTGTTGCCAACTGGTCGTGGTTGTGATGGACCAAAGAAGGCATTGCTGACATGTTCTATAACAACGTCATCACACGGAACAGGCACGCTTCCTACCAAACTACCATTTTCTATGTAAACACAAGCGGCGTTGTGTTTCTTACCTCTTCCCTGCCACTTTGTCCATTTGTCAATCATTCCAACTTCTAGCGCTTTCATTCATTAGGCACATTGTGTGTTTTCTTTTGCTTCTCAATCCCCTTCCCATTCATGCCGCTGCTGGCTTCCTACTTCGAACTTGTTGAATATTCCCGCCATCACCAGGGGCTGATACACCTACTGCCCTCGACAAGCGCTACATCCTTCTTCCCGGAGTTAGAGATCCCGGTTATTTGAGTCTTATCTCAGAAAGCTTGCTAACTAGCAAGGGTTGTCTTGAGGTAAGTAAACCGAAATTCTCAGATTATCCATGTTCAGTCAGCCGGGTGTTCGCGGATGAGAACTGCCGGACATCGCTCGTTTGTTTTGTCTGGCAGGGTGGCGAGATGGAACGCGTTGCACCTTTACACTGCCCTCCCTGTGAATCCAGTTAACTATTTTACTACATGGAGATTCAATACGATGGTGGCTGACTTGGAAACTCAGATTTATTAACGGCACCCTACGTGAGAATGGCCAGCTACAAAACCAACATTCCCGCCTCCGAACTCGAGTCTTTTGGGACCCAGTGTACCTTTGGCGCTGAACCCTTGGCCCATTCGGGCCGAGACGATGGGAGAACAACCGCCCAAGCCGGCCCACATGAATCGCCGCGCCTCGATATCCGTCAGCTTCTGAATAACAAGGACCATACTTGGTCGGGCATAGTCCGCGACTACGATGACTGCCAGGAGCTTATGAAGCAGTATAAAACACTGAACGACAAGGAGGGCACGACAGACGTTGAAGTGTCCAATGACTTTCCCGAAGACAAGCAAGCCCAGAAAGAACTAGCCAGACAGCTCTTCGAGGCCATCTTGGAAGTAGATCCAGACACTTCCGACCACATGCATTCCCAGCGGGTACAGGAACTTAGCAACCTTGAGGTCGAGTTGCTTTCGTGGGAGCTTCTGGTACGATCAACTCTCGATTGCCCATATTGGGATAGGACGATATGGCTAACCGGTTGGTTGACAGTTTGCCATACACAGGGCGCAGGATGGCATTGTGGGTTGGGCTAAGTGGTCGCCCAAAGCAAGTCAGAGATATCAGAAGTGCGGGAACTTCCAAGAACGATTTGCGTTGGTCAAAGAAGCATGCCAGGTGAGTCCCTAAATGCCCCCGGAAAAATGGCTTGGTCTAATGAGAAACAGAAGTCTAAATCGGTTGTCCACGCCATGCTGTCGGCCCCTTTCATAACCCGGATGACAGCAGCACCTACCCATGAGTGCAAAGTAAGCATTGCGCATTGTTATTTCAAGGGCCCACCCTACCTGAGCCGTATTCGTCGAGCGATCGATTGTGAAGCTGACCAATTTGTATTAGTTAAAGAGCGCGAATAAAATGATCAACGCAAGAAAGGGGTTCATGTTGAAAGGGTATCAGCACATGATGGCAGAGAAGAACCAGAAGAGCAACCATGATCCCCCGGCGTCTTCGAAACGAAAGAGAGGTGTCAGCGGCAAGGACGAGGAAGGCCAGGCCAGATCCCAGGCAACCAACTACAAGCGTCACAAGGTTGAGATACCGAGAAAACCAGCGACAAGAACGGTAGTATCGTCCATTCCCGGGGGAGCGCTTAGTCGCATCCCAAGCGTCCCTACACCTCTAGTTAAAGAGGAAACCAAGAAAGGGTCATTGGTTCCCCGGGAATACTCTACATTGGGCCTCGCTAAAGAGTCCGTTGCGGGTCTGGACCAACCCGTCGCCTCGTTGGATCACCGAATGCCTCCCTCGGGCGGCGTTGATGCCGAATACCCGGTCCCTCAGCCGAACTCGATGGCTTCGCCTTACCCATCACTGGCTATGCCACTGCCACTACCCATCTGGGAGCCGACAGAGACTTCCTTTTCACCGCCTCCCCAGGAGATGGCCGTGGGTTCAGACACTGGGACCGAAGCATCGATGGTTGCGGGCAGCTTCGAGAATCTCGAATTCTTGAACCCGTGGAGCGATTTTGCGCGGGGTGACTATGGAGGGCAGCTCTGGGACTGGTGATCGTGGAGAGAAATGGGGCTTTCCTTTCTTTGTATTATAGCAGCGTCGAGGGTGGTGGGTTTCGAGTATTTGTTATGGGGGTATTATATGTCATTGGCGGATCACCCCAACTACCTACATACCTACCTATTTACGTATCTAAGGTACCTAGGTAGGTACTCAAAACGCCGGCTTACTGATTCCTCGCAACATCCAAGCCCATTACCCTCCTAAACCCTGTGTTTCCCACAACAGCGAATCCACCGGGCAACCTCTCCACGCCCTCCCCATCCAAAGCACCATCCCACATGCCCATAGCCATGCCCGTCAAGAACTTGCCCAGCGGTGCGGTCGGACTCCACTTACTCGTCCCCACGTACTTCATCATCGGCGACAGGATGCCCGCAAGACCGGTTTTGAATGTTCCAAGCTCCGGCAGGAAGGGCTTGATCTCCTCATGGCCGACCCAGTCGACAAACGCAGGACGAACGGTGCTCGCCCGGATCGAGGAAGGATTTGACTTCTGCATCTCGGCCAGCGCAAGCTCGGCCTCACCCTTGACGCGCCCGAAAATAGGGGTCAGGCGTCCCGGGGTGAAGGTTGCGCCGTCGCCGGAGACGTAGACAAAGCGGAAGGGTTCCTTGCTCCCTGTCTTTGATGGGAGGGACTGGAATGCCTCTGCGGCAGCGAGGGGGTAGGTTTTGGTGATTGTGACATATTCCCTAACACGGACAACGTGTCAGTTTACATGTAGTTACGCATCGGTGGACCGTCAAATAGACTGTAAGGGAGGCGAACTCTTTGCTGACTTGCGTCTGGCTGATTCCCAGTGCCCATACGCAACCTTGGGCATCCTTTAGTTTCTCAAGCAGGTCATGGTCGTACGACGCAAAGTCTTTGTGGATGATGACGTTGACGCGGTCATCGGTGAACTTGACAGGCCGTCTAGTGAGGACGGAGATCTTGGTGACATCCTTGGTATTGATCATGGCGTCGAGAACGGCAGTTCCCACCAGGCCGGTGGCCCCAGTCAGAATGAGATGCATTTTGTCGATGCTGACCTGTCTGGATGAGATGGGTTGTTAAGTGATCTTGTTATTGTACCTGATCAACTAGTGAGGTGTTTGAGATATGTGTCAGTTTGTTGAAAGGGGGTAAGGACGACAATATGAGACGTCCAATAGAGCAAGAGATACATCAAAGAAAGGCACCCAGCTTTCAATACATGTATTATGGGATTGCTTTGGTCTTTTAAGACCTCGACGACGGCGTTACTCGGGGTTAAAGCATATCAGCTTCTTGGCCGGAGATAACGTCAAACTTGAAGTGCGAAATGGCAGGGATTGGCGCTGTCAGCATCGGTCTCACTTCAGTCTCACTTGAACCTCCCTCCTGCACAGTACACCACAGGGTCCACCAAGTTGACCAAGGGAGGAAACTATCAGGTCAGACAACGACGCACATCGAGAGGATTGTCGATTCAACACAAAAAGTCTATTTTGAGAGAGTAGTAAACATAGGTACCCAACCTATCGTCCCCGCCATGTAATCTCTAGGTGCATAATACCCATCCGCTTGTGTTTCAACTTATGTTGGCTACATGTATTCCTCCAGCCCTTCACAAGAGACAACCGCCTCCCCCAGTCTGTATAAACCAGCCCCTTAGCCTTGAATACCTTTGATATCTTGATTGATACCTAACCGACGCAACTGTCGTGCTGTTAATCACCACCCACCAACGCCTTAATCTTAGCCAGGTAAAGAGGATGAATCCCGTGATTGGGAGGGATTCGTTTCCGGGGATGTTGTTCCTCTTCCTCAACCGCCGGCGCTCCCCGCTTCAGCTTTTGGTCTCCGGTCTTGGTAACCACCCACCCCCTTTCCAAGACGATTTTGGTCTTTTCCCCACCAGCCCCCTCCCCGAGCTTGGTCAATGCACCAAACGGAATACATGCAATCTCGTCTCTTGTATCTTCGGCCCTGTGCCCTTCACGGTTTCCTTGGGCCTCTGGGCCGACTTCATGGTCAATAACGTGAATCCATTTCGCGACTTTGAGCGATTTCGTATCTTGATCACAACCGGGCTCTCCCCACTTCTTGGGGTCTTGTGATGGAATTTCAATCTTGTAGTCGTCGGGGGCTTGTCGTAGGGCAAGCTTCAGGCGGACGGCCTCCTCGCAGATGGCCAAGAGTTGGCCCTTGACTTTATCGGCGTTGCGGATGAATGCGAAGCGTATCACTTGGTTGAGCGCTTCGAAGATCTCTTGGGCGGTCCCCTCGATATTGAGGGGGATGTCCCGGAGAGGGCTCGTAGCATCGATCGTTGTGGCTATCCAGTCGTTGAGTTTTGTGTTGTCAACTAACAGAGGAAGTGTTCGTTAGCAGGGCTATTCCATATAGGGCTAGAAGGGTGAAGCTTACCTCCTTTGGCCTCGAGCTCTTGCTCTAGAGCGCGAAGATAGGCTTCTGAATCGGAGATCGACGGATTCTCCTCGCTCTGGAGGAACACTTCAACACCGAAGATGCGCAGTCCAGGCCGTAGGATGCGTTGGAAAAGCAGGTGAAAGATCTTGGCCATCACTCTGTATTTCCGCTGAGAGGAACTTGCGTGATTCCATGACCAAGGGTGAAACAGAGTGTCCCCGGCCGCAAGGGTGCCGGGCAGAGGACCGAGCTGAACTGCGGCACTCCCAGCGAAAACCAATATGGTCTTTCTCAAGTTTAGGAATGCACCTGTGATATCTCTCTGTGCGTTCCTTTGTTTCTCAATTTGCTCGAGTTCAGCGTCCATCATACTCTGGACACGAGCAAGTTCAGTGGTGGCGATCTGTGCACGCATGTTTGCCATTTCCAGTTCTTTCTCCATCTCCTCGAGCCTCTTTATATCAAGCTCCCTCTTCTTCTTCAAGCCTTCGATCTCAATCCGATGCTCCCGTTGCAGGTTGGTCTTCTGCGCGTCCCCTCTCTCTTGCAGGTGTTTTGCGGGTTCCGGAGGCGGAAATCGCTCAAAGAACTTCTCAATGCCTTGAGCAAGCTCGCTGGAGATATCATCTGCCGTTTTCTCTAGCCGCTGTAGACCACGACCCATGTCTTGAAACTCGCGCTGAAAGGCGCCGAAGTTGCGGTCGAGGACAGACTGAAGCTGGTGTGCTGGCACTCCATCGGACACCCCCAACCCCCGCTGAGGGGTTGATTGGGCATCGGAAGTTGCTCGGGGCATATTCCGAGGATGGTTCATGAATGTCGCGGGCGGTTTAGGTATACGATGCCCCCGGAGGCCCCAGAGATTGCCCAAAAAGCTGTGGCGGTTTAGCCTTCGACCGTGGTACCCTCGGGGGGCTGGCACAGGACGGAAGTAGGGGCTCAAATGAATGAGGTGATGCTTCGGCTGTCCTTCCATTAGTATGGTTTCTGACGAAGCCGTCGTCCCAACCTAGGAGCTGCATGATCGAGGTCTCGAGTTGAAGGGACAAAGGGGTCCGGCTTGTATTGGCCTTTGTAAGCCACGGGGTGGGTGGGAAACAAAGAACTGTTTCCGGACACGGAGTAATACCATGATTTAGCAAAGGGAGAGAAAGAGGGTTTACTAGAGACGGCTACAAGTGGCTAACTCTGGGTGAGTACTGTACTTCGAGCCATCAGCAACCCAGCATTGAGTTCGACACACGGCTGCGTGGAATGCTACACCGGGCCTATATGGAGGCTAGTGTTCGCGTGTGGTAATCTTCTGGGGGTCAAGCAAGCAGAATATTGTCAAACTAACGGAAATCGGTTCTGTTGAGTTGGGGTCGCATGGTCATGTCACAAAAGGGAGCTTGTGGCCAAGGTTGGCGCCGGGAACGGGCATCAGTGACTCTATTAAGGCTGCCGGCTCATCCGCCTAAGAATTACCAAGTCCCCGCTTCAGGTTCAGCAAGGCTCCCAAACCGCTTCCCCTTCTTCTTCTTCTTTCCGAAGAACCCCGAAGAGCTCCGCGGGGTTTCTTCAACCTCTTCTAACATCATTCCGAGTTCAGACTCAACCTCAGGCTCGGCAGACGCGGGAGTGATACTGGCACCGTCCGAGTTGTCCAAGCTGTCAACGGGGCTGATGGGGCCGGTGGCCTCGGCAGAAACAAAGACCGAATCTATGAAGCGTTTGCTATTAGTCGGCCGAGACGAGACAGAAACGAATGAGTTATTGGTCGTTCGCACCCCCATTGATCCTGAACCCCACAAAACGCTTGCACGTCTCCAGGCCGTTTCGAAGCACGTCGAGCTGCTTGTTGAGCTGGTCACGCTCCGCACGGGTCTCCTCGGACTCCCCGGCGATGCGAGCCACTTCGTCGGCGGGCATCAGATAGACCGAGAGAGGCGACAGGATGCCGTCCAGAGCGGACATGAGCTTGGCCTCAATCACTTCGACCGCCACGTCGTCGACGAACCGTTCCAGGGCAACCTATAAGACCGGAATAGTTAGCAGGGGGTTAGATGGAAAATGATGAATGGACACCTACCTTGTAGTAGGCATTCAGACAATCCATGGCGTCGCCGGCGGCGGACCGCCTCACGTCCGGCTCATGACTCGCAATCAAAGCGTCAGAAAGGCCTTTGAGATTGTACGTGCCGTTTAGACGGACGTTTGACTCGGTCGAGGAAGCGCTGAGGAAGTCATAGAGAATCGTTTCCTGATTCCTTCTACGCCTGGTTTCGCGCATTTTCTGGAGGGTTTCGGCGAAATGGCGATTGTAGGTAACCGGGTGGCCGCTCTGAAGCGGCTTCAGTAGCTCCGTGGTCTTGTTGCGCATTTCCTTCAGGATGTCCGTCATGGCTGGGCCGAACACCTCTTGCTGGAGGGCCTTGGCCGTCGACGCGTCTGCCGTGTGCGCAACGACAAGCTTGATGAAGGTCGAGGTAGCCTCCCACACCTTTTCCACGTGGCGTCGCGCGATTTCCTCCCAGGGGCGGGATTGCTCACGGAACAGGTCAATGACGATCATTGGGTTGAAGGTGCCGGGCAGCTCACGGCCCCGCGTCTTGCGCATCAGTTGCTCGATCTGCTGGATGAAGTCATCCCTGGAGATTTGCACCACTTTCTGGGGATCGGAAGAAGCGTCCACGGTCTCAGGTGTGCCGTCGACGACCTGGCGGTAGTGACCTTGAAGCGACAGCTTAGACGCAAAGTCCTCGTTGAGGTTTTGAACAACGGCCCGGATGCGTTGTTCGTAACCAGGTTGGGTTTTAGCGTCAGAGAAGAACGAGCTGTCGTAGTTACCATCGGCCGATGACTTGACGAGCGCCTGGAAAGACTGGCTCAAGTGGACCAGGTATAGTCGCTGCTCCTCAGGGCTTGCCCGTGGGTCTCCGAGTTTCTCGAGCTGAGCTTCACAGGACTTGAACCTCTGCTCGATCTCATCCATCAGGCTTGGAAGTTCGGTAGCAATCTGTCCCAAAAGAACCTTGCTAAGACGGTTGCGCAGCCTGTCGATTCCGAGTGACAAAAAGGGAAGGGAAATCCAGACACCCGAACTGAAGAAGGCGGATTCCTCGGCATCCCTGGTCAAAAGGTCCGACGAGCCTTTCTCAGAGTCCATGTTCTTCAGAACGTGCCAACCGTGGTGGAACTCGACTTCCTGGTTCCTGGCGAGAGAGACATAGTTGGCTTCACTCTCACCGCCCGGGACAAGAGCGTCGGGTTTCGTTATCACGCCTAAGGTACGTTTGCCGTGCTGGTCGGCGGCCCGAGCCAGCTTCAGGACCACCTGGTTGGCAAAGTCGTTCTTGGCTGATACCACGGCGAGGATAATGCAGCGCGGCTCCCTCATATAGGACTTCACGACGTCCTGGATGAGGTGAACGTCCGAAGCCGTCTGATTCTTTGTCTCGGAGTGGATGAGGCCGGGAAGGTCGACGATGGTGAGATGAGGACGGTCTGGGCCGGTGACTTCGATGCGGAGGATGTCCTTGGCGAAGGCTTTGCCATGCGTTGTGATGCCCATCTCGGCCTTCGCCTTCTCGATCAGGTCGGGAAGGTCTTCGAACCCGTGCAGCTCCTCACGGAAGGCTAGGAGAGCCTTCCGCTCATCCTCGGGGCGGGATTCATGAGGAACAATGGACACACGGGCGCCGATGTGCGGTGTCTTGCGCAAGACCAGTTCCGTTGGGAAACGCGTGCACAGGTTGCTCTTGACTGGAAAAGAGACACCCGAAATGGCTTCGAGCACGGAACTCTTGCCGGATGACTGGTCGCCGCAGACAATGATCTGTGGCAAGGAAATGTAGTTGTTGATGCCTTGAAAGCGGAGACGGTCGATCGAGTCCAGAAGGGTGAGCTGGTCCTGGGAGCAAAGCTTGCTCAAGACGTTGCTCGCAAAAGCAACCATCTTGGAGGTCGCGGTTGTCTTGAGGACGTGGGGCGATAATGCAGGAAAAGAGTTGAGAGTTGTAGAGCGATAGTCAGGATTGAAGAACGCTTGTCAGTCCAGTAGCAAGGCGGGAAGACGGAGGGAAGGAGAGCATTTAAGTTTCCCGGCCTCTGGCATTTGAGGACATGGAGTCTGGGTTAACCAGAGCGTATTTGCATTCATGCCTAAGAAATAGCAGCAAACGGAGAGGGTAAGAACCATTGGGCCACAACTGGCGGTTGGCTGACCCGCCCTCCCATCTCATGCTGTAGGCCTCAAGGCAGGGCAGACTTTTGTTAACACGAGGGGTTGAGTGTTTGTTGCCATCGAGGCGATGCTCTCCATTCGCTGGGGCCCCTGACCGGGCCGGGCCATCGCAGGCAAACTTGGGCCCCCAACCGAATGAGAAACTGGCAGCCTTGGTCATTAACTGTGCCGCGGTTCAGTTCCTTGTTAACTAAGAGAATTGCCACTCTCAAGGTAAACGAAGTCGACCTTGTCGAGGGAAAATAACCCCAAGCATTTCGGTTGATGAGGCCAAAAGGTGCCGCAGTCTGTGTGTGTGGCCAAGAAGAGGCAAGACACTGATGCAAGATAACAATACACAGTACAGAGATGTCGATCTCGTTACCTCAAAAGTCAACTCCAGACACAGTATGTGCATCACAGTACTTGTACATAGTAGTACGTCTTGGTGTGTTACGCGGGCGGGGTTGGATCCCTCTCCGTCCTCTCCTTCTGCTGCGGCCTGGACCCCCTGAGAACAACCCCTGTCCGCTCATGCCGCCCCCTGTCCGATGTCATGACGAGGGAAAGGTCCATCTCGGGGATCGAAACGCGTGCAGCCGTGCAGGCCCAAAATCTGCCCAGCGGGGCCGCGTCGATCATGTCTCACTCGGGCAGAGCTCGCGTTACGCTCACCTGCAAGCTAACCAAGATTTTGGGATTTTGGTGCTGAGCGAATGCGGGCGATCGTGGCCGCTTTGGCAAAATGCCCTAAAGGAGCGCCCCAATTTCGACTTTCCCGAGTCATCGGGTTATTGTGTGGGACAGAGGATCGGACCGAGACCGAAGTCGTCCGGGGGTGACGCGAAGTCCGGCCGTCTTTTTATTCAACTGGACCGCCCTGTCAGCCACATTCGGTCCCTTGCTTGCTCTGCCCGTTTGTTGACGCCTTCTTATCGACCACCATGTTCCTCGGTAGGCTTCTCGGTCTCGGTGCCGCGTGCGTGGCCTTCGTTCAAGCCGTTGACCTCACGGGTTACGAGTACGTTGTCGTCGGTTCCGGCGCCGGCGGTGGTCCTCTTGCCGCACGCCTGGCATTGGCCGGGCACAAGACACTACTCATCGAAGCCGGCGACGACCAGGGCGCAAATATCAACTACACGGTGCCCGCATACCATGCCCGCGTCTCCGAGGATGAGCATCTGTCGTGGAACTTCTTTGTCCGCCACTACGCCGACGATGCCCGGCAGGCGCGCGACTGGAAAACCAGCTACGACACGTCAGAAGGTGGCCTGTACACCGGCCTCAACCCGCCGCCCGGCTCCAAGATGAAGGGGTTGTTGTATCCTCGCACGGGGACGCTCGGCGGGTGCACCGCGCACAACGCCATGGTGGCCGTCTACCCGCAGCGGTCCGACTTCGAGTACATGGCTACCCTGACCGGGGATAGCGCGTGGTCGCCCGACAACATGCGCAAGTACTTCCAGCGGCTGGAGAAGAAGCAGTACCTCACCGGCCTCCCCAAGGGCCACGGCAAGGACGGCTGGCTTTCGGTGGAGTTAACTCCCCTCTCAGTACCGCTCAAGGACCCGCAGCTCCTCGCCACCATCACCGGCGGTGCCTTTGCGCTCGGCGATATCACCAACCAGGTCCTCAACATCGGCACGCTGCTGGTGGGCGACCTCAACGCCGACAGCGAGCACCGTGACCGCAACCCGCACTACTACCAGGTCCCCATCACCACCAACAACGCGGCCCGCACCGGCGCGCGCGAGTTCGTCGTCTCGGTCCGCGACGCCCGCAACAAGGACGGCAGCAAGAAGTACCCGCTAGACGTCCGCCTCAACTGCCACGTCACGCGCGTCGTCTTCGACACCAGCGCATCCCCGCCGCGCGCCACGGGCGTCGAGTTCCTCGACGGCGCCCACCTCTACCGCGCCAGCCCGCTCAGCCGCTCCGCTCGCGCCGGAACCCCCGGCTCGGCCACCGCCTCCCGCGAGGTCATCATCTCCGGCGGCGCCTACAACTCCCCGCAGATCCTCAAGCTCTCGGGCGTCGGCCCGGCCGCCGAGCTCGCCCAGTTCAACATCCCCCTGGTGGCCGACCTCCCCGGCGTAGGCACCAACCTCCAAGACCACTACGAGTCCGCCGTGACGGCCAAAGTCCCCAAGGACTGGCCCGCCCTCCGCGGGTGCACCTTCCAGTTCAACAACACGCGCGACCCCTGTCTTGAACGGTGGCAGAACCCAATCCTGGGCGACCGCGGCACGTACGCGTCGGCGGGCCTATCCGTCGCGATGCTGCACAAGACGAGCGCCAGCGCCGACGGCACCTTCGACGCCTTCGTGTTTGGCGGGCCCGCCCAGTTCGCCGGCTACTACCCGGGCTACTCGTACGATGCGTCCGCGGAGCATGACTGGTGGACCTGGGTCGTCCTCAAGTCCCACCCGCGCAACACGGCCGGGCGGGTTACGCTGCGGTCGGCGGATCCGCTGGATCCGCCCGAGGTGGTGTACAACTACTTTGATACGGGCGGTGGGGATTATGCGGCGGATCTGCGGGCTATGGCGGAGGCGGTGGAGCTGGCGCGTCGTGCGCTGCGCCGCCAGCCGGTGAGGACGAATGAGGTGCTGCCCGGGGCGGAGGTCAACACGCGGGAGGAGATCGAGCAGTATATCAAGGACGGGTCGTGGGGCCATCATGCGAGCTCGACGTGCCCGATCGGGGCGGACGGGGATCCGATGGCTGTGTTGGATAGCCAGTTCCGGGTGCGCAAGGTGCAGGGGTTGCGGGTGGTGGACGCGTCGGTGTATCCGCGGATTCCGGGCACGTTTACGGCGGTGTCGACGTATATGGTGGCCGAGAAGGCGGCGGATGATATCTTGCGTGACGTTTGAGAGGTAGGTACATGTAGGTAGGCGGCGTCGTCTGGCCTCGGTTGCACACACGGTAATGTTTACTGGATAATTAGGTAGTATTGTATTACACGGGGTATTAGTGTACCTATTATTAGTTCAACCTTGTTAAGAAAGTCGTCCTCCCTTTCGTATCCTTGCGTACTAGGGGGTTAGTAAGGGCCGGTCGCGAAGGAACAGTGGTAGACTTAAAAAGTAACAGGCTTTGATTCCTAACGTCATATATATTATTAAGTCGACATGGGGGCGGCTAAACCAACCTGTGGCAGGCCCACAGCGGTCTTGCAGTATTTTACCCCCTTTACGTATGTCGTGACTCGGAGCTCCTCTCCGACTCCTTGGACGGCTTCCCGTCAGACCCTGACGGTACCCTAAGAAGCTCCTGGCTCGTGTTGTAGCACTCGGCTGAATACTCGCCAATCACGGGCTGCAGCTTGAGACCTGGCTGGTCGTACTTGTTGTGAGCCGACGTCCTGGCCTCGGTCCGGTGTGTGAAAGACCTCTTGACGGCAATGGACCCCGTCGGCATGGGCATGTTGTTGCCATATCCCGATGGGGTGGGTAGTGAAGGGCGGCCGCCGAGCCCGAGTTTAAACGCGATGAGTTTTACCAGGGGCTGCAGCGTGGCGAGGCCGCCTGCTGTGATGGCTAGACACTGCTCAGTTGTGGACCAGATGGCGACGTCGATCGTGTCGTATAAGAAGTCGTCGCTGGCAATGAGATGTACATAAGGAAGGCGGATGACCACGGCGGCACTGGCACTGTAATCGCAATCTGTAAGTAAACAAACAGCCTTGAGCGTGGCCGGGGGAGTCAGCCACCAGGGGGTGAGCCGCCACTTACACACAACCGAGGCCCATTAGAAGGCATAGAGCCCATTTGGTCTGGCGTTTCATGTTGAGGTGGGACAGAATCCAGGCGGGCATCAGGGCAAATGTGAAGTCAGTGATGATGTTGATGACACTGAACAGCATGACCAGGGCGATGACGACGCGGTCCGGGATGCAGGTGCCCGTCTGGCTGTACTTGTCCCAGTAGTAGCTGACCGGCCAGCATTGAAAGATGCTGGCAAAAAAGAAGACCAAACAGCTGGCGACGGTCAAGATTGCAGCGGTGTTGAGAATCCACTTGTGTACGCGTTCGACGATGACACGGCGGAAAAAGAAGGCGATGGATATTTTGGTCAATGCCATGGTGACAGCGTAGCTCGGATAGCAGCAGTACCACCACTAGGAGACAAACTGCATGTTAGCACAGCGCGATTGGCCGGTTGGTAGATGGTCTTGCTTTACCTTTCTAGCTTCTGCATAGGATTCTTTGCTCAGATCGCCCACATGGTAGCCTGTCCCGTGGGCGAGGCCAGTGAGGGAGACGGAGCAATAGAAAGCAAAGCAAATCTTCCACGGAGCGAATGGGTTAGCAGCCCGCCCTATGTGGGATCTGAGTTCCTCTTGAGAGACATACTGCGGCGGCGACCATCAACCAGTCGTCAGCCCCAAAGGCTTTGAGCAGCCAGATGCGGACATAACATCGAAGGGCGGTTACTGTCAAGGCGAGGACCAAGGCTGCGATGTTGACAGCGGTAAGTGGCAAGGCCCGGTTCTCTGGAGAGGACGCCATGTTGAATCCGTCCAGTATTGAGATTCGTGTGAGTCGAGGTTCAACTCTTGAGCCGGCTCAGAGGGTCGACTGGCCAGCCGGTTGAGTGCTTGCTGCTAGGGGGGTCGCCGAGCCGTCAAAACCGGCCCGAGAGAGAGTTGGGAACGGCGTCCTGGACCTCAGTTGGTCACGTCTTATGTATATCGACATGACCGGGCAGCCGGGCCTTTCTTTTTTATTTTTAAAGTATCTGGCCGCGGAAAAGCTGTGGAGTGTGGATTCCCCATCGATGTTGCAGACCAGATTACTCCCCCCCCTGAGAGTGGGGAGTAAACATGGTCCAGCCGAGGTGCCGGGCCCGCCTTTCATTCCACGGTCCATTGGCGAGCTGTGTTCCCTTCAGACTTTACAGGAGATCGCCTTTGGCCCGGAGAAAGGCCGTACCTGGCTAGAGCTATGGGAGGTGGTCTCGAGATGGTCTAGTCCGGGTTCCAAGAGGGCGGACCCCTCCCAACCCCCATTTTAAAACGTGGTACGCGAGACTTGGTATCGCCACCCCGTTTGATGAAGAGAGACCCTTTCGTGCGCGGTACTTCCCCAACGGATATTGGTGATTAGATTGTGATCTTGACCAACCTAGGCACCTATCTCCCTGATACCTTCTTCCTACTTCCCTACCTAGGTAGGTAGAGAGACGACTGACCGCGAAGATTGGACTGATTTTCGATCTCTAGTTTGACAGCTTTTGGACATTTTCTTCCTCGGCACGTGCTCGGCTCCCAGGCTATTATTATTGTGGGCTTTCACGGGTGTCAAACCCAAACAAGATGAACCTGCCGATTGGCTCCAGTGGTTTTGGGTTGTCACTTCCCCGACTGCCGCGTTCAAGGATCAAAAAGGTTTGTTAGCGGCCGCACGAGCTCAGCGCACAACACAGGTTCGTGTCCATTCCGCGGTGGGGACTGTCGATCTGCAACAGCCCAGGCAAGTCTCACCGCGTGCTTGTGGGGCCCCTCGTTTCTTTTAACCTGATGGAGACATGGAGAAAGCTTTCTGGAATTGTCTTTTTTGCCCACGAAGTGGCCAGACACCTGTCGGGGATGATAAAAGCATTGTCTGAGATCGGTTCAGTTGCCGATGCTGAGCTCCGGGGGTCCACGAGGGAGAGCACAAGGCGAGTTTCGGATCGGGGGCTGCAGCTTCCAGGTTTGCGCGTGTCACACACACAAGGAGGTCGGAAACAATTACCAGATTCGGCATCGGCAAGATCCGTGAGTGTCTGCTTACCCGAGTGCGTGCCCGAGTCATGCCGAGTCCCACTTCGAACGCAACAACGGGATTCACAGGGCTTGAAGTCTGGGGAACCGGGAACTTGAATCAAGACACAAATGCCCGAATCTGCTTGCAGCGGAAATCAATGTGCAGCTGTGCAGCTGCTGGTCTGGCCCGAGTCTGGGACCGTCATGTGTTTGGGGTCTTGGCACAATGTGCTTGGCATTTGAGCATACCAAAGAATGCCTACCCTAACCCTGAACATGGTGCCATCATGATATGATGATGAAACCGCGCGATTGTGTTACATGATGTGTCGCATCATCGGTCCAAGCTTCCTTCACTCAACACCTGAGCATCTCCGATCTCAAGCAACGAATATCGCAGACAATATGGCATCCAAAGATGCCCCCAAAACGATGAAAGCATGGCAGTACTCGAGCACCACGGGCGGCATCGAAAAGAATCTCGTCCTCAACGACTCGGTCCCGATCCCGACCGTATCCTCGCGTCGTGGGGATGCCGAGTTGCTCATCCAAGTTGTGTCGGCCAGCATCAATCCGGCTGACTACAAGGCGCCAGAACTGGGCTTGGTCGCTCGCGCTGTCATCCGTACCCCAGCAACCCCGGGAATGGACTTTTGCGGTCGTGTGGTACAGACTACTGAAACCGTTGACGACTTTGCCGTTGGAGACCTGGTGTTTGGACGTATCGACGTGCAGCAGTATGGCACCACGGCTGAATACGTCGTGGCACCTACCAAGACGTGCACTCCCGTGCCGGAGGGCGTGAGTCCAGACGACGCCGCCGCGGTGGGAGTTGCAGGCATTACCGCATACCGTATGTTTTCCACCTGGATACTTATGATACCTATGCTATTATGACACGGAGAAGCGGACGAGTACCATGCACTGACGCCAAAGCAGAGACCATTGCACCCAATGTCAAGTCTGGCGACAAGGTCCTCATCAATGGCGGCTCAGGCGGCACCGGCACGTTCGGCATCCAGGTCGCGAAAGCTCTCGGTTGCCATGTCACCGCAACCTGCTCCCCCGCCAAAGCTGACCTCTGTCGCTCGCTCGGAGCCGACGAGATCATCGACTACACCTCTACCGACGTCTCACAGGTTCTCAAGGCCAAGGGCCAGGTATTTTCCCTGGTTGTCGACAATGCTGGACTGCCCGCGAATCTCTACAAAGCCGCCGACGACTTCCTCTTGCCAACCGGCAAGTTTGTCCAAGTCGGCGGGCCACTTAACTTTAATGCCATCAAAACGGTTGCCACGAGGCTCCTTGTGCCATCGTTCTTGGGCGGAGGGAAGCGCAAGTACGTGATGTACAACATCGGCCATAGTCGGGACGATCTGAAGCAGCTGGGGCAGTGGATAGCGGAGAAGAAGATCAAGGTCGTTGTTGAGGAGACATATGAGTTGGGTGATCTGCCCAAAGCGTTTGAGAAACTGAAGACGGGCAGGAACGCAGGGAAGCTGGTGATTCATGTGGGGAAGTGAGGGATTTGAAACTCAACCAGGCGTAGAATTGAGGAGCAATGTGTCTTTTAGTAGTCTGTCAACAGTGTAACCAAGACGTCGAGAGTTGATAGTTAATAGAGCAAAGCGTTATTACAGTCACGCTAACCGAGATGTTGGTATGCCGTCCTTCCCACCCATCTACGCCTAGATTGGCTGCCCAGTGCCGCTCCACAACCCGGATGACTCTATGGACTATTTCCAGATCCTCGTCGACTTGTCGGGATATCCATCACGTGGGAGACGATGATTGATGTCCCCCTAAGCCTTCCAGATGTCAGGATCGCAGTCGGGGACGTACTCGGCCTCTGGCAGCGGAACCCACATGATTAGCGGCCGCTAGTATGCTTTTAGCGGGGGCGGTGACTTACTGCAGTTGGCTTCGCAAGCTTTATAGCAGACGTCATCGCGCGGGCAAACCTTGTACAGGCAGTCCGAGTCGCAAACCTAGTAAGAGTTGGGAACCGCTGCGCACGGCGGCTGGGCTTGGCCGAGGACCGGAACAGCGGCACTGGCTGCCAGGAAGAGAACGAGTAGATGCGATTGGAACTGCATTTTCGGTATAGATGGTGCGGCGAGTGCAAGCGACGGCAAGTGAAGGCAAGGGTGAGAGGTGTGGTTGGTGGTCGATCGGGCACTGAACAGGGAAACAGAAGCTTGATTTGGCCTTGAGCCTTGCAAGACGGTTGTAGCATGCTAGGCAAAGAGAGGATTCGCCCTGTCCTTTGAATGCCTGATTCGTCAAATCCGCGGGGTTTGTGGCACCGCACATAAGGACCACCAGCAACACAGGCAAAAAAGGGGTTGTCATGAGTTTCTCTTATCGTTCAGACAAAACAAACGCGCTCCTTACACCGCAAGAGACCTAGATTTTAAGGCAACTCAAGAGATCATATTACTCTGATTCTATTCTTCCTCCGCCGATTTGCTGGAAGACTCGACGTCGAAACAACCTTCTTTATCTTACTTCGATGGATCCGGCGAAGGAAGCGACAAACCCCGGGTCTCTCTTGTTGGAGGGTATCTTTCAGGCGTACCTACAACTTATCCAGGACACGTTCATAAACTCTCTATAGCACAATCCCACCGTAGTGCCCTTCATTGACACCATACGCGCGAACGTATCTAGGAAATAAACATTTATATGGTGAAGCATTTGCTACTCACTAGCATCCAAATTATCTATACATACGAGAAACGCTGGCTTCCTTCCATGACCTCTTCATCCTCCATTCTTTCTCCTCCACTTCCTGTCCTCTACCTTTTCCACGCCTTCTCGCAAAATTAGCTAAAACTTTGGGAAACTCAATTTCTTTTAGATTAAACACCAACGTCGCAAAGTATTTGCTACCCATTAGTATCCGAACTATCTATACGCACGAGAAACGCTAGCTCCCTTCTGTGGCCTCTCTCTTCCTCCTCTTTCTCCTCCTCCTCCTCTTCCTCTTTTCGCAAGGTCGCCTCAAACTTCGCAACCGACCTGCAAAACCACACACTATCGACAAAACCACCAACCCACGGCGCATGAAACCGCTCATATTAGAATTGCAACCAACCATCAATTACCCCAAATGGACCAACGGCTCGCGGCTCTGACCGCTTTAAAGCGGGAAGAATGTGAGGATGGCGTCGCTCACCACCTTACGGAGCGGGCCGTTGGTTCAATACCAGAAACCTTCTCGCCGTGGGCACGGCAACAGGTTGAAGCGTGCATCCGACAGCACGACATCAGAGTATGTGTGCGATCTATTCTTTGCTCTACCGGGTACTAACCGTTAAGAACAATTGCGCCAGTCAGAGAACCTACCGCCTTGGGTTCGACAGACGGATCAATCAGGGGCTGCGCCCCAATTATTTATCCATACACACGCTTCGATGCATTTATTTTAAGCACCAGCCTGTGATTGTTCGCCGCCTAAGTACGGCAGGGCTGGAGTGGATGCTGAGGACGGATGTTCTCTGGGACGGTATGAATTAACACATTCCGTATACAACGTTGTAGGGGATAAAACATCTAACTTTATACTGAGAAACCGGCAGCCGAAGCCCAACACTGCTGAGCAGGTGATCTGCGACCATGCATGGTCCACGATCGTGTCGATACCCGATAATGTTAAAAACGTTATGTTCGACCTTCTCTTACCTACTAAAGACGATTTCGATGCCGTCTTTTCAAGCACTTTACCGACCATCGGACCGGGATTCCTCGCTATTTTCGAGTCAGAACCCCCCCCCCCCCCCAACTATCGAGCATCTCAAAGCCTCACAACATTCGAGGCGATAAAGGATACCTAGGGTGTATATCTTATTGTCCTTGAGGAAGAAGGCTTCCAGCCCCAGCCTTATTTTGGCTCCGGGGCTAATACAGCGTAAGTGCTTAATGTACGAATAAACGAACACTATAAGGACCACTCCAGGATACTCCCTTTATACGTTAAGAAGTCGCTCGCAGAGGGGTTTGAGGTTACTTACACAGGGGCTATACTTGTAATCCCACTCCTATCTACTAGTGACGCACCTTAGTTTCGTACCGTTGTCCGTCCCGTCGAAGCATCATTCACGTATATGTTTTAGGCAGTATAGTCCGTTGAGGAGGTTGCGGAGCCGGAATACGAAAAGGGTATCCTCCACCCAGTTAGAATCCCAGTTCGGGAAAAGCCAGTATACCAGCGCAATGCAAAAGAAAATGGCCAGGACTATCCAGGCCATCCTCTATAATCTCGACCGAACGGGTGGGAGAAGGGGGGGCTGACGAACTTGTAAAGCATCGCGCTGGCTCGTGCCTTGGATGATGATTTGGCCCCCCGTAGCGTTATTGATGGTAATAGCAGGCTGCGCTGTACCCTCTAAGGGTTGCTTCTCCTGGGGGTGCCGAGCCTGCTGCTCCTGGGGAGGGGGCGGCTGCTGTTCCTGAGGGTGGCAAACCTGCTGCTCCTGGGGGGCGCGCGGCTGCTGTTCCTGAGGGTGGCAAGCCTGCTGCCCCTGCCCAACTCCAACCTCTGCTTCGCCGGCCTGGGCTTGTCTTTGGGCCCGTTGAGGAGGCCGCAACGGGCCGGTGTACCGAATGGTACCGTCTGCGAGCTTCTCAATGCGGTCATCGCAGGCCTGCATTTCCTGCCATGTTGTAGTGTATTGGCCGATAACAATCGACGGCTGCGACACCGTGATTGTATAGTCCTCGTGGACCGTATATATCGGACGCTCCCGTCGAAACTTGTCGGCATTGTGCCGACGGAAACGCTCCGGCATGTCCGGTGCCGTGAGTGCAAGCCAGGGGCCATCGGGATCGGTGGGGTTTTTGATGCGGACGGACCCTGAGCTGGCACCTCAGAGACAAAAAAGCCGAACTCCAAGCGCAGATGTCGAGAATGGAAATTTCTAGTCCTCGACTGTCAGAACAAAACGAAAGCCGCGCTAAATCCCAAAGAAACCAGAAATATTAACTCCATATGCTTTTCTTTTACTACTTTCTTGTTTTCCTTTTATGTTCGGCTTTCCTTTATTTAATTACTTTTCTCGATTACTTTTTATTTGTTCTTTTTGCTTGAATCCTTGTTTCCCTTTCGTGTTCGGCTTTCTTTGGCCAGAGGGTGGCTGTTACTTTTTTCTTGCAATTATCTAGCTCTTGGTTTAGAGACCGGGTCGACTTTGCAGGTATGGAAATATAGTGGAGAGGTAGAAGAGGAAGAGGACTAATCTAAAGTGGATAAGGTTGGAAGATTAGTTATAAAGTTGCATTCGAGGTTGTGAAAAGGTGTTGGAAAGGTTGAGGAGAGGAGGAGAGGAGGAGAGGAAACATTTCTCATTTATACAAATAGTTTAGATGGGCAGGAATCATGATATACAATGCCTACCCTACACAGTAGGTACCTAGGTAAAGGCGCCCCTCCGAGTCAGAGAAAAGCAGCGCAAGCGGTCGTCGAATTGAAGTACTCGTCATGTGTTTGAAACGACTGATCTCTCCCCAAATGGAGCCGTTGGATCCTTGAACTGCAAACGGAGTGGGTGACTTGGGGCTCAAATGGGACGAAACAGCCGACTGAGAGACTGACAGCCTTGGGCATTGATTGCGGCACGGTCCAGCTTCCAGTGAAGAGAACAGCGCCTGTGAAGGCAAACGGATTCGACACCGTCCGGCGTCGAGAGAAATACAAGTGCAATATCTCGGCCGAGTGAGGCTGAGACGTACTGCGTGCGGTACATGTACTGGCCAAGGAGAGGTAAGCACGTGAGACATTAAAATGTAGAGACATATCATAGTGTACCTATAGAACAACAAATTGCCCATGCCCCACACTATGAACATTATGAATGTGACGCTTGAGACAATATACCTCCTGAGTATGAAACAAACACACAGTTCTCGCAGGAATCAACAATGCTACGACCATATAACCGGGGGTAGTGGCTGTGGACGATATCGAGCACTCAATCTCAACTCCTCCCTACCAACACATCCTGACGATCAGAAATTACGAGGCTAATATAATGGACGCCATTCACAATACCCCCGAGACCACCCATACAAGTCTCTGGGCGGATGTCCGAAATTACATCGAGCGCAAAGGCCGCCTTGCATGGGACCGAGCTCCCCCGATTGCCATTTGCAGCATCTGCCAGGTCACCGAGCTGGATATCTTGGGCCTGCCGCCCTCTGAGGAAGCCGTGGCCAGCATCGAGCCCGCCATGATCACCATCTGCGGCCACATGGCCTGCTATATCTGTCTCGAGACTTGGTACCAAAGTTGCTACGATGAAGGACGACAGGTCACATGCCCAATTTGCCGACATGTGTTAGAATTCAATCCTATCAAGTGCGGACACACCATTCTCGGGTTTCTCATCCCGACAAATGAAGAAATTCTCAGCTATCCCAACTCTACTTCCTACCTTAAGGATGTTCCTCGTACGCTACCCGAAGGAGGGACCCAACCTGACGCGTGCCATGGCTGTCGGCGCCTACACATCGGAAGTCGGGCGCTGGTGTCAGCTCGCCGGTTCAGGAACCTGTTCGCTGAGAGGTTCGCTGAGGAGACCGCTAAGATAATGGGGGTGGACTTCACGATTGGGTTGCTCATAGCTGTAAACAAGAGTACCGTCGAGGACGCGCGGGTGAGAGAGAATTACGAGCATCCGAGCTGGGGAGCGCAGTGGGATAGCGAGGAGGCCGTTCTGCCCAGTGACGTGGAGTAACAGCATCATCATCCATCGAACACCCATTTATTTGGAGTCATTTCTTTCATTTTACCAATTGCGGCGATGAGTTGATTGTGCTTTGCGTTTGAGGCGCGCATTAGATATTATAATTACCGATATTACTAGTACAACGAGACGTGAAGCTGCTGTAAGCAAAGAGAAATGTAAGGTGATGGACATATCGTGACGTTGAATCCGCAATGCTGGGCCACCGTTGTAAACTCATTGGCAACGTATATGGGAAAATCGGACATTGGGGCGCGTTGACTGTAATTATATGCCGCCCAAGAGGAATAAGGGGTTTACTACCCACGGAGAGTCCAAGGGGCGCAGCCCAACGACGTGTGGGGTTGGCAGATCGAGGGGCTGACAGGGCGCCCGTCGGTCGAACATCATGGAGATTGACGAATATATGTACACAGTAGAGGAGTGCCAGCAAACAGTGAGCCTGCAAGGCAGATTGGCGGGACACTTGGCCGGGTTCATGGACTAGGAGATACCTGTTGGCCGTTATCGCCACTCCCGTGACCTCGAAGGTATGCACCAGCCCGGTTCCATGCACGCCCTGCGGCGAAGGACCCAAACTGTCGGGTCCACATCGTTCTAAAGTCGATCTCCTTTGGTCTCTTACTGTGTAGTTGTGGCGCTCACGATGCCTTATTTGTTGTCACTTGGAAAAATGCCTGCCCAGTTTAGGGTTGAGATACCTTAGTTGGGCCGGCTGGAATACAGGGGGCAACCATTGACCCAACTGACCAGTTATTGAACTTGAACAGCTGATAAACGGGACAAAGCTTCATTCTCGGTGATCCAGGGAATCCCGGCGTGCTTGCAGGCGCAGCGAGTGCCACTTGTCCCATAATATTAGCCTCTCTCATTGTCTCGATGCCTCCACAGCACCTCCACAGCTCCTTTCACCTCCCCTGACCCAGGCTAACCGACACGGTCCCATCTACAATAACTCGAAGACTAGGTCAAAGAAACCACTGGAATTTCCCTTTGTGAAGCTATTTTGATCCCGTCCGATATTATGGGCCACTAACACATTCCCATCCGATCTATCTTGTCAGTAAACGTCTCAAAGAGCAGGAACAATGAAACCTACTCGGAAAACCAGCACTCGGCCAGGAACCCGCCAACTCATCGATTTCATATACAACGAACAGAGCCAACGTTCAAAAGTTACTAGCCCAACTGCTTCACCAACCCAGTGCATTCATACCACCACCTGATCTCAACCGACATCTCAAACCAACATGTCATCCACCCCCCTCCCAGCGGTGCCACACCCGCCCGTCTTCCACACGGCATTCCTCGACGACCGCCGCCGGCCCGAACCGACCCTCTCCAAGGCGCAAACCGAAGACGCGCCCAAGAAGACCCGCCCCTTAGCCGCCTCCCCGATGCCGGCCGAGTTCTACTCGCAGTACCAGTGCCCCGTCTGCCACAAAGCCATCGCCGAGAAGCACGGCGCCGACTTCATCGGCCACACCCCCTGCCTTCACCGGGGGCCCTGCCCCCGATCTAGCTGCATCCGCGCCTACTACGGCACCGGCGGCAAGTGGGCTACGCCCTACGAGGGGACCAAACCGCTGTTTTGTCAGGCGGCTGGTTGTGGGCGGCGGATCGATGGCTGGTGCTTTGCGAAGGCTGTCATGACGCCGTCGGGGGGTGCCGTGCTGCCTATGTCGGTGGTGGATCCGGCGCTGCAGAAGGCGTTTGAGAAGGCCAAGGCGAAGAGGGATAAGGAGGAGAAGAGGGAGAAGAGGGAGAATGAGAAGACTGAGAAGAGGAAGAGGGCCGAGGGCGAGGGCTGTTGTGGATTGCCGGACGTGTCTCCGAGCAGGGTGCTGGATTGTTGCTTGTATGCGGTTATCGGTTGCGGCGCGCTCGTTTGTTCCCCGTTGCTCTGTTTTTGCGGGCTTCTTGATTATTAGGCGGTGGAGTTACGGGCATAAGCGTTGTGTTGGCGACAAGGATATATAATTAGGTGCTCAGTGTAGTTTTATAGTATTTGCGTTGGCTACGAAATGCTAGCTACGTCGGCACGAGGGGGTCTCAGGAAGACACCCTACGCTAACACTGGGTTGGTTTCCCAGCCCTCTACATTCTGGGACTTACAGACGCGTTTGAATCAACTTTCTGTATCCTCACAGTCCAAAGTACTTCATGTCGTCGCTGCCACGCATCGGTACCGAGTGTCCCACACCCTGCGCATAGACACCCACCAACTGCCCGTCGCCCCAGGTGTAAGTGGTGTACCGTGACTGGGGAGTGTTGGCCTGCGTGTTGTCGGGCTTGGTGTAGTCGTAGCCGAACACGCCGCACCACTGCTTGATGGTCTCGTTGTAGTTGTTGGCGTTGAGCGTGGTGTCGGCCGAGCCGTGGTAGATTTGCATTTTGGGACGCGCACCGTCATAACCGGGGTACATGTCGGTGACCATCTTCAAGATGCGTTAGTTTGATATCGGGTTAAGAGGAGCTGGGGATCTGGCGTCGCTCACCTTGGCCCACACCTCGGGGGTTCCACGGGCCTGACCGTTGGCGCACGAGCTGTTCCACGCGTTGGTGCCGCCAGCCTGGCTGTAGAAGCAGCCCGCCGCAACGCCAGAGTAGGCGATGCCCGCGGCAAACATCTCGGGGTAGGTCGCAGCCATGACGTTCTGGGTTCAAGGCCGTCAGTCAAGCGAATCACTCTGGGACTCAGAGCTAGTATTTACCGTCATCATGGCGCCTGACGAGGAGCCCGTGACGAACACCTTGCTGGCATCGCCACCGTACTTTTCGAGCGTGTAGCTGACCATGTTGGCGATCGAGTTGCTGTTACCGCCCCCGTCGTGGCTGAGCGACGCCCGGGATGACACATCCCAGCAGGTGCCACTGTATGGGGACTCGGGGTAGATGACGATAAAGCCCTTCTGGTCGGCAAGCTGGGCGTAAGGAGAGCCGCCATAATAAGCCTGGGCCGTGCCGGTGCAGTAGTGGATAGCCACAATGATAGGAGGGCTCTCCGCTAGCTGGCTGGGCACGTAGATGTACATCTTGGCACCCGATGGGTTGGAACCGAAGTCATTGACCCGGCTGAGGGCAGCCTGGGCGCGCTTCAATGGGGCATTCGGCTCCATTAGCTCGTCAAAGACCGGGTGGGCTATGACGCTGCCCATGAGGGCGAGCGCAGCCGAAAGCTGGCCGAGAAGCTTCATCGTGGAGTGTTTGTTGCGAGATAAATGCCTGTTAGTCCGCTTGGCCTTGGAAGGGTGATCGTCTCGAAGCTCTAATGGAGGCTTGAGGGTCGGGAATAACAATATATACGTCGCCAGGCGAGGTCGGGTGGGTCATATCAGGACCCCGGACTGACCCCGCGACGATCATATCGATATATACTTCCCTTCACCCGCTACCACGCTGTCGGTGGCGGCTATCTGACCTGCTGGGCGTCTTCATAGTCAAGGGAGGTTGCAGGAATCCAATCGGGAGAGCCAGGGATCTAACCAGGTTATTACCCGGACGGAGCCCCTGAGCCCTGTACCCCGGAAGTTGGCTCCAGCGAATGGGGACGGCAGAGGAGGAGGGACTCGGCACTCTGGTGTTCATTAACCTTCGTAGTTGGGGCGCTTCGTTGTCTCCCTGCTGCTTCTTCTTCCAGCTGGTGGGGTTTCGAGGTCGTCGGGTCTGTGTAGAAGGCCAACCGTTGCGCACAAGTAGCCTAATCCCGCCCGGTTTGAACGCCAACAACGGAGCCGCTTCCCGAGCGATCGGCCGGTGGGGATATGTGGACGGAGCTTGAACGCGGTATTGGCATTGGGGCGCATAGCCCTGCGGTAGGGGGGGCCGGGATCAAGGTAGCGTTTGTGAAGATCCCGCAACCAAGCATTCCCCGCTTAGATCCTAATATGGCTGAATCGACAAGGAGGTCCTCACTCCGCGGCTCGGAGATTTATTTGCATCTGCGTCATACCCGTTTGGATGTCGGGCATTGCGGATTGCACAAATCGCAAGCCTTGCTTGAGGTCGCCTTGAGCCAGTAGCGGATTCGAAAACCTCGTGTCTGCTCCTCCATTTCGTACAGTAGCTTCAATACAATGCCGGCGGCAATAGCCGAAGAAGAAGAGAGCGTAAATAATGCTACCCCTGCCAAGAGTGAAACACAAACACACCACCTCCCGCACCCCCTATCCCTGGTCACCACCGACGATTTCCGGCTCCCCAACCATAACAATAGGCACTGATTCTGACACCGACACCTCCTCAGGGGAGTCCAGTCGCCATTCCCACCTGGCCTTCTCAACCACGTCACCTCCCTTCCGCAACCTTGCCCGCCAGCCCTCGACCCACATCCACGCCAACCTCGCCTCGCCAACAGCCTCGGTATACCTCGGCCGTTGCCTCACACCCGTATCACTTCCCCTCCACCTCGAGCTAATGTCGGGTCCAGCTCTCAACCTCCTCGCGCCCTCCATCATATCACCCTTCCCCCTTTCTACCGCCTCCTCCTCCTCCTCCTCCAAACCAGTCTCATCCACAGAAACCTGGGCCGTGATCGAGTGAACACCGAGCCGATCAAAGTTATTCTCCAGCACCGTAACCCCGAGCCCGTAATTTCCACCGGTAACCCTAGCAGTAGTAGTAGCAGCAACACCGGTCGACACCAGCCCGGCTTGCCTCTCCTGGGTCGGGGTCGGCGTCAAGCCAAGAGCAATAACAACCTCCTCCCCCTCCTCCTCATCCCCTTCCTCCTCCTCTTCCTCTTCCTCACTATTCCCGATTTCACCCCCTTTCCCCATCCCACCCTCTTCCCCTCCCACATACCCCCGCGCCCTCACCCCTTCCACAAACCCGCCGCGCCGCACCCCTCCCCAACCGACCCCCGCCACGCCCGAGCGTGGTCAATTCCGCCCCGGGTCCGGCAGCCGAGCAGTAGGGCGCGTCGGGCTAGGGAGCGGCGAGAAGCGTGTACGTGTCGTTGAAAAGGGGGCGCCGGCGCCGGCGCCTTGGTGGTGCTGCTGCTGGTGGGCGAACCACGTCTCGCTGGCGGGGCGGCCGCGCGTTACGGGGGTGTAGGGGCTGGTGGTGGGGTTGGGGTTGGTGTTGGGGCCGGGGTAGGAGTCGTGCTGTTGGTGGTGGGGGCTGTGGTGGTGGCGGTGGGTTGGGCTGGTTGGGTTTGGGTTCGGGTTGTTGGGGTGGGTGCCGGAACGCCCTGGTTCGAAGATGCTGCGCATGCGTTTGAAGAGGCTGCCGCTGGTTGTGTTGGTGGTGGCGCCGCCTTCGCTGGTGGTGCTGTGGCGGTTGGTGGTGGGCGGGTATTGGTTGAAGCTGAGGTCGGGGGACTCGCGGCCTTGCCATGGGGTTGTGAGGCTCAGGGGGGTTTTGCTTTCTGTTTCGTCGTCGAAGGCGTCGTGGGTAGGGGGTCGCGGGTTGTCGCGAAGCTGGTTGTGCAAGTTAGGTGCCTCGGTTGCTGGATTGCTGCTCGTCACAGGTTCGTGCTTGTGAGTGGCAACCCTCTGGGGCGGCGACGCCGGCGGCGAAGAGAATGGGGTATGGGTACGGACAGACTGTGGAGTCCAACCATCATCCGCGCGCCATGGCGTATTTGTGACATTGAGAGCTGCTGATGGTTCGGGCGTCGCGTCCTCTGATGAAGGTAGGGACTCGTGCGTAGTAGGGGTGTGTGGCCGCTCGGTATTATGTAGACTGGCAGAGAGACCACTCCCGGTTGAGACGGGCAATTCATGTGGTAGATCGCCTTGGGCGGTGTTACTGGTGGCTTCGTCCTTGACCACACCACGGGCACTTGGTGGCGGTGTCTCCGGTGGTGATCCTGACTCCTCTTCCTCAAAGTAATCGTCGACCTCCTCCATCCAGCTTGTTCGGGCGGGATTCCTAGGGGAAGTTGGACTCTTGACAGTGACTTCGGGTATCCTTTGCGGCTCAATTTCGCGGTTGGTATCCGTCTCCTCGGCTTGCCCCGATTGTTCCAGTAACGCCGGAGACCCTGGTTGACTGGTGGCGACGCTCTCGACCTCGTCGTCCTCTGGCAGGCCATGATCTTCACTCTGGTCAGTGTCATCGAATAAGTGGTCCTCGCCGTGGACGGTGGTACTATGCTGATGCGCTGATTCGTACTGCCGAGGGTCTTCCTCGTAATACTGTCTCCCAATGTAATCGTCGGTATCAACATTATGCGGTGTGTTCTCTTCTTGGTAAAACGCTCTCAACGAGTTTTGGGACGGCAGTGGCGTAACGAATCGTTGGGATTCCGTGTCCGTATCGTCGTCTTCATGCCCACGATGACCGGGGGATTGGTGTGGCTCATCCTCTCCTGACTCGGCATCCCGTTCGCCGGGGTCTATTTGGGGCTTGATGTCGTGCAGTTCTGGTGAAGAGCGCCTGTACCCTCTGTACATATAGTCAACGGGTGACTCTCCTCCTGTGCCCGTGGTTTCTTCATGCATCTCGGCCTCCTCGTGGTCATGGTCATAATCGTGATCATCGGGCTCCGGTGAAGGCACGTGGTCGATAGGAGCTGATGTACCACCTCCGGAAGGATCGGGAATTTCAGGCCCGGTCTCAACGACGCCGGTTTGCTGAAGACCTAGAGCGTCATAGCCACCAATTTCGGGCTCTACCGCTTCGTAGTGCTCCCTGGCCGGTTCGCTCTCGGGGCTAGCGGTGTCTACCACCGTTTCTTGCTCAAAGACGACAGATTTCTCTGCTCCTGGCTCTGACGTATGGGCCTTCTCCTGCTCGCTGGTTCCTTCGTTCTCGTCCATATCCTGAATCATCATATTTAGAGGTTCTAGCGTCATTTCGGTCGTTGACAATGGGTGAAGACGAGGGAGACTTTCCTCAAAGTCTGCATCGGTTGCTGTATCCCCTTGCCCCTGGCCCTCGGCTGTGTGGACAAATGCCCCGGGCTCCGTCCGCACGTCTTGTGGTATGGTTGAGTGGACACGTTCCAAGTGGTGAACCTCGTCTTCTTCGATGTAGCTTTCTCCCCGATGGCCGAAGTTGGGGTTCGACGCGTCGGCATTCTCAGACAGGTACCCGCTTGTGTCGGCGTGGGCTGAGAAGGGTGGATTCCCTGATGCTTCCGAAACGTGCAGGTATGCATCCTCATCTGGCTCTTTCTCTCGCGGTGAAGATGCGGGGGACACTTCCTCGACATCGGAAAGATCATGGTAATAAAAATGGGCTAATTCAGCTTCAGTGGACAGCATGGAAAGCTCTGGATGGTGTCCTGGGAATTGATGCTTGGGTTCCGGCAGGACCTCAGCGGCAGCGAAACTGGTTTGGCTAGTGGCATCCGGTTCGCTGAGATGAGCTGCCGGGGGGTTATCGTGGTTGGCTTGGTACTCTTCTTCATTCAGTAGTGCGGTATCCTCGTCCAATGGTTCGGCGCTTTCTATCCCCGTTGAAGGTAGAGCCTCTGTGCTGCTCCGATTGCTGGAAACCTGCTCTTGTGGTGCTTCGTCCTCTTCCATACTAGAGATATCAACTCCATGGTTCATGGTGCTAGGAATGGCACCAACCTCGTGTGATTCTGCGGTAACGTCATTGCTTGGGCTATTCTGGCTCCTGGGGCATTCAGGGTGTTCGCCAGGGTCGTCCGCCAATCTCTCTTGGGTGGACTGACTTGGAGGACTGAACTTTGCCTCGGCCGCTACGGTAGTGGCCGTGACGAGGGGAGAGCTAGGGAGCGGTTCATGGGCCCCAGATGCTTCGTTATTCCCCGCACTGACAGTCTCGGACGCCGCCGTGGGCTCCTGGGACGCTTCTTGGTGATGATGGGCAGTATTTGTTGCCGCATCCTCTTGGGTAAGGGGCCAGTCGGCTGGTCCGGGAGGCTCAGTTTGACTCTTTGTTTCTTCTTGGAGTGGTGCGTAATTGACGTGTTCCGTTGAATCTTCATCGCCATTGTCCATGTTGCCTGGCAGCAATAGACTGGACTTACTCACGTTGTTTATCGATGAGTCTGCATTCGGTACCTCCTGCGGCACTTCATCCGCTTTGTATGTTTCTTGCTGATCCGGCCCAGGGTGGGCAGGGGCGCCCACAGTCCTTGAAGTTTCGGGCACTTTTCGGTCGGTCAGGGAAGAAGGGGAAGTGCTAGCCCTCGTGGGCCTCCTCCTGATTGGGACAACAGGGAGCGTGGGGAGAGTCATCTCGAGTTGATCCTCGATGAGACGGTTGAGTTCCTGTTGGGCTGCTGTTAGGATTAAGCTCGAAATTTGCTGATGAGAGAATGCCTACCCGTCGCCTCTCCTGTAATGCCTGTAGCTTTTCCCGTCCCTCTGTAGTGGCCATGTGAGCCTCTTCTTCCACCCGGCTCATCAGCTCGTCCGTCTCTTGCTCGACATCCTTGCTATCTTCCTTCAGCTTCCGGTCTCGGGCTTGGTCTTCCTCGCGGTCTTTCGCTGCAAGCTCGTTGTCCTCTTCACGGCGCCGCCGATCTCGCTCCTCATCCTCCTTTCTTCGTCGTTCCCCGATTTCTTCCCGTTCGGCTTTCCGCTTCTGGTCCAATGATTCCGCCTCGGCCGAGAATGCGGCGGTTAAGGCCCGGATAGCGTCATCGCGCCTTTTCTCAAGATCGTCTAGCTTCGCATCGTGAACTTTGGGGTCGAGAGATTGGAGGGTGCTGTGTATCGTCGCTAACGTGTCCTGCATCTGGGACACAAGCTCCGAGACGTCCATGATGGACTCCATATGGCAGGGCGGCCGCGCCGGACTTGTTCAGAGATGCCCAGCAAAGGTTAGTCGTAGAGGGTTGTGGGAGGAAGAAAGCAGGAAGCGAGGATGATTCTGGGTTCCGGCGGCACCTCGAACGAAACGGCCTTGAATGAGAGCCAACGGATGGAAGTCAACAAGAAAGCTTCTCCCGAGGCTGGGGGTCCGCGCTGACGCAACATACACAGTAAAACTGGGGATGACAGTTGCCTCTGAAGGCGACCTCGATGCTGGGAATGCCCTGCTGGAAGAGAAGCAGCTATTGTGGAGGGATGGGGGGTCAAGTTGCCACCACTAGTTCCAAGGTACCTGAACAGTCCGTGAAGCAGTTCGAGAAGCCGACTGGTATCCGTTCCAGAAGTCAGACGAGAGCCCAATAACTGATTAGTTTCAGCATTGAGTGCATGCTGGCCGCCGTGGTTCATGATATTTTCGAGGACGGATGCTCGGTCACGCAACAGTGCTACTGTTCAATCACCCTGTGGCAAAAACCTGACTCGGCCATTCAAGGTTCAATGGGCTTCGACGCGTTTCAGACGAAGGCAGTTAGTGGACTTTAAAAAGTACGCCCACGAAGAGTGAGGAGAAAACTGGGTTTGTTAGGAATTCGCAAGCAAGAAATGGAATGTGGTACCGGTGTAGCAGAACGGGACGAGGGTTCAATTGTAAAAGGTCCAATTCTTCTATATTAGCGGTGGGCCAAAGCCATTCCGCGCGTTTCTATATACGGTTGCCAGTACTATGTAAGGCGTAAAAGTGTTGCTGGCACGGACACCTTGCGTTGTGAAGTCGAGCCCCGTAAACGTTGCTCATGGAGAAAAGAGGATGCATAAGCCTCCGACGGAGCATCGCATCTGGTATAGCGGTGATAAACAAGAACAGAAAAAGATCCAAACCACGGACAACTAGCACATGGATACATTTAAATCCTCGACATCCCGCTCTTGTTGGCCACGGCCATCCTCCTCCTGTGCGCTTCCCTGAAGTTGTACCGAGCGTACGTCCCCATCCCGTAGGCAGCGAGCCCCAGAACCAGCCAAACACTAGTGATGACGAGACCGATGGGGAAGATCATGAGTTGAATGCCAGGGAGCACGAAGGCGACTGTGCCATTTTTGAGGGCGGCTAGTTCGGCCTCGACTGCGAGCTCGGCCATGCGGTAGTTGCTTATCATGTCGTCCTTGGAGAACTCTCCGGCTACGAACGCGGCTTCGTTGGACGACACGACGGTGGTGACGGACTGGCCGTTACCGTTGGTAGCTTTAAGCGTGACGATGGGCATGACGAGTGCTTGAACTTGTCCCCTGGAGTTAGATGTTAGCAGGAGGGCACTTTACGGGTGTAGAGAAGGGATGGCTTACATGTCTGACATGACTTCACCTGTCATCCGGTCCTTGTCGACTTGTCCGATGAACAAGTACGACTGCAGCAGCGGGGCTTCCTCGGTATTGTCTTCGGTATTTTCCTGCCTGACTTTGACACGCCTCACCGGCTGCTGGGTGACTTCCGAGACCGAGGCGCCATTGTAGCTGAGCTCGACCTCAATCTGGGCTTGCGGTATCCCTTCGAATTCGCCTCTCGGTTCGCTCAGCTGGAATAACCTCAGATCGGCTTCGAAGGCCCCCGTCGCGTTGTTGAGTAGCGGTAGGTTGTAGCAAACACAGGTGCCCGACGGATTGCTGGCTACCTCGACGCCCTTTAATGCGTCCCGGCATGCCGCGTTTGCCGCGGTGTTCCACGCGTCCAGGTCGAGGGACCCATCACCATTGAGTGGTACGAGTGGTTCGTCGCTGCCCAGTCCTTCGGATTGCCTCGTGTCCAAGTACCCCCTGGCCCTGAGGTTTGCCTTTGCCACCTCTTCCAACCTCCTCTCTACCCCCTCGCTGTTGCGTGAAAACCCTTCCGCGATGAGGCTCCCAATCCCCGCTTGCGCCCCTGTCGCCAGGAAAGAGGCGGCAAGCGTCCTTTGCCAAAGCATTTTGACGGTTGTGTGTGCGTGTATGTGTGTGGTTCCCCCTCTTGCTCCTCGATTAACTGCGCCGGTCTTGTCGCCTCGCACTGTTGTCCTCCGAATTAACTGTTATCCGGCGGCCCCTTCGGTCGAACTCGAGTCGAGGACGGTATTAAGATGGATAACGGCTTGCTGTCACCCGGTCCTGCCGCCGATACACGCACCCGACAAGTAGGTGGGCAGTGAGAGGGTTGAAGAGAGCGTGGCTGAAGAGAAGGTGGTTGAAGAGAAGCGGGGCCCGCCCGAAGAAGGGAAGGTGGTCGTCGTCTTGTTTCCTCCGGCCGACGGCAAGGCAAGAAAGCAGAAAAGAAAGGCCGTGAGGGCGGTCGAGGGGCGAAACCCGGGGATTAAACTGGTGGTGGAAAGCGAAACGGGAGGTCAGTGTGTAAGAGAACAGAATACGCAAGGGCGATCAGGGCGATCAAGACATGGAAAAATGGGCTGACTCGAGAGATGTGAGGCCAGGGATTAGAGAGGGAAAACGAAAAGAGAGCATGACGTTGTCTCAGGCGGGAGGGAGTGGAGGTGTCTTAGATGGACAGGCAAAGACTTGGCCGCGACCTCGAAAAGATGCACGCCATGTATCCTTGGCGGAGGACAGGGGATGGGAGCTTCCCGGATGGGTTCTTGGCCAATGAAATTAGGGAACGGGGCCAAGAATGGTCGCTTGGGATCGGAGTGACGGGCAGCGACTGGCTGGTACTGGCCCGCACAAGGAGGCCACTCTCCGGGGAGAAACGTTCTTGAGAAAGGGTCGCGACACGAGGAACACAAGAAGCACGTTGGGATTTTGATGCGTTTGGGAGCCAAAACCCCCGTGTTTGTGTGCGTGTCTCGTACGAGGTCCCCCTTGTTTTCGCCAGGGTTTGAGGTGGTCTTTGTGTGATCGCCTCTTCAAGGATGAACTTGCAGTGTCGGATCGCCATGATGGAACAGCCCGAGCCCGATTGGCCGGGGTCTGTGGCAGAAGCGGTCGGGCCTCGTCCCCGCGATTGGCTGAGAGCGGCCAGGGGAGGTCTGGGGATGGTAAGCGAGCAGACCACGCCGCAGCGCAGCCGTCAATGGCATGGGACGACAATTTAGAGACGGGCAGACAGGTACCAATGAAATAGATGACTGCAACTGGAGAAAGTCTTGCGTCGATTTGGTAATAATCCGGGCTAGGTTCCCAACTTCAAATCGACAAGAGCGCGTCCACAAGAGTCGGAAAGGAAAGGGAAGGAAAAGCACAAAATGTTCTTGTCAGGCTGTTCGTGAGTGAAACCATCCGGCTCTTGCCCCACAGAGCATGGAACCCCGCCAAGCCGTCCCAGAAGCGAGTTCAGATGTGGCTTACCAGCCACAATGCTACCCAAATTAGGTTTGGTGTTTAGCTTAACAAGCCACATTCCCCACGCCGAACCCCCCCATTCGTCTGCCGAAAGCCGGCTTCATTTTCGTTCCGGGCGCCAAAAAGTTCACCTTGGCCAATCGACGTGGATTGCACGACTCCAAGCTCTTCTTCCGCTTCCCAGATCCCGCAACCGAAGAATGGGCCGGGCGCTTAAGCAGCCATGGCAGCCATGGCAGCTCAACAGCTCAATAAAGTATGCACCTGCATGCAGACCGGCGCATCCGCGGATCGCGCATCGCACACGTGCGGCAGCTTCGGCTTTCCGATCCAAAGATGCGCGGCTTGCTCGGCATTTCCATTCTTTGCTTCGCTGGGTCTCCCACCTTTCCTTGGGCCTGGGTCGGCGGCCCGCTAAATGTCTGCGGCACAGTCTCACACGGCGGCTGCGGGCTTGGTCACCCTCACTTTGACCGCATCCCCGGATTTCGAGGTTTCTCCCCCAGGCCGCTGCTGGCCCGGAGCACAAAGCGTCTTGAGACGTTTCTTGGCTTCTCGCGTCCTTTTAACTCTTCGTGGTATAATCTGTAATACTGGCTGGTTGGAAATAAAACATGAAATGCTAATCTCTGTGGACGCGTAAGGTATGTATGTACATACATACACAGTAAGCTGCTTCCTGGACGCTAACGGCATCTTCCTCCATAACTCATGCTTCTTTTCCTCATGTCCTAGTTCCAACTCCGCTTGCGTATTTCTCGAGAACTTCCTTCCGCTCTAACCCTGCGGGCTTGGCCGCAGCCAAGTGCATGTGGTTGACCCCGGAGTCGCTCTCCATGAACGGATTGGGGTCCGAGGTCTGGTCGAGGTTGCCCAGAGTGTGGTTCACACCGCGATGAGATGCTTCATCGGCCTGGAATTGCATCAGCAAGTTGCCGCCAACAGCAGGGATAGCGTGCACTTGTCAAAAAGCTTACCCGGATGTACAGGATCAGATCCCTCATGGTCCGCCTCCCCTCGGGCATCTTCCAGTACTTGATAGCGATATCCGGGATCTTGAAATCCGGATCCGTCCACTGCGGCAGCCACCCCTTGTCCATCTCGGTGAGGCACTTCGTGTACGTCGCCACCGCTTCATCCTCGAGGTACCCTACGAGCCGGTGACAGAAGCTCGGCGAGATCAGGTACCCGATAAACATGGTGTTGTAGAAGATGCCCTGCGCCGCAAACACCATGAACCGCATCAATCTCCCCGGCCGGTACATGGCTATAAAGGTCATCAAGTGCATGCGCTCGTTGTACGACTCCTCCAGCAGCGTCTTAATCCAGCCCTGGTCGAGTTTGAAGCGGCGGATCGAGTGCAGGTGACGGAGGCCGCCCGCGACGGCGCCGGGGATACCGGCCACCGTTTCTAGGAAGACGAAGCGGACAAGCTGAGAGGGTTAACATTGGAATGGAAAACAAAATGAGTTAGTCAGATTGGCTCACCCATTGGGACTCCGTCATCGGCCTATAAGCGGTCGCGCTACGGTGCTTGGCGTCCGCCGTTGGCTCGGACGGCATCCCGGTGAGGAAATCCATTCCCCATCTAGAGGCTGGTTAGTGGCGTGCCGTGATACAGCGGCGAAGACTGAAAAGGGAACGAAGAGGCACTCACCTGCAAGCCCTGATCATTCGCCATGCGATTCGGTCACTCAGTGTTCGTGGCTTCCGATGGCTAGGAACTACCTCCAGCACCACCTTGTCGTCCCATCCTTTGTGTGGCCAAGTCAGTGGTGGTGAGCCAGATGCTGCGGCCTCTTTGGCCAGGAGGGTCTTCTCTCTTGGGGTTATTATGGCTGTGGTTGAGAGTCGAATCTGAACTTGCTGGGTTGCAGATATGACTCGGACCGGCCCCGGGGACGGACGCGATGGCGCATGGGGACTGGAGACTGGCGTGTATTGCTGGCTACGGGGAAGCTTGGATGCGACCCGGAGACGGTGGGTCATGGTGATCGAGTTGAGATTGGACTGGGTTGCTTGAGGGCTTGTGCAGGCTGACTGAGGTGATCTGTCAACGAGCTTAGGTAGGTGCCATATTGGGAACCCTCCTTTTATACTGCCATGATGCCATCGGAGTGTAATACGCGTGACCTTCATCCCGGCTATGCTTGTACAACGGCCGGGACCAAGGCAGAGAGAGAGCTAGTCATCCGGTTACGGAATCCTGGAACGAGTCACCCATATCCAACGGCCGAGCGGCACCCGACCTGACGGCTGAGAAACGAAGACGACGAAAACCACCCGGGTTGACTCCAGAGCTACAGTCGAAAACACCCGGAACTCATGACATGTGGGCGACGGTGGCTGGTGAGAACGTGATTAGCCTTTGCTTGCATTCGGCCTGAACATTGCTGAATGTTGATTTTGGCTTATAACGCCCCGTCAAGTGACAGATACCCAACATTACATCTGCATGGGCTTCAGATGCTGCGAATGCAGCATGGATTCCATACTGTTTAGGTTGAATGTCGAGAACAAAGTTCAAGGCATGTGTAGTTTCTGTTACGATGACTGGCTCTGCTTCGAATTAGGGGGTAGCTTTTGACATGTGAATCTTGGGGGTTCCGAACTCGGCTCCGGTTCGGATGACAAGGACACACCTTGGTGGGGGTCCTCGCACGACGACGGTCAATACATGGGTCCATGTGATTCTGAAGCACTTAGATGATGGATTGCAGCTGCAAAATGCGTCAGGATGTCGTAAGTGGGTTGATACCCCTCGACATTATCCTGCACAGTGATCATTGCTGACGGGACTCGGCAGTCTTACCTCGGTAATGCACACAACATCTGGCTCTCGTTTCCGTTATTCCTAAAATAGCATTAGATGCTTCACTGATTTGCCCCAATTGAGCCGATGTATTGTGGTCCTTATGGATTAAAGTTCCTACACACGGGCTTGCTTCAGTAGATATCTCTGTTTTGGTTTCTTGAACGTTATTCCCCTTATTCCTATCGCGCACGAATAACTTGGAACACACTGTGGACTGGCTGCATGAACAAATTATCCAAATCTCTAATGCCCCAAATAGTTACAAACCACCATCTAATACGCTATACCAGGTTGTTGCACTTGTTTCTCCTTGCCGTGGTAAGATTGTGAATGACCCCCATGCCCCTTGTTTTTGCGGCGGCGACTGCGTAGGAAAGCCGCAACGAAGGCCCCAACAACACTCAGCAATGTCAAAGCCAACGAATACAAGCCGATCAAGAATGCCAAAATCTCGGCAGTCTCGTGCAGTGGCGGGCGCGCAAAGTCCAGAGGAACAACAGTCAACTCGGAGCAGACAATGGTGATCACCAGCAGGACGGCCAAAAGGATGGCCCACGGGATGTTCCACAGACTGAATCGAGCTGGCGCCGTCGTCCTGCTCCGATACCGATGCTGAACCGACCTCGTCTCGCTGTGATGGAGACAAGCGAGGATCTCCTGTGTGTGCCGCCCCCGGGCTTTGTGAGAATATCCTCGCGAGGCACGCGGGTCGTGGACGTGGTCGTCGCCTGGGCCGGCCTCGACCGACCTCTTGTTGTTCCGCCGCCGCCAGGGTTGTAAGCCAACAATGGCGGGCCCGAAAACGCTGACGGTGAGGATAAAGATCCCCACGGCCGTGGTGAGAACTGCGACGATGCACACCCCAACCGTCCATACCCTGAGGAATGTGGTAAAGCCCGGGTCGACGAAGGGCCTTTTGGGGGCGAGGACGAAGTAGACGGTCGGCACGTCGTCGCAGATTCCGCCGGGCTTGCTTCCGTGATGTAAGAGTGGCCAGTTCAGTGCGGCGGTCCCGAACATGAAGGCGGACCAGATCAGAAGACCGATGGCTGCCGTCAGCTGGTCCTTGTAGCTTGTCGTGAGAAGGAAATGGCGGAGTGACTGTTTCGGGGCTCTCGCGCGGCGCTTGATGCTCAGTTCTTCGGATGCGATGAGGGCGACTTCTTGTTCAGTTGCTCGCGCTTCGGCGACGGATTGCTGCGAGTGTACCAGTGCTGCAACGTAAAGATCGCGGAGTTTATCGATGTCGGCGCGCGTCGGGGCCGCTGCGATCTCCTCGATCAGCTCGGTGTTGTACACTGTCGTGACTGCACCTCCGTCGATCTGCACATCTTCGCTCTGGCGGCCGTCTTGGACCTCGATTTGTTCGTGCCAGTGCGAGACATAGTGCTGGACTGCGCGGCTAAGAGCCACCCGCGCAGCGTCGTGGTCGCGTTCTGCCTCCTCAGCTGCCGCATGGAGGGCGAAGGCCTTGAGGACCTCGGAATAAGAACGGGCTCGCGCCACGTCGAGCTCTGTGACTGCGGCCTTCCTCCATCGTTGAAGACGTTCCTGGTACTCGGGGTCGGGCTTGGAGTGGTTCTTTCCGTCGACGACGAGTGCTTGTCGGAACAAGACAGTGAAGACAAAGTAGACCGGGTACCAGAGAACGAGTTGAATCAAGACGGCATAGTCGATGATGATCAAACTGTAGTCGACCACATTCAAGAACATGGAAGTGAAGAGGGACAGGGTGAGGATTCCCCATGCGCCGTGCCAGAAGCGGAACTGCTTGTCGACGCCGAACAAGACGGCGATGATGGCAGCGGCATACAGCAGATAGAAGCCAACGCGGATGCCAGCTCCGATGAGCCTCTGGTCACCGAATATGTGGCAGGGCATGTATGAGGTCACGGCACTCATCTCGCCGGTGCCGACGAAACCAGTGTTCGTGACGCCCACAAACTTCCCCATCGTGATGTGTGTTCTCCTCTTGGAGTTCCGGTCGATGATAGGGTCTCGTCTAGGTGGCGGAATCTGCGCATTCGCGACGGCATTGAACTTGGAACAAAATAACGGAGGGCCAAGTGAGGCCGGATGGAGACCGTGATCGAGATGTACGCTGACGTCTTGGGGGGGTAGGAGGAAGATAAGAACGGCGGAGACGTCGAGGACGAGGGCCACTGAGGGGATGTGGTTTGACAAGGGCATTAATTAGTGCATGACTGGGTGCGCAAGGCTTCAACATGTGCCGGAATCGAAGACAACCATGAATTTTGCATTCTCCAACCACAGGGCGCCGAGGACGGCGAGCAGTGGCAGCGTGATGTGTGACATCTGCAGCCCAATGCGACTCCGAATCCCCGATCTCCTGTGCAGAAAGTGATAGCGGGACGAGTTGCATGCGCCAGAGTTGTGATTGGGCATCTGGACAATAGACTCTGATGGCTTGGCGTGACTCTTGCCCGATCGGCTGCGTGCCCAACCATTCCTGCAGCTGTGCATGGTGAACAACTCACCGCTGGTGAAAATTTGGGGCTTGCTGCCAGGCTTTTAAGTTTTCATGCAGCCTATCAAAAATCGCCACGGAAGGCACCTGTCAGGCACGAGGAACATCACGGTTCTCGGCTCGGAAACGCAACCTCTTGGAACTGGGGAAGCCCTGAATTTATCAAGTATGGTTCCTGTTCCTGGCAGGTTCGCATCTCCCCTCGCTCCTGCTTGACGCACCTCCATACCCACCGATTGCTCTCTCTCTCTCTCAAAAAAAAGAAGAAGAATAATGTGGGGACAAGGAATTACGGTCGCGGCACTCCAGCTGCTGCTGACTCTCGGTTCAGCTTACGAGCATCATCAATTCTTCAAAAACACCCCTCGAGCGAGTCCAGAAACTGGCCATGTTCACCGCCGTCAATCACCCCCTCCCGGCTATAGCCCCGAGTTTGGGGGGTGCGGCAGCGGAAGGAATTGCGAAGATGCCTGCGGACCGAATTGGGAATCTTGTCAGGCATCGACGAGTCTCTCGCTCTTCTGCTATAACAAAGTCGATTTAAAGCAGACGTGCTGTGAGAATGGGTCAGGGCGTGGGTTATATCAATTCCTCGGCCCTTGGTCACCACAGCTAACATGAACGAATAGGTGCCTGCGAGGAGGGCTACTACTGCGCCTGGCAAGAGTTTGGCGGGCAAGTTTGGTGTTGTGAGAATGTAAGTGTCCCGCTAAAACCCCATCACGGCTCGTACTAATCGTCGAAAAGGGCCAAAGTTTGGAAGAATGTGGCGTGCCGCAAACGGGTTCATCTGGCACAGGCTCACCCACCGGCTCGCCGACATCCCCTGGTGGGCCGTCCTCTCAGGCACCCTCCCCTTCGACTTCTGCAAAGTCGAGCGGGACGGCGACCGGAGGTAATTCGCTCTCCGTGACCGGTTCCCAATGCCCCGCGACGACTGTGACTTCGTGGGCGACGACAACCGTGGTGTCAACGGTCAGCATCGCGGCGACCACCGTGACGGTAGTCGGGCCGGGTGGCGGATGCTACTCCGAGTCGTCGACCTCTGTGTCAGAGAGCGAGCCTTCAGACGATACTTCATTGTCAGGCACTATCACTCAGCCCCCCTTGTCATCCTCGACATCCTATGGGCCACCGGTGTGTTAATACTGCAAACTGCTTCCGTTTCGGCCGAACTGACGTTTTCCCTCCAGGTCTTTAACACTACAACCACGGAAACAATCGCGACAGCTGGTGCCTGGGGCCTACGTGTCAACCTATCGGGTCTTGCCTTGGTTTTACTCCCACTTCTTTGGCTTTAAGTAGCCGCTTCGCTCGAACGAAACGCAAACTAGGGGATGATATGCGAGCTCGGATGTTGGTGGCAGTGACCTTTTCTTTTTCTTTTCTTTTTCTTTGCTTCGTTACACTTGGATACCCCCTTTTCATTTGGCCGCAACGATATAACTCGAGTCACCCTGTGCCCTCGTCATGTGTAGACAAAGCCATTGTAGGCATCAGCACAGCTGTATGCCTAGCATGTTTCAACAAGTAACCTTGGGCACAAAGACGGGAAATAGATCTTTTCCTTGGGCTCGAAGTACACCATAATTTAGAAACACATTGCACATTCATCCTGCTACCCGGGAAAGCCGGGCGTTCCTACCCTTGCATAAAAACATGACTTGCACATATTGTTCGATTGGGGTTGATTCACATGCACACTACCTACCTAGGTAGTTTCGAGAACCCTGGCACCCGAGTTTGAACGTCGCCCGGGAACCTCAGCGGCGCCGAAGACCGACCAACCGTATCACTGACCGAAAGTACCATACGATGGGTAAAACCACGAAGTGGCAAGATATGGACGAGGCGGACCCACTGCCTCACGGTCTGAGGCGGACTGCGTATGACGAGGTGACTCAGCAATACAGATTCACAACCGTAGAGGGTGAAGAATTTGCGGGTCAACCTGGGCGGCGGTTCGGCGAGATCACCGGTACGGGCACTGTCCGTCGGTCGGCAACGGGCCCCGGGGCTTTGACCTCGGAGCAGCCGCAGACTCAAGTTGGTCGGGCGCACACGTTCCCCGTGAATTCGCCAGCGGATAACGTGAAACCCAAGGCGTCACTCGCGTCCTTCGTTACTATGTATGCCGAGAGTCTCGACGAGGAATCACCCTCACAGGCGCCCTTACCCCCAATCCCAGAGCCAACGGTAAGACCATCGTCGTCTGTGTACTCATCAGCCAGCTCCATCTCAGGCTCTGCCAGAGTACGGCGAGCGACTTCAAGTACGACGCCGTCCCTGCGGAGGGTATCTTCCTCGGCCCCAGAGCCAACGGTAAGACCATCTCCGTCTATGTACTCATTAGCCAACACCATCTCTACCAACTCACGCCGGGCGACTTTAAGTGCCACTCCGTCCCTGCGGCGGGTGTTTACCCCGTGCCCAGAGCCAACGGTAAGGCCGTCTTCGTCTGTGTACTCATCAGTCAGCTCCCTCTCAGGCTCTACTACACTACGGCGGGCGTCTTCAAGTGCCACGCCGTCCCTGAAGGAGGTATCTCCCCCGACCCCACCGCCCAAGTCTCTCACCTCCCTATCCCAGCGCTCCCCAATCCCCAACCCCCAAACAACAACCCCGTCCCCCTCAGGCAGCGACCACAGCGGCCCCAGCAGCGGCGAACCTCTCTTCAACAACAAAGACCTGCAGGGCACCCGCGGCGGGAGCTTGCGGCAGCCATCCAGCGCCCGGAGACCCATGTCGGCGCCGCCGGTGCCACAGCGCGGACCGACGACACCACCGCCGTGGTCGCAGAGGCTGTTCCAGCGGCGGCCGCTGCCCCGGGAGGAGGAGGCCCAGCAGCCGCCTCTGCAGCCAAAATCACAGAAACCACAGGAACCACAAGAACCACAGGAACCACAGGAACCACAGGAACCACAGGAACCACAGGAACCACAGGAACCACGGGAGTCACCGCAAGCGCCGGAGTCGCAAGACCAGCGCGCGGTGCGGCAGCTGATGGTGGTTCTGCAGGACCCGGACGGCGGCGAGAGGAAGGTGCGGCAGGTGCTGACGCTGCTGCAGTACACGCCGGGCGCGGACTTGCGGCTGCAGGCGGTGCTGCGGGACGAGGTGGCGGGCCGGCACCCGCCGGCGCTGGTGGAGCAGCTGATGGGGTTGTTGGCGCGGTGCATGACCGACGAGATGCCGGTCGAGGAGATGCCGCAGCATCTGCAGCTGGAGCATATGCTGAGGGGCAGTCGGCTGCTGTGGGATGTGGACGAGCAGGAGGCGTGGCAGGAGTGGCAGGTGGACTTGGACCGGATGGCGAGGGTGCAGGCCTATGATTATGAGGTGCGGGGGTTGGACTTGGCCCGGGTCCGGGCGAAGCGGCAAGGCACGGGGGTGGTGGGCCGGCCGTTGGGAAGGCGGATGACGGTGCGGATGGCGGCGCGGGAGCTGGCGAGTGATACGCTGGCGTATTTTCATGGCGTTCTTGCCTCGATGCTGATCAAGTCTTCGAATTCGTTGAAGCGGAAGAACGAGAGGAGGCTTGCGAGGAGGAGGAGGAAGGGGGAGGACACGGAGCATCTTTGGCATCAGCTGCAAGATGAGGCGGCTCGTACGGAGGAGGGTGGTGGAGAGAGCAGCGGGGGGAAGGGGACAGGAGAGGTGCCGAGGAAGTAAACCTGTAGAAACGGGACGGCGGTTATCTTGATCTGTACATTAAATATAGATATACGTTGGTCCTCCGATATACATACACTTGCATTTAGTGACGAACACAAATCTATGCTCAATTCATTATTTAGGTACCATCGACAACCCCAAGGAATTAGCCATCGGCGTAAAACCGTACCAAGGACCAAGTAAATAGGTGATTTGGAGAGTATGGGTATTGATATGTTTCTTAGGAATACGTGGCGGGAGAAAATGAATAGTGAATAGACATGGTGATCTGGATATTCAACGTTAGGTACTATACCTATATAGGTATCCTGTGCCGGTCTTGTGTCTAGTCAAGCATGTGCTAGTGATATGCCCTCAGGGGCACAAAGGGGCAGCGGTTAAGCAGGGTTAGGGTCCGTTATCTTTTCACCAAGGGGTCAAACATGCCAAGTCGAATCAATCGCGAAATAAACAACGCGCTTCATTCACGATCCGACCGAGTCCACTTTCCTCTTCCCAAACACCAACATTGACGAACAGCGAGCGCCCGTCACAATCCACCAACTACCCAATTACCCAAATCTCGACAGCGCCCATTTGAGGTGCTGTTACTACCGAAACTGGAGTCCACTAAGTCTCAACGAAACCACAATGGCCGCCGACGCAAGCGGCGGGTTCCTCGCATATCATGAGCCAGATAGTACGAGTTGTTCTTTTTCTTTCTTTTCTCTCTCTTTTCTTCTTTCTTTCCTTGTTTTCTTCTCTCTTAGTAAAATGAATACGTTCTTCTTAGAACCTCACCCATCCTAACAATCGTATTACAGTCATCAGCATCCTGACGCTCATCTCGTTTTTCCTGTTTCTTGCCATCGCAGAATGGCTGGCCGACAAGATTGTCCGCGCGTCCCTGATCGGGCACATCATCGTTGGTCTCATCTACGGCGTGCCCATTGCCAATATCCTGGGACTTGACTGGCAGGCCACGTTCCTCGCTCTCGGCTACATTGGCCTGATACTGATCATATTCGAGGGTATGCTTCCGCTTTGTCCATTACTCATTTACCTTCGAGTTGCTGACTACTCCAGGCGGCCTGACCATCCGCCTCGACCTGTTACGCCAGAACCTCCTGCTCAGCATCGTCGCGGCCCTACTCGGTGTACTCACGCCCATCGCCCTGTCATTCGCCCTCCTCTACGCAGGGTTTCACCACAGTCAGTCCCACCCTTCAGGTGTCTCCCCCCCCAAACCCCATCTAACCTTACCCCAGCCCCCCTCGAAGCCTTCATAGTCGGCACAGCCCTCTGCTCCACCTCCCTCGGCACCACCTTCGTCGTCCTCGCCAGCGCCTCCAAAAACAAACCCAGCCCCAAACCCAGCCTACCGGACAACGCCAACACCCACGTCCCCACCACCCCGGCCGTGGATTTCTCGCAGACCCGCATCGGCACCGTCCTCGTCAGCGCCGCCGTGCTCGACGACGTCTGCGGCCTGGTGCTCGTCAGCGTCATCCACAACCTGCGCGGCATCGCCGGCGGCGACGGTGGCGGTGAAACGGGCCTGGGCTGGATCATCGGCCGGCCGGTGCTTGCCAGCGCTTTGATGGCGCTGCTGACGCCCGCGGTGGCCAAGTTCGTTGCCGGCCCATTGTACCGCCGGTTCGTGGCGCCGCGGTTGCTGCGGTTTGGTGCCGCTGCTGCCGGGGCGGGGCATGTGTTTAATATCCTGCTCATGGCGGTGGTGCTTTGTGCGTTTTTGGCGATTGCCGCGTTCGCGGGAGCGTCGATGCTGTTTGGTGCCTTTTTGGCCGGCGCGTTCGTCAGTGGCTTGCTGGGGAGCAAGGGGAGGGATGTGAGCGAGGAGGAGCCGGGAGTTCCGGCTTTTGCGGACTCGTTTGAGCACTACTTGGGAGCGCCGCAGAAGTATGTCTTCCAGCCGTTGTTCTTTGCGAGTATCGGGTTTGCCATCCCGTTTATCGACCTCTGGACGGGCGAGGTCATCTGGAAAGGCTTCGTCTACACGCTGCTCATGGTAGTTGCGAAGCTCATCGTTGGGATAGTGGTCCCTGTTTGGGATTTCATTTCGCCCCGAATCCGAAAGACAAACTCGGAGAAGATGCCGGGGAGTGTCACGGCTAGCTGGGCCCCGGCGACGCTGTTGGGGGCTTGCATGGTAGCGCGCGGCGAAATCGGGCTCCTCATCATCCAGATCGGCCTCAATGAGACGCCGTTCCTAACTCAGAAGGCATTCATCATCGGTGTCTGGGCTATTGTGCTCAACACCATCATCGGCCCTGTGTTTGTGGGCATCCTCCTGAAGAGGGCCGGGACCAGCATCGCCGAGGATGCTCGCTGGGGTGTTCAAGCGAAGCACGGGTCTGACACGGAAACCAGTGCGGACGTTGAACCAACCGGTACCTCAGGCGGGACAAGTCCGAGACTTGGCTTGGCTTAATTCCGACTGCGTTGCGGCCTCATCGCAGCCCGTGTTCCGGAGCGAGCGGACGGCGAGTCATGCGGTCATCCTCGTTAACACCGCAATGACCGTGAAGGACCCGACACCCAAAATAGATGTCGGTCTCGGTCTAGAACTCGAGGGCACATGCCTAATGGAGATTCCCGGGAACCAGTGAAACGGTAGCTGAGTGGTGCGGGTGCTACCCACGCCTTCTGTACCTTACCTAACCATGGACGATACGATGTGGTCTTGACCCAGAATACAGATATTGCAGGGCGGCTTGCCACAACGTGGCAACAGGACGCAAACGCCCTCATGCTGACAAGGAACTCAATGTAGCACGGAGCCTTTGTGGCTGCGCACAATATCGAGGCAGGCACAATGTAACCATGCGTAGCCAATGAAGGGGGGCGCCGGACCGGGCGAGATTCGGCTCGGTGATGGCGGCTGAATGGGCATATTATTCGGAAGTGGCCCGAGAACAACACCTCGTTTGTCCTGTACTCCAGCCCCCCACCCGCAATCTTGGTCCTTCCGTTCCCCAGACGCCCCCTACATATTGTGCCGAGCCTCACCAAGTCATGAGTCTATGGGTCGCCCCACTAACTGTATGAAGTCGATATGGCCGTAGCCAAAAAAAGATCACCAAGCCAGCCGTCCTGGCGAAGGGTCCGGTACCGACGACATGAAGGGATCGTCGCCAACACGCGGGGCGAAGTCGCGGCCGCGTATAACCGTTATGGTGGCCCTCCCACAGTCTCCCCTCGTTAACCAGTCCGGAATACCATCTCGCATCAAGGCCACAAGCTCGTCTACTCGTTGAGCTATCGCCAACCATGCGATACAGTCTCTTCCCCGCCCTTCTGGGGCTGGCCATCACTTCGGTCCAGGCGGCGCCTGCTGTCATCCTCGAACAGACCAAGGGGATCCCGCCGGGCTGGAGCTTCCAGGCCAATGCCAGTGCCTCGGACAAGATCACTCTTTTTGTCGCCCTGAAAGAGCCCGGGATAGAGGAGCTGAAGGCCAAACTCAACCAACGCCAAAACCCGGCCCATCCCTCGTTTGGTCGGCACCTGAGTCGAAACGAAGTCCGCCAACACCGGAAACCCGCGGACGCAACCGCAGTTACTAGCTGGCTGAAGGGGAACGGCATTCGCGCTGTCCACGACCAGGGGAGTCTGATCAGTTTCGAAGCGTCCGCCGAGATGGTCAAGTCCCTGTTCCAGGCCGACCTGGCGTACTACGGCTACCAGGATAGCGACGCAGACCCGGTTCTGCGCGCACTCTCCTACAAGATCCCCGCCTGGCTGCGCGACCACATCGACTTTGTGCACCCCATCACCAACTTCATGCCGCCGCGCCCGCACCTAGGCCACCGCAGACGCCCGAAGCCGAGACCACACCATCCGAAACCACACTGGCCACACCCGAAGCCCACGAAAAAGCCCCCCGCGGAAGCCACTTCGACCACCACTACCACAACCAAGTCAAGCACGACCACCAGCAGCGCCAGTAGCAGCAACCCCACGCTCATCCACAACCCATCCCACGAAGAGATCTTCCCCAACCTCCCCTGCCTCGCCGCCACCGTGCCCTCGTGCATCAAAAAGCTCTACAACATCACCTACGCCCCCGACTCCAACACCCCCAGCCCGGTCCGTTTCGGCGTAGCCGGCTTCCTAGAGCAATACATCCTGCACTCGGACGTAGACCACTTCCTCGACACCTTCACGCCGACCCTCCCCCCCACCTACAACTTCACCGTCGAGCTCCTCCACAACGCCACCAACCCGCAAGACTCCCCCTCCAACGCCGGCATGGAAGCCTCCCTAGACGTGCAATACGCCATGTCGCTCGGCCACCCGACCAACATAATCTACTACCTCACCGCAGGGCGGGGCGTCAAACTCGACGCCACCACCGGCATCGCCCTCCCCGTCCGACACAGCGACAACGAGCCCTTCCTGGAATTTTTAACATCCCTACTCGCCAAGCCCGACGCCGAGATCCCCCACGTGCTGAGCATCAGCTACGCCGACGACGAGGTCGGCGTGCCGCGGGCGTACGCGCTGCGCGTGTGCGACCTGTTCGCGGCGCTGGCGGCGCGCGGGACGACCGTGCTGGTCGCGACGGGGGATGGGGGCGCGGCCGGGACCGGCCAGACGGATTGTGTGGACCGGGATACGGGCATGAAGAGGTTTGTGCCGACTTTCCCCGCGAGTTGTCCGTATGTGACGGCGGTTGGGGCGACGGGGAATGTGGCGCCGCCGGTGGCCGGGGCTGGGTTTAGTTCGGGGGGGTTTAGTGATTTCTTTGGGAGGCCGGCGTGGCAGGATGAGGTGGTTAAGCCGTATGTGAAGGGGTTGGTTAAGGCGAATGATACGCGGGCGGCGTTGATTAATCATGACGGGAGGGCGGTGCCGGATATTAGTGCCATTGGGTCGGCGTTTCAGATTGTGATGGGCGGGAGTATGAGCCAGGTGCTAGGGACGAGTGCGAGCACGCCCGTGGTTGCCGCTATGGTGGCCTTGGTGAATGATGCGAGGATGCGGGCGGGCAAGCCGAGTCTCGGTTGGCTGAACCCGTTGCTGTACTCGGCGAAGGTCAAGAGCGTGTTGAGGGATGTTACCGTGGGCGACAGCGCTGGGTGCTGGTTCCCGGACAACAGCAGGTCACCTGGGTGGTCGGCTGGGGAGGGATATGACTTGGTCACTGGCCTGGGGGTGGTTGATGATTTTAACGACTTTCTGGAAGCGCTGATGTGATGTGATGATGCAAGGGGAGGAGCAGAGAAAACGCGCTTTCTATCTAGCAGGACAAGCCTCTAGTGGCTCTCCCTAGGTATGTAGTTCCTCTTTTCAACTCAACCCGCCCTAGTTTAGCCCCATTCTCCTAGCCAGGATTGCTCGGATTATGCCTCGTGCTGCAGCCAATAACCGACGATCCATCTCTTCCTTCCGTAGCTTGTAGAAGGCATCAAAGTCTCTAGCGTTGGTTCTGTTGTCGTCGAATAGGCCGACCCTTTCCAGATCTGCCAGCCATTGCTTCTCGCACAAGAATTTGAGTTTGACCTCGAACCGCGAGTCCCAGTGCAGGCTATTCACATCCTCGAGCATTTCCTTGGACGTGTTATTCCACCCCGTGTATTCAAAAGGCCACAGCCATGCCTTGGCCCACGGGATGAGATGGCTGAACGGGGTATCAAGGTCCGCGGTAGTGTTGCGCTTGCCGATGATGGGCTCGCTGAACATTGGATGGCGCTGAAGCTGGGTCAGGGAGATGTCTCGCAGCTCAAAGTAGAAATCTCGCTGGAGGGCCAACGGACTCATCCGCACCCAACCGGGTCTGGGACCCTGCTCCAAGCCCGGGTCGGGACCCAACGTGATCAGGGACAGGGTGCGCAGCGCAGGGAGTTCCCCGATATCGAATTTCGCAACGGCATCGTTAAACGTTTCACCCGTGCACCACAGCCGCAAGCCTGCGTGCTGGATTCGGCTGCGGTCGAGACCAAAAAAGGGGTCCCAGGATTCGGTGAAGGTCTCGGGTTGCGGGTAATCCCCCGTGTGCCCGGGGTTCCAGGTCTTGAAGACGGTAAAGATATCGGTCTCGTAGCAGATGTACTCCAAATCAACGTAAATGTTGTGGGGGACATTGGTGCGCCCGTTTGTGCCGATGCCGGGCTCGTCTTGCATGTCGATATAACCGCGTATGTGCTCGTAGTGCCCCATCCACACGTTCCGGGACTCGGTGCAGGCTGCTAGAGGCCCAAAGAGTTCCGATCCTCGTGGGTGTACCACCACGTACCGGAGGCGCCAGTCCGGATGCACTTGGTTGACATGGTGCTGCGCCGAAACCCACCGAGAATGAGACCCGTGTCTGGCATTGACGCATTCGATGCAGGGCAGCTGCGTGATGATGCGCGCCGGCCGCGGCACGAATCCCTAAATCATGTGTCGAACTTTGACGGGCAGCTTTGGGAAGAGGTGAAATTGTTCCATTGGTGCTGGAGACAGAGGGAAAGGGGGAGGTTGACTATTCCTTTCCCAAGGTACGGGTCGGGTTGTGCCGTTCACTGCTGCTAATGGTGTCGATATCTTGTGAATGTTGCTTACGTCCATGGTATCCTGATTCCTGGTTATAGTTTATGGGGAGACGAGAGAGTACTTGATGTTTAGCTGCATGCTATCCGAACGCTATGGTCGAGGGGAACACGACAAGACCGGAGGGGGCCGTTCTTATTTCGCAATGCTGGGCCAACTTGGAAGGCAGCTGCCAGACAAGGCCGGCTCGTAGAAAGAAGAGTGCGGTAACCGCGGCAAGATCGCCAACGCGGAAGGGGCAGGACGGTGTCTATTAGTGCCAGTGCCACCGTTGTACTTTGGGCGAGCACTGGTAAGAAAGAAAACCAAGACGAGTGGTTCTAGGGCAAGAACCTCCCCCTACGTAGTTGCTCAGTAGATGATGGCAAGAGCTGTTCTAGATTGCTATCCTGAGAAAAGGGCTACCCCTAGGTAAATATTGAACCGCGTGAACACCCCACGACTACTGAACGGGCACCATCAACCGGTCAATATCAGGGCCCCAGCCGTCATCAATCCCCTCGATGACAATCGTGTTCTCGGACCCCTTTTTCAAGTTGGCGTGGAGCGTGCTGCTGGCCGGGTTGCCCGTCGCCTGCAAAAAGGCCACCTTCCTACCAGCGTCCCCGTTGACCCTCACGTTGGCGTACCGCGGGCTGCTGTCGCCGTTGAGGAACTTGATCCGGATGGTGGTCAGCCCGTCAATGTCGCTGCGGATGCCGCTGAAGGTGACGCTGCCTCTGTCTGGGCCGCCGATGTATCCCGCCGCCACCTTGCCCGAGCACGGAGAACAGTCGACGTTGCGCGCCTGGCCGCCATAAGACGCCTGCTCGGCTTCATAGCTGTTCTCGGCGGGGGGGTTCTGCCAGGAGGCGAAGTTGGACGTGGGTACCCAGCTGACAAAGTTCTTCATGGTCACGCTGGTTCCGCTGATGCTCAACGGCAGCCAGATGTAGGTACTAGCCATCAGGTTGTCTTTCATCCACCTGTCGCCCATGTAGATGGCGCTGGTCTCGCTGGTCTTGAGGATGTAGGTTGTTTGCGACGTGTACGTCTTCGATCCGCTGTCGGCAAACTTCTTCCAGCCGGACCAACCGGAGCCCAAGCTGGTGGAAGTCGTATACTGATTCTCGTTCGCATCCCATCCCGTCATCATGGACGCGAACATGAAGTATGTGTTGCCCAGTTTGACCATAGCGGGGGCCTCGACACGGTTGCCGCCCTCGAGCTTCCACGAAAACACGTCGGTTGTCGGGGTCAAGAAGTCATCCGAGAGCGCCACGATGCGGAGGCCGTAGTTGCGCTGTTCAATGTCAGCACTTTCTCACCCGGTAGAGGGAATGGAGAGTACACACATCTTCGGTCAGCAAGTATCCCTTGCCATCGTCGTCCTTGAACAATCCCATATCACGGCTCTCCCTCCCTAATCTGTAATGCATAAAGTCAATCATGGGGCTTGGAGCTAAGGAATGGATACTCACGGCTGGAAGCTCCGGATATACTGGTACTTCCCACACACGGTGTCACCGGTGGCCACGGCGACTCTTGATACGTACGCAAAAGGTTAGTTACGGTACCTGGACGGTGCGAATCCGGCCGCTAACCTTGCCTCCCCGTAATTCGAACTATCCATATGCATCCAGAGCACATATTTCCTCGTCTTGTCGTTGTAGATGACCTTGGGCCTTTCCACGACGCGGTTCGGCCCGAGGTCGCCAGAGCCGGTGCGGGACAGGAGCGCGCCCTCGAGCTTCCACTGCACGAGGTCTGTTGACGAGTAGCAGTTGACGTTGGAGAACGAATGGCCGCCACTCTTGTCTTCGCCCACCATGTAGTAGGTGCCGTTGAGTTCGATCAGGCCCGCCCCATGGGCTTGCAGATGTTGTCCGTCCGGCTAGACACAGAGCAGTTGGTGAGATTGACTTCGCCTAGCAGATATCCATGACATTTTCTGGGTTAGCTTACCGTTGTCCATGTCCCTCCGGGCACTACCTGCAGTGATGCCGTCGCCACGCGCGAGAGCGCCGCCGCCAGCGCGATCGACAAGAAGCGCATCGTTGTTGGAGCTAGGAACGGATTGTAGAGACAACTTGGTTTGATCGACCAGCGGACGACCGGGAATTCGTCGACATAAAGCAGATCCCCTTTTATATGCCCTAATATCACTCATTGTAACAGTAGCTTTGCGGGGAAGCGGTCGGACCGGTATTGGTGGACAAATCGAACAAGGTTGGGGAGGCCTGGCAGTTGGGGTGTATTAAGGCCATTAGCGTAATATAATTGCAATGTCCTCGGAGCTTTGGAGGCGCGCAATAACGCTTGATATAACGTGAAACCCGGCTCACTACCCCGAAGCGGGCTGTCGTCCCATGCCCGGGCCACGGCCCGCCTGCCATTTATCCGTAGGGTGCGGTCGCACGGCCACCTTCCTGGTTGGATTGTGAACGGTTTTTGAGTCACTACCTAGTATCTAGTTGATATCCCCAGGACGAAGCACACAACCTATGGAATGCTGACCTGGATCTTGGCTGTGATATGCAAGCCTATGAAGTTCAAGTTGGCCCCTGCTCTAAATTATCCGCCTTCCACTTCTTGTCGGCTTCGTTTACCGGTGCAGAGGTAGATGTAAGTGCGTGGGCTAATGGCGGCGGTCTGGTCGAGAACCAGAAGTGGGAAGGGATAGAAACCTACCTTGGTAGGAAACGCGTTCGCCATGAGGTAGCAAGGGCTTTACAATGCCCACTCCAGTGTTGCGACGGAATCATTTCCCACTCACAAGTGACTAAGAAGGGCCACAGCTGAACCCCATCAAACATCAAACTCCCCGCAACTGATGGGTCTCGCCGTTGTTCAATACTGGTATATATACGTACTAGGTAGCCCATCACCAGCGCCGGCTCTACCATGCACTTCCCCAACCCTAACGCCGTCCCCTTCCCTCACATTCGAACCCTTTCAACGCCTTTGATCCCGACCAAGTGGCAATCCCATCATACACCTATGCCGTAATGCATGACAATGCACCCTTGAACCAAACCACCCATATATATCCAAAAGAGCCCATCACATCGCTACACAACCGTTTTTACAGCATTGGAACACCAAGGCACAACATCAGGGACACCATCCCCCAGTACTGCACAATACCCCGACCAAACCAGACCGGACCGGACCAAACCAGACCACACCGGACCGGAATCAGCGAAACTCGCCCGTCCCCGTCCCACGCATAGCCGACAGCATCATCGCCGCCTCCTGCTCCTTCCGGAGCTGTTCATCCGGGCACCACGGCGACATCTGACCAGCCACCCGATCCCGCTGGTCAGCTTGCGGTTGCGGGTGTGGTTGCGGGTGTGATTGCAGCCCTTTCCCCTTCGTATCCTTCCCCTTCATCACACCGCGTCCCTGTCCCTGCCCTGGCTGCTGCTGCTTCCCATCCACCCACGCCTCCGACGCGAGTTGCTGCTGCAGCCACACAGGCGGGTACCCCAGGCGTCCGACCAGGGGGTCGGCGAAGAAGAAGGGGTTGCGTCCCAGGGCGATAGGGCTGCCGACGTTGGAGGAAATGCCCTTCCGCGGACCGGGCGAGTCGACCTTGGGTTCCATGGGGACGAGTTTGGCGGTGTGGTATTCGTATTGCTGTTGTTGCTGCTGCTGCTTCGCTTTGTCCTCCTTGCGGCGGTTATGCGGATGGGCGGCTTGTGCCGCTTGGTGTTGTTGGTCGGAGGGGTTGGGGACGAGCAGCGGTGGGAGGCGCAGCTGTATCGGGGTTGTGGGCCGGGAGAGGCGCGTCTCGTGGTGGATCTGGGCGATGAGCCGGTCGGTCTCGCGGAAGCCGGCCGTGATGGCCATGTCAATGGCCGAGGTGGAGGGCCCTGTGGTTATGGGTTGCGGATCGGGGCCGTGGTGTGGGTCGGTACGGTACGGGGAAGGTTGTTGGGGGGTTGTCGGCGTCGGCGGAGGAAGCCGCCGGGAGTCGGGCACCGGCGAGGGTGCGAGGACGGCGGGCGTGTGGGGGATCGACGGCGTGGGTGGCTGTGGCTCACCCGCATCGTGGAGCGAGACGCGCGTCTCGACGCCGCGTATCATGCGCCATGTCACGGCTGACTTGCGCTTGCGGCTCTTGACCGCTGCTGAGATGGAGCTCTCGCTGTTGCGGACGGGGGAATCAACTCCCGGGAGTGCATTCGGAGCCGGGGAGGATGCCGGGACGGTTGGGCGCGCTGGCGTTTGGGTGTGACGCGTTTCGACCACGCGACTCGGCTCCGTCGGCGCATCTTGGGGCTCCAGCGTCACCGGTGCCGATTTCCGAGGCCGCTTGGCTCTTGACCTGGTTGTGTTGATCGGAGACGAGGCAGCAGATCGAGCTGGGCTTCCCCCGGTGATGAGCCGCAGATCGTCCATGATCTTGTAAACGAGATACGCCCCGTTTTGTTTGTGATCCCGAACGGACGCAGGGCGCTTCGCGTCGGGATTTAGCTTGGGTTCCCTCGGGACCTTGACCGCCTTCTTGGGCACGGCCTTCGCCGGGGGTGGCGGCATCTCTTCCTTGTACCCTTGTTCAAGCCCTTGCTCGGGCCCTTGTAGCTGAACTGGCACGCCGGTTTCTTCCTTCTGGTTGTTCCCTAACCCGTCACTCTCTCTCCCTCGCCTCGTCTTGTCAGCACCCTCTTTCCGTTTTCCTTCGGCGCCGCTTTGCCGTCGTGATAACTTGGAACTCTTCGGTTTATCCTCTTCCGGGAGCGAGACGCCAGGTGGGAGCCAGAGAGCGGGTTTTCTTGCCTGCAGGTCACCGACCCAGGCATCGCAGTCCCACTGAACCCAGTAGTCAATGATATCCGCCCAGACGCTCTCGGGTGGTTTTGTAAAGTTCACAAACACGACCTTGCCCCCGCGATCGTGGACGGCCTTGGCAAACTCCTTGACGAGAACCTTGAGGCCGTGGACGCGCATGCTCGTTCCCAGAATTAGGAGCATATCAGGTCCGAGCGAGAGGTCGTGCTGAACAAGGGGGCTGATGAGGTGGGAGTGCGGGTGGTCTTCCCCGTACAGTACGATGTCCGGTCGCAGTTTGCCTACACCCAGCGCTCGCTTGCCGCGTTCCTCCCGGGCGGCCGTTGCCCCGGCGCAGTGTGGACAGGTAGGCTGTCGACCGGCAAGGGTATCTGCTAGTCGGGTCTCCTCTTCCCACGACGCGGTGCGGGCGCACACGAAACAGCGGAGCTCGGCCAGAGACCCGTGCAGAAACACGCATTCGACTCCGCGATTGGGAGCTGTGGGTGCCGTAGTTTGCGACGCCGGCGGCGTTGATGATGATGTGTTATCGGAAACGGTAGCTGAGCCCGAGGACGTTGGTAATATTGGCCCCGTAGCGGAGGGCCCGCCGCCAGTGTCACCTGCTGTGGGCCCATCAAGACGTGCTTGACTGGGCTGCGGCTGTTCTTGTGATTGTGACGCTCCTTCCTGTTCTCCATCCCTCTGTGACGATCCTTGGCTGGCATTGGGGACACTTTCAGCAGCACCCTTTGCCGAACCTTTCGTCCCAGCAGCGTTCCGCCCCGACCGGGTGGAAAAGCGGTACCGACTGCCTACCCCTAGGGACAACGAGGTACTGAGGCCGACGCGTTCCTCCAACTGATCGATGTTTTGGGTATAGCACCGAACAAGCTTCCTGCTGTCACGAAGTACGCTGACGAAGCGGTGGCTACTCGTCGGCTCGGCACTTCGCACCTTCTCGCGAAGGGTGGACACGAAGGTGTAGAATACCGACGTCTTCGTCGGGCAGGACCAGATCTGGGAATCGAACAAATCGCGCCCCTTCATGATCGGAAGAGAGTTTCGAGACGAGACGAAGGAGTTTTGTGAGGAAAGCAGGGGCGTGGTTACAGAGGAGGGCCCTTCGCTTTCCGACCGGCTGGACTCGGTGTCTTGACTCGAGCAACTTGTCGACTCCTGGTAGGGGTCGTACACGACTGGCGGCGGGGACGAGAGAGGCGAGGAGCTCGCCGGGAGGGCGTCGAGGAGATGGGGCGGGCGAGCGCGTGGAGTGGCGAACGCGTGACTGGGAGGAGAGGAGGGAAAGGGAGCCGAGTCCCGGTTGGTATCTTCGACCCCCATGACTCGAGGCTGCTCCTCTCTCGCGGCATAACGTTGTTGGGTTTCGGGTTCGACTTCTTTCGGCGCCGCATTGCGGAGACCTGGAAAAGGAATATCGGGGACCTTGAGCGTTTGCTGGCCCGGGGGCCCGGAGTCGCCATATGTCCTCCGCTGTCGTTTGGCTGGTCTCTGTTCAACCATGTCGGACGTGTCGGCATCGCTGTTACTTTCGGTACCGTGTTGTTGCTGGGCCTCATCGAACTGGGCCTGAATCAAGGAGTATAGGCCGTTCTCGGAGCGGAAGTCCTATAACGTGGTCAGCTGGGGACGATGGGCGCCCATCGAATGGACGTGGGACGCGTCTTACGGGAATGCCAGAGTTGGTGCTAATGCCAGCTCCCGTGATGACAACGACCTTTCGGGATTTCGACAATGCATTCGCGATATCTTGTAATAATGGGTCGCAACCCGGTTCAACGTGGGTTGTCGGCATCGTGGTAGAGTAGCTAATTGGCGGAGCATCGGAGAAATGACAATAGGCCGAGTTAGAGAAGGGAACCAGCGGAGGTTTATTGGGTCATCGTGCTCAAGCAAGCTGAAGGATTTATAGCCACTTGGGCGCTTTGATGAGGTGGTTTGCGAGGGTCAATCCAGAGTTCACGGTCGGTCAGGCGGTGGAATCGAGCGCAAGTCCGGTGCTGTTGGAGGTGAACCCTGGACTCACTCAATCTCGAGACGCGTTAAAACCGGACAATGGCGGGGTATTTCGTCGCAAAGGTGTTAGGTGAGGTCGCGTGAAAAAGGCCTGAGTATTGACTGTCGGTGGTGGTAGAAGGGCATTGGGCGGAAGAAGCAAGAAGGGCCTGTGTTTTGGTTGTCGATTCTCACAAAAGAGGGTCGGTGGCAGTTGTTGAAGCTTGCAGAGTGCTCAGGTCACGGTGGAGACGAAACGACGCGCCGGAAGTTCGCAGGGAGCTCGAGTATCCCTGTAGCGCGGTTCATGCCAAGACCTGGGGTCAACCGTTGCAACAGCTCAAACACAGGACAAAAAAAAAGGTATCGTGTGGTTGCGTAGTAATCTGTAGCTCTTGATCGGACCCAGAATACGATTAACCACCATCTGCGCCAGTTTGAGTTTTGCAACTGACCCAGTTTCTCCTTAGAGAGCCTGAGGGTCAAAGCTGTGTCATTTGTCTGGATGGGTTCGCGTTTGAATCGTCAACGCCAAGACGGCCCCACTGCCGCCCCCCTGGGCGTCGCCCCACAGCAGCCATTGTTTCGGCTTCTGGAAACACTCGAGAAAGGCTGAGAGTTGATGATGTTTGCACGTGGTTGGACACAGGTCCAAGAGTCCCTCGTGTCAAATCCAACCCAGTATCATCACCCGCATGCTGGCTCATCCCCAGCCCCTCCTTGCACCTCGGTATTCCTCCCGTAGACGCCGCCGTCAAGAATGACAGCCTCATTATCGTCACGATCATCCTGCACCCTCCGCCACCGCGCGCTCCTGTCCTTCCTCCCCTCCAACTCTTCCCCTTTTCCCTTGATGTCGTAAACGGGCCTGATCAAGCCGCCCAAAAGCGGATTCTTGCTGAAAGCGCCACCCTGCCCACCACTATTCCCATCCGTCTGTGGTGTTATAGACGCACCGCCCCCTCCCACCTCGTCGCCGTCATCCTCCCCAGGACTCGCCGGCCGCTCCACCTTGGCCATCTTCTTAAAGACCTTCCGCCCGGAGAGGTCAATGCTGACCACCTGCTGCCGCTTCTCATACTCGGGCTTATCGTTCCACTCCATCTCCCTGAGCAACTTCTGCTGCCGCTTCAGCGCCAGCGCCCGCTCCTCGGCGCTCGCCCACATGCCCCCCGCATCTGTGACATCAAAATCCGCCGCCTCATCCCTGACCGTCGTGCGCTTCGCATTCTGCGCCTGGAACCCCAGCAGCCGGTCCCGATGCTGCAGCGCCATGGCCTCGGCCACGGTCAAGTCCTCCTTATCCACCCCCGGGCGGGCGAACGGCTTGCGCGGGCCCGCGGCCTCGGCCTTGCGGTGAGCCTCGCGGTCCATGGCCTGGCGCTCGCGGCCGCGCTCGGCGCGCAGCTCGCGGATCAGGTTCTGCACCTCGCCCGCGCTGAGCAGCGGCGTCCCGCAGAATGTGCACGGCCCCAGCCCCTCCTTGATGCACACCACTTTGCCGCAGTTTACGCAGTTGGGCGCCGCCTCGAGCAGCGGGTGGCGCGTCGCCACGCAGTTGCACCGCCGCGCCGCGACCCCCGATGCATCGTTTGAAGCGTGCGATGGGTTGGTGGTAATTTCTAGGGAGCGGATCGCTTGGTCGAGGTCGCTGAGTGCGGTGGAGCTGCCGTGCATCGGCGTGCCGCCTGTGATGGAGATCTTGGTGGTCGTAGTCGAGTTGTTATTGTTGCGGGAGGAGGATGGGCCTGGTGTAGAAGTGCGGGAGACGGGGGTGGATTTCGGCTTGGGTTTGGGGAGGCCAAGATCAGAGACGAGCGTGCCTGCCGCGGACGGGGGAGGTTTGGATGACCGGGGAGGTGGCGTGGCGGACTTGGCCGGCAATGCCAGATTGTTGCGGTGCGTATTGCTGTTCGGCGGTGTTGATGTCCCTGGCTTCTTCGACATGTAATCCTCCTGCTGGCCCTTCTTGTTATACACTGTCCCCGGCGCTAGCTCAAACGATGCGACTTGTCGGGGAGGCGGCGTATGGATAGCAGCCTTCTTCTTTTTGGGGCCGCGGCGTTGTTTCGGGACGGCATCGGCTTCAGAGGTTTGACCTGAGCTGGGCGCAGTTATGGGCGCGCTGGGCGGTACTGGCTTCGGTTCCGCACGGCGGGCGTTGAAGGTGGAAATGAAATCGATTACCTGCGACGAGTCGCCGAGCAGGGCGCTGAAGTACTCGATCGCTTCGGCCTTGGACAGTGTCGCGCCATGATCGAGCACTTGCTGCAACCCGTCGTCGGGCATAGGCAGCAGCTGAAACAGTTGTTCCTTGGACATCGTGGGTGGCAGTCCTTGTCGATTCGGAAGTGTGGACGGGATTTGGAGGTTGAGTCTGGCTGTGGAAGGAGTGGCATAGAAGTCAAGGAATGGTGGGAGTCCAGGTTGGTGGGGCTGGCCCCGGTTGATACAGGTGCAAATGCCGAACCTGTCTCGAGCTGACAACTTTCGCAATTCAGTCGTAGCGAACCAGAGCCACAAATACCAAGTATCCCGGTTTTACGCCTTTGTCTTCCACTATCTTGGTTTTTTCCGAACCAACTCACGGCTGACTCTGTTGCGGGAACAGAAGCCCACCCCATGCACGCCCCTCTGGCTTGCTCAGGTCGCTTCGTGACCGGACGCTCGGTGTGACTCCCAGCCGACATCCATGCCTTGGCACAAGTGCCCCACCTCCCCGCCCCCCTTACCCAGAGCTTCTGGAAGCTTGGGTCGGAGATTTTTGAAGTCTCAAAACCTCCAAGGGGGTCATACCATTGAATCCCGTACTAGCTGTCATCGCCTGCCCAAAATGGCTGCGTTTCGGACACGATCTCTTCTGGGTCTTCCCCGCGGGTCCACCTGAATGAATTCACAACGTTGATTATCGATCGCCAAGGCCAGGCAGGACATGTCTTCATGTGTGGCTCGGGAAGCATGGAAAACACAACGAAACCCTCATCAATACGGACAATTGTACAGCTCCCCTACACGGCAAATGACATCTAGGCTTGTGTTCATGGTCAAAACTGACAGCTGTTTCTGTTCCACGTTCTAGTCCTTCCGTTTTGGCACTCGCGTCGTCCACGCCACCGGTGCCCGGAACGACCGCCACCACCCCAATGTTTTGCGACTCTGCATACATGTTTCAATCCTACAGTACGCCATACAGACGCTCATCCTCTGGCTCCCGTCGCCACTTCGTTTCTGGGCTGAACGTTCTTTTCCAGAATGGTCCCTACCGCTCAACATCGTCCTGAAGCAGAAAAAGGAAGGATGGGATGAGGAGTTCGACACCGAAAAAGCAACTTACCAAAAGCTGAGGAGTGATACTAACCGCGTCTGCGTATCGCACCCCGAAACCCCATGGCCCCGTTGGGGGTGAACAACCAGGGCGGTGTAGACCAAGATGCTGTACAACACGCTGGCCACAACTCAGCCGGCGGTCCCATCAACGTGCTGTGTGCCGTGTCTCTGACCGATTCCGATGGTTTGTACACAGACATCCCCAACGACTACCTACGCGGCCCAACCGACTCCTAACGCTCTAACCCCCGACAATAAAAGCAGGCCAAAGCGTGCCGCACATCGTGGCTCGCACCATGGCCAATACCAGACTACCTCCGACATCGAAGGGTCTCGGGATGCCATCGAGATAGAGGATGAATCTGACGACGGCGTGGTCGCTCTGTCACAGGTCAATATCTTACTACGTAACTGGTTCCGCGCGGGAGGCCATACTAACATGTTGTCGGGCATGAGCACGACACCGACTCATCATGTCACCGACCCCGCCACAACTCCCCTTTTCCTAACCGGCATCCCAGCTCCCGCCCCGATTCTGGTCCCCCGCGCCGTTTGACAACCCGCAATAATACAACTTATGCCTTCAGTCGGCCGCCCAGTTCCGCCGGGAGGTCCCCATCCCTTCAAATCTCCGTCAATACCAACCCGCCATACCACGACTAGCGGCGCAGAGCCTTGTCGTGCCCTCGCGACGTTCGCATTCGACGCTGCGGCCGAGCGGGAGCCGAGTTGCCTAGGGAGCCCCGACCCTTTGTTAGCGACGTTCGTTAGACTCCATGAGACGGCGTTTGTGAAGCGGCTGATTCATGTTGGAAACGTTCAACTTGAACATGATACGCTTCTCTCTCCTCTATTAATTATCCACGCTTCTCTTGACACTTTGGGGGTTACAAGGCTACGCTGCCACCCAGATCCGACGATATGATGTACTCGAAGCCGTAGCCCCTCCTGAAACCTTTCGAACTTCCAATCGTCGGATAGCAGGACTCACTCACAAGGTAGGCACCAAAGTTCCTCTTTCCTCGTCGATATGCTTTAATACCTCTGTAACGTTGCAGGTACATACAAGTCGTGTACAGCCACGTAGTTCCTATCTGTAGGGTAGCTCGGGTACCTGTAGCATTGTCCATGTCTGTCGGTAGCACTGCGACGCGCCCCTGAATTGTGCGTCCAAACCCCTTGGGCTACCACGCTCCATGATACTACCCCTCGACAACCGCGGTGGACACTTTCGGTTACCGTTTCATTATTGGAGCCGCCCAGACATTGCTACGCCCGGAACTAACGTGCTCGATCAGGACCTTCCGAAATACTGTGGCGGCTCGGCCCCTCATTTTGAGGGGATGTAACCCAACAACCCACATGCAAAAGGAACTTTTGATCGGGCTTGTGGGCTCGCACACATCGGTATGTCAAGATGCAGATGTTCAGGGTTTCGCACGTGCCGACTGACTGCAGTTGTTTCTCTGTAAGTTGGGCATTCCGTGAGTTGCATTTTCCTGTTCACCAGGTGCCTTCTTCCAGACTCTCTGTCGATCCCGCCGTCATCTGCCCAGACCGCTGCCATGTGCCGCTCACGGCTTCGAGCCGATGGCAGACGCTGTTCGTCGGCCCGGCATCCAAAACTTCCTAGCCCGGCGCCATATCCCTGGCTTCCCCAGGCCTGGCCCTATCTGGCACCGGTCCCCGTGAGAGGTACCCCTCAATTTGGAGCTCTCTCCCCAACAGCGAATCACATCTTCCCATCCAGGGATCTGACCTTCCTGGTGGCGGGTGCCTGGTGATCCTGTTGCATGTCAGTGCCGGGCACGCGGGGTCCAAATCGAAGCTTGACCATAGATGCCAGATCCCATTGGCCTCCAAACCGGCGGCTATCACAGGCGGCCGATATGGGCATCTTGGTAGGTCCGATAACGACCGAGATGGTGGTCGTTAATGTTGCATTTGCCTGGGGATGACCTGGTTAAACCCGTGCGTTGCCGCGCTCAGGGTCCTGGTGTTCTATCACGGGGAAACTGTTGGAACCTGTGAGCGCCCGGGAGCAGCGGCCCCGCGGTGAAGACGTGAGCGGAAAGAAGACACGCGGGCAAAGGTCTCAGCTTCCATGCTGGAAATCAAGGCCCACTCCCATGTTTCCGGCGGCAACGTTACCGGTGGTGAATGTCAGGGGACTTTGTAAGTCGAGGGCGGAAGGATGGGTTTCTGCAGGCGTCTGAGGTTGACCTAGCCTTGAATGGAAGAATCAAATCTCTGCTCTGGAGGTTGAATCTGGTGGTGGTCGGGGAGCGAGATCCCGTAGTAGGAGTGTGTCGCGGGGATATAAGACGTTTGATATCCTCCATCGATTATAGTACAACCGAGATCAGATCGACACCAGGTTTACTGAACACTCTCGACTCGAACCGCGATCTGCACCTTCACCATGGTATCCTTGTCACTTAGAAAAGCAGCATTGGCTGCCATATCCTTATGGACGCTTGCCACTCAAGCATCCCCGCTGCCCTCCTCCGAAACAGAGATCCAAGCTCGGCAGTCATCTGGTTACAAGAACATCGTGTACTTCACCAACTGGTATGACCACAATTAATCTCTCTAACAGCCATGATGGGACACTCACTGACCGAACCAGGGGAATCTATGGCCGCAACTACCAACCCGACCAGCTGCCTGCGTCTCAGCTCACACACGTCCTCTACTCCTTCGCCAACCTCCGCTCCACCGGGGAGGTGTTCTTGTCTGACACCTACGCCGACCTAGAGAAGCACTACGCGAATGACTGTACGTTCATCATGCTCCCCACCCTCTGCCATCCCTACCTACCAAGCAGCCGTACTAACACACCCAGCATGGAATGACGTCGGCAACAACGTCTACGGCTGCACCAAGCAGCTCTTCCTCCTCAAGAAGTCCCACCGCCAGCTCAAGACGCTCCTCTCCATCGGCGGCTGGACCTACTCGGCCACCTTCCCCGCCGCAGCGAGCACCGCCTCGGGCCGCGCCCTCTTCGCCTCCTCCTCGGTCCGCCTCCTCGCCGACATGGGCTTCGACGGCCTCGACATCGACTGGGAATACCCGACCAACCCGACCGAAGCGGCCAACTTCGTCCTCCTCCTCAAGGAAGTCCGCTCCGCGCTCGACGCCTACGCCGCCCAGCACGCACCGGGCTACCACTTCCTGCTGACCATCGCCTCGCCCGCGGGCCCCACCAACTACGCGCACCTCCCGCTCGCCGACATCGCGGGGGTCATCGACTTCTTCAACCTGATGGCGTACGACTACGCCGGGTCGTGGTCGACCGTCTCGGCGCACCAGGCCAACCTGTACCCGCTCACGCCCAACACCACCACGCCCTTCTCGACCGACGCCGCCGTCGCCGACTACCTGGCCGCGGGCGTTCCCGCCGCGCAGCTGGTGCTGGGCATGCCCATCTACGGGCGCGGCTTCACGGCCACGGACGGCATCGGCCAGAGCTACACGGGCGTCGGGCAGGGCAGTTGGGAGGCGGGGGTGTGGGACTACAAGGCGTTGCCTAAGCCGGGGGCGGAGGTGGTGTACGATGAGGCAGCCGGGGCGACGTATAGTTATGATAAGACGGGCAGGGAGCTGGTGAGCTTTGATACGGTGGAGATGGTGCAGAGGAAGGTGGGGTATCTGAAGGGGAAGGGCATGGGTGGGAGTATGTTCTGGGAGGCGTCGGCGGATCGGGTGGGGGATGGGAGCCTGATTGGGGCGAGTTTTGGGGCGCTTGGGGGAGTGGACAAGGGGGAGAATTTGTTGAAGTTTCCGGATAGTAAGTATGATAACCTGAGGGCTGGGTTTGAGTGAGGTGTGGTCTGGGAGGGTGAGAGAGGGTCAACGGCGCCGAGGGGAGGCAGTTTGCATCATTTGGGGGCGGGGTGGCTATATTCGTTCGTTTGCACATACTTTTCTGTATTTCCTTTTAGTGGGCTTCGCTTCATTCACTCTTTCATTCTCTAGGGATCCTAGGTAGGCAAGGGGGATGGGGCCGGGTTGGGGGTGGAGGAGTGGTGAGCAGGATCATGGATCCATAGTATCTATGTATGCATTCATGTTTGATTCGATATTCTTCAGACTTCGAGTACAAGGGCCAGGGCATGGATACATTGTTCATTGAATTTGTGTATACGACCTATGCAGGATGCCTGTAGCCACCCCCCGACCTGCATTAACACCTTCTGCTTGCCATAGCGCCGGCACTAAAGGCAAACATAAATGTACCGAATATCCTCGGCATCCATTGTTCCCTGGAACTTCGCGGCAGTTCCAACCCAATCGGTACGCTGCCCAATCATCTCGTAACACATTCGCCACTCCTTTTCCCAGCATCATGGATAGAGGCCTGAGAGCGATACTGTGTAGAATGCCATGTCTGGGTAGGTGTAGACCTGGCTGCTCAATCGGGTTGAATGCTCGCTCCCTCGTGGAAAACCGCCGGATGCACCGCAATAATCCATCTGTACTAGTGAGACATGACTCAGTGTATCTCGGGCATCCTAACCACGATGCGCTGGTTGGATCTCTCTTGTTTGGGATCTTCGCCCTGCTGTCTTACGATCGTTCCACGGAAGCGCCCCTTACGTGTCATAGAGCACATGGTTGGCCGCATATCAGGCCTTGGGATTCCTGAAATATCATCGGCAGCCGGTCGTGTAACTGTATTAGTTTCGCTTTGTCCCACGATCAACAAGATGAGAGGCCCTTAAACTCGGACCATGAGGATTCCGGAGTTCAACGCTCAGGAACGGCACACTGCCACTCAACCGACATTGTATTCAAGCATTCCATCAGTTAAGTCATATTAGGTACATTGTACTACGGTGAGGCATCGGTGTCAAAGATGCCGATCGACCAGGAGCCGGCTCACCTCTCGCCTGTGGCACTGATCATGGTACCTCGTCCCAGGCTCGGTCGATAACACGAACGCCACAACCCCCGCACACACGAACACAAACACAGGCTACACGTTCAACACTTTCCAGACGCTGTCCGACTGGAACATCGGCAGTTTCTCGTAGGCTCCGACAGACTTTCTTCGGATTACGTCTTTGTCTGCCCAACTCGAGCACGGGATTCAACTTATCCTTCATATTACACCATGGTCGCCGATCCGAACAGCCCATCACATACCGGCGGTTTCACGAGATGGCGACGAGAGTGTGACCCAGAACCAGGGACTCGGGTCGGTCCCTGTGATACCTGCCCTGTTCTGGGCCGTGTGATATTGGAAGATTTGCCGGCCCCCCCCCCCCCCCCCCCAGAACAGCTCTATTCCTTGCGCAGCTGGAGGGACTTCAGGGATGGGAAGGAGAGGGGGTTAATCAGCCGTCGGCGGCCGTAAGCCCCGCGAAGCCGGGCCGATTCATATGATATTGGCTCACTTGGCCGGGCCAGAGCGAAGCTGAGCAGATTATCTGCGTAGTCCCATGGGCTCCGCGGCCGGGTCTGTACACTGTGTTGCTGCAAGGTAGGGATATACGACACAATTCCGACCAAGCCGGCGGGTTTCGGGTGCCGTTCCCATTATGCTAACATCACGAGGCTCAGAAGGGTGGCCGTCGCCCGAGCCCAAATAAGTCGTTCCGGAGGTTTATCCAGTGTACTAACTATTGTCTCAGCCTTCTTGAAACGCCAGCTCAAAGGCTGCGCCGTGGCGGGAGCGAGCCCACGAGGACGCGAGCCTATCCTCCGACCACGGATGGGCCCAGATCTCACTGTGCACATCCCTGTAATGGATCGTCTGCATGTCAACATCGCAGTGTTCCGTCGGAGCAAATACCCGATGACTCGGAAGGGTGTGGCGTCGGCCTTACCAGGGTGTGAGCCCTGCTGAACTTGGATTCCCCCGGCGGCTGATGGCGATCGGACGGCGGAATGGCGCAAACGCCAAGCACAGGTCGTGAGACTTTTCGAGTTGAGAGAGTAAGAAGTTGATCAACCATCCTCGAAAGGGAGAGTGCGGTAAAGGTCCATGAGTCAGGACGAGGTCCGCGACTGGCTTTAAAGATGCGACAGAGGGACATGTGCATGTACGGAGGAGTTAGCTCGCAAAGATCGACGCAGAATTCTGCAACAAGACGGATGGGCTCGCCAACACGCTGCATGGGCGATGCACGGGGGGAGAGCGTGGGTGGCCCCGATGCGTGGCTTGCGCCGCCCTCTCCACCTGCCTCGGCTAGAGAGACGACAGACCTCCGGAGAGTCGTGGTGTCTCTCAGAATTGTCCGAAGCATCCGGATCTCAGCACCGAATGCCCGGTTAAGCTTAAGGCGCGGATCAAAGGATCGAGGCGTCGCGGGAGCCAGGTGCAAGCGAAAATTGAGAGCTGAGGAGAGTTGCCGTGTGAGCGTCCAAAGCGGTGAAGCGCCGAGGCCGATCGACAAACATTGGCTGTGACGGACAGCGGGAGAGGTTCGGGGGACGAAGTACACGACGCAGAGACAAAACGGACGACCTGGGTCCTGGGACGGAGTCAAGTCCGGGTTGGTTGGCCGGCGTCGAACAAGGGCAATTTTTGTGTTGGCCGTGAGCAACCAATCGTTGCCCACACCGTTGCCTGCGTGGCCCGCACAAGCGTTTTTGTGGCGGGACAAGGACCAGACGAACGGGCGCGGTACATCTGTACATCTGTACAATCTGCGTACTGAGCCGGGGTGTGTGGTTCGTGCCTGTCCTGTCCGTGCCTGTTCTGGAAATGCTCTGCGGCAGAGATTTGTGTTACTGGAGCTCTGAGCTGAATGGGGGAACCTGAGGAGGAAAGGATATCCGATTGTGGGAGGCCACTTGCTGGGGAGAGCAACCGAGTGCGCAATCGAGCTCCCGCTTTGGGACAGCAGGGATGAAGGGCCAGGATCCCGGCTGCCGATCACCCGCAAGCAGAAAGAGCGTGGGGCCTGTGCGGCCGGGCAGCGACTGCCATCTAATCCGACAATCATGGTCAGACAAACATGCAGAATCAGCAAGGACCCGTGAAGGGAAGACGTTGCAACTTGCCAGCAGAAAAGGGCATGGGTGCGAGAGAGGCTTGAGAGAGACGCAATGGTCGTGTGTAGTGTAAGGTTCCTCTGCATTACCATGGCAGTCCACCTGCCGCCATGCCGCGTCACGTTTTCTGGGAAAAGTTGGGGTCGTCAGCGTTCCATGCTCCCACTTTGATGCGCAACTGGAACACACAAGAACCGGCATTCTAACCGTCCCAAAGCCTCTCCCCCCACCGAGTTACGGCGAATGTGGAGCCAGGGTAGATCGACGGGGACAACGGAAGGGGTCCGATGGGCCGGGGAGCCCTGAGGATCGGTGACAGGCCGCAGCCGGGGATCCTGGCCCAGACCGCCGCTGCGAGCTGCGAGCGATGCAAGATGTTGGCGCGGGGATGGGTACAAGGTGAAGGGAGGGATGCGTGGATGCGTGGATGTGTGGATGGATCATGGATGGATGGACCCATGCCTGCCCCCTGTGATGTGAGAGCCCTGCCCCGGGTTGAAGAGTCCGTCCCGGCTCGAGCATGCCAACAGCCAGCCAGCCGCCAGCAGGCAAGGTAACTGCATAAGGCAAAAAAGACTTGAGAGCGGCAGTGCCCGGCAGGAGCCTGACTTCCTCCCACTGTGGCCGTACCCCAAGAACCCTGCAAATACATAGAAGGGCAGGAAGGAGCGATCCTCTCATGTCTGATTTATAGACCGCCAAACCCTGCAAGGTGCGCGCAATCCAGACCCGGTCCGTCCCTCCCGCACCTGCTTAACCTAAACCCCAAGGCCACTTCAGTCCATCGTCATTTCTCATGGCGGCACATAGACGCTCAGGTAGTAGTCACGGGGTAGGCTCGACCGGCCAGCCACGGCAACTCCCAGGGTCGGCGTGTGAAGAATGTCGGAAAAGGAAGCTGCGATGTAAGAATCATGATCATGATGATGACTCCGATCTGGATCACTGTCATCAGCCTGAGCAAGAGGGTGGCTCAATGACAGACGGCGGTCTCACCGTCGAAGGGACCGAGGCTGACATGAACTCCGCGAACATCCAGGCGATAGACAGCGACCGCAATGCGGGACTTGTGCCGACGCCGGTATCGTGTGCGAAATCAACAACAACCGTCTCGCGCGGGGCCCCAAGAAAGGCGACCTCAAAGCTCTCCGCAGTCGGATCGGTGAGTAACGGGGCGGATACGACCCCGACAAGTTCCTTTTTGTAACTGAACCCTCGCAGTGGCCCTGGAACGCCGGCTGAGCGTCGACCACGGCGCAGCCGCCTTGTCCATTCTCACCGGCGACGACGCTGTTTTACCGACACCATCCGAGACTCGGGCTACCAGCACCTCGGCCTCGGAAGGAGGATCTCCCACGCTTGTCTCGCCATGTCAGCAAAGCTCGTCGGTTTGGGACGGCGAAATCCACGTCCAGGTACCTCCGATGACCCCCACGTCCGCCCCTCTGAGCTTTTCCACCTTCAAGTTTCCGCCCACGCCGCCGTCACCGCCGAGGGGCACGTTCGTGGACGACTTGATGCGTGCGGATCTGTACGTTACTCCTCTCTTTGCTTTCCCTACCCTACCTCGCGTGTCGGTCCTGGTCGCTGACAGCTCCGCCCCAAAGTGATCAATTGTACTTTGACCGAGTACACCCCAACGTCCCCATCTTTAACCAGTCGCGATACTTCGCCAGGGCTCGGCAGAACCCCTGTGTTGAGGGCCCCACCTACATGCTCTGTCTCCAGTATGCCATGTGGACTCTTGCCATGGCGCTCTCGTCCCAGTTCGAAAGCTCTCGGGAGCTCCTCTACAACGAAACACGGCAGATGCTCGAGGCGCTTGACCTAGCGGACGACGATTTGCAGCCCGTGCGGATCGAGCAGGTACAAGCGTGGCTTTTGATATCCTTCTACGAGTTGGCGCGCGCAAGCTACCGCCGGGCTTTAATAAGCGCAGGTCGGGCATTTCGGCTTGTGCAGCTCGCGCGTCTGCACGAGGTAGACGGCCACGGAAACTCGATAGAGGAAGAAGATCCGGTGGTCAAAGAGGAGAAAAGGAGGACGTTCTGGATGGCCTACTCCTTGGATCGCTTGATATGTATGAGGAGTCGTTGTCCCCTGACACTGACAGAAGAAGTGGTACGTCGTCCCTCCCGCCCATTGGCTACACCGTGCCCTCCCACCCGATCTATGATGATCCTCATCTTTCCTTGGGATCCACCTGCTCATTAAACCGTGTGACATGGCAGGTCTGTACGCGGCTCCCGTCACCGGAGTTGGCATTCCAGAGTGGCCATCCCATCCCGGGTTGCTTCCTGCCGGAAGCTCTCGCCTCAGGCGATCACAACTTTTTTTCGCCGCTCGCTGGGTCCATAATGGTCATCAGTATCTGTGGCCGCGCACTCTCCCATGGTCAAGTCTCCGGCGTGGAACGAGCGTTTGGCACTGCGTCGCTCGACTTTTGGCTCCGGCACGAATGGTTGGACGGGATGTTGGCGCGAACACTGGAATCGCTTTCAATGAATTCGCCAGTCGCGTCCGCGATGGCGGATCCGATGGTTTTCTTCGCCTTTATGATGGCGCACGCAACAACTATCTTCATGTGCCAGATTGCGGAGGCGTCAGGGATCGACGGCCATTGTCGGCCGACGGTTGCGGATTGTCGGAGTCGGGCGACGCAGGCCGCGCGGGAGATTGGCAGGATAGCCAAGGCACACGAACACATTGGGTATTTCAAGGTGAGACACGCCCGACCCAACAGCTCACATAACTAAACGCAGCCTCCCGTTTGCGCTACACACATGAGGCTAATGTAGAACCCACGAGGCTAGGCCCACATATTCCTGCCGTTCGCCGTCTACCTCGGTGCATCGCAGCTGGCGTCGGACCGCAAGCGGCGACTAGACGGGCACTATCCGTTTCATAGCCACGGCTTGGAGACAGAAAGTGAGTCGGCACTTGACGGCGAGTTTCACATCTGCATGGATGCCCTGAGAAAGGTACAGAGCTTCAACCACCTTGCGAAGGAGCATTTGGCGGTACTAGAGTCACAGGAGTTTGTTTTTGGAGGTCTCTGAGTGTTTTCAAGTGCATGCGATATACCCAGGTCAACGCTATTTAATTTCTTACTTATTACTGGTTTGTTGTTTCCCTGCTTTCATACCCGGCGCAAAAGGAACTCCATCAATTGGATCAAGGTGGACTATAGACGCTCTTTGAGCCAGTATTATTGACCCAAGCCCAGCGAGAAGGGCCATAAATAGAAGAAAAGAGGGGTTATTAAAATCATGGATGGAAAGACGAGGTCACGAACCCTCTGAGACTGGGGTGGGTTGAAGGAGATGACTGTTTTGTTGGGAGATGCCCAGTGGTTCTTTCGGATACCGCTTTGGGAATGAGAGCAGTTGCGTCTCATCATTCGTCGCGTCCCGCAGATCCCCACTAGCTTTGCAGCATCACCAGGTGACCAGTCTCAACTCAGGTTCGCTTTCAGTCGGTTCGAGGGCTTCGACTGACTCAGCAACTTGCTGAATCTAGTTGAACGGTGACGCGGCTTTGAGATTTGTTGAATGGTGAAGTCGTTGTTATGTGTTATGGGCTGGGATGGGGTGATGGGCAGATGATTACCTTACCTATATAAGGACGCCTTGGTTTCGAGCTTTTGCAGCAATCATCTCATCCTCTCAACACCATCCTCGCCACACCGTCCTTCAACTACCGAAACTCGCCAAACACCAAACACAATTACAAAATGGCAACCCCCGACATCGAAGCCGCCAAGATGTGAGACAACTCCGCGATAGAACGGGAAACCCTACAGCAACTGACCTTCCTGTCTAGCAAATACGCCGGACGCCCGCGTGAAGACGTCAAAATTCTCTACGACTACGAGCTCAAGAATGCGCCCGGCAAGTCGCTGGTGGCGCTCGAGCTGAGCTACAAGCCCGGCGGCTGGAGCCCGCCGCACACGCACAACGGCGCCCAGGCCGTGGCGTACGTGCTCGAGGGCGAGTTCCTCAGCGGCATGAACGGCAACCCGGCCAAGGTGTACAAGCCTGGCGAGCAGTTCCTCGAGCTGCCCGGCTGCCACCACACCGTCTCGGACAATGCGAGCATGACCGAGTCCATGAAGGCTATCGTGGTGCTGGTTATGGATACCGAGAAGCTGAAGGGCGAGAAGGGCTATGCCGCCATCACAGAGATTGACCCGGGTTGGGAGTGGGCTTGAGTACACCTCGAAGGAGAGGCTTACGAAGCAATAAATAGGCTGGTGGCACAACTGATACGATACAAAGGAAGAATAAAAGACCGATTCCTGCACCCGTTGCCTTTCCGTGCGTTTTCTAATGACCTAGGTACGGCAGGGTCTCTGTTCTAGGTCGTGCTGCCTCTTCCGCACTCAGGTTTTCAGCTTGGCGTCGGATTCGTCACCGGCCCCGGGCTCGGCTCCGTGAATAAACCCGGTTCAAGCGCGATCATCTTGTCCCTAGCTTTCTCCACCATGTCTGTCAACACCTCCCTGTTCTTCTCAAAGAGCTTGAAGCCCGGATCTCCGCCTCCTTCGAGCGCAGCCGCAATCTCTGCGAGTTTGTCTGCCCACTGCTTCCAGACGACAGGGCCGTTGCCGTTCTCCCAGCCCTCCCAAACGTATTTGCGGTGGATCACCGGCGGCAGCTGCTTCTTGACGCACTCGGCGTGGATGACGTCTCCGGACAGCAGTATCCATTGAGCGACGGCCATGATCTGGTAGTCCAGAAACTCTCCCAATGGCTGCATGATGGTAGATGAAATGAAAGACCCCTGCGAATGGAAACGACCCCTGTCTGCTGAGTCCAACCCGGCGGCCGTGCAGCGAGCTGAGAATGTATGAAAGCTGACAAAGGCGGCAACGCTGGCCTCGAAGTCGTCGATGTCCTCTTGGGACTTCAAGTTGTCGGCGTCCTCGGCCCTGACATCTGCGAAAGTTGGCATAATCAGTGCTTGTAACGCGGGAAAGGGGACGCGGTAACCAACATCCAGGGTCAGCCTCGAAGAGTTTCCATGACACAAGCGGATCGCGGGTCCAAATCTCACTGTCGATCCATTCGAATTCAGGTTGCTATTGCATGTAAGAAGAAAACTGTCAGATGTGATGTGGTATCCAACCCATGAACGAGGATGAACTTACCACGAATATCTTGACAACATGTGTGGGTAGTTTCCGCAACTCTGAGAACAATTGGATAACCTTGACCTGTTTTGGGTCGTCGTATTCCATTCCAACGGCCACTGCGAACACCGTCTCGTAAAATACCTCGAGGTAGCCGGTCCATCCTTTCTTTGTGCCGTTGAATCCATTGAATCTTGGCTCGTAGACTTCACTATATAGGTCATCGAAACGTCGCGCAAATGTGGCCGGGGCGTCGTCGTCGTCAGAAAGCAGATACTCCTTGAGAATGGTTGCGACGATTGATTCAAAGTCTCCCTCTGGACCCCCCCGTATCAGGTCGTCCACCACCGGCAACCAACCCCTGAGTGGCTCTGGTATGTAAGGGCGCTCAGATTGTGCACTGGTTGCCATCTTGAACTTGAATTGTTTTACAGGAGGGGGACGCTCGGATTGAACGGAAGCGACAAAAAGTGATGGGAGAAGTTGGAGAGGAGAGTAGAGGAGAACGGAGGAGAACGGCTCGCGGGATGCGAGTGTGCAAAACTATGCTCCAAATGTTGGTTGCATGCCCCGTCTCTTAAGCCTTGCAGGAAGTCCAACGGGGCCTCCCGGGAGGACGGGCGCCATGCCATGGTGTGTGATTGGTTGAGCAGTTGGAAAGATGTCGGCGGTTAACTTGAAGCAGGGGGTGGGGAAGATTGAACCGCAGAATCACGCATGGCAGAGTTCCAGGGTTACACTGAGATGTTGTGCGACGCAGATGTTGGTTCTGAACTCCAGACCTCAAACAAGCCTTTTAACCCGGGCCTCCATTTCATCTGAGGGGAATTCCTGTGAGAAAGTGCTAACCGCCGCAAGGGGCGCTATTCTTGGAATGTACATACATTATTCCCCTCCTCGACCTCAGCCCCCCGGTGCGACTCTGGATGGAGGCCGTTGCTGGGTGCTGGTTGCATACCCGGCCCTGTGGGTTTTCGAACTCGGCCTCTGCGGTTAACAAACCAATGATACCGGGAGGGGGTCCAGGCGCGCGCTTCACCTCTGCGTATCGCAGACCGCGGCCAGCTCCTTGAAACCGCCAGGCCCAGACACCCTGGGACATCTCGTTGGCCTGGTAAGCAGTTGGCTAGGAAAGGGGCTACCCAAGGAAAGGCTGTGTGTCAGTCGGCGCTTTGGACCATGATAAGTAGGCAGTCGGGGCCGGGCCTGTGGTGTCGAGTGTCCGGGAAACAACATCAAAGTGCCGGTCAATTCTGTGCCCATCGCAGCTACTCGACGCCCTTGCACCTCCAGCCTCAGTACCGTCCCCTCATACCCCTTTGCAGCATGGGGTGCGGTGGCTCTAAGGAGGAAGCGACGGAACAGCACCATGGATCCTTAGCAGGTGCAAGACCATCACGAAAACCTGCCGAGGACAGCGATACACTCTCCGACCTCAGTGTCCGCCCCGTACTCCGCTCCAGTCAACCAGGACACACCCGACCACCTACACGTCGTACCACTGCCCAAGTCTCGAAGCCGAAGCAACCAGACGGCAGAGTGAACTCGGCTAACCCCTCAACCTCATTCGTAAGTCTTTCTATACAAATCATGCCATACACCCCGACTAACACGCCGTGCTTTGCCTAGCAATACGTCTCACCACAAGGGAATATTTCGTTGAAGCGAGTGGAGCACATCGTCGCCAAAAGTCCTGCACCGCCAGCGAAGCCTCTCAAGGGAATGAGATACCCCAAGAGGTACTGGAATGGCGAAGGACCGGCCGATAACCGAACGCAAAACTTCAGTGATTGGGAGATCCGGCAGACGCAAGATCCGGCGGACGGCAGGAGTACGGAAACATACGAGTACCCCATCAAGACGCTCGTCCAGAAACCGCCATTCAGGTCAGAGTTCAACTTCGCAAAGAAGCCGGCCACCCTCAAGCAATGCATTCCAATACCGCCGCCCGATAGAAGGGGATATAAAGAGCGCTGGGAAAGACCGCCAAACGAGCCCGGCGCGATCCGCGCGGTGGTCAACAAGGACCAACAACTTGTCGGCGCAATGTACCACCCGGAGGGTGACACTCATGGGTTTTTGAGCGCGCGCTTGGAGCCCTTGGACGGAACGGGGCGCGGCGAGGTAGCCCGCTACAACGACAGGCAGCAAACTGGGCGGGACACTTGGCCAAAACGAGGACCGGATTGAAAGGGGGGGGTGGTGGTGGCAGAGCTCCAAGGTTAGGTACCTAGGTATGGAGAGTATTCCCGATGATGGATGTTGGTTTGAACTTTGAATCTCAAACAAGACCTTCGAAACCCCGGGCGGGCTTTCATCTCATGATTCGCATCCCACTGATAAGTGACAACCTGGCCCCCTAAACTGCCCTACTTCATGAAGGGGTGCAGAATACAGGAGCTATCTTTATCCCTAGGCCACAGCGAAGGCGGCGTAGGGGCTGCGATGTTTGGGATGCGCCGTCGTATGTAGAGGGCTCCCCTTACGCTTCTGGCTAAGATGATCGGCCTCCTGCAGCGAGCATGCGGTGTGCCATGGGTTGATATCATTTTGACGGTGTGACGCTACTGGGGGTTTCATGCCCCGCACCACACAAGAGATGACAGGAGCTGAGTGGCCAGCTTCGTGCGTTCTTGGACTGGACTTCAGAAGGCTGGCTGAAATCAAGCTGAATCTTCTCAATTTTATTGACATCGAGCGAAAGCGGGAGCGCAAACTCGACCGAGCTCTCCCACAGACCGCCCAATGAGTGTGTTGAAACAGCGAATATTGCGCTAAACCGTCTGTTTTCATGGAGGGATCACTGAATAGCTGCAGCTCGGGACCCGACGCGGTGACCTGGTGTTCATCTGATACACTCACGGCCGACCCAGACATTGCCGGCATTGGGGTACCGTACCGCCGGCTCATTCTCGTTTTCTCGATGGCCGTAAGCTGACACGCCACAGGTCATTAGTTCTTTTATCGCCTCTTCATGTCTGGCCATCATCAGCACATGCCTCTACCTCGTGCTCATCCGCTCCGGCCTCCTTCCGGACGGGAGTTTCGACCCGGCGGCCTGGCAGGCGCGCAACTTCCCTCCCAATGAGACTTTCAACCCGATCGACCGCTGGGTGCGCCAACACATCTGCACCCCGTTCGTCCGTTCCATCCTCAAGCGGAAGTGGATCGACCACGCCCGCCTCAACAAGCTCCGGCGCGCGCTCTTCGCCTTTGTCCTGTCGCTCGCCGACATGCAGCTGGTCGCGGGCATCGCCATGCTCACCGCCGCCGTCATCAAGCTGCACCACGACAGCATCTCGGTGTACCACTTCAGTATGGTGACAAACCTAGCTTGGTTCAGCAGCAACGTGCATCTGCTTGCTCTGTTGGCGATCCGGACGGAGCTGATTGGGAGTTTGAAGATTGGCCGCCGCTGGTTACCGCCCCCGCAAAAGGATATGTCGGTGTGGGGGAGGGCAAGATCGGCATTTAGCTGGGGAGGAGATATTATGGCACGGGTCATCTGTATGCTTACCCTGGCCGCGTTGCTATTGTACTGTTCGTATGTGTCTGGGGCCGATGGGTGGAACGACAACTACCACTGTCCCGCTGCCTGTGCAAAGGGGAGGGAGAAGGGAGGCGAGCCACTCGCATGGATGGTGGTCAATTTCGCTTTGGTGCTGCTGACGTATCCGGAGAGATGTCTAGCCTTATGGCCGGCGGTGGGAGCATGGTGGATCGACCGGGCGAGGCATCGGATTGTTGACAACAAAGGCCTGGCGAAACCAGACAGAGACCGGGAGATACGGCCATGGCGGAAGGTATTTGCCTGGTTCTGGTATGTCGGGTCCTCCGAAACCATAAGTATCGCCGTGGATGGGTTTCTATGGTTCGCCCTGGGCGTGTATTGGACTTTTGACGACAGGAACAGCGTCCACAACGAGTGGAAAGACTACACGGATATTGGAAAGGAGAATGATGTGGAAGGATTTGGGCAGTTGGTGCCTCTTCTACTCCTGGGACTTCCGTTCTTGCAGGTCCTTGAGATGTACAGCGGTGAGTTTTCCGAGTTGCTGCATTCGGGGGAAAGGGGAGGCGGGAAAGATGTAGTGCCTGGCACTTCGAACTGACATACTGTCGTCGACATATAGGACAATCGAGACAGGTACAACGCGAGGAGCAGGAGGAAAACGAGTTGCGGGCATTAGCAAGGACACGGCTGAACATCAGGAAGATGCGACAAAAGCACAAAAGAAATGCTACTAGGCCGGGGTGCCCACCCAACTACCGCCTAGTCCATCGCCACCGTGCTCGTATGATTGCTCGTTGAGCCATCTAGTCCACATGATGCGGGAGAGCGGGACTGCCTGGACCACTTCGGGGGGAGAAGGGTGCCATAACGGCTTTGGCATGGTCTCACCTGGACTCTCGTTTCAATGGCCTATCCTCTTGGTTGTTCTTCAGCTATTCTTCAGCTATACGCCCCGCGTTTTTCTATCTCTTCAAACAAATCGTGGTTGGACCAGGGCACAGGCAGTACTAGTGGTGCGCATTATCTAACGACCAACGACCCTCGAAGACTAAGGTACCTACGTGATATGCAAACGCTGGTGAAAAAGAGAATATTTTTACCCTGTGCTATTCCGTGCTTAGCTGAGGCAAGATACTACATGAAAGGAAGGGCCCAGTGCTCATCGCAATACTCTGCAAATACCAGCAACTGCCATACCCGTTGCTACCTGGTACTCCTCCGAAGCACCCGGCACGGTTTGTGTAAGGATCAAGAACTCTTTCGGCCTTCACGTTTAGACCCCGACATGAAGAAATACCTAATTTAGCATCGATATCCCGTCGAACCCAGCCCGTGTTTTTTGCCTGGACTTTCTGTTCGACAGGGTGGTCAGACTCAGCCGTGCTCACGACTCGCACGACGCACAAAGCCCCTGCTTCTGAGTTTTAACCACTCGTGACACCCGAACGCCCACCACCAAGCTGATTGGAAATTTGTAATCCCCATTTTGTCTTACAGTTTGTTGTGTATCGTTGAACACGGGTGCCCGAGGGTGCGGGAGCGAAGTGCGTCTGTGAGATGCCCACTCTGGTTAGAGCCATCAAGACAGTCGCACAAACTCCCTTAACTAGGTGTGACTGGGTGACTAAGTGTGGCGACGGAAGTGTGGCGACGGTGCTACCACAAGTGGGCGCGGATAGGTACCGGACGGTGACACAAGTGACAAAACGGAAGAGAAATCGAACGGGTCCCTGGATAGGTTCCTCAAAGACAACCCGGGTTATCCTGGATCAGAGAATCCTTCGTTTCCGAGGGCTTGTTCTCGACCTGACTCAGGTTGCATCGATCCCACCCACTCGCAGGGTGGTCAGCGAGTTTCCTGTGCCGCGGGGACCATGGTGAACAGAGAGAGATGCTCAACGGATTGGCGATCTCGACCCCTGTCTAGCCTCCCCCGTCGGCTCCTCCCTGCCCTCTCTCTGACTGGCCCCTGATAGCTCAACAACAAAGCAACTCGGACTGACGATCCACGATCGGGGACCCGCTGCCGATCAAGGCCGTTCCCGGGCAGTTGGGCTGCGAGCTCATCACTCAGGACCTCCACTGCAGGTCAAACTATTGCTTATCGGACTATCAAGGCCCTTCAGACTATTCGAACTAGTTACAAAATTCCGCTAGGCCCAACAGCTATGCAAAGACCAGGCCACCCAACCGCCGGCGGCGGCGGAGTCTCTCCGCCCCCTCCCTTGTCCCGAACGCCCGAACGCAGACTTCCCCCTTCCCCCCTAACGGTACCCAATAGAAACAAGCAAAACCAAACCCCAACCCACTCACCCACTGACAACACACGCTGAAGACAAACCAACAAGTCAGACAATGCAACGCCAGACCCGTGAAAACCCTCCGGCCCCCCCACCCTCCATCGACCCCCCCCCCCCTCAAAGCAATATCCCCCCGATCGACACACAGACGACCCACGCATGCCATCCATGATCCCATGCCACACTAACACACACCCACACCCACAGACAGACAGATAGACGGAACAGACGTGCAGACAAGACACACTAACCAACCCCCCCATCTAGGCCCCATCCCAACCCATCCCAAATCAGCACTCCACAAACCGGCTCTTCACCGCCACGGCCTCGGCCAGCCCCGCCAGGCTCGCGCTCTGCATGATGTCGAAGATGGACAGGTCGGCCCCGGCCTTGAGCGCCAGCATGTTGCGCAGCTCCACCGCCACCAGCGAGTCGACCCCGTACGACGCCAGCGACTTGCACGCCACCACGTCGCCGGCCCCGAGCATGAAGATGTCCGTCAGCTTCGCCGCCACCCCCTCCACCACGTGCGCCGCGGCCTCCGCGAGGGTGGTGGAGGCGGCCAGGAGGGATGCGAGGTCGTTGCTTGCCGATCCCGTTTTGTTGGGCCCTCCGTTTTGTCCCGATGCGGCTGCTGCTGCTTGTTGGTGGCCGAGGCTGGCGAAGCGTTGGTCGCGCTGCAGGGGGGAGTCTTCTTCCTTGGTGGGCCCCGTGTTGAGGCCGAGGGCGAGTGAGCCGGCGTAGGGGGTTGCGATGGCGGAGCCGATGGCCGCGAGCACGTCGTCTTCGCCGAGGGCTGTGAAGCCGTGTCGCTGCAGCGCGGCGATGGTCTTGCCCTGCTCGTCGTCGGCGAGGTAGCCGACCGACTTGACGATGCCCAGGTCGATGGACACCCCTGCCAGCCCCTGCTCGATCCGGTGTCGCGCGAGTGCGTCCTGGAAGGCCCCGCCTGCTGAGTAGTTGGCCTGGCTGGCGAACCCGACCACGCCGATGAGTGAGGACAGCATGATGTAGAAGTCGAGGTCGTCGTGGTCGGCGAAGTAGCGGTGCAGGTTCCAGCTGCCCTGCACTTTGGGTGCCAGCGCCGCCTTGTGGTCGTCGAGTGACATGTGTTCCAACACCGAGTCCTGTAGTGAGAAGCATGGTTAGCATGTTTGGTTTTGTTGGTTTGATTCCTGGGATGTGGCAACTTACCCTGAGTTCCATCCCGCCGTGGATGATTCCCTTGATGGGCGGTCTCCTCGCCCGGGAGTGCTCATCGAACGCCCGCTGCAGCTCGCCCATGTTTGAAATATCGCAACCAACCGCCGTGACATCCACGCTGTGCCCTGTCGCGCCGAGTTCCTCTTGGAGGCTCTCAACCTTACCTCCGGTGTTGGCGCTCCTTGAAACGACAACTAAGTGCCGTGCGCCGTGCTCGGCGAGCCAGTGACAGATAGACCTGCCAATGCCGCCGAACCCACCCACGACAACGTACGATGCATCGGGGCGGAGTCGGGTGGCAGCCGTCCGGGGGATCACCTGGATACGGTGTTAGTAAAGTAATATTAATGTCAAGGGTGTCACGTTCAATAGGTACATACCGGAACCAACGTCTCAGGGGTAACAGCCAGCACAATTTTCCCCATGTGCTTGCCGGCTTGCATCAACCGGAAAGCCTTCTCTACCTCGGACAATTGGTAGACGGTGACGGGATGAACGGCGTCGATCTCCTTAGCCGCCACCAGCTTGACCACATGCTTCAGGATCCGGTTCGCCTGCATCGGCTTGCGCTCACCCAGGGTGATGATGTCAACGCTGGAGAAAGACACGGCCCGGGTAAAGGCCTCCATGGCGAGGCTGTTGTTGAGCTCAAAGTCACGCTTTCCGAGCTCGACGAAGCGGCCGAAGGGGGCGAGGCAGTTGAAGCTCTCTTGGAGGAGGGAGCCTGCCAACGAGTTGAGCACCACATCTACCCCCTTCCCCCCCGTCACGTCCATGATACCCCCAGCAAAGCTCGTATCGCGGCTGGAGAAGATGTGGTCCGCCCGGATGCCATAGTGCTCCATGACGAACCGGCGCTTCTCCTCGGTGCCGACCGTGACAAACACCTCGGCGCCAACGCGTTGGGCCAGCATAATAGCAGCCTGGCCCACACCACCAGTAGCCGCGTGGATGAGCACCGACTCACCCGGCTGCAACCTGGCCATATCATACAGCGACAGGTAGGCGGTCACGTACTGGGTTGGCAGCGACGCGGCCGTCTCAAAGGCCATCTCGTTGGGGATGTGGACCACACTGCTCCAGTGCACGCGGGTCTTGCTCCCGTAGTGGCCCCTCAGCAGGACTGACACGCGGTCGCCCGGCCGGTAGCCCATCGCCGCAGCTCCCGCGCTCACTCGCTTGACCACGCCGGCGCAGTCGTAGCCCATAACCTTGGACTTCAGCTGGCCCATGGCGACCATGACGTCGCGAAAGTTGACGCCGAAGGCTCGCGGCTCCACCTCGACGAAGTCGTCTGGGAGTGGCTCTGCGGCGGTCGGGTCGTCGTCGAAGGCGAGGGTGTCGAGGAGACCGGTCGTGCCGATGGTTAGGCGGAGGGGCCGGTCAGACTGCAAGAAGGGCTCGAGTCTCGGGGTTGGTGCCTCGGGGGCCGGGCCAAACACGGACTTGTTCCGGTCGGTGTCCTTGATGTACCGGGGGATGTGGATGACGCCGTCTCTCTCGGCGAATTCGTAGTCGGTCGAGGATTCACCCGCCGTGGAGCCGTCGAAGAAGCCCTTGAATACCTCGGTGATGGACTTGACTGCTTCGGGGGACCACATGGGCTTGGAGGGGTCCATGTCGAGCGTGCCCAGGCGCTTTCCGGAGTACTCCTGTCTGAGGGATCGGAGGAAACCCGAGGCGAGACTCGCCAGGGGGTTAATGCAGGCATCGGCACCGCCCTGGGTCAACCAGAGCAGGCCCTTTGATCTTGTGCAGACGGCCTTGAGGCCCTCGAACCGTGTGGCATCGGCGTTGGCCAAGATGGGATTCTCCGGGTCGTCTACGAAAATGCAGACTTTGTTGTCGTCGACCGGGGCGTGTTCGAGGGTGTGCACGCTCGGGACAGTCCAGGTGAGCAGGCCGATGGAGAGGCGGAGTTGGTCGATCCAGGAGTCTGGCGCCGAGGTGCCAGCCGTGACGAGGGCGATATCGAAGTCGAACTTGGGCGGGTTTGCCACGGCGGTCGAGGAGACGACGCTGAACGAGTAGAGCTCGTCGTCGTCACAATCCCGCACTTCGGCCTCGACTCCACGGAAGCCAGTCTTGTGCAGGACGCGGTCCCACATGGGGATTGTCAGGGACGGGCTGAATTTGCGGTCCTCTTCCTCACCTAGAACAAGTATTAGCAACCCCGTGTCATGGATCAAGATAGAGAGAAACTTACTCAGCCACCAACCCTGCAGGAAGCCAAAGACGAACTGAATGTCCATCTGGTCCTTGGTCGTCTCCATGAAGAACAGCTTACCCCCAGGCTTGAGCAGCTTCCTGACGTTGGCCATGGTGTTCTGCATCGACTGCGTGGCATGAAGGACCTGGCAAGCCACAACGACATCGTACGAGCCCTCCTCGAACCCCTGAGCGGCCGGATCCTGCTCGATATCCAACTTCTTATACCGCATCAACCCCTCCCAATCCCGGAACTTCTCCTTGGCCGCCTCAAAGAACCCCGACGACACATCGGTAAAGTCATACGACCCAACCTCCCTCCCTCCCCCCCGACCCAACGCATTTAGAATCTGTGTCGTCGCACCCCCCGTCCCGCCACCAATCTCAATCACCTTCGCCCTCGGATGCTTATGCGCATGCAGCGCCACCAGCTCCCCCAGCTTCGCATTCGCCCTTGCCCACTTGAGCCCATCCAAATAATACCGCTGCAACAACCCCCCCTCCAACATCAGCTCCAGCGCCGTGCACTCGCCCCTCAGGATCCCCACAATCCTCTCCCCAAGTCGGCACACCATCTCCCCATTCGCACTCCCCACCCGCACCCGCTCCAGCACCCTGGCCCTCTCCTTCGGAGCGACATCCACCACCCCCCACGTCTCACTCCCCGGCGCCAGCGCCCCCGTGCGCGCCAGCTCCGCCTGCAGACGCATCCACAGGTAGAATTTCCGCTGGTGCCACTCGAGGCGCTGGACGTCGGCCGCGCTGAGCTGGGCGAGCGCGTCCTGGATGTAGACCAGGCAGGCGCGGCGCAGATCGAGCAGCTGCTCGGCTTCTTTGCCGGAGAGCTCGCTGCCGAGGTGGGCTTGCAGGAAGGGCGCTGTTAGGTGGTTGATGTCGGGGGCCCATTTGGTGGTGGTGAATTTCTCTTGCTCGTGGGGGGGTGGGGTGGGTGGGGTGGTGGTGCCGATGGATTGGTAGAGGAAGTCGGTGATGGTGATTACGGGGGTGGTTGGTGTCGAGGTACTGGTGTTGTTGGTGTTGTTGGTGTTGTTGGCGACGGCGATGGAGGTGGTCATGGTTTGCGCGTCGTGGTGGGTGAGGTCGGTGTAGGCCTTGAAGGCGTGCCCGGCTTGCGGGCTGATGTCGTGGGATATCCAGAGCTTGCGAATCGATCTGGGTACTTTGGGTGTGCCGACGCTGTTGCCTGCGCCGGGGAGGGCAGTGTAGGCGGCCTGGAACACCGAGTCGAGCGTTGTCGGGTGCACAACGTGTTCGTGCTGGTGCTGCTTGGGCATGGTGGCCTCGGAGTCGACAACGGTGAAGGACGTGACTGACTGCTTGCCGCGGGCGCGGATGGTCTTGAGGTTCTGGAAGATGGGACCATGGGAGATACCTCCGGAGTTCAGGCTGGCGTAGATGTCGCGCGGGCTGATGCGGACTCGGTACGCGGAGTCCTCTGCCGGTGCGCTGACGTTCCATCTTGGCTTCCGGGCATCCTGCTGACCGCTTGCAGGAGCATACTCAACCATGATCAGGCCCTTGCAGTGGTCGGTCCACTTGTTGTCCGAGGTGACAGACTGCACCTGGAACTCGGAGTAGTCCTTGGTATCGAGTGCCCTGTCGCCGCATGGCCGGAGCGAGAGTTGTAGCTCGATGCCCTCGCTGGTCTCCGGCACGACTAGCGCATTGAGGATGTCAACGTCCCGTAGCTGGTACCCCTGAAGCTTCCTGTCTGGAAACTGTCGGGAGGCAAGGTACGATGCACCCTCGATGGCCATCGAGAGGTAGCCAGCTGCAGGGTAGATGATGGTGTTTTGCACAACGTGATCCCGGATCCAGGGGACGTCGTTGATGCGGACAAAGTGCCTCCACGAGGGTGCCTCGAGGTTGGTGCCAAGGACCAGGGAGCCCAGCAGATCGTGAGGCTTCTCAGCTCTGGCTCGGAGCGCCTTGTTTGCTCGCGGCTCGTTCCAGTGCCGGGTCTGGTGGTTCCACGGGTACCGGGGCAAGTCGTGCAAGACCTTCAGGCCATGCTTCCCGTAGGGGAAGTTGACAGCGGCGAGGTTGAGCGGGTAGCTCTTCTGCATGAGGTTGCCAACCAGAGCCTGCATCGTGTCCACGGCGTTTTGCTTTCTGATCAAGCAGCTCGCGTAGGGAATTTCGACATCCTTGAACTCGGGCATCCCCATGATATCCTGGATGGGCCCAGAGAGAGCGGCATGCGGCCCAACTTCAATGACCATGTCAACGGCCGGCTCGCTCTCCGGGGTCTCAAAGCACATGCTGCGGTACGCCTCCACAAAGCGGACGGGGCCAGTCAGACTCCTCACCCAGTGGCCAGGGCTTCCGATGGACTCGACATCGTCCAGCCTAGTTCCGGTAGCAGGGGACGAGAAGACCAAGTCGAGGCTGTCTTGCGCAGGACGGACCTTGTTCTCCATGGAGGCGTAGTAGGCATCCGCGACAGCCTCCATGTGGTGGGAATGCCAGGCCGCGTCGACCTTGAGGCGGCGAGCAAAGATGTTGTCCTGCTTCAGGAGAGCCTCGAGCTGGTCGAGACCGCACACGTCGCCAGAGACGGTGATACTACTGGGGCTGTTTTCACAGGCCAGCACCACCTTCCCCTCAGACACAAGCGGGAGATACTTCTCGCTGTCCTTCGCGCCCAGGCCGACAGCCACCATGCCGCCCTTCCGGGCAAACTGGCGGCTCCCCTCTGAGGCCAGACCTCCGCGCGCAAACGCGATTGTCATGGCGGAGGCGAGGTCGAGGGCACCGGCGGCGTACGCAGCGGCAATCTCGCCACTCGAGTGGCTTGTTACTGCCGTTGGGTTGATACCCCAGGCGCGCAGGAGCTGGGTCAGGGCAATCTGCACAGCAACGCAGACCGGTGTACTGTAGTCGAGCTGGTTCACCCTCGATGTTTCTTGGTCCCGGTTTAGTTCCTCTGTGAGAGCATCATGTTAGTTACTAATAAAGAGAAGGGGGGGTAGCATTCTCCAAAAACGTACCGATCATGTTCCACCGAGCTCCCAGCCTTTTGAGCTGCGCGTCGCAGTCCAGCAGGGCCGCCTTGAAGACCGGGTACACATCAACGAGCTCTCTCCCCATAGCCCACCATTGGGCACCCTGGCCGGTGTATACAAACCCCAGCCTAAGGGCTGAAGAAGATTCCCTCTTTACAGGCTTGTTCTTGCCGGACTCGAGGGACTTAACCAGGCCTTTGATGCTGCTGGCAGTGAACGTCGACATCCAGGGGAACTGAGAGCGGCGGTGGCCGAGCGTGTAAGCCAGGTTGTCGAGGAAGGCCTCCTCGTCGGCGGGGTTGACAGATAGGAGGTGGTTCTTGAGGTTATCGGCCATGGCCTGGGTTGCCCTCTCGTCTTTTCCACTCAGAAGAAAGACGCGGGAGCGTGCCGGATCCTCGTCCTCTTCGATGCTCACACCACTGTCCTTTCGGGAGTGGCCGTGACCATGTCCATTTGCGCCATTCGTGTGTCCGTTCATGTGTCCGTTCGTGTATCCATTCACACCGTTCCTGTGGCCGTTTGTGACGCCGTTGCCGTTCCCGTTTGGCGCAGAAACCCGAACTGCACGGGAGGTGGCGGCGACGAAGGAGTCGAGGCTCTCCATAATGACATGGGCATTGGAGCCGCCGTAGCCAAAGTTGTTGATGGATGCTCGCCTGACGCCGTCTGGCTCGGGCCAGGACTCGAGAGATGTGGGAACCTAAAACAGTGGTCAGTCTCGCGGAACTACTGTGTAAGTGGTCGGGGAGAAGGAGACCAGGAATCACGAACCTTCAGTTTCCACTCATCGAGATGCAGCTTTGCGTTGGGTTTCTCAAAGTTAATGCTTGGTGGAATTTGCCCCTTCTCCAAGGCTAGTGCTACCTTGATGATGGCCGCAACACCACTCGCCGTCTCGGTGTGGCCGATATTTGTCTTCACGGAGCCGATTCGAAGGGGCTCGCCATGCGTTCTGGTGTCCTTGAAGACTGACGCAATCGCAGCCACCTCGATGGGGTCTCCAGTTGGTGTCCCGGTGCCGTGTGCCTCAAAGTATGCCGTCTGTGCTGGGTTGAGGCCGGCTCTCCGGTAGCAGTCGCGGACGAGGGCTTCTTGTGCTTCGCCACTTGGGGTTGTGATGGTTTCTGTCTTGCCATCCTGGTTGACGCCGCTCTCCCTGATAATGGCGCGGATAGGGTCGCCGTCCCGGAGAGCGTCGTCTAACCTCTTCAGGACCACCGTCGCAGATCCCTCGCCGCGCCCGTACCCGTTGGCGCGGCTGTCGAAAGCATACGACTTGCCGTCTTTGGAGATGAGTCTATACCTTGTTAACAAAATCGGGCACGCAAGATCCTAATCTCGGAGTGAACCTACGTCATGGATGACATGGCGAGGAACATATCAGGGTTGAACATGACGTTGGCACCGCCCACGATGGACATGTTTGATTCCCCTGTCTTCAGGCTCTGGCATCCCTGGTGCAGCGCTGTGAGTGTCGTGGAGCACCCAGTATCGACCGACATGCTAGGCCCGCGCAGGTCAAAGAAGTGGGAAAGTCTGTTTGAGGCCATTGCTGCCCCTGTCCCCATGAGGAGGAATCTGGGCAACGCATCGGGGTCACGGACAAGACTCTCGTGGTAGTCCCGGAAGAAGGACCCCGCGTATACTGATGTGTTAGACCCGGCCACATCCTGTAATGAGATTCCGGCTGCGTTACTGTCAGTTGACAGTCCGCTGAATTCGAGGCGGGAACCATACCGCTTTCTAGAGCTTCGTATGTTGACTCTAATTGGAGCCGAAACTGGGGATCTAATGCCTGCTCTGTGTCAGAAGGCGGTTCCGAGGCGAGTATGTTGGTTTTGGGAACGACGAGCGGAACTTACTGCTGCTGTCTCGGCAGAGAGACTGAAGAAGTGGGCATCAAATAGACCAACGTCCTCCTTGAGGAAGTGCCCCCCAACAACATTCGTCTATTCGATACGCCGTTAGCACTCCGCCCGCACTCGCCTGAAGGTTCGTTGTCCCGTGCTCACCCCATTCAATTTCTCAAAGTTTGGGTGATGGAACCCGTCGATATCGAACCGGTCCTTGGGGATTTCGGACCACGCGCTCCGCCCTTCAGCAAGGAGGTTCCAGAGCTTCTCGGGGTTGTCGACGTCGCCCGCGAATCGACAACTCATGCCAATGATGGCAATAGGGGTGTTGGAAGTCATGTTTACTGATCTGTGTATTCTGTGTTGTGCTGCCCGAGTGTTGTTGAAACAAAATCAAGAGTCCGCAAGGGAGATGGCGAGTGTTACATTCAAGTGCCGGGAAAGGTGCTTGGTGGAGGCTATATGTACGGGATCCATCTTCTCTCCACCTCCTCGATGAGTGATCGAGGAGCTAGATCGGGATGCCCGAGCCGCACACCTACGGCATGCCCGCTCGGCATCACCATCGTGCTACTTTCCCCTCTGGGTTCCCCTCATCTTCGCTCCCAAAGCAGCATAGATGGTCCCCTTCATGCCAACAGTCCCGGTCGTGATTGAACACCCCTCACCCAACAGCTAATTGAGATACTCCGACCGCCTAATCGAGTGTATATAAACTCCGATTCAGCTGCTGAACCCACTCAGCTGCGGAGGTTGTGGAGGGTAGGACCGGGGAACCTTGTGGGAGGGTGGGCACCCGAGACCTGGGGAACGCACGTCATCGGTGTTGGGCTTGCGATGGAGGGCCCTGCGAGATAAGCCTGTCGCCATTCATTCCGAGGCTCTTTGGCCGTCCGAGCCTACCCCGGGGTAAACGGCGGCCCACTCCGCCGAGAAACTCCGGACTCCCGGGTGATGACCCACTTTAACTCCGAGTCCGGTCAGGGGGGGGGGGGCCGGGGGATGGAGCCGGGGGCCATTCCTTTCCCTTATTGAAAAAGGGAGTTGACGAACTGAGTGAGCTGAGACAAGTAATCTCGACAAGATCTGCGAACTGCATTCGACTATTGAGATCCCTCTGCGATCCCCATCCCGTGTTCCCGTGGGGGTTCCTCTAGAGGCAGCTGTAAGTAAGACAAATCCGGTGCTTGCCGGCGGGACCGCGGTGATCCTTGGACGTTTGAACGAATAGCGCGACCATTTAGCGAACTTGGCGTGCAGATCTTTGCGGCAACAGCCCTACCAACTCGTCCACCACCCGCGCCCCCGTCCGCCACAGGGCGCTCGCTCATGAGAGATCCTATTTCCCGGCCTTCAGGCGCCCACTGCCGTCGGTCTCGGGGAATATGAGGGGGTGGGGGGGCCTCAGCTCTGTAAACCGGCACTGTGTCGAAGTTGATTGTACCTCTCGACCGGGGTCGGACGGTGTACATAGGCGTCGCACAGCATCAGTTGTGTTGCGTCTGTGTGACCTTCGTGTCTTGACCGGAATGCGGTCAGTTGGTCGGCTGATGACCAACATTGCTTGCGTTTCTGTGTCTGTTGGTCGAGTTGGGCAGACCAGGGCTGCTATGAGACTGATGACAAGAGATCTTCGGCTCCCTGGTATTTATAGAGGGGCAGCTTCATAACCCCCCCCTTTGCAGTGAGACATGCTGGTGTCGATGACGATGTTAGGCAGTGTGCTAAATTTGAACCAAGAGGGGCACTGGCTTATCGGAGCTCTCTCCTGTTCGTGCGTGCCCCTTAATTCTTCTTTTTGCCCCCCCCCAAAAGCCGAAGATGGCTGTCAAAATTGCGGTGGCTTGAGACCGCGTCGACCGAGAAGGCCCGGGGCCCGTCGGAGGGTTCCTCAATAGCAGTTTGGACAGGGCTACAGCCAATCGATGGTGTGCTACAAGCGGATCTCGATCGAAGCTTTGGGGATCTCGGGAAGGCGTAGCAACGAGCGTCCAGACCGGGCAAGGGGGCGTCGATCCATCTGATTTCCTTCTGCAAAGAGCAGCAAACTGGGGGCCAACGGGAAGGCCAACGGCCGCCGCAAACAGCAAGGATCGGTAGCTTGTTTCGAACAGCTTCACGGCCTGCATCTCATCCGGGGTCACTTGCCTCCTTTTGTGCTGCCCACTGAGCAGGGTTTTGCCGAAAACTGTCGGCCCGCGGTCGCCCGCCGTGCACAAGCAGCACAACTCACTCCCGGACGGTGGGTTTTCCGCGTCTTCCGGTGCATCTTGCAGTTTAACAGCACCGATATCCTATGCATGCATATGTATCCCGTTCGTGTTGATCACGGCTCAAACTCCCGAAGCCCTCCGGGCTTTTTGTTGTCCCAGATTGCTCCTCTCCTTCCCGTCCTCCGCCCCTTTCCTCCTCCTTACTGTGTGTAGCTCGTCGTCGCCGTGTAGACCAATCTCTTTCTGTCAAACAACCTTCAACTCTCGCTTCTCACCGTAGTACCAACTACGATCCACAGCCAACATGGTTACCCTCGAGCAGATGCGGTCCTCCAACGCCCGCATCCCGGAAGCTCTCCCGGCGGGCATGGTAGCCGTCTTCGCCGGCGGCACTAGTGGCATTGGCGAGGCCACCATGAAGTTGTTCGCCAAGCACGCCGTCCAGCCGCGTATCTACTTCATCGGCCGGTCGGAGCGGGCCGCTGTGCGCATCATTGAGGAACTCACGACCATCAACCCAGCGGGTCAATATCACTACATCCAAGCCGACCTGTCCCTGCTGCAAAACGTGGACGAGGTCTGTCACGACATCAAGAGCCATGAATCTCTCATCAACCTGCTCTTTCTCACACCCGGCACCATGGTGACGGGCAGAGGTACTACTCACCCCCTAAACTCAAGGAGACGAAGGACAACACCCGAACTAACACTCCCACCCAGACACCCCTGAAAACCTCTACTACCCCACGGCAGTAACCTACTACGCACGCATCCGCCTAATCTCCAACCTCCTCCCCCTCCTCCAAAAAGCGCCCTCCCTCCGGCGCGTCGTCTCCGTATTCGGCGGCACCAAAGAAGGCCCCGTCTGCATCGGCGACCTGCAAGGCCGCGCCCTCGCCCTCCCCCCGCGCATCACCACCACCACCACCACAGAAACCAACTCCAAAACCCCCAGCCCCCCAACCTCCCCCACCAAACCCAAGCCCAACCCGGCCCACCTCCTCCAGCTGCGCGCGCACACCAGCACCATGATGACGCTGGCGCTCGAATCCCTCGCCCTCGAGGCCCCCGACGTCAGCTTCGTGCACTCCTTCCCCGGCTTCGTGCGCACGCACGCCGGCCGCGAGGTGCGCGCCGCGAGCGCCGTCGGGCTCGTCCAGACCGTGCTCAACAAGGTCGTCGGGCCGATGGTCACCGTGCCGCTGGCGGAGGCCGGGGAGAGGCAGCTGTATGCCGCGACGAGTGGCCGGTTTCCGGCGAGATGTGGCTGTGGCGGGCCGGGGGTGGGGGGTGTGGTGGTTACGGCTGGGGTGGGGTTGAAAGATGGGGAGGGGGTGGGTGTGGCGAGGGGGAGTGATGCGCGGGTGGGGGGTGGGGTGTATTCGGTTAGTTTTGATGCGGAGCCGCAGAGTGTGAAGGTGGAGGAGGCGGTGCAGCGGTTGAGGGATGAGGATTTGGTGAGGAGGTTGTGGTTGCATACCGTGGGGGAGTTTGTGAGGGTGACGGGGACGGAGTTTGTGTAATACTGTCTAGGGTGGGTTGACGACATCATGATTCGGCTGGGAAGGGGATTGGGAAACGAACGGCTTTTGCTTGGGCTCGTTCTTTTGTTTCATTTCTTGCCTTGCGTACGGGTAGGGTTTATCTTGGGGATTCATCTTGGGGATTCGGCGTTGCTGGGTCAGATGCTCTGGATCCCACATATTCATTTGTGAATAGTTGTTTGATAGTCCGGCTTTTTTGCTCAACTCTACTGACATACAAAATATGTACTCGACGATGATGCTTCTGCCTCACTCCTCGGGGTTTCACAAGATGTTGAGACAGTGTCCGGGAAAGATCAAGTACCTACCCAGTTAAATGAATACCTATTCACCTCACGAACCGCGCTCCCTGCCGTTCGCCCGCTATGACTACGCTAACCGAAGGATGAGGTTGCTGTCATCACGGATGCGGAACAGACAACGGTTTTCCAAGGCAATCTGTGGCTGTGGGCTGATCCCCTCGCCCACTCGCCAATCAGGGAGGAATTTCCGGCAGCAGAACTGGAGATCCCTCATCAACTGGCCCCTTTGTGGCACCCGAATGAGAGCGAGGCACCATTGTGCCCTACAGGATAGGATGTGCATAAATAGGTAAGCATCGGCTCACCCTTCACCCCTGGATCCTTCAGAAACAAAAGACAGAGCCCAAACAAACAACAAACGGGTGAATTTCGACCAACCCTCAACTCTAAGCACTTCTCAACACTATACACCTAACAAAAGTGCCCGTTACTTTATCAATGGCTCGTTCCGAGTTCGCCCCTCCTGTTGACAACTGCGAGTGGACGACGCGGTACCGGGAGGATGGATCGTCAATCAGGTCACGAGGTCCGGACTGTGGTCAGAGGGACTGCCAGTACTCCGAGAATTACGACCCTGATACGGAACCGGAGTGAACCCGTAAGCAACATGCTCGTATGTACCCATTAACAGCCTGTGTCTAATAGCTCGAGATACAGTAAGAAGTTACACTGTCGTTGGGCTCGTCGTAGTATCACTTTTGCGTGGTCGAAAACGAGGCCGTCGTCGTTTTCGATAGCCCTTTCGGCTCTCGCAAGTCCTTAGTGCGGTGTGGGGTTGGAGGTGTCTCGCGATGCTACGAGCGACAACAGATAGAGAGGAATCTCTGGAGCGAGGAGCAAGAAAGTGGGGGTTGGAAGGTTGTATTATGCACACTAGAGCAAGAGGAATCCATTGATAGTTTAAGCGATGTGTTTCCACTGCAGCCCAAAGTTCCGACTAAACAGCCGCCAGGACGATCGCGGTTAGTTGGGATATTCTCGGCGCGGAGCGGGTCGCTTACGCCGCTGCGTGCCACAGGTCCGGAGTCGAGGCGTTGGGGTTAAGGAGGTAAAAACACGCCGACTCGCCAAGGAATCATCACGCCAGGGGCGGCCAATTTGTTGTGCCGCCTTCTCCTGCATGCGGCGGGCTCGGTGCTACGTCAGTGGCTGGTGGCAAGCTTGATTGTTGGAGATGTAACCCCAGGTTTAGATATAACGGAGCACTGTGGTCAGATAATTAAGATGTCGTCCACCTGCCGAGGTCGTGTGTGTTCGGTCACCGAGCATTCGGTCGAGTCGTGTATGACAGTTGTGTTACTCCTCACATTCACATTTACTCCTCGGCTCACCTCGCCATCCATTTCTCCAGGACTGGTTCCTCGCGTTCAACCTCTCCCCTTTCCCCCGTTACCAACGCTTCACGATGCCTTGATTCCCGCAGCAATCGTCCCCTCTCCTATCCATTTCCTTCCGTTATTACAGCGTTCTTGTGTTGATACCCCTTTCCTTTTCATGATGAATGCTTCTACTTCGCTCCAGCACGAGGCGGAACTGTTCGGGCTTCTCACGAGAGTGGGCGGTTCATTATCCCTCCCTCTAGTCTGCTTGGTCCTCGTTTCATATGTCTTCATCCCGCGGGTTCGGACAGAGCCCAACACATTTCTAGCATTTTCATCGGCTGGAAGTATACTGGGTTGCATTGCTTGTATCGTCGGGAGCGACGGGATTAGACAGGGTCTATCGAGCCCCTTGTGTCTGGCTCAGGGGTTTTTAATGGACGTGTAGGTACTCCTCCTGACCCCATTACCATCTACGCTAACTCTCTCCGGAACCAGGTCTGCGTTGTCAGGTCCTTTGTGGTCTCTAGGAATAGCAGTTCATTTGCTTGTGGGCTTGGCTAGGGGCTCAAAACAAGTGTCTCTCCAGAAATGGGGTTGGGCGTACTGCTTAATTTGTTATGGGGGACCGTTGGCCCTAGCACTCACGCGTCTCCATATAAAGCGGCCAAGAGGTGCAACATTGAACAGCAATGAGGTATGTTTTGTCAGTAGTTCGACGAACCCTTGCTCATTCTCCTAGGGTTGGTGCTGGGAGTCCGCTGGGCAGGAGGTGCTGCCGGTTTACATCCCCGTTTGGGGATGCATTTTTACCTCACTCGTCATCTACCTTGGGGTCACCGTACATATTTCCAGGAAGCGATATGACAACCAACAAGGATGGGATGGTTGCAACTCAGTCCGTTCTTCAAGGGCCTCTGGGGACCCCCTTGTTGCAGCCTCAAGCGTATCAAGCGTAAGTGGTTCTGTATTATTATTCGACCACTCGCATTAACCCGGGCAAGGACTCAATTATCTCACTCAGCGACTGGCCACTTTCTCCGAGTTCGGGAAATATGTTCTTCGGCACACAATGCACTAAAGCAGCCGGCCGTTCTCGCCCTGTCACCTATCCACCACCCGTACACACGTCGCCAGTTCCACCGGCAGGAACTTGGCTCCGTGCCTTTGCACTCTCTCCGCGGCCTGCCCCCACGCCACCCCCGCGAGGCAGGTTTTCCGTTAAGAATATGACGCGGCATTTTACAATCAAGGACTCCACAACGGGGGTACATCTATGGACAGGGCTCATGTTCGCGGGCTCTTTGCTCGTCACATGGCTGCCAGGGACCATCAAGCTCGGCTGGAATCTTGTACACCCGGAGCTAGGCAGCCCGTTAGGATTCCGCGTCGCCGTCTCCACAGTTCTTCCTCTTCAAGGGCTGTGGATTGCCGGAATATTCTTTGCCCTCAACTGGAACGATGTTCGAAGGGGCATGATCAGGCCACCGTCACGAACTACGATTAGTGGCCTGCTGGAGGAGCCGTTGCAGCGGCTTCGTGGAAACTCGGTATCGTCGGGAGGAACGAACTATGACGTGGAGAAGGCTAAGAGGGACTTGAAAGTGGCAATACCATGGCATCGCCAAACTCAGCGCGACGACTGGGATTTCGTTGACATTGGGATACCTTCGCGAGAGAACACGATCGTCCGGCCGAGACCGAACAGCGAGCCGGTGATATCGCCCTTGCTTCCTAGTCCGGCGCTTGGGCGGAACCACGTATTATTGTAGGTTGGCCATAATACATGTACATACGATAGCCTGTCTGTTGCAAGCGGATGCATCGTGAGGTAGCATAAGCCCATTCGGGTTCTTCCCTCACACGCAACCTGGTCCTGGAAGTTTGAAACATTCTATTCTCTATTCTGATATCGGTACCTCTTTCGTCTCTTGACATGTAGGAAAACCAATGTGACCACCCCTAACGTTGTCTACTCGGTCCCAGAAATGCACTCTTAGCCTTGAACCAAACCGTTACCCCCCCAGTCTATTCCCAAGAAACAAGAACCTTCAACATGAAGAGAACCACCAAACAAAATCCCACGAGTGAAGAGTGAGACAAAAGGAAGGAAAAAAACCCAAACCCAACCCCCCTCCCCCTCGCTTCCATGTCGTCCTCACCAAACAGTCCTCTCCCTCGAATAATACCGATACCGGTACGAGTAGCCACGGTACCATGGCTCTTCTGCCACCACGGCCGTGGTCCGCACACACCGATCACAATCATCGGTGTAGGTGTTGCCCCGCTCACTGACCACTAGATGGTTGTAGGAGCGGTCGCATGCCAGGAGGCGGGTGCGGCGGGTGTGGCCGCATCGGAAGTAGTCTGTGTATTTGTGGCACATTTTGGACTTGATGTTGATTGTTTGTGTTTTGAGGGTGTGTTTTGTGTGTGGTTTGGGTCGGGGGTGTTGGTGGTGTTGTTTTGTAATAAGGGGTTGATTGATGTGGTGGTCGATGATGGTGGTGTTGGAAAGTGAAACTTTTGGCCTTTGGGGAGTTAAGGTGAAGAGCTCTGGTAACGGGTGAAAGAAACAGGAACATGGGAAAAGTATCGGTCTTATATCTTTCGTAAACAAGGCGGCTTCCGGCTTCACTGAGTCATGGCCTCCTGCGAGTTGCCATCGCCATGGTCACCGGTTTACGGTCGAGTGTGCCACAGACGGTTCCACCGACCTCGGTCAAGCACCGGAAAAGTTACTACTCTGCAAGAACGCGTGGGCGGGGTCAAAATTTAGTCCTACGCAAAGCCTAGTGGGCAAAGCCTAGCAGAGCAATCGTCCGATCTCATCCAGGCCTCCCAGGCCGACCTTGGTGATGACCCAAGCAACACTTGACTCCCCGACAGGGATGAAAGTGCCTCTTATTTTTCTCAGCTATGAAGTTCCTGCAGTTTAGTTGGATGCCGCCACTTGAACCAATACAAGCGAGGGCAGGGTTGTTCGCATTCGTTTAGTGTGCATCAGCTGAGTGGAATGCCTTTCAAGTTTCAAGCAGCCGAGGCTGAGATGAAATGCGGTTTTCCACGTTGCGTACCTGCGTTAAGTGGATGGATGAACCCCCATGCCGCTAATGAGAAAATACCAGCAGCTCGCACAGTAATAAAAACTTTCTGCACGCATGATATCGGACTTGTTGGAGCACCGCCACCATCTTGACGTGGTGAGGCTGCGTGGCGTGATCAGCCGTGCCTCACGTTGTCGCCCTGTCACAGTGAGAAAGCTTACCAAGAGTAGAAAGTAGGTACGATTTTAGTCTTTTCGTTTCTCTCATATTCTGTTTTGTAGAGCTTGTCGTCGCGACGACCGTCATCGGAGCGTGGAGTGACTAATTCGACTTGTAAGTTGTAACTTGTCAGCCGACCCCTATTTTCGGTGAGAACGGTGTGGCGGCCTGGAGCCTGACCAGCCTTTGGTTTGTGTGAGCTGTCGCATGATTTGTACAAATTAAGGTCGCCGATATTGGGTAGGTCCCGAAAGGCAATGTGGCTAGGTTAACAACTCGTCCCAACTCTGGGGTTGGTTCAGCCACGAGAAGGGGGCGGTGTAAACGAGGCAAAATGTGTTTAGGTATCTAATATTCATGCCAAAAATCGTTACCGGCCACCTAACAGTCCGAATGCGAATATTGGATGTAATGGAGGTGGCAGTCATGGCCTGCCCGGATGCGATATTGTTGGAATTTAAGTTATTTATTAACCGACTTCAGTCCTTCGGGGGCTAGCGAAAACGGCGAAATGTATTAAAACAATTGCCCTGACCTGCCCAGCTTCACTTTCAACTGGAATGTAAAAGCGGGACATGTACGGGAGCCTGCTCAACTCCCACTGCTCTCAAAAGTACCAAAGTTACACGGAACTCCCGCCGTGCTACAGAGTCACACTGGCGAGCAAAAGAATAATTAATGAATTTCGTCCCTTCTTTACTCACCTGAGTGACAACTAGCACAAAGTAAATTTCCTAAAATATTTCTACCACTGGACTTTCGATGTTACGTTCTACAACCCTCACTTCGACCGACGACAGGAAAACACCATAATTTATCATGAGATCGCGCAACCGATATCCTCTGGTTACAGTTCGCGACCACGGCAGGAGAGATCATCTCGAGAGCGTTCGATAGCTGTCAACCAATTTCGAACTGCGCGGTCAATGCCGATCAGCCCGTATCTCAGCAGGGGAGCGAAGTACCTGATCCTCGTTTCCCTCCTGACCTTGGTCTTCGTTTACATCAACAAGCTCGACCCCAACCGACGGTTCGCGGAAGTTACACGGCCTGCTGCGCCTGTGATACTCAGTCCGCCGGGCCGCCGCCCGAGCTACCATGACCCGACCGACTGGTGGATAGAGTTCTTCACGCGCTTGAAGACCACCCATGTCAATGTACCGCCCGTCGTGGTCGAGGGGGCGGCGGACGCCCATAACTGGAGACCCGACATCGACTCGGCGAGGCCCGAGTTACTTCGGTTAACGTACAAGGCAGAAGCCGAGTTCCGTCAGTCTCATGCTGCCTTCATCAAGCAGCTGCCCGAGTTTGCGCGTCATCTTCCCTACCAAGTCGGCACTACTGGGATAGTCACGACTGCTGGCGCTTCTAGCTTTGGACAGGCGGTCTCCCTTGTCCTCCTAACGCGACAAACCGGTTCACAACTCCCGATACAAATAGTGCTCGACTCGACGGCGCCATGGATAGATTTTCTCTGCGCCAACGAAATGCCCCGTCACGACGCGGCCTGCCTTTACATCAACGACATGTGGACAAAGTTATATCCGTTCATCACCGTCAAGTTCGAGCGCTTTCAGTGGAAGTCCATCGCCCTCGTGGCCTCGACCTTCCAAAACGTCCTCTTTCTCGATTCCGACTGTCTCCCCATCCTCAACCCCGACCGCATCTTCGAAAAAGGCGCCGAGCCATTTACGTCAGCTGGCTTTATCACCTGGCCTGACTTCTGGGCGTCCTCAACCTCGGCCATGTTCTACAGGGTCGCCGGAGACATCGAGGTGCCGCCGCTGACATCCCGCGCCACGTCGGAAAGCGGCGTGATCGTCTACGACAAAGCGCGTCACGCCGACACACTTCTCCTCGCGGTGTACTACAACTACAACGGGCCAGGGCGCTACTACACGATGCTGACACAGCACGGGCCAGGAGAGGGGGACAAGGAGACATTCTTCCAGGCGGCATTGGTGCTGGATGCGCTGCGGGAGAAGGGGGTCTACAACCCGCCGACCGAGTGGATGAAGCCTGGCGTGGGGGTGAAGAAAGGATACTGGGATGTCAAGACTATGCCACAGGCACACGGACGAACAGCTAAGGGAAACAAGTGGCGGGGCATGTTCATGCAGCAGATGGACCCGATGGAGGACTACCGGGCAGTCATGGCCGCAGTGAAAGAGGCAGCAGACAACACGCCCTCCGACAAGGCAACAAGATCAAAACACGACGACCACCCCCCTCCGCCCCGCCGCTTCTGGCCATTCACCAACCTATTCCCCAAAACAACACCACAAAAAACAAACCCCGACGACCCCAACAACCCATCCACCTACCTCACCAACTCCACCTTCCTCTCCGCCACCGGCAACCTCACCACCACCCCCGACACCGCCCGCTTCATGTTCTTCCACCACAACGGCGTCAAGCCCGACTTCACGCGCCTACGGGACGCCACCGCGGGTATGCAGGCCGAGGGGGACGACGGCCGCCGGCTACGCATGTGGGGCGACCCGGCCTGGATCGTCGCCCGCACGGGTCGCGACGTGGAGAAGCTATGGTGGGAGGCGTCGCTGGAGGTGTACTGCCAGCCTGGGGTGACGAGGTGGTTGGGTGCGGTGTGTGAGGAGATGAGGAGGGTTTGGGGGAGGGTTTATGAGTAGGGGGTTTTGGGGGGAGGGGGACTGAGGACTGGTGTAGGTAATATTGCTGCTAGGTACTTTACTGGGAATCTGCTTCGTTTATTCTCTTGTTCAAGCAATGAAGTAACATGAGTGCTTTCTCTGGCAGTAAGTACTGTACACACAACAATTTCTCGTACACGCCTTTTCCCACACCCTCTCCCTGTCCGTCCACCCTCTAATACCCCCTCTCCCGATCCACCAAATTCACCAACTCCTCCCCGCGCCCCAGCCTCCCCAAATTCACCTCCAAAATCGCCAACACCCTCTCAAAATACCTCGTCGACGCCCCGGAAACATGCGGCGTGACAATGACATTCCCCATCCCCCACAGCACATGCCCGTCCGGCAACGGTTCCGGATCCGTCACATCCAGCGCCGCCCCCCTGACCAACCCCCTTTCCAACGCATCCACCAAGTCCCCCGTACTCACCACCTCCCCCCTCGCCACGTTACTCACAAACGTCCTCCCCTTCCCCGCCCCCACCCCAGCAGCAGCACCCAACACCTCAAACTCCCCCCTCCCCAACAAATGTTTAGTCCGCCCCGTCAACGGCGTCGCCACCACCAGCAAATCCAACCCCGACCCCAAGAAGGCGTGCAAATCCGCCGTCTCCGCGCCCGAGAACCAGCGTGCTGGTAGCGTGCCGTCCGGGTCGCCCAGCCCGGGCGGCGCCCAGCCGTGGTCCCGGCGCGACTCGGGGGTCGGGCGCGGGTGGAGGGTGTAGGCGTGCACGCTCATGCCGAGGGCGCGGGCGAGGCGGGCGGTCTGGCGGCCGATGCTGCCGTAGCCGAGGATGCCGCTGGTATGTGTACGTTAGGATTAGGGGGTTGGTGTTGGGGTGGGAGGGGGAAAGGGGAAGGGGTGGGTGGTGATTGGAGGGGGAGGTGGGTGGAGGAGGAAGGGGAGAAGGTCGGCGTACATAGTCTTGTTGGCCGAGTCGTCGATGTTGAGCATGCCCGAGTTGTCCCAGTGGGCTTGTTTCTGGCGGTCGAGGTACGTGGGGACTAGGTGGGAGTTAGTGGGGATACGATAAGTAGTGGTGAAAGGGCGACGGTACGGCGGTGCTCAAACGCGAGGTAGGTGCTGATGATCCATTCCGAGATTTGCGGTCTGTTTGTTGACAGTTCAGTCGGTCGTTCACCCCCCCTCTCGCCCCTCCAAGAAGAGACTCACCCATGCACGCCATTAGCGGTGCAGAACGCCACCTTGGTGTCCTTAAACATGGGCTCGTGGGCCACATGGTTCAAGCCCGCGCTCAACATCTGCACGTATTCCAGCTTCGGGGCCTCTTCCGGCGTCGGCAGGGTGCTATACGTCATCAAGGCGGTTACATCATCCCAAATACCGGCCGGAAGTGTCGCCGGAGGGAGCGGCGTCGAGGCCCACGTCTGCACGTGGTAGACCACTTGCAGGTCGGGGAATGAGGTCGACAGCTTCTCCAGAAACCCTGCAGGGGCATCCCAAGGGGCAATGATGAGGAGCTTGTGCCCCTTGAGGGTGTTGTTGCTATCCGTCTTGCCCACCATGGTTGTGTTTCGTGGCTGATTCCGTCCTTGTCGATGATGGAGTGTGGGAAGCCGGGAAACACGGTGAGATATACGGTGAGACGGGCGGGGGGCCTCGGAGGATCGGACTTCTGCAACACTAACTCCAGCGCGTCGTAACCTTGCTTACCCAAGAATCTAGGGGGCGAGGTGGAGAGGACGCGACGCTCTTCTGCGGGGTCCCGACGGCGTGAGAAAGGGGCTGGAGACACGAGTGGCCAAAGAAAAATACTGTGTAGCTACTTCGTACGAAGTATTCCGGATTACGTTATTGTTCGTAAAGAAACGCTACGCTGCCTATCAAGTGCTAACAAGTCAATGTATTTCCAAACGCTGTTGCTCATTTTTGGCCTCCCACCGTCTTTGCAACTGCAGCGTCCACTTCGCCTTGCGTAGCTTGACCTGAACCCCACTGCCACTCCTGTTTTCGATCGTGTGGTGGAATCTAATAGGTGCGTCCGGCGGCGATTCAGCATTCTCAATGGTGTCGTATCGCTGCAATATCCGGGTGATGACATAGGCCGACTTGATCCGCGCCAGTTGTTCTGCGACTTGGTCAGTAATTCGAAGCACCCCGTGTTGTTGGAGCTGCATCTACTTACGTCCAAGGCACTGCCGGAGTCCTCCGCCAAAGGGCACGAACTCGAAGCCAAACTTGCGTTTCCCGTCTTCCATCCATCTCTCCGGCCTGAACTCGTCCGGGTCGAAATCCCAGAGGTCCGGCCGCTGCCCCAAGGCATACGTCGGAATCAAGATCTGGGTCCCCTTGGGAACGAGTATAGGTTCCGTCCTGTCGTCGCCGCCGCCACGTGGGAGGACCGTGTCGCGGAGCGAGATTCGGTCGTTCAGAGGCACAACCGGCGCCATGCGAAGGGTCTCGTTGATGACGGCGTTCATGTACGGCAACGAGTCGCGCACCTTCTTGAACTCGATGCCGCTCGGCTGCCCCGACACGTACGGCCCAAAACGGATAAGCACTTCGTATCGCAGCTTCAGTTGGACTTTGGGATGGCGAGCCAGGAAATACACAATCCAACCCAGGAGTGCAGCCGTCGTGTCCCGGCCGGCGCTGAGCACATTCAGAGTTTGGCTGCGCAACTCTACTGGATCTTGCGTCACCTTGGCGAGCTCGTTTAGAAGGACGTAACGATCGCCGTGGGGCTGACCGCCCTGGTGCTGCAGCCCATCCAAGTACTCGCCTCCCCGAGTGAGGCGAAGTTGCACAAACCACTCGGCGTACTTGTGGATGGCTGCGCAGTGCTCGTTGAACTGCTTGACCGGCAGCAGCCAACGGTATTTCCAGAGCGCTCCACGGGTCTCGATCCAGGCTTTACCGGCATCCATATGCATTCCGATATTCTCGCGGTCCGGAGGCTCGTGCCCGGTAAGCTCTGGTAACTCGACGCGTTCGGAAGGGTTTTGGGAGTGGACCGAGTAGCCGTAGAGCATCTCTGACATGACATCGAGGCTCATGTTGTAAAACAGGGGCTGCAAGTCGAAAACACGTGTCCATTGCTCATCGCTGGAGTCGTTTTGGTGCCGGTCGATTGCGGCAAAGAGCGCTTGGACGTGGCGCTCGTATAGATCTAGGTCGTTGATTTGGTCCATCGTAAACTGCGGCCGAACAAGGGTGCGCGAGTGCTTCTAATCCTCGCCACGGGAGGTGAAGATGCCTTTACCAAGCATAGGTTCCCAGCTGGCGGTGCGGTGCTCGCTGACGTCCCAGTGGGCAGCCTTGGTGGCGAGGACGGCCTGGATATTTTTTGGGTCGCGAGATACGAGAAGATCGTATCCGCACATGGGCACCAGAACGGTGTGCACACGCTTTCCCATCTCTTTGTCGATGGCCTCGATCACATACTGGGGTCCCCTATCGTTGCGGGTTGCCCTGAGGCCCTCGATCAGCCGGCCAATCCCCAGGAACCCCTTCTTGCGCATCCTCGGGACCGGGCGACATCCTCGACGGAATGCCAGTTCGTCCCTGATATCCACACGCGAGTGTGGAAATTCATAGCACCCGAGAAATATCACTAGCAGCAGAACTGCTGCCGAAATTGTCACAGACATTGTTCTAGCGGTGGGGTCGCAAGTTAGGTATCTCAGTAGCGCAGAGAGAGACATGACCTGTTGACGACTCGGCAGTCAGCGCGTGCATCATGATGCACATCCAACCTGGGCTTCAACCTCGCCCGTGACTGGCTGCCCAGGTGGTGAGGCAGGGTAAGAGACGTACTTGAGTAATCCCTAGGGAATGACGGCGCTGGGTTTGATGATTCCGTCGTAAATGATATTGAGCAGTGCCGCATCACAAATCGACACGGTTGAGTTGATGGGAAAGGCTTCAGGAACAATCCCAACCAACACCCAGGGCGACCCGAGACTTCCGTTTATATTGGGAAGGAAGTTCCGGTCGGTCCGTATACGGTCCTCAGCTCCTTAATATCGAATGATGTCCATGGATAAGGCACCTACCTCAGTGCTGCGAGAGAAGGGGCGGTTCCCGGGTCGTGAGTACCTAATAAGGCGTTTGGGGCAAGAGCGAAAAGCAGCCGTCACCCACCGACGGGAGTTCTAGACTTTAGAGCGTATGAGTCATTACTTCCCTGTTCCTTCCAAATCAACAATCATCAGTGGCAAGCTGAGGAAGGACCACTGGCTATGTCTGTAGGATTGCTTTAACCCAACTCTCGTCTCGTTTCCACAATCACTGAACCTCAACATCCCCCATTCTCTCCTGTTTACCTTATTTACCACCTTCTCCCTCTGTCACGTCGTTTCTTGTCATAATGTCACCAGCGAATAGTCACTACGCCCTCTTCGTGTGGCTTCTAGCGCTCTTTGCGCTTGTCGACCCAGCGTTGCCTTTTCGAGTCCCGCCGCACTACTCTGGTGAAGCCCAGAAATTGGCCGATCCGAACTACGGCCCCATCCCAGGCCAGTCGGACCACTACAGCAGTTACTGGGGCATTGAGAGGCCTTTCCCCGGCAACATCACGGACCCTGTATTCCCAACTCAGGATGGCCCTCCCGGTGAAGACGACTTCGTGTGGCAGAACTTGCTGGCAGCCGAGTGGATTATCTTCGAGTTTTACCAGCAAGGCATCGAGCGCTTCACCGACGAGGACTTCACAAAAGCCGGGATGCCCGACAATACGCGCCAGCGCCTGATGGAAATCCGCAACAATGAGGCTGGCCATCTCCGCATCTTCCAGAATCAGATTTCGCCCACGTCGATTAAGCCAGGCCCTTGCAAATACACTTTCCCCCTAGCGGACCCCTTATCTTACATGACTTTCATGACCGTGATCGAGATCTCAAGCATGGCATTCCTGAGTGGGCTGGTTCAAGCCGCCGAGAACGACTGGAACCAGGGCCTGATTGCGGCCCTCTCGCAGACAGAGACTCGGCATGAGGCCTGGGTCTTGATGGAGATCTGGAAGACAAACCCGTTTGCCGGCCCGTCGGACACCCCATTCCCGTACGCCAACCAGATCCTCGACAGCACACAGGGCCTCGTGGTTCCTGGAAGCTGTCCGCCAGAAAACCCAGAGTATCCGTATCCCCGCCAGCATTTGCCCGCCTTGTTGGCGGCCCCCGACACGAAGAGCCTTGCGCCCGGCGCAACCATCACGCTGGCCTTCACCGACAAGGACAACCAGCCTGTGTTCGACCCTGACACACAGTACTATGCCGTCTTCTCCCACGGCGTGCACAACATCAGCGTCCCCATCGTCACCGAGGGGTTTCCACTCCGTCCAATCAACGTCACCATCCCGGCCGCCTTTGAGACCAGGGGCGTCATTGTTGCTCTGATTGCGAACCAGCTCGGGGCGCCCGTCAAGGAGTCTGTTGTGGCCGGCCCTGCTGTTATCCTGGAGCAGCCTGTGGAGCTGGGACCTGAGCTGGTGCGGGGAGGGGGCCCTGAGGCGACTTGAGAGGTTGTAGACGCTTTCGGTACGCTAGCCAGCGTAGCTTTCGCGGTGTGCGGTTCGCTTTTGGCTTCAGGAACTCGCCGGGGTTGAGGGAGTGCTGTGCAAGTAATGGGGCAACATTGGCATATTCGTGGCGAGTAGCGCCCGATGCATTGGGGGTTCCAACACGGTCTGCCGGGGGCTTCGAACAACAAAGGCGGGGACTTGGGTTGACAAAGCGATTGTATCTCAGCGCACAGCCACTGGCACAACCAGGGCAAGGACCGAGACCGTGGCAATAGCAATACAAGAGCAGAAATATCCATGTTCATTTGATTTGAGAAACGTCGTTTTTTGCCCTCTCCTATATATCCGCCTCGGTCCCGCCTCTTCCCTTTCGCCCCCTAATTCAGCGCAGCTTGTTTGTAATTCCGCCTCAGGTTCCCATAATCGCCACACGTGCTCACCATGCCTTCATCAAAGCCGCACCCTCTAGAGCGGCCCGGGCTCTTCCGCCTCATCGTCGAATCACAAGCCTTTTCGGGTGTAAAGTTCATCGAGTTGGCCCTGATGAACAAGGCCATATACCAACTGGCATTCCAGGAACGCCTACGCTACAGGATCAAGAACATCCCTTTCAGACACTTCGGCAACCCACTCTGTCAAGCCATCAGTGCGGACCGTCCCGATCTGCTCGAGCATGCCCTCCAACTCGGTGAGTTCGACCGCCGGGAACAAGCAATGACATCTCGGAACGGCCGTTACCTGATGGACGAGACGGGCTCCGCCGTCCACGACCTCCTAGAAATGTGCGTCCACAACGGCGCCCGCCGCTGCCTCGCCCTCCTTCTCAAACTCGGCGACACCCACGGCCGCCCCTACCGCTACGGCCGCGAATGGCTCTACCACACCGCGCGCGAAGTCGCCCTCACCAAGGGCAAACTCCAATGCCTCTTCTACCTGCACGACCACGACCACGAACGCGGCCGCCACCTCCCCTCCCCGACCCAACTCTACACCACCCTCCTCGCCCGCGCCCGCTCCCCCGCCATCGTCACCTGGCTCGCCCGCCGCCTGCCCCCCGCACCGCAGACCAACTACCGCTCCCTCCTCACAACCCACTGCGGCGACCTGCACTCCCAGCCCGCCGCCATCGACGCCCTCGCCCAGCTCGTGCCCCCCGCCGAGCGCCGTTTCCTCGCCCCCGCCCTCTGCGCCGCCGCTTCCATCGCCCACCTCGCCGCGCTGGATATCCTGCTCCGCCGCGCGAACGCCCAGGCTTATGCTGCCTGCCGCGCGGCGGGTGAGGCCTACTCGTCGGCGGGGGCGAACCCGCTGTTTTGTGCGCTCACGCACCCGTTGCCGGGGAGGCCGTCGGGGGCGGTGTTGCGGGTGTTTCCGTCGGCGGGGGAGGAGAGGGATCGGGAGGAGTGGGCTGAGGAGGGGGATGGATGGGTGAGGGGCCAGATGCAGTTAAGGATGACGTGGCGGGATCGGGTGAGGCGGGTGTTTGTGGTGTTGTATCTGGTGGTGCATTACCTCGGGGTGGATGCCGTTGGGGATGAGTTTCGGGAGAGGGAGGAGTGGGGGTTGAGGGATGAGATGCTGGATTGTGCGGCGGTCATCTATTTGTTTCAGTTGAGGGTGTATTTTCTGGCGAATCTGCCTTGGTTGTTGGAGTGTAAGCCCGCGTTGAGGGATGAGTTGCTGGTTCCTGTTAGGAAGGGTAGGTCGACGACGGCACCGCCTGTTTGGGCCAGAGCTGGTTTCATTTTCAGTGCTGCTGCTATTGGTGGCGATGGAACGCGGATTGGTGCTTCTCCCGATGAAGAGGGAGAGGAGTTGGTTGGCCTGGGCGAGACGAAGCCGATTTACACTTGGCGGAAGGGCACGAGTGGGAAAAGGGCGATGGCGGTGACCAAGGCGGAAAGAGTGGGTTTGACACAGCACATGGTGGCGATATGGGAGGTTCTTCTTACGCCGACGACCACGCGGATGGCAGAGCGCTATCTGAAGATCCGGGGTAAGAATCTGGTTGGACGTGCTCCGATGGCGCTGCTGTGGGACTTGCTCGTGGCGGAGGAGCGGACAGCCCCGCTTGGATCGGACACGGAGGAAGAAGAAGAGCGCTGGAATTGGACATTCGATTCGAGCTAGTAGGGGAAGCGTTTCGGTCGGAGAAGCTTGAGAGGTGGGCAAACTAATCTTTGAGTGCTAAGGGTTAGATGCCATGCTGCTTCCAGATGACGTGTTCTTTTCTGTAATTAAATATATGACATGACAAACTCTCATAACGCACTAGAACACCGAGATTTACCATTGTTGATCGGGCATATCGTTTATGCCATTCCGTATGCGTATTCTGCTAACTATCTGAGTCAGTGATTGCGTAGATCCCGCTTGAGGCCAGTCGTCTCGCCACGTTAATCACACCCCGTGGATGGCAATGGCATTCTCCTCCGGTATGCCTACCCATTCCAGCAGTCTTCGCTGCGCAGGGATAAACACCTCTATGAATTCCTTGCTTCCCGGCAATGGGGGTTCCCTCTGCGCACCCATGACACTCGTCATGTGCGAGATCCCCTTGGCATATTCCGCCTCCGGGCCGAACATGCGAGCCGCCTCGTGGGTAGCTGCCACGAAATACCCGAGTGTTACGTTCTGGAGATCGGTTGCCGAGGGGAATTTCTTGTCCTGAAACGCGGGCGACTCCGGTGGCAGGCTGCCTGCGACAATGAGGATGGTTATGATGTCCATCATTTCGTTAACCCACTCAGGCCCGCTCTTCCGGGTGTTGAGGAGTTTTCCTTTGAGGCCGTTGCGCAGGGCGGGTACCGGCTGTCCTTTTCCGAGATACAACTTGGCCAGCGAAAGGCGGGCAGAAGGTAAGGGTTCCATGTGTTCAGGCCAGAGCTTGCCAGGGGGGAACGCATGAGTGGTGACGGTACGTAGCAATGTTTCGACCGCCGAAGGGTCCTCATAGTCCGGGAAAACGCCAGGGTGTTTGAAAGCTTGGACGGCGGCATCGATGAGCCGAACGATCTCCCTCTGGTAATGCGGAAGGATCGAAAGCTTTTCGGTGCCTTCGAGCAGAGACGACTGCTCTTTGAGCTCGCCTTCGCAGCGGGTGCCTATTCAACTCGCGTTAGTAAGTCACGAGGGGACCGAAGGCCGTGACACAACGACTTACAGGAACAGTCGAAGAAGTGATTGCCCTTGAGGAAATCTTTGCGGGCAGTCAACCTAAGAGTCGGATCGATATAGCAAATAGTAATCTCTTCGCCAGCGGCAATCGGTCTGAGCGAGCGGACTCGAATCTCATTGCCTTCAAAATGAACAAACGCATTTGGGTCGCAGGAGTGGTTGATCATGGCCGTAACCACGTCAAACGCGTATCCAACGAGCCTCTTCGATGAGGCGGGACGGAGCGGTACGTAGTTAGTGCTCATCTGTCTCCCGGTCAGCTTTATATTACCACTTGTAGTTCAAGATCAAACAAGCATACCGCTGTCAGAAGCCTCCATGGGACTATGATCTGTACCCTTTTCCCAGTTCCCTCCCGAATTGCCGATGCGATATCGTAAAACACTTGAGAGCGCTCGGGATCCATGGAGTATTCGTTGAAGTGGTTTTCGAGGCGCGACAGGCTGCGGGCCAGAGCGGTCTGGAGGAACCCACGCTGCTGGTAGAAAACTAGGCGGTGGGTGAATAGAGTATGGGCCGTCATCTTTGGCGTCTTCTGAAGTATCTTGCACTCGTCTTTATGGTACAATGACCAGGCCGATCTCTGGCATTGCTGGTTTACAGGACTCATCAGCTTTTGCTTCCGCGAGAGTCCCGACACGGGTTGAAACGTACCTTGGAGCAGAACCTGGCGACCTTGCAATTTGCACAGGCCTTTGTCTCTTCATTGTCTTTGGACGGCCCACCCAACACTTCCTGTGTATCCTTCAGGCAATGGGAACAAAAGGAAGGGTTGCCGGCACTGAGAGTATGCATTATCGGGGCGACGTGGTAAATCTCGCGGCCCGCGGGTATATCGGCACCCGCGAACAGGCCGGAGCCGTTGCAGATTCCGGACGATTGAATCTTGAGCGGAACGGTCGACACGATGCGGTCGAGGTTCCATTTGCAGAGCTTCTGGTCCTCGTGCAGGGCCTCTCGTTGCGATGGCTTGAAATCGTCGTCGTCCCAATGGCTAACGGCAATATCACCGCTGTTCTTGGTGTATTTCATGTTCGCGAATTTGCATGCGGCAGCTGAGAGGTGTGGTTGGGAAACGAGTTTGTGGGTCGATGGCTCGTAGTTTGTTAAAGAATTGAAGTTCGCTCGCAGGAAATAGTCAACAAACTCGATCGGTGCCAAACCACGTGAAGGGACTTTAATTCGAAACGGTTCAGAAAAGGATGGAAGGAACGACGTACAGTTCCAATGGCAGGAAACTCGAAGTTGCCCGCGGCGATAAATAGCTAGAATCTAGGAGCGCTTCCATTTTGACCAGGTTATTACTGCCCAAGTTCCATTAATCTTGCGGTTTATTAAATGATTATTTGTCTCTATTCATACCTATCCTACGTAACTAACAGAACAAGACCGCGTCACCGCGTTCTCTGTGCTAAAAGAAAAGATACCGAACCCGAACCCATCGTCACGCATGACATGTAGCAAATATAATATACTCGCTCTTGACCTGCTCAACCATCAGTCATCACCCATAGCATACTTGACCCAAAACGCCGCCACATCGCGCGGTGCCGCGGCGAGCCTAAACAACTCCTCTTCCTCCCCATCATCCCGCCCATCATCCGGCCTCGCAACAATGAGATCCAGCTTCCTCGGCTCCGCCGCATTCGGCCTCATCCCCGCCAGCCGACAGTCCACGGCCCTCAAACTCCTCTCCGCGAAATCAATCATTAGAAAGAAGCCGCTGCCACCATCGCCACCACCGCAGTGAAGCAGCCCCACCTCCCTCCCCACCACTTCCACTTCCCCTCCCTTCCCTCCACTACTCCCCGGAGTGCCGCAACCATAAGAAAAGACACAAAACCCATCCCCAGCAGCCGCCACCAACCCATCCGCCAACCCACCCAGCCCCCCATCCGCCCCAGACCGATCCACATCCCGCAGCAAGCCCGCCAACCGGGCCAGCGGCCTAGCCTGTCCCTCATCACCTCCCTGCTGCTGCTGCTGCTGCTGCTGCTGTTGCTGCCACAGCAGCGGTGCAGAGACCGCAGAAGGCGGCATTTGTAAGGCCGCCGCCAGTGCGCGGCACAGCTCGGCGAGCATGACGCTCAAGAGAGCGGTGCGCGTCGCCGTTGCCGTTGCCGAAGTGGAGGATGTGGGGGAGGGGAGGAGGAAAGGGGGGAGGAAACCGGACATGGTCTGCAGGAACGCCCAGGCTGCGCGGGGGGCGGTGGAGTAATCCGCCCTGGTGAGGGCTGTGAGGAGGGTGGTGAGGAGGTGGAATGTCGCGGGGTTGGGGATGGTGCCGTTGTTGGGGTGATCGGCGGGGTTGATTGTGGGAGTTGTGCCGGGGAAAGGGAAGAGCAGGCAGAGGTGGGTGAATTGCTCTTCGAGGGTTCCGCGGAGGGTGCGCTGCGGTGGGGGCTGTGTTGTCCACGGGTCGTTGAGGGTCCAGAATTCGGTTGTTGATCGTGTGATGGGGATGGAGGAAGCTTCCGGGGCGGCGCCGAGGTTGCTGAGGAAGCTCGATAGGACGGGGTTGTCACAGGAGATGGGGCGGTCGACGGCGAATAATCTGCTGAGAATGTCTGCCGCGCCGACCCCGATATGGGAGACCCGTTGTGTCGGGACTTCTAGCTGTTCGGCTGGCGTGGTGGCCGGAACTGTGAAAGCTGCCGGCGGTGTGGGATCCGGTGCTTCCTGCTTGATATATGGAAGCGGGGAATTTGAGCGAGGCGGTAGAGTGTGACCTTGCGGGACCATTGGCAGGACTGGGCCTGCTAAAGAGGAAAAAGGTCCCGATGGCCCCAACGGTGATAGTGGCGTGATGGGTGGTACCACAGCCAGCGAAGCTATATGAGCCTCTTTCGAGCGGATGAGGTCCTGTAGTCGCAAACTTTCGGCTTTGGCCGCTTCGGCTTCTCCCTCTCGCTGCTGAATCAAACTTTGGAGTCCGAGGTTGTTAGACTTGAGTCCTTCCATTTCTTGTTCCATTTCTTGGACCAGGTTTTGCATCCTGCGGTTGTCTGCCGCGGCCGTCTCGATGCTCACGTCGCGTTTCCGAACGGTGTCTTCCAGCCAGAGCTTCTCGGCGCCCGTCTTCCTGCGCTCCTCTTGCAGCTCGCGCAGGCTGGCTTCGAGTCGCGTCTGTTCTGCTTCGCGATCTTCCAGATCGCGCTTCAGCCGGCGCAGCTCCACCTCGGTCCCAGCAGCTGCGGATTTCAGGGAGTGAACCTCCTCGCCGAGATCCTTCTTGCTACATGCGAGCTTGAAGTTGGTCGTTTTGCAATTGTCCAGGTCTTTCCGCAGGGATTCTTCCCGTGCGGCAAGCTGGTCCAGCTCGCCCCCCATGCTCTCCATCTCGGCCCCCATGGCGTGGTAGACATCGTTGAGCCTGTCCAACTGCCCTTGGATTCTCGCCACGGCGCGCGAGATGGGATGCGTAGGCGCATAACCGCTCTTTGTCGTGACAGACTCGATGTTCTGGACAAGGGCGAAGATGCTCCGGGCGGTGGATACGAAGGTCCTCTCGAGATTCCCCAGGGAATTCGACTCGGGCTCACTGTCGTATCCTTCCTCAGATTTGGGCAACGCGTGGGATTTGCCGCGGATTCTCAAGTCAGACTCGATTAAATACCCGCCCAGGTGGTGTGGCTTAGACTCGCGCGCACCATCATCATCATCTTGAAAGCCGGCAACCGGGGGAGACAGAGAAGGCGGCGGGCGCGACCAGTCGTTATCCTCCCGTTGTCTCGGGGGTCCTTCCCGGCGTAGTTTCTTTCTTGGGTGGCCCTTGGGCGATGTCGGAGGCGGTCTAAAGAAGTCACCGCCCCTACTGTGTTTCTCCATCCTTGTTGATACCCTTTATTGGTCGCAAAGGCGTGGTACAGCGTTGAATTGAAGTTGAATTAAGGCTTGTCGCATGTGTGGGTCGAGGCGCGCCAACGCATTGACGCCCAAGAATGGTAGGTATTGGTCCTTGTGGCGACTCGAGAGTGGGGTTGCCGAGGGTTTGGGGAATCCGGAAAGCAGCAAACAAACACAATTGAACGCGAGTATGTGTGTGTTAAGTAGGCTCGTAGGTATCCGTAGTGTGCTTTGTACTGTGTGAACAGGCCGTTGGTTTATGTTGAACCTGTGTCCAAATCATCACATATGTAAACGACCGAACACTGTGCAGCGCCAGATTTCACATCCTCAAGCTTTGAATTCGTGAATTTTGTCATCCCTTCAGAGATTAGCTAGCCGGGAAAGAAAAAAGAAAAAAGAAAAACAAATCATGCCCAGCGCCCTTGCGAGAACTTCACCTGGGTGTCCCATCATCTAATCAGCCGCTCCCAGTACCCCCAACTTTGACAAGAAAACAAATCTGGAACCGCTCCCCAAGTCCCGATGCACGCCCGCTCATTGGCATGCATACGTTGTCACGGTGCCAACCGGGAGAGTGGTCGTCGTCTCAAACGTCCCCGGCGGTCCGTAACCGGCTAACGCAGTGCTCACGACAAGGGGGCAACCTCCGCAGCTGACAGCCACCGTGGTTGTCGTAAAGCTCGCGTAGGTCGTCGCGGTCTTGCCAGCGGAGCGCGCCGGCTGGACGACCAGCGTTGTCGGACATGCTGCAGGCTCGATGCCATCTTCCGGGCTCCGGACGCCCTTGACCCCGAATTCGGCGCTGGGTGTTGTAGTGGCGGCGGCCGGCCCTTCCGTCTCCGTCCGCCTCGCGAGCTTGGCGGATTGCTGGCATACGGTGCTCCAAGAAGTACTCGGGATCCCTGTCCTCAATGTTGCATTGATGCTCTGGTTGGGGCAATAGTACAACTCCTTGTAAACATAAATGCTGTCGCACCCGTTGCAGTTCACTTGTTGGAACAAGATAGTCGTAGAAGGGTACATGGTGGTGGTTCCGTCCCAGGAGCACGGATATCCATACGTCTCGGACAGGGTCGTCGTGCATCCTTGACCCGGGAACGGATACGGGTGGATAATAACTGTGTCCATCGGCGACGCATCAGGGGATCCAAGATCGAGGGCCTCGCGGGGGGCAAGAACCGGCTTCATGGGCTCTCCATTGCCGACCCTCAGCTGCGCTGCCGGCGCCAACGTTGGCGTTGATGGTTCATGGGTAGCTGGTAACCCCGCCGCCGCGGTTGTTGATATCGCCAAGTGGAATGGTTCGCTCCTGTCTGCCTCGCGTGCTGGGGAACAAGAGACAGGGACTAGGGCCGTCGAGAGGAGAAAAAGGGTCAACAGTTCCATGGCGGGCGAACGAGGAACAAATGTTCCACACTCGTCGGCGTCAAACGAGGAGTTAGCTCGGCCGATGTCGGGTTTCGGATGAGCTGCGTCTGGATTGAGCCGTGGGGTGGAGTCAAAGTTCGCGTCAGCCCGGGGTCCTTATGAGCCGATCAGCCCTCGACAAGTTCACAGTTCTCGATCAGGCATGGATTTCCGGGCCAGACGACCGTTTAAAAAGAACAAGATGCGTCGTGTTATCCGCTTGGCGGCCGGGTAACGGCGAAAACAAAGTTCTCAGGTGCTGCAGTGGTTTATGCAGCGCACCTCAGATGGGGGCAATATTGCGTTGCCAGTGCGACGTCAACGGTGTCGGTGTCCCGTGAGGCTCGGGGCATGGTGAGAAATCCTGGGTGGCGGGCCTGAAGGCGAACGTCGTGTGGTACGCTAGGCCCTGTACGGGCGTCAAGGGAGACAAGCTTCTGGGTGGGTTGGTTCGAGGTCGCGCTGGACCAGTTTCTTCGGAGCTGGGGAGCTCAGTCCGGTGAGACACGGATCAATTTTTGGAAGACCAAGGCAGGGAGGATTCCCGGCCCCGGGACCGTGGAATTTATTGCCCCATCAAACGGCGAGACATCCCGCCAGAAATTCAGTCCCGGCAGTGCGGTTGAGAAACAAACCGCAGTCAGTCACCCCAAATGCCCGCCAAAGCCCGGCCAAAGGGAGAACAGGCGTCGCATTGTCATCTTCTCGCAGGTTTTGGGGATGGGTAAGATAACAAAACCCGGCAAGTGAGCCAAGCAGGTCGCCTCGACGATTGGGTGGATAAATGGCGCAAAAACATGCCGGGGCCAGTTCTGGCATGGCTAATGCCGAAGAATTGCGCCCGTTGGAATTGGCTCCGCGGTGCTCCAAATCGGGATTGTCCCGTGCGCCGTTCTGGTCGAGGCCGAAAAAGAAAGTACACACGACCCGACTTCACCGAGACGCGTTCAGCGCGTGGAGATGGATAAGCGCAGGATTGGTTAGATTGCATTGGCTCTGGCTGCGGACAGATGTCGCCTTCGTTGATTGAGACACAATTCAAGACGGTTCCAGGTTGGGATGAATACTGCCAGTGAAGGGATGGGTGTGACCCTGGTTGGAATTAATCGCCCCACTGCGGAAGTTCAACAGGGCCAAAAATAGAAAGAGTCACCCACACCTGAAAACTCGGGCAGCCGCTGCAGGTCCAGTGCGCCCGCCCCTGCATGAGTTGAGTTTTGTTCACACCAACTCCGAGTCCTCTCATTTTGCCCGCGTTCTCGGTCTATTTTCACCTCTACGCAGATGAAGCACACTCGGCTCAATTGAACTCCGTCAGTTGCAGTGGGGCTGAACACCATCGGCGACACCTTCCTCTCTCGTCGCGGGGGCGATTTGCAGCCCCCAAACCCTGGTTTGGCCCACGGAAGGAAATCAACTGGCCTAGCCAAACTGGGACCTTGGTGTGCTGCAGCGGGCATGCAGCCAAAACTCGTGTCTGGTCTGTGTCTACGAAGACTTTCTGCTCTGCCTTGCGACCGGCAAACACCGTCGACATTCAGCCCAGCGGACGAGGTGCCTAGGTAGGTACGGATATTGTCGGTGCATTCATTTACTTAAGCAAGTCTGCAGTGATGCCGTCCAGTAATAACCTGTGTCCTTTGCCCAGTCCTCCTTCCGGGGGAGTGTCCGCATTCCCCTACAGCCGTAGAACCGATTCAATGAGCCTGGGCAATCCAGCTTTAAAAAGAGGTATTGGAGCTTGAGCATCGGGCATCTCTCAACAACTGACGATCAACCCTACGTCGGGTCAAGCCGCCCGAGGGGAGAAATCACAGCATGCGATTATCCGAGCACATCTCAATCGCCTCATTTTATTTATCAAACACGTTGCAGATAACGGATAATGGATTTACACAGTATCTCGTTGCTCTCTCTTTCCACGTTCCCGAGTCAAAAGTGAAGACGTTTCGATTCCTCTTTCGCCACCCCACTTTTTGAGAGATGATATTCGCATCTCCAAGGAAGGAAGAATGGGTAACTTCAGTCGTGGTTGACCGAAGATTTGAAGAACAAGCACGGACAGCTATGTTGCGTGATATCATCCGAACAGCCGGTCCCAACAAAGAGTGGGATGGAATACCTACTTCCCCGCATTTTCGGGCACTCACTCGACCTGACTCGAATGCTCCCCTCAACCTCAAATCACAATGTTCTTGGGCATGCTCGTGGCCGCATCATGGTTGTTCCCGCCACGTACCAATGCCCTCGCTAGCCCCGGGCCACTTCCCACCACGACATTACCACAACCCAGAACCGCGGAGGATAACCCCATTACCCCAGTTCCAACCTACGCTCTGGCGACATTCGACAGCCGTCTTAGCAGCATTTCCGCAGAACGAACCGCTTATCCGGGGTGTACGTTTGTCGAAGAGGCTCCTCCAAGGCCACCAGGGCAGCCGCTCCAACTCACAGACACAAACCCGCCAGTCCCACGAGTGAAAGCCGAGTCCGGCCGTGTCAGTGTCAAGGACTACAACACCGCGCCTCGGAGGACGAGACCGGTACAGCCGACGGTTTTTGATTCATGACCGGGGAGCAACAATACACTCAAACACCCGGATGCGCCTTGGTTGCGAGGAAAACGCCGAGCCAAGCAGGCCGAAGGTCGGGGTGATGTGGTTCGGGGCTTTACGTATTTTAACCTCGGCGGTCTTCAGATTACATTATCCATTTAGAAGGGAACAGAAATTATTACTGTTAGAGTTGAAAGACATCCTCGAGACAAAAGGGAAATGCCCAACACTGGGTCTCGCTGAAAGGAGAATTCTGTAACTGACAAGTCTGTCTGCCTGGGCAGCCTGATCACTAAACAAGAAAGAAAAGAAAACGTCCATAGCATCGGTCTCTGGTGGATTGGTTCGTCGGCCCCAGAACAGGACTTTCGTTGTTACTACAATGTGCGTCTCCGGCTTCCACAAGGTCTGGGCCGTTGTGACGGCCTAGGCTCTCACGGCCATGCTTTTCCGGGGACTTGTACTGACGTCCAGAACGAATATCAATTCTAGTTGCTAGCTAGGAATAGGGTACCGGGCGTAGATAAAACCAAACCCTCAGCGGTCGCAAGAGAATGGTTCATGACATCCAATGAATCCCTGCCATCCCCAACTCGCACCCCAGAATTGCTCGCTCCTCTAAGTTGCATAGCTTAGCAGCAGAGCTTGGCTCCGCAGGTGTCGTAGCATCCCAAGACGCAGGAGCAGATCTGCGGGTTGGCGGCAGCCTCGGGGTTGGCGGCCGGGTTGGGCAGAGCCATAGCGCTGGTGACCAGCAGAGCAGCGGCGGTGAAGATGGTGGTGAACTTCATTGTGACCTAGAGGCTGCTGTTAGGTTGTACTAGGTACCCTAGATTCAGCGGTTGACTTACGGGAGAGGCAGATATATCGGACTGATCTGAAGATGTGGATGTCTGTATCAGTGTAAGGAGACTTCTGGAGATGAGACAAGAACTGATCCCCGGGTTGGCGCTGGTGTTTTATAGAATTGTGCACTTAACCATGTGTCCCTAAAACAGGGCATTCCGATCCCGCCCTCGCATTACTCTATGCCTAACAACCAGTCAGCCGATTCCATCCCCAGCCAAGAGCAAGCAATATAAGTGTGCAACTTGGAACCAAATCTGTCAATCCTTTCTCTCACCGCGCTGATCGACGATTGGTTCTCTTCTCAACATGGTTTCAGAGAAGCAGAATCAAGAGGGGCACAGACAGCGGTTAATATTCTAAGCGAGACACACTGGGACAAGATAAATGCTCAAAGGATTTGAAGGATTTGAAGGATCCGCATTCGCCTGCAGTACACAGTAAAGCCTCCAAACAACTTCAAGATTTCTAGGAGAACCGGAGTCCGATGACATCCCGATGCTCAAGTTCAGGCTTCTTTTCTGCAGATCAGGGTCAGTCAGCCACCGCAACCAATTAGAGACGCACACCACGACCTAGAATGGGTTTACGGAGGCGAGCTCTCCGAATGCACTCAGAGACTCGGCTACCCTTTCCACCTATCCAACACAATACGAAGCGGGACTGAGAGAGACTCCGCATCTCACCTTTCGCAGTGACTGGCTTCCATCTCCGCGTCGTCCTTTTATTGGTTACAGCTGCTCATTACTCAAGCCAGTAGTCTTTCCTTGTTTGTGAGTGACAGGACTTGGAACTGCGCAATCCAAGTCTCTCATGGTTAAACCAGAGTACACCTCGGCCGACGCCTCTCTTCATGTTCGTCGCATGGCCATGTCCGACTTGCCCTTGTCCCCACATGAAGCTACTCCCCCCACCGTATTTGCCTCAACTCTCTAACAATCTTTGACGCTTTGGAATGACACGGCTTGAGAACGAAAGAAGAGGATGGGGATAGTAATTGATGGCAAAATGACAACATAACGAAGCGCAATCACGCGATAGCCAGATGGGTGAATGGTCCAATCAAGAAGTTGAAAGGTCAAGAGAGGTTGACTCTTGATTGTCGGTCACCGGCTCGGGCGAAATTAACAGGAGTTGTCCTTGAAAAGAGCCGATGGCATGAAAGCCACAGTCTGGATGACGACGATGTATTTGGAGCCTTCCAGAGAAGTGTGTAGTGTAACAGTTGGACGTCATGACAGGCTTACCAAAACCCCGAATTGTGCTCAAACCGGAAACAAGAAGAGTACCTTATTCGGACATATGCCAAACAAGTTGATGTCAATGCGGACAACATGCGTTAAAGCATATGCTTCTCTTCTCCTCGGTTTTCCTTAGACCTTGAAGGTAGTAACCTCCTCTACTGGCTTAAGGTACCTAAGGTTTGTGGGAATCTTGGAACATGTGACGCTTTTAATTAGTTTGTCTTTTTCATGCTTGGTTTCATTTTAGACGCATTAAGAACCGTCGGGAATATAGGGGCAGTCTACACATTATTGATCTAGTAACGGATTTGTAGTGTGGAAATGGAAAAGGATCAATTTACCTGGGAAAATGCGTGGCATGCGTATATGGTAGGGTGCAGTGGTGCTTCTCCCACGTATAATAATGCTCAGTTGGTACTAGTAGGTGTTGCTTCCGTACCTAGGTAGATCCTCGGGTACGCAGAGTTGTAATGTCTGCGGCACGTATGGATAGATATTATCAGTTTTGGGTATCGGGGAAATCCTACCAACACAGTACCAAGCTGACCATGAGCCGATGTTGTTTAGGCCACTGCCAACGTGTACGCAAGAGGTCCAGTCGCCTTTTAAGCTAAAGTAAGGTACCTAGGTAGTTTTCTAGACTCGACACTGCCAACTCAAGACGGGCGAGTGTCACCAGAGTACTCCGAGCGGGTTAACTTGGACCTCGCATTATTCCAAGATGATATTTACCAAGCCGGATGAGGGGAACTAAGACACAACCTGGCTGCGAAGGATTGGGAAAAGAAAAAACACATCCCGTAATTACAAAAAGATTAATCGAGTTAGTAGGGTCCGAGGCTCGGGGCGAAAATGTGCCTTCGTTCTTATTGCACATTAGCAGAGGCTTTATATGTATATCTATAACGGGTCATACGTAGAGGAAGGGGTGATAGTAGGCTAGGCATCTACTCCTGGCACATAGACGGGGGGACACAAAACCACCAAGTCGTGTCCCCTAGATACATGTACTTACATCCTTCTCCACCAAATGGCTTCACATTTCCCGGATATGAGCAGAATATACGACGCTGCATCATCCCGGCCGAAATCGTAATATTAACAGGTGACTATCCGGATGTGGTGCCCTTCTCTATTACCCAAGCTCCAACCTCGCTTTCTACTGGTTCGTGAAAACGCGAGATATCCTTGTCATCTGTATCACCAAACTCGGTGTGTGTCTCCGGGACTTCGGAAGCCGTCCTCCCTCAGTGACAATGTCACCATCCTTTTCCCCGGCTCGGTGTTCAGGGGATAGTGCATTCGAATCCCCAACGTTCATTTGTATTAGCCCTCCCCGGTTGTGTTTCACCATCCGGAATAGCGGAACGCGGTTAACACGTCTTCGACAGGCTGTACGGGAATGAAGACCTGGATGCCCGCGGGTGGGAGGCCTGAATTATCCGTCATCTTCTGCCAGGGTTGGTTGGGGGTCTCGAACTGTGACCCGGTAGGGGGGCATGTAACTCGGTTGGACGAAAATAGCCCTGTCAGTTCCTGCTCGTTTTCCGGGTCGGAGCTTGCAATTTACAACCCTGACCCATTCGGCCTCAGTTTGCTCCCTCGGAGACAGCCGGCGTGAGATCCTAGTCACGTATCGAAGGGCGCATCGCGAAAAGCAACTGGAACTGACTCGTCGTCCACCTGAGGCGATGGTGAAGCTTGGCCACCCCCCACAAGCCCCCTCATCTATGTAGGTCACATTGCCGCCTCCGCGCTATTCGAGTGCCGAAAGCTTGTCGCAAGCAAGACTTGTTGCGTACTAGCTCGCACTAATACTGGGGGAAACCGCCGTGGAGAATGTTCTTCTCCTTCTCTCACCTTCCTCGATGTGGTTACAACAGGTAGTACAGGCTGAAATGTGCCGAGGCGACCGTTGCATCGCCCGGCCAAGTACTCGGCGCCTCCGCCAGTAACCGGGGGAGACCGATGCAATCGTGAGCACGACCGCGCGAGTTCTGCACTCGGGCATCCAGGGGTCGGTGGTGGTTGATCGAGTTGAGACGCCGAGCCCCGTCGAAGCGGGTCTTCGCCAGAGCTCAGGGATGGGCAATGCTACCTTCGGGGACCCTGATATTCTAAAAGTGGGAATTTCGGACCCAGCACTGCGGCAGTCGACCCGGTTCCAGCCAAGAGCGGCTTCTGTGTTCCGGGTTCTGGGGCCTGTCAGATCTCGGGAGATGCTTCAGGCTAAACCATGGTACATACCCCTTTATTGGTGCGCAAAATCTTGGGGTGCATCGAAACCCGGTCGTTGATAAAGGGAACAAACAACAAGCGCAAGCCGCATGCTCCGGGAGAGAATGTGTTGGTGCAAAAGGAGTCAACAACGCCACGCCACAGTGGGTGGTGATGGCGCATTAACGCCGAGATGGGCAAAGATGATCGGCAATAAACAAGGGGATCTACGGAAGGGATGGTGTGGCCCCGGAAACCGGGGTACTCCTGGTCTGTGGATTTGTGACCGGGTAATGGGGTGATATGGAGGTGGACACTCAGAGCCGCGAACACCAACATCACGAGCTATCGGGCAGCGGAGAGGGCATGATGCTGCGGCGGACGGACGGCGGGAAACAATGCGCGAGTGGGCCTTGTTTGTGTGTGAAATGGACATATATAGCCCGCCACGGCCCTCCTTCGATCTCTGATCTTTCCTCACCACCACCATCACCATCATCCAGCACCCGGAACGGTCTCATTCCACCACCGCAACCATGGTCTCCTTCAAGGCTCTCCTTCTCGGTGCCCTCGGCACCGTTGGCGCCCTCGCCTTCCCCCTCAACACGACTGAGCTCAGCGAGGCTCACGCTCGTGGCGAGAATGTGACGGAGCTGCTCATGGCTCGTGGTGGCACCCCGAGCCAGACCGGCTGGCACGGCGGGTACTACTTCTCGTTCTGGACCGACAACGGCGGCACCGTCAACTACTGGAACGGTGACAACGGCAACTACGGCGTCAACTGGCAAAACTGCGGTAACTTTGTCGGTGGCAAGGGTTGGTACGTATCACGGACGGTTCCTTTTCCATACTCGGTAGTGAAAGACTCTAACACACGGTACACAGGAACCCGGGTGCATCCCGGACGATCAACTTCAACGGGCAGTTCAACCCGTCGGGCAACGGGTATCTGGCCATCTACGGATGGACGACGAACCCGCTGGTGGAGTACTACATCGTGGAGTCGTTCGGCACGTACGACCCGTCGTCGAACGCGCAGAACCTGGGCACGAGCTACATGGACGGCAGCAACTACAAGATCGCCAAGACGACGCGCTACAACCAGCCCTCCATCGTCGGCACCGCCACCTTCGACCAGTTCTGGTCCGTCCGCCAGAACAAGCGGTCCAGCGGCAGCGTCAACGTCGGCGCCCACTTCTCCCGCTGGTCCCAGAGCGGCCTCCGCCTCGGCCAGCACAACTACCAGATCATGGCCACCGAGGGCTACCAGAGCTCCGGCTCTTCCTCCATCACCGTCTGGTAAGCGAGCGGCGCCGCGGTAGGGAGAACTCAATGCCGGGCCGGCACTGCTACCCGGATGCCCTGTACCATGGGCCTGGATGGGTCTCGGGGGGTTTTAGATGGGTGGATCCGGCGTGGAGCTGACAACCGGGCTTTTCCGATCGTTCCAAGGTTCCTGTTCTTGTTTTCGAGCTGCGGACCTCTGTACATAGTTATCCGTAGCTCTTTTTGTGTGTGTGGTGTGCCAGGGTTGGGCACCATATGCCCGTATATACAACAACTTCTGTTATGCCCAATCCCTCCGCTCGTCGTTTTCCGTCTTGCTTCTTTTGATTATCACGGCACTGCCCTGGCGGTGACGGCCCTCGAAGGTTTTCGCTAAAGTGGAGGCTTCCCCGGGCTCCGCAATCGCTTGTTAGGTAATTCGAATCATGGCAACGGAGCATTTAACATTTTCGTGAGTAAGTGTACTGAGGTGAACTCTAGGCCGTCAATGGGGGATAGGAAGCCGGCAAACCCGAGGCGGTCTCGGCAGTGTCTCAATAAAGAAGTCGTTTTAGGGGGCGAGTGGTTGGGGCTGTCCTGGTTGGAGTCAAGGTAGTTTGACCGGAGGAAAGCTGGATGAGACATTTCGTCGGGTCGGGGGATTGGTGAGTATCAACGACTTCAGGGGTAGCCTCGAAATATTCGGGAAGGCAGCCCCATTTCCTCCTTAGGCCTTGACGAGACGGGAAATTTCGAATCACCAATAAGGATGACGGCGAGCTCCATCGTGGACAAGTTTAATAGTCGGTCAGGCACGAGATAGCCTACAGGGAACTGACCGCAGACACAACAGATTTGGACATGAATGTTTCGTTGGCTGGCTGACTACGGTAGATTTCCAAGCCTAGGCAGCGCTGCGGACGCGGTGGCATCATTACACTCTGTAATTATCCAAAGCCAAGCCCGAGCGCTGGTCAGACTCCAGGCATATGAGATGGTGCAGCGGTCCCGACTTGTGTGTTGAACATCGTCGGTGGGAATTGGGAAACTGAAACGTTCGGTATCCATGGATCCGATCCGCCTTCTGACCTTGCCATATTCCGCAGGTAGTCCGTTGACCTCGTTGGAGAGTTTATTGTTTTCTTTTTCTTTTTCTACCTTTTGGGTTTCAGCATCCAAAGCCTTTACTCGACCATCCACGTACCACGTGTGGATGGAGGCGGTCTAACAAAGGTGTTAATCAATTTTTCAGATTTCTGAATCATAGACGGCGTTGCTTGCCTTGTCGAGGCTTCAGAGGTGCTGATGATACATGGAGGGATCAGTTTCCCGTGCTGGTTAGGGAATGCCGTTCTTGAAAGAGCAAGCCGGTAGGAGTTCGTTGTAATTCGTAACCCCGCGGCAACCTGTTTCTTAAATGCCGGGTTGTTGCCACGGACTTTGGCGGGTGAGTGCTTGCAGCGTGACAGTCGGCGTTGAGCAACCTGCTTCGAGGATCAGGTGCTAATAAAGAATTCAGAGTCGTGGATGTTAAAAATGGAGTTGAATCCGCGTGTTCGTAACTATCAAGACTTAGCAGAGAGCGCGGGGGCTTCTCACAGGCGTTCTCGCTCACCGCATCTTCAGGGCCCCAAGCGGCCCCCCATCCTGAGCCCTTCTTATCATGAGTTGCCTCGCCGCCATTTGCCGCAAAAGACGGGTCCCGGCCGGCTGCGTCCTGCAAAAGGAGCAAGCAGCGGCTCAATTCCTCTCCAACAACAGTCAGCACCGACCGCTCCACCTCGGCGTCCGAAGCGCCGCGCTGAAGTGCCTGCGCTTGACAAAGAAGCGCGGAGAATAGAATGTGGCCCTTGACATTTGTTTCTCCACACCGTACCCGCCGCTCAGTCCAACCGATGGAATACTTCACCGCCTCTAATAGCTCCAGTCGCGGCGCGGCACCACTGCCGATGCCCATTCCCACGGAACTGCCCACATCTGGGTCGCTGCCCCCGGGCTGCGCTGGGCGATCTTGCGGGTGGTCGATACTCATGCTCTGCCGGAAGGAACGGTCTTCTTGGACTTGCCATAGGAGCTCGAGGCAAATGGTGAGCACAGCTAATGTGGGAACCGACCGGAAGGCGCCGTATCCGCATGTGGCGAGTCGCGTGAAGTCATCAGACTGACTTGCGGTTCCGGAGTCTCCGGCGGGAGATCCGGTAGCAATAGCTCGGTAGAGCTTGAGAGATGTTTCGACACACATCTTGCGCGCGAAATAGTAAGTCGGGTTGTTATGGGCCGACCATAACCAGGGGTGATTCAGCGCCAGGAAGAAGCGATGCACCATATGCTCTGCCAGGCGCAGTTGGAATAAAGAGAGGCGTTTGGGAAGGATCCCGGCGGGATCATAAAATGGTTGGAAAGTGGCAGAGAGCGCCCGGCAAGCGTTTGACAACTCGGTATTCCACTTCAGAGTCTCCTCGAAAGTGGCAGGTGAGCTGAAATGATTGACATATTGGGCGATGGCTAGCCGTACGGGGAAGGACCGGAGAAGGGCGATCTGGACGGTGGTTTGAGTGAATGCGTTAGGAGGTCGGGGTATCGATGGAAATTTGGCGTGTTCAGCAAGTTGGTCGTCGTCGTAGTTCGAGGGCGGGCGCGTGTCGAAGTCGGACAAGTTCATGAGAGGTGGTGCCCCAGAATCCAAGCTGGATTGCAGCACGATTTCTAGGACGGCCGCCCAGAGTCGTCTCCTCATTTCTGCACCAAAAACAGACATGTGAGGCAAGTTGTCGGGGTCGCGGTGGAGGCCGAGAAACATGGCAGTCCGCAGTAACGAACCGGCGCTTATCCAGGCCATGTCGCCTTCGATGCCGCAGGTTTCCCTCGCCATGTGAAGCAAGCACATGACCTGGAGGCCGGCGAAGCTGACCAGAGTCTTCTCAGTGGGCGAGACGAGCCAGACTTGGGCTTCGCGTACCCATTGGATAGCTGAGCGGCGGAGCGCCACTACGTCGTCCTGGAAGCAGGTTCCGATGGCCATGCAGAGTTGGAGCTGCACCACAAACGCAGGATCGGCCGTGGCTGGGTTCTCCCAGTATTCCTGATAACCTTGCCAGAAGCTGGGCCGATGAATGATCCTGTAGACGCTCTCGAAGGTCCTAAAGTAGGCGTCCACTAGTCGAAGCGCAGCGTCCTTGGGAGGAATGGCGTTGCCGAGCTGGAGCGGGGCGGACGACCAAGCCTTTGTAGACTGAATGGTGCTGCCCAGGTCCCGACATTTTTGAAGGGAAAAATGCGCCTCGCAGTTCTTGTCGGATTCAATGCGCGCGGCGATATTGACGGCGAGGGGAAACTGTCGGACGGTCAGCCCGACAGCTCATGACATCAAACGTATTGGGTGGTGCATGCTTCAGCCAGCGACGGGCACCAGCGCTGACGGAGACAGGAGAGCAAGGTGTTTCGCGATGGAGACAGTCGAATCGCGCAGGCATGGAGGAGCTTGAAAAGGGTGACCTACGAGCTTTTCCCCGTTCATCAGGGAGTTCACCCTGGACGGCCGGGATGGGGGCCTAAGATCCGGGGATAACGCTTGGTGGGCCGGGCGGGCCGAGGGTGAGCCGTAATCTGGGCGTTTCAATGCATCGGCGAGTTGCTGTTCCAGCTGCCGGACCCGCTCCGCAAGGGCGGCCGTATTCCCGAGTGGGCCCGAGGTCCCGGAGCCGGCGCCGGGGTCGGCATGGTGCATTTGCGGGAACGAGTGTGGACTCGCGGCTGAACGGGGTTCCGGAGTCTTGCCGAGCGTTGGCACAGGACCTGAGCCGGCACCGGCACCACATGAGTGGTTCGAGGTTGGGGGCGGCGCCGGCAATGCCATGTCCCTGAAGGTGAAAGCCGAGCCGGCAGCCGCTCGCTCGTCGGCTGACGTCGGGGACAGCTCGGGATGGTGAACGGCGGCCGGTGCCGGGGAGAGTCGCCATAGCCGCGGCTTCGGGCGACGAGCCTCTTCATAGGTGCAATTGACGATCTTGGACTTCATGCAGCTGGCGCACGGCTCGTTGCGATCGCATCGGATTTTGCGCGTCCTGCACTGGATGCATGACAGCGCAGGCCGGTTGCGCCGCCGGGGCTCCCCGTGCTTGAGGGTTCCCGGACTTCCAGCAGAAGCGGGTGTCGTTGGCGCCGGGCCCGGTGCGGGTTGCGCAGCGTCCGTGACCATGTCCACGTCCATGTCCGCGCACCCGGCTTCGTCGAGACTCGGTGTCCCGGTGGGGCCCCGGAAAGGGCAAAGGGAGCTCGGGCGCGATGGCGAGGGCGAAGGAATCTCGAATTCGGTGTTGGGGAAGGAAAGAATTGCCCGACCGGACAAAAGGAAAAAGCGCTGCAATCGGTGAACCCGCGAGGTCGAAGCCGAGGCGACCAGGCTTCCAAGCTCCCGCGGCGTTCTTTCCGTAAGGTAATGGATGCGTATGGGTGTATGTATGTATGTACAAGAAAAAGAAGGAAGGAGCTTGGGCAGGAAGGTGCACGATTCGGGGACGATCGCGTCAGTGCTCCTCGGTCCTCAGTTCCCCTTTGGCCGTGTCCCGGCAGGAGCAACAGCAGCAGCAGCAGGCAGGCACGGGAGGGACACTGCAGCAACCCACTTTCCACGCTTCCAGTTCCGCGGCTTTTCGTCCCAAGTGCGTGCTGGTGGCCTGCACCTGCCCACGAGGTTATTGGCCTCAGATCGGCATCTCGGGCGGAATGCGGGGGCTGGGAAGGCTAATCACCGACACTTGCCCTTTGTGGGCTAACGTCGGACACAAAATTCCGGGTATTGGTTGAATGTTTCGCGGGGAACGTTGCAGGTGCAAGTCACAAGCGGGCGGCGATTTTACCCAGAACCGAAGTAGTTTCGCAGAAGAGGGTGGACGGGGTTGCTCCAGCTCAGTCCCAGCCCGTCGGGTGTTTCCTGGAGCGTGTCAGCGGGAGCAAAATCAATCCGCGAAACAGGGGCTTCCGCCGCTGACTTGCATGTGTTGCTTTTCTGATCGGACATCGAGCTGCGGCACCCTTTCGCCCCAAGCTCCCGCCTCGGAAGCACCCGTCTTCGCGCCTCGCGCCCCCCAAATTCGCAACGGCGCCGGCTCCCTGATTCGGCGCCAAGACCGATTAGTGTCAGTGGGTCCATTATCTCCGCGGCCGGCCGGCTGGGAGACGCGGGATCAGGGGTTCCGAAGCAGGGTCCTTACTTTTGGGACCATGGAAATGCGGCGTGTTGTGGGCAGGTTCTCTGATCTCTGATCTCTGATCGCACCAGTCAATTGATGGCTGTATGTCACTGTGCCAAGCCAACCTCAGCCAGTTGTCACAGTTGTCTCGAAGTCACAGCTGTACCGGGATGTTGCTTCTCTCCATCTCGATGCATCTGCCCGCCTTCCCTCGCACGCACGCGTTGTGATTCGTGGTCTTTGCCCGAGTCAATCTCCAGCGTATCCAGGGAGCTACTCTGGAGTTCCTCCCATGCGTGGTCCTTCTCTCTCTCTGTACGGCAGATGCATGTGCGTGTCATGCACATGATGGATAGCAGCATCCCGATGCGACGGCGTCTTTTAAAAATGATTTTTACACAGTACCGAACGGACATTGGGACGAGAACCCGATCTATCATGGACTGTGCAACCTGCATCGGGTTCGGGGGAACGCCCGGACTTGGGTTCTGCTGCGATGCTCAAAACGACGGAATCTGTGCAACAACCAAACCATGGATCGGGGATTAAGTGATTGCTTTGAGGCAAGGACCCGCAGGCAGCCCGACAAACAACCTGGAAGGAACGGCCGTCCGACAATTTGCTTCGCACCGCTAATTGTTGCCAAATCGGACCACTGCCAGGGTTATATTGCCCTTACCCATGATTCGACGAAGAGGTCCGGTGCTGGAATCGACCATCACATCAGCTCCTTGGTTGGTTCGTATCCCATCCTCGTCGAACTGCAGCCGTCCGGGATTTTCGGAGATAAAAAGACAGATTTCCCACCGCCACGGTGTTCCACAACCACTCCCCCACCCAAGTCCGGCCCGCTCCAGGGCATCCGGTTCGTCCTGCGGGAAGTTCGGACTGGAGGTGTTTTGGGACAGCCCGAGCAGCCCCGAAGGATGTATGTACAGACGTATTCGTACCCTCGCCCTGTTTACTCTGTCTGGGCATGGGCAAACGGAGGTTACCAATTGCACCGAAACTCCATAACTACCAGGTACCGATGCCGGTATCCACCGAAACATCCCGGGCAGCACAAGAGGACGAAGTGATCTGCCCGTCCGACCGCCCGGTTCTCTTGACTCGCTGGCGCGAGGGGTTTGTGAGAGTGAGTCAAGCGGAGAGAGAGAGAGACGAAGCTGACACAAGCATCTGTGAATAAACACCAAACAGCTCAGGGTTGCTGGCATAAAAAAATCCTATCGTCACGCAACATCTGCTGGTACCGCACCCGGCCGAATATTGACTTTAATTTGGAGGAAGGGTGGTTATCCCCTGGCGGATGATGGGGGAACCATCAGAGTGGCCTGAAACTCCATGCTCAATTAAACAACCCTGAACGCGATTAATCTGAGGTCAATGTACAAATACCGAGACAACTGGACCCTGTATGCCCAACGCGGAGATGTAGAAGCGCGCCGGGTGACTACACCATCTCATCTCGGCCGTCTTGTTTGCAACCTTTGATGGCCTATCGTGGCTAAAACGCGACCAACACATGGCGCACCTATACCAGCCCGGCGTCAAGATTCCCCAGTAGCCCCCTGACTATCCGCACCGGGTTCCTGTATCGCTCTATAACGTCCCACGGGGTCAATTCCAGGCTACTTGATATCATCCGCCACCGCGCTGCACTCGTGGCCTAGTCACACACTCTCTTGCCGAGATGACACTTTAAAGAAGGAGTTCGAGGGGGTTCTCAATGGCCTTCTTGAGCTCGCGGATCCACTCAGCACCGACCGCACCGTCAACGACCTTGTGGTCGAAGCTGGCAGTGACGATGATCTGGTCCTCCCACTCAACGCTGGTAGTGCCATCCTCGTTCTCGACAGGGACGGCAACCTTCTTGGTGCTGCCGATGGCCAGGATAGCCGCCTGCGGGGGGTTGATGACGGCGGTGAAGCGCTCAACAGCCGGGTTCATGCCCATGTTGGAGATGCTGATGGTACCGCCCTGGTACTCCTCGGGCTTGAGCTTGTTGTCCCGAGCCTTCTTGGCAAGCTCCTTGACGGCAGATGAGATGCCCTCCAGGCCCTTGCCCTCGACACCCTTGACGATGGGGGTGATGAGGCCGCTAGGGGTCGACACGGCAACCGATACGTCGACCGTGTTGAACTGGCGAATCACGCCGTCGCGCCACGAGCTGTTGACGGCCGGGACCTTCTTGCAAGCCACCGCCATGGCCTTGATCAGGAAGTCGTTGACCGAGAGCTTGTACTTGCCCTCCGACGTGCTGTTCAGCGCCTGGCGCAGCTTCATGAGCTTCGAGACCGAGAGAGCTGAGGTGACGAAGTAGTGCGGGTTCTCCGAGACCGACTCCTTGAGGCGCGAGGCGATGGTCTTGCGCATACCGCTGATCGGGATGTCTTGGTACAGGGCGCCAGCGACGGCACCGGCACCGGCAGCGGGGGTGGACGATGCCTTCTTAACATCCTCCTCGGTGATCCTGCCACCTGCGCCAGTTCCCTTCAGCCCCTTCAGGGACACGCCCTTCTCGATCGCCAGCCTCTTGGCCGCAGCGGAAATGTTGGGCTCCCGGTCGAGGGCAGTCTCGAGCTTGCCGCCGAATCCGGTCTCCTCGGGTTCGGGGGCAGGGGTCGGCGCCGGGGCCGGAGTGGATTCGGACTTGGGCTCTTCCTTCTTGGCAGGCGCCGGAGCAGCCTCACCACCAGCATCCTTGAGTGTGAAGCTCTCGAAGGCACTGACATCGGTTCCTTCCTCGACCATGACGGCAATTGGCTATAAGAAAGGGCCCGGGTTAGTACCAGCCGTTCAAGTGGGCTCTATCATGCTGCTGTGGGGAAATCCGCGCAACTTACATTGCCGACAGCGACATCCTTCTCACCACTCTCTTTCAACACCTTGGCGAGGACACCCTCTTCTTGGAACTCAAAATCCATCTGGGCTTTGTCGGTTTCGATCTCTACGAGGACCTCGCCGGGCGCGATGCTGTCGCCCGCCTTCTTCTGCCACGCACCAATATTACCCGCCGTCATTGTCGGCGACAGGGCCGGCATCTTGACGACGGTGTGCGGCGGGAATGAAGCGTACCATCTTGTTAAGCTAGGGATAGCAACGCGCGCAAGCCTGGCGTGCTGGAGGGCTTGCCTCCGAATCGCGGGGACGAGCATTTTGGGTGTGTGGAAAAGCGTTGGGCGCAGGGAAAAAAGAAGCGAGAAAGGTTCTCAGACACAGGCACGGATATGCCGGATTGTGCCCCGAATGTGCCCTCGCAACGGCGTGTAGCCAATTGGGAAGAAAAGGATAGAGAGGATGTGGAGGATGAAGAAGAAAAGGCGGAAGCCGGGAATCGGAGGGCGATGATGGTGGTGATGCAGGTTGGGGACCAGTTTTTTTTGACGGGGTTCAACTCGTTGGGAAGCTTCGCTAGCTTCCGTTCACCAAAAACTGGACGAGCCGGGATGGGACGGGACCACCACACCAATCAGCGTTGACAGCGCGACAACGCAACGCGATGCACTTGGCCACGGGCAAGCCACAGAGCCACATGAGGATTCGGAAACTGCACGCCAGAAAGAGGCATGTTTCGAAGCCCAGATCACTTTCACAACTTGAATAAGGCATGAACTCAAGAGGGAATATTTATGATATATTACCCTGACATGTCTCATGGGTTGAGTGATTTCGTAAAGTACAAAACTTCATATCATTGCCCTTTGATAAGCACAATCATCGTTTGGGCCCGGCTCAGCCACAGGCAGATCGCCGAGACATTTTGCTGGCCTGTTTTGGGCAGTGGAGTGCGGCTGGGAATCCGCAGAGCCCATGCCATTTGAATTCCAGACCAGGAAGTTTTGCTGACGCGGGACCGCAGTGCTCACCAGCTGGCGGAGCCGCGTCAGTAAGGAGACAAGGTCCCACAGTGAGCGACCGCGAAGGTTCCAGGTTTGCTGTCATCTTCAAGACAACTTCCTGGGTTTAGCCAGCACTTCGAGGTCGGATTGCGCGCAGCATTCCAAGAGACGGCTTTTAATTCCGCCCCTAAGCCGATTAACGGACCGCCAACCTTTAACAATTGTATGCGCATCTTCCGGCAACCCAATTCCTATTTCCCTTTCTGGTGCACAGTAGAGACCCTTCGAAGATACCCCCAATCGCGAATTCGAATCGACGAGCATCTAACAAAGACAAAGGCAGAGAGCAACCAATCGTACTCCACCCGACACATTTCCGCCCCTTCCTCTCGGCATTCTCGACGACCTCCCATGCGCTGACCGGTCCCCGAATGGCCTTCTGCTCTCAGAGGAACGCCGGCGCGCCATGAGCTCCCTCAAATTCGTGGTGTCCTCTTTGGACATCATCGCTGCCCATGCCGGCCGCAACAAGCAGCTGGCAGAGCTGGCCGAGAAGGCCCTCACAGCTATCAAAGAGAACGACCAACAGCTCCCCGACGCCGAAGTCGTCTTTGCGCCCCTCCAACTAGCCGCGAAATCCGGCACTATCCCGCTCGCTACGACCGCCCTCGACTGCATCGGGAAACTGATTTCATACTCGTACTTCTCCTCGCCCTCATCATCCGCAGACCAGGATGGCGCCGAGAGAGCGCCCCTCATCGAGCGGGCCATCGACACCATCTGTGACTGCTTCCAGGGCGAGGCGACACTGGTTGAAGTCCAGCTTCAGATCGTCAAATCACTGCTCGCGGCGGTGCTCAACGACAAGATAATCGTGCACGGTGCCGGGCTGCTCAAAGCTGTACGCCAGGTTTACAACATATTTTTGTTGTCGCGGAGCACGGCGAACCAGCAGGTCGCTCAGGGGACACTCACTCAGATGGTGGGCACCGTATTCGAGAGGGTCAAGACTAGATTACACATGAAAGAAGCACGCGCAAATCTCGACAAGCTCAAGATCAGCCGGAGCAGCCTGGCTGTCGACCGCTTGGACGACCAGGATGACGAGGACTCGCAGGCCGACAAAGCGGACAGCGAAGGAGTCTCTGAGGTCGTCTCCGACACTGCTCCCTCCAACGCAGGCGACGAAACCGCAGGGAAGCTGACACTGAAGGATCTGGAGCACCGGAAGAGCTTCGACGACTCCCACATGGGTGATGGCCCCACAATGGTCAGCCAGGTGAAGCCCGTAAAGAAGGCGGCGCGGTCTGTGTCCGAGCAGAGCATTCCCGAAAGCTCCCAGGAGGAGACACCAGAATCTCTCGATACTGAAGACGAGGCCTACGTACGGGATGCGTACCTTGTCTTCCGTTCCTTTTGCAATCTGTCGACGAAGGTCTTGCCACCAGATCAGCTGTACGACGTTCGTGGCCAACCCATGCGGTCCAAACTCATCTCGCTCCATCTTATCCATACGCTGCTCAACAACAACATCACTGTATTCACCTCGCCATTGTGTACCATTAGGAACACCAAGAACAACGAGCCCACGAACTTCCTTCAGGCCATCAAGTACTATCTTTGCCTGAGCATCACCCGCAACGGAGCGAGCTCAGTGGATCGGGTCTTCGATGTTTGCTGTGACATATTCTGGCTGATGCTAAAGTACATGAGGTCGTCGTTCAAGGTCGGTTAGGATTACCTGTGCGAGAAACTCCGAAGCTGACCCAGAATCGTAGAACGAGATCGAGGTCTTTCTGAACGAGATCTACCTTGCTCTCCTTGCCCGAAGAAACGCCCCGTTGTCGCAGAAACTCACCTTTGTGGGGATACTCAAGAGGTTGTGCGAGGATCCACGAGCGTTGGTGGAGATGTACCTCAACTACGATTGTGACCGCAACGTGGACAACATTTTCCAGAGGATAGTGGAAGATCTCTCGAGGTTTGCGACCGCTTCGGTACCGATCAACGCTATCCAGGAGCAGCAGTATGAAGACCACCACTCGAAATCGGGACCGGGCGGCGAGTGGCAGATCAAGAATGTACTGCCGCCAGCGCTGTCCGTCGCCTTGATCGCCACGCACCACGAAACAGACGGCGAGATACCTAAGGAATATTTTATGAAGCGTGCGGCTCTCGACTCTCTCGTGGAGACCCTGAGGTCCTTGGTCCACTGGTCGCAGCCCGGGAGACCCGAGGCCAACGGGACGGTTGTTGACGTGCAGAGGCGCGCTTCGAGCGACGACCTTCGGGACTCGATTGATCCGTCGGCTAGTGACACAGCATCTCGCATGGAAACACCAATCGCGCCGTCAACTCCGGTCATCGACGATGATCCGGACCAGTTGGAGAAGGAGAAAGCGAGAAAGACGGCCATGACGAACGCCATCAAGGTCTTCAACTTCAAACCAAAACATGGCATCAAACTCCTTCTCAAGGAAGGCTTCATTAGTAGCGACAGCCCCGAAGATATTGCCCGGTTCCTCCTGCGCGATGATCGGTTGGACAAGGCGCAGATCGGCGAGTATCTGGGTGAAGGAGATCAAAAAAATGTCGATATCATGCACGCTTTCGTCGACTTGATGGACTTTGGCAAAAAGCGCTTCGTCGACGCTCTTCGCGAATTTCTCCAGGCCTTCCGCCTACCCGGCGAGGCTCAAAAGATCGATCGTTTCATGCTCAAGTTTGCCCATCGTTACGTGACAGGCAACCCGAATGCGTTTGCCAACGCCGACACTCCGTATGTGTTGGCATACTCCGTTATCCTGCTCAACACGGATCTCCACAGCAGCAAGGTGGTAAAGCGCATGTCCAAAGACGACTTCATCAAGAACAACCGTGGCATCAACGACAATGCCGATCTTCCGGATGAGTACCTCATCGGCATCTACGAGGATATTCAGAGAAATGAGATCGTCTTGAAAAGCGAGCGGGAGGCCGCCGCGGCCTCTGGATTGCTGCAGGCGCAGGCAACCGGGCTTGCCGCTGGGCTCGGCCAGGCCTTCTCGAACGTCGGCCGCGATCTCCAACGTGAGGCATACGTCCAACAGTCGGAGGAAATCTCGTTGCGATCAGAACAGCTGTTCCGTGATTTGTACCGCAGCCAGCGCAAAAGCGCGGAGAAAGTTGGTGTCAAGTTCATCTCGGCCACCTCGTTCAAGCACGTTGGTCCGATGTTTGACGCGACTTGGATGTCCTTCTTTTCAGCCCTTTCTAGCCTGATCCAAAAGACTCACAACCTCGACGTGAACAAGCTCTGCTTGGAGGGTATGAAGCTAGCTACGAAGATCGCTTGCCTGTTTGAGCTTGCTACCCCCCGGGAGGCTTTCATTTCCGTCTTCAAGAACACGGCCAACCTCAACAATCCGCGCGAAATGCAGGCCAAGAATGTTGAAGCTTTGAAGGTGCTGCTTGAGCTTGCTCAAACGGAAGGCAACGATTTGAAGGAGTCGTGGAAGGATGTGCTCATGTGCATCAGCCAGCTCGATCGACTGCAGCTGATATCGGGAGGCGTGGACGAGAGCGCGGTGCCCGACGTCTCCAGGGCCCGTTTCGTGCCACCGCCGCAGCGGATAGAGACCAATGACCCTAGAAAGTCAACGTCCTCGGCGAGGAGAAACCGGCCACGCGCCCACACAGGGCCACAGGGCGTCTCCCTTGAGATTGCGCTCGAGAGCAGGTCCGACGACGTGATTAAGAGTGTTGACAGGATATTTACAAACACCGCCAACCTGTCAAGGGACGCCATCATCCACTTTGCTCGCGCCCTGACAGAAGTGAGCTGGGACGAGATCAGGGTCTCCGGTTCGAACGACTCGCCCCGCACGTACAGTCTCCAGAAAATTGTCGAGATCAGCTACTACAACATGACGCGTGTCAGGTTCGAATGGAGCCATATTTGGGACGTCCTGGGAGAGCATTTCAACAGGGTCGGTTGTCATGCCAACACCGCCATCGTGTTCTTTGCGCTTGACTCCCTCCGCCAGCTGTCGATGCGTTTCATGGAGATCGAAGAGCTAGCTGGGTTCAAGTTCCAGAAGGACTTTCTCAAGCCTTTTGAACACGTCATGTCGAACTCGAGCAACGTCACGGTTAAGGACATGATCCTCCGCTGCCTCATCCAGATGATCCAGGCCCGGGGCGAGAACATCCGGTCCGGCTGGAGGACCATGTTCGGCGTCTTTACGGTCTCGGCAAGGGAACAGTACGAGAGCATTGTCAATCTTGCGTACGAAAACGTCACACAGGTTTACAAGACCAGGTTCGGCGTTGTCATCTCGCAGGGTGCGTTCACCGATCTCATCGTCTGTCTCACCGAGTTCTCCAAGAACATGAAGTTCCAGAAGAAGAGCCTCCAGGCCATGGAGATGTTGAAGTCGATCATCCCGACGATGCTGAAGACGCCCGAATGTCCGCTCTCGCAAAAGTCGACCGGGGGTGCCGGTCGCTCTGAGTCACACCCCAAGTCGCCTGCCCAACAGACTCGGACGTCGGTCGAGGAAGGGTTCTGGTTTCCGGTGCTCTTCGCCTTCCACGACGTGTTAATGACTGGGGAAGATCTCGAGGTGCGGTCGAACGCCCTCAACTACTTCTTCGAAACGCTGTTGCGGTACGGCGGTGACTTCCCCTCGGAGTTTTGGGATATCCTCTGGCGACAGCAACTCTACCCCATTTTTATGGTTCTTCGATCGCGGCCCGAGATGACCAATGCGTTAAACCACGAGGAGCTCTCCGTCTGGCTCTCCACAACCATGATTCAGGCGCTCCGCAACATGATCACTCTGTTTACTCATTATTTCGAGTCTCTCGAGTACATGCTGGACCGGTTCCTCGAGCTGCTCGCGCTCTGCATTTGCCAGGAAAACGACACGATTGCGCGGATAGGGAGTAACTGCCTACAGCAGCTTATCCTCCAGAACGTGACCAAGTTTACCCCTGAGCACTGGGCCAAGATTGTCGGTGCCTTTTGCGAGCTATTTGAGCGGACGACGGCGTACCAGCTCTTCTCGGCGACGACCATCAACTCGACTGCGTCACTTTCCCCGCCGCCCAGTGGGCTCGAGCTTGGTGTCGCGCTGAGTCCGACGTCGGAGACCGGGCCGGTCGATGAGAAGTCGCTCAAGATCAACGGCGCCGAAACAAACGGGCACTCACCCCCACTTGAGTCAACCGACGTCGACCCGGATAGCATCACAGGTCCGGCGACAGCCAACCCGGCCGCCATGTCCGCGACGCCCCAACCCCAGACGCCGTCCCAGCAGCTCGAGGAGTTCAAGCCAGCCACGTCGCTGCAGCAACAACCCGTCGTGGTCACAGCCGCCCGCCGGCGCTTCTTCAACCGCATCATCTCGCGCTGCGTGCTGCAGCTGCTCATGATCGAGACGGTCAACGAGCTCTTCAGCAACGACGCCGTGTACGCGCAGATCCCGTCGCCCGAGCTGCTCCGGCTGATGGCGCTCCTCAAGAAGTCCTTCCTCTTCGCCAAGCGCTTCAACGCCGACAAGGACCTGCGCATGCGGCTCTGGCGCGAAGGGTTCATGAAGCAGCCGCCCAACCTGCTCAAGCAGGAGTCCGGCAGCGCGGCGACCTACGTGTCCATCCTGTTCCGCATGTTTGGCGACACGGCCCCCGAGCGCCAGGGCAGCAAGGCCGACGTCGAGAGCGCGCTGGTCCCGCTCTGCCAGGACATCATCCGCGGCTACATCGGCCTCGACGAGGAGAGCCAGCACCGCAACATCGTCGCCTGGCGGCCTGTTGTGGTGGACGTGCTCGAGGGCTACGCCGCCTTCCCGCGCCAGGCGTTTGTCGCGCACATCCAGAGCTTCTACCCGCTCGTGGTGGAGCTGCTCGGCAAGGACCTCGGCCAGGAGCTGCGGGCCGCGTTGCTGCTTGTGCTGAGGAGAGTTGGGGAGGCCGGGTTGGGCATCGAGGGTATGGGTGGCGCCACGCCGGCGGGGAATGGCACGACGCCGGATGGGCGGCGGAATAGTGTCTTGTCGGTCCCGTCTGTCCGCCCGTCGCCGAGCATGGATAGCCTGAGCGATGATCCGTCGAGGCAGTTCATGGGTCGAGTGTAAGATAGACGGGTGAGTGTGACGGGGTGGGAGAAGAGTTGGGGTTGGCTGAGGGGCGAGTTAGTTAGTTACCCTGTGATATAGACTTGGACTGCTTAGACGTCGGACATCATGGCCATCAGCGGGCTATGTGTTGTATATTTTTTCCTTCGGGTGCGGTCCCAGCCAGCGGTCAGCGTCCCCCTTCAAGGGGTCGATTGTGTTGATGGCGGGCACTGGTGTAGAATAGGGATAGGACAAAATTGCGGTTCGTCGTCCACCATTGTCCCTCAAATCGCTCTGTGCGGTTACGGAGACCATCGGAAGAGAGATACATGAACGGAAAACCATATGCTAGAACACACTATGCCTCTGCTTGGATATCATTAGAATAACCCGCTACCGCACCCAAGCAATCACTCGTACACCCTTCCGTCCACTCATGGCATCCCCTACAGCAGCGCTCCAACACCCTGCCCACCCCCCATCACCTCACCGCCAACCGCACCTCCTCCCCCGGCAAGACCTCACCCAACCAACGCCTCAGATCCTCCGCCTCCTCCTCGACCGTCCGATCCGGCAGGCTCAGCAGCGCCTCCCTTAGCACCTCGTCCCCGGCGACCGCCTCGCCGACCACCGCCCGCAGCGTCGCCAGCTTGTCCGCCGACGGCGCCGTCACGCGCATCAGCGCCACCAGCGTCTCGAAGAAATCCACCAGGCTGAGGTGCATCAGCAGGTCCGTCCGCTGCACCAGCCGCAGCGCGGCGAACTGTAGTAGGCCCTCGCCGGGCTGGGGCGGGCGTAGTGGTGCTGGCGCAGGGTGCGTCTCCCCGTTCTCCGCTCCGTTCTCCTCGAAGCTGCCGTTGGTGGCGTCGCCGTTGATGAAGAGTGCGAGCGTCGGCGGGGCGGGGAAATGGGAGTGGCTGACGGCGGGGAAGTCGATGGCGGCGAGGCGCGGGAGGAGGCGCAGGACGCGGCCCTGCGCGAGGGAGAGCTGGCGCGGGTTGTCGAGCGTGTCCGGGTGGCGGCCCGAGACGAGGCCTATCAGCAGCGCGTACATGTGGGGGCCGCGGAAGAGGAGGTTCCAGAGGGTGCCCTCGCCGGGCGCGCGGCGTATGCTGAGGTCGGTGTGGGAGGCGTCGGCGGGCCGGGTGGGGGGTGGTGGGGGTGGTTGGGCGCTGTCGATGTCGAGGAGGTCGCCGAGGACTTTGCCGCCTTTTTGGCCGACTTCGACTTGGGGTGCTACGAGCCAGCGGCGGATGAAGGCGGCGACGAGGTCCGGGTGGGTGCAGAAGAAGCTGATGAAGCGGGGTGCTGCGGTGGCTTTGTGCAGGATGGCCATCCCGAGCAGGTTGGCGGCGGGTGCTGGCGAGTCCAGGGCCACGATGAGCTCGTCGGATTGGGCTAGTGAGAATACATCCTCGAATGGGACGGGCCCTAGGAGCTTGATGGTGAGGTTGACGATAGCGGTTGGGTCCTCAGTGTACTGTTTGAGGACTGTTGTGAGGCGGGGGAGGAAGCGAGGAATCAAGGGTGGGATGTTGCTTTCTGTTGCATGAATTAGCTTAGGGTATGAAGCCCACGGGTATGAGATCCTCTTACCAGTAAGTTGAAGTTCGACATCGTCAAACAGCTTTGGGTTGAGGGTTAAGCTGGGATCTTGGATGAGGTCGTCAAGGTGTTTGTCGAGCTCGTCCAGCCCGGTGACTGGTGTGGTTTCCATGTTTGCTTCTGGGAAGTGATGTTGGTTTAGTTGTGTGGTTGGAGGGTGAGAAGAAAAAAGGGAGAGACGTTGGTGCCCCTGGTGACTTTAAAAGCTTGCGAGAACTTAGACGGGACGGAGCTCAAGGCAGCAAACAGTCGTCAGATGGGATGTTCTAGAGCCGGAGGGAGCTGCCCAGAGACATGCAAGCGGCAGGTGGATGCGGGGCAGTCATGGTGGGGGTTCTTTTCCAGGGGTGCCGTGGCCTGCCTGTGGATCGTCTGCTGCAAGGCTGATGATGCCCCGCTAAATTTTTGGAGGCATTTGGGGCTTCATTGTTTCCATCTCCAAGCTCGAGTCACCTTTCAACGCGAACTCACTCACCCCAACCACGTCTGAAATCGACAGTCCCAGGCTTCAAATCAAACCATCGACGACAATTAGACGACCGCGAAATCAATCAAACCAACTAGCAACACATCGAAAATGTCTGGGCGAGGCGGCCGAGGAGGGCGCGGGCGTGGTGGGCGTGGGCGTGGTGGTCCGCCAACAAATGGCAGGAGGGCCGTTGCGCAAAATAGCGTGCCGTGGGCGATGGACTCGGACATCGTACTAGACGGCAAGCCATCCGAACAATTCCCCGTACGCCAATTCGCACCTCTCTTCCCCTCGCCCCCGCTCCGTCCCTAACTAACCTACTGCTCATTTCCAGCCATACGACGTCCCCAAAGCACCGCTCCTCTCCAAAAAAGAAGACAAGCAAGTCTCCTACTTCCTCCTCTTCCGCGAGCAATGCCAGGACAGCCCGCTCTACACGCAGGCGCGCAGCCGGATGCAGGCGACGGCGGGCCCGGCGGGCGCGGGGCGCACGTACGGGCAGGAGCAGGTCAACAAGCGGTACGGGCAGGTGACCAAGGCGACGGTGGACCCCTTCACGGCGGTGCCCGTCTACTCGCACCGCTTCAAGAAGGTGCCGCGCACCCTGCCCGACCTCGGCTCCCGCCCCTTCGCCCAAGAGTTCTTCCCCCCCGAGCTGCACCCCACCCTCGAGGGCGACGACGAGCCCGCGGGGCCCGCTGCTGCGAAGCGCCGCCGTGTTGGGCCCAAGACTTTGGGGCTGTCGAATATCACCTCGTATAAGACGGCCGAGGAGCTGTTCCGCCCTGACGCCCCGCTGTTGAATGGGGATGGGAACTTGAACAAGGCGTTGGAGTTGTTGAGCGCGGTGGAGAAGCGGAACGAGGACGGCGAGGAGGCATTCCTGTCCGGGGAGGATGATGACGACTGGGTAAAGGGCAACGGTGAGGACGGGGAGGATGCGGTCGGGGATGAGGACGATGTGTATGAGGACGAGTCCGGGGATGACTACAATGCGGAGGCGTACTTTGATGGGAACCAGGACGACGAGGACTACGATGAGGGCGGGGATGAAGGGGCTGATTATTTCTAAGTTTGGGGCAAAATGGACGGAAGGTTCAGGTTGTTGTGGCTGGTACTAACTAGTATTGCACTTTCGGCGTACGATATCGGGATAGATGCGTGGGCAAAAGCCGGGACATGGCGAATGATACCTTCATGGAGTTGACCTACACATATGGCGCGCAATAAACACAAACCTGCGGTGGCTGGATATTTCACAATCATCTACTCCCGCGCTCGCCCGCTACAATACTATACAGGTATCCGATGCATTTCCACTCCGTCTATACCGCCCCGATTAGCTGCCATGGCCCATAAAATCCTTTAACTGGAGCTCCGTAACCCCCTCCTTGACACCGCCGACCACACCAGCAACCTTGAGGATGCTCTCCTCGAAATCGCGCAGCACAGCCGCCAGCTCGACCACCCTCTGATCGACGCCGCCGGGGGTGGTGCTCTTGGACTGGGCGGCCACCCTCTGCATCTGCTCCAGCATATTCCCCTGCACCCCGTGCAAGTGCACCTCGATCTCGCCCAGGTTCCGCTCAAACTTCTTCATCATATCATCCATCTCGCCCGCCGTGGCCGAGAAGAAGCTGATAAGATCGGTGTTGGTCTGAGCATCAGCCGCACCGCCCTGGCCACCCCCCGCCGCACCACCGACCTGCTGGCCGCGGTTCGCCCACAGCCCCGCCTGGTGGTACTGGGTGGGCAGCTTGAGGTTGTCGATGGCCTTGAAGGAGAGGCGGGCGTGGCCGGCGTCGGTCTTGACGAGCTCGCGCAGCTGGTCGATGGCGCGGATGTCGCTCGACAGCGCGTTGTGCGCGCCCTCGGACTTGCGCGTCACGAAGCTGACGTCGGTCGGGATCGCCGCCAGCTGGTCCCCGTGCGACGGCAGGAACGCGTCCACCGCGTCCTTGTCCTTGATGCACCGCTGGATCGCCTCGTCGATCTGCGCGATCTCCTTCTGCAGCGACTCCTGCAGGTCGTTGAACCGCGTCGTCGATTTGATGTTGCTCAGGTCGATCCGCACCCCCGGCACCGTTTGTTGCTGTGCGGTGGATTGGCCCAGGGTGAGCCCGGCTGGTTGTTGCTGCGGTTGGGATTGGGGTTGACCACTGGGGGGGTGGTTAGTTTTGCGTTCGGAGCGCCATGTAGAGAGGAGAGCACCTACAACAACCCACCACCTTGGCTCGCCGCCGCCGGCCTGGGTCCAAACATGCCCCCTGTGTTCGCAGTTGAACCTGCGAAGAGTCCGCCCGGCTGCTGTTGTTGCTGCTGCTGCTGCTGCTGTTGTTGTTGCTGCTGTTGAGGTTGCTGCTGTTGTGTACCCCCGCCACCGAACAATCCGCCCGGCTGCTGTTGCTGCTGCGGTTGCTGTGTCTGTGTCGCGCCGCCAAAGAGCCCCCCTCCGGTTTGTGCTGGCTGTGCAGTGTTTGTCCCCCCGAAGAGCCCTCCCGTCGACTGTTGTTGAGGTTGTGCAGGTTTCTCATTTGCCGTCGCTCCAAACAAGCCGCCCGCCTGCTGTGGTTGGGTGGTTGCCGCCGTCTGCCCGAACAGACCACCGGCTTGTTGGGGTTGCGAAGCGGGAGTTTGAGCGGCTGTCGAGCCGAAGAGGGATCCAGCCGGCTGCGAAGAGGCTGCTTGGGCGGGCTGGGAAGTCGCCGTTCCAAAGAGTCCACCTCCCCCTTGGGCTTGGGACTGCTGGCCGGTGTTACTACCACTGTCCGAAACCGTCAATCAGCTTTGTCTCCCTTGCTTTGTCTGCGTGTCTCAGTCGGGAATTCCTGATTGTTGTTCAAACTCACAAGAGATTGGCCGATCCCGTATTGATGCTGAGCCCACCCGGGCCACTGGCCGACCGTGCGAGAGCCATATTCACGACGTGTTGCTGCAAGGGATGTAAAGAGCAAACAGCTGGAATGCAGCTGTGGAGCGTTTTGGCGTCGTTGACCTTGACTTTCTTGGGTCCCAGTTTCTCGCGTTTTGTATGGCTGTTGTTGCCCCACCGCGTCGCCTGGAGGAAGCTTTCGCGGTTCGGGTTGCAGGGGTAGCATCTGACCGCCTGCCGGAAATGCTCTGGTGGGTGGGCCGTGAGAAAGCCAAGACAATTCCGCAACGGACCTTGGGACTGCCCAGCTGCAGCTTCAACTCAATCTCCAACTTCGACGGGCAGTGCGACACAACAACAATTTTTAATTCAAGACCCCCAATCCTCAGAATAAGTCTTCAAGACCCCGACCCTTCATACAATGGATATCGATGACGAAGACGATTTCTACGCTCCCGAGGAGCCCCAGGCGGCCGCGCAGCCAGCTCCCACGGAAACACCAGCAACAAAGAAAGATGCGAGCGAGGAACTCGAATCGGGCGAGGAAGAGGATGAGGGCGGCGCTATGGACGAGGATGAGGATTCGGTAATCGTCCATGGTGATACGGGGCTCTCGCACATCCACTGACCACCAATTCAGGATATCGACATCATCACAGAGCGAAAAGACACCTCCAACCCAGCCCCTCCACCGTGAGTGAGCTTGGCTCCTTCTTCCCACCACCAAAAATGGGTGTCCAACTAATCATCCAACGTCAGTCAATCCCGCTATAGCGAAATCAAGAACATCCCCCAACGAACCGCAACGTCGGACACAACAACACCAGCAGCAACAGCATCAACAACAAGCGCAGCCAAACCCTCAGCCGCCTCCCCCCAGCAGCAGCAACCAGGCCATGGCGCAGCAGCAGCAGCAACGGCATCTAACAACATGCCGGCGTCGACATCCAAGATCGACATCCACGCGATCCCGGTGCACAAGGCGACGGGCAAGCCGCTGACGCAGGTCAACATCGACACGGACCTGCCGGCGGAGCAGGACAAGCCGTGGCGGAAGCCGGGGACGGACCTGTCGGACTACTTCAACTACGGCTTCGACGAGTTCACGTGGGCGCTCTACGCGCAGAAGCAGGAGGCCCTGCGCGGCGAGTACAACGCCGACGCCATCGCCCAGAGCAACAAGAAGATGATGGAGGAGATGACCAGCATGATGATGATGGGCGGCATGGGCATGCCGGGCGCCGGCGGTGCGGGCGGGCCCGCCGGTGGGCAGGCCGGCGGCGTGCCCGGTGCCGCGGGAGGGGCGGCGGGTATTCCGGGCATGGAGGGCATGACGCCCGAGATGCAGCAGGCCATGATGCAGCAAATTATGGCCAGTGGGATGGATCCGAGCCAGATCGATATGGGGGCCATGGCCGCCATGTATGGGGGAGGTGCCGGTGCGGGCGGGCCGGGACAGGGTGGGCAGGGACAGGGTTATGGGGGTGGGTTCGGTGGTGGGCAGGGGCAAGGGTATGGGTATGAGCAGCAGATGGGCGGTGGTGGCGGCGGCGGCGGTGGTGGGAGAGGCGGCAGGGGAAGGGGGAGGAGGTGGTAGGGGAAGTGGGAGGTGGTAGATGAGACAGCATTCAAGGCCGTCGATGATAGATAGTATTCACAAGGCCGTCGATGGTTATCCGAAGAGGAACGCGACTGATGCGGAACAAACATGGGATGTTCGCGGTGTGCTTGCCATGTCTATCCCATTGTCTGGTCTCGTATATCCATCAAATCACCCAACAACTAACTACCTACCGAGCAGTTCTACGTAAATCCGCTCTATGGCTAACAAGAAGGCGGCAACTGCCAATATAAACTAGGGTATACACAGTCTTGAACAAGCTGGACAACACTTCTTACAACCCCCACACACGCCAAAACGCAACATTTACAACCCGGCCGCGGCCGTACCCACCGCGGGTTCGGGGTCAGATACACCCCCTCCAGCAGGCTTCTTCACAACCGCCTCATTACCAGCAACCCCACCCCGCTCCGCCGCCTTCTCCTCCCCCTCCCCCACCCCCGCAATACTCAACCTGGCCAGCGCCTCCAAAGCAAACGTATTCCTCGCCTTCTCCGCCGCCGACAGCGGCGTATCCCCAAAACAGTCCTGCGCATCCAGCGCCGCCCCCTTCTCAATCAGCGCCGCGATCGTCCTCATCCTCGCCCTCCCCCGTACCTCATCATCATCCTCCCCACTATCCCCCCCAGCACCCCCAGCACCCCCAGCACCAGCAGCACCACCACCACTCCCACACCCCCCACTGACCCGCTTCGCCGACCGCATACAGCACATGTGCAGCGGCGTCAGACACCCGCCCGCCGCCGGCGCGATAAACCCGTGCGTCGCGTCCGCGCCGAGCGCGAGGAGCCGGTCCGCGGCGTCGAAGTCGCCGAGTCGGCAGGCTTCCCCGAGCGGGGTGATGGCGGTGTAGGGGATGTACATCTTGGCTTCGCAGTGGATGTCGGCGCCGAGGGCGAGGAGCGCGGGCACGGTGGTGTCCCATTGGCGGGCGGCGTAGGCGTGGTAGAAGGGGGTGAGGGTGTATGTGTCTTGGGTGTTGATGTCGGGGACCGTTTTGGTGGTGATCAGGTGTTGGACGAGGGTGGTTAGGCCCATGGCGGCGGCGTGGTGGAGGGCGGTGGCGCCGTAGCGGAGGTCGGGAATGGGGTTGGTGCTGAGCTGTATGTAGGGGCTGGCTTTGTGCGAGAGGAGGAGCTTGGCGGTGGAGGTGTGGGAATGGCAGATGGCCGCGTGTAGTGGTGTCCATAGCGGGGGGTCGGGGTCGGGCTTGGGGCCCTCGAGCGTGTTGAGCAGCCCGTACAGCGGCGTGCAGGCGCAGAAGCGCTCTGACGGGACGTCGACGTCCGCGCCGTTGCGGATGAGCAGCTCGAGGATCTCGTCGTGGCCGCCGCGCGCGGCGAGGTGGATGGCATAGTACCGGCGCGTCAGGTGGTGATGTGGGGTGGGTGTTGGGGACGGCTCGGTTGCCGGCGTCGCGTCGCTGCGCCGTGACAGGTCCTCCTCGGACGAGACGACTGACTCTTGGTCGGAAGCGCTTGGTGCTTGGGGCGAGGGCGCCACGGTGGAGGCGCTGCCGCCGGGGGTGTCGGCATGGTCGCTATCGATAGCGGGGTCGGGGTCGGAGGAGGGCCACTCGTCGAGATTGGCACTTCTCGGCCGGTTGTCGAAGTCCCACATGGCCCACGGCGCCTTGGGTCGACCTGCGGCGGCATCGTCCCGGGCGGTTGCGGTGACACTCTCCCACTCATCCTCCGGTACACACTCGATGAACTCGTGATTGGGGTTGACGCCAGCGACCAGCGCCATTCTTAAGGTGGACACCAAGCCGCGATTTGCGGCCCAGGCTACTGACCGCGCATCGTCGCACTCGGCCGCGCGCTTGTAAAGGTGGGGGTTCGCAGTGCTGTACAGGCGTCGGTTCGTCAGCGCAAGGGCTGCAATATCCCCCACGCGATCAAGGCCATCGATGACGAATGTGAGTAGTTCGATTGGTAAACCGTTGAGTAGATGTGATGAAGACGAAGACGACGACGACGCCATGTCAAAGGAAGGAGTGACCCACTGGGCCTGTGGGTGTGGGTGGCTTGCCGCTGTGATTCCAGTCGCAAATCGAGCCAGATGCTGCAGCCAATGGGGCAAATCCTCAAAAGACCGGATGGTAACACTCGTCCCAACTTCTCCAGCACTTTATCGCAAGGGCGAGAAGGAAACGACAGCGGGAAGGTGACGACGGGACGGGACGAACCTCCCCAGAGTCCCAAAGTTCCCCTGACGGCGGAACAATGTCTGACCGCGGGCGCATTGATCTCATCGAGGTCTGGTCGCAAGCCCAAGCAATTTATTTCCAAGCCATCGTTCATCACTCTTGCGCGGTTGGCTCCGGCCACCGCTCCGGCTGCTTAAAGCGGGCCGCGTGAGCCTGGCGACCAGGGGGTTGATCGAGCCAGTGGAGCCCTTGGAGATCGATCCGCCGATTTCAACTCCACATGTCAGAGTCCGATGGCACGGTTCAGCTCGGATTCACGAAACAGATGAATAATAGGGGAACAAATAAACAAGAAAAATAAGGAGCCAAAACAACAGGCGGAAAATAAATAAATAAGATGGCATGAGGTTGCGCGAACTTAATATATCTTAACTATCCCCTGGGCGCCCCCCGGCGACGGGATGTTTGGGACGGAGTACACAGAACATCAAGTGGTGCTGTGATGCCAGTACCATTATGTTATATACATCGTACCAGGGCCTGTAAGGACCTCATGGATTAGGAGCATAGAGAGGAACTATATCCTACCTCTCCCGACTACCTACGGGGGAGAAATTAGGGGGGATCATGACAAGGGAGTAACCGGTCCTCGCAAGAACTCCCGTTGTCTCTTATTGGGTATCCCCCCTAAACCTCCTCGTTCGGGAACTCAATTCTCAACCGACTGTTCCTTCTCTCCTCGTCGGTAAAAAACCAACCCGGAAGCCAATGTTCGAACCTAGCCTCCCAACCCGGGGCGGCACAAAAGCTGTCAGGATCAGCCATCTTCGGCGGTGTCCGGGGCGGGCTCATCCGCGAAAACACGCGGGCCACGTTGAAGTCGCTGATGACGGCGCGGAGAGTCGGGCTGTGTAAATCCCCAAGCAAGAAAATATTGCGTGGTGCAAAATCGCCCTGCCCGACGCCCGCCCTCACCAACTTTAGGTACGACTCGGCAGCGCGTGTGAAGGCGTGGATGCGCGCGTCGTCTGTACCGGGGACTTCTATGACCGTGTCGAAACCTCGTTTACCAGGCGTTTTGACGTGCTTGACGGCCATCATCTGCTCCATGGACGGCCCGGGCAGGTACTCAGTGAGGATTAGCGGCACGGTGCGTGTGTAGGCGAGACCACCGACTACGACGCGGGGCTTGAACGCAAAGGAGCCAAAGTAGGCCGGGTAGCACCCTTTGATGTTGTTCGACTCGTCCTGGAGCATCGTCGTTGCTGAGATGGCCCACCTCGTCTCGTAGGCTTTCAGCTCCTCGTAGGCCGCGGCCTCGACGCTGTAGTCGCGTTCGGCGTCCCACACCACGTCCGTGGCTATGCCGCGGTGTTCGGCGCCCTCGAAATCATAGTACAACGGGTCGTAGATCTTGGCCAGGTACGTTGTCTTGCTCGGGTCGTTGTCCCAGTGGCATGCCACAACCTGGGCGCCGGCCTTGTCGCCGCCCCGGATGACAGACTCAATGACCAGCCACGGATCAGGGTTGGTGGAAGCAGCAGACGATGGGGCCTCATCCGGCTTCAAATCCTTGACGCAATAGCGGGTTTGCGTGTAGCCAGGGGCTGTGATCTTGTCGTAGCTGTCTGCGGGCCGTGCTCCGGGATGCCTGTAGTTGGCGCCCCCGAATGGAGGGGGAGGTGTATGGGGTGTGACGGCCATTTTGAATCCAACCACGTACGGACAACTAGGTTTCTCAGGGTCCGGCGGCGGCTCCCAATCCATAATCGTTGCCAGGTAGGGTCGAGGTGCCGTAGCGTGTGCTTGTGTGTTTACGGGTATGTTGGTGTTGGAAGGGATGAAGAGGTGGAAGAATGCCAAGAAAAGCCAGTGTGCATCAACCATCAACGAATCAAGGCCGGAGCAAAGACCAAAAGGAGCCAGAGATCCCCAATACGGTGCCCGTTTCATGCTACCCGTCGACCAGAAACCAGAATCACATCCAGCCTTCAATCAAGAAATTCACACCCCTTCACTCAACCAGAGTCTGAATGGGCCGCGCTCCCGTCTTCGGTGGCCGGATATACTGGACGATGCGTTGTGTGATGCTGGCCTGTCTGCGCAGTGTTCTGGGTGCTGGCGGCTGATGCATGTCCTCACCAGCCCCGTCCGCGCGTACCGGGAGCGGTGGTTCCGGCAACGGTCGTATCTCCCGTGTTGGCGATAGGGCAGCCGGTCCCTTTTCCCGCGCGCTACCGTCGGCCGTGTAACTTGCCGCCCAGCTCGACTGACGCGCGTGGCCTCGGTGGTCCCTTTCCTGTCGCTGTTCCAACTTTCGCGGCTGCTGTTGTTCGGCTTCCGTCTTGCCGCTAGGGGCATGGACATGGCGGGTCTTGGTGTTGCGTTGAGCCAAGCTCTCGTCCTTCTCGGCTGGCCTCCTAACTGTCCTCTCGGCTGCCGACGACCCCGCTGCCGCAAACTGGCGGTGCGGATCCGGTCTGATGCGGCTCGCCGTGTATGCCGCAGACCGCTGCGAGATGCTGCGCAAAACTCGGTCGCGCCGTTCGCGGTCTTCAGCTTCCGCGCGGGCGAGGAAAAGCTCGAAATCAGAAAGGGGCTGAGGCGATGATTGCGTCGGCGGCGGCCCTCCCTTCGCGCTAGCTGCCGCTGCTCCTGGACTCCACTCCACCGGCTGAGGGTTGACCGGGACGTGGGCGGCGGCGTTGGATGCTTGAAAAGGGTCCTCCACCAGCGTGTAGGAGTGACGATTCACGCTGGGTCTAGAGTGTCGCCTTGTCGATTCGTGATCTCGGGGCTCCCCCTTATCCCTCGGCCGTGGTTGCCCGCTGCGAGGGGAGGTCGGTGTGTCCCTCTCAGGCGGTGTATGCGTCGTGGCCGGTGAAAGCCGCGGCTTTACTGGGCTCAGTGGCGATACCGCCAACCGCGAAAAGTCGGCGGCGGCATGTGTGGGCTCGTAGACGAACCGCGGTTTCGACTCCTCGGTGACGATTTCCAGCGGCTGGGGGGGTTTCTGCCAGGCTTTCAGGCGGTCCCTGAAGCTCGCCTTCTTTTTGAGCTGGGGTTGCGGGGTTGCGCTTGGCATTTCGCGATGTGGTGCTTCTGTTGGGCGAGTCCGCTGCAGCTGAGGTTGTGCCATGTCGCCTGCATCGGGCGCTGTGCTTCTGGACTCCTGGTGGTCTGCTGCAGCTGCCGGGATGCGAGGTCTTGCGGGGACGAATGGGCCTTCCTCCGCCTCGCTCAGTAACGATTCCTTGAGTGCGATGACGCCCCCAGTGCTCCTCCGGGAGAAACGCTTGCTCGTCTTGGTGGTCACTGCCGTCCGCTGCAGGAGACGGCCGAGAACGCCTGGGGCGTCGTCCCCGTCGGGAGAGACCGGGCTACTAATAACCACAGCCGCTGCCCCTGTGCCACCGGCGGCAGACATGAGCATTTCCCGCTGGTGTCAAATCCTGGCGGGGCCCCGGTTTCAGGGCGGAGTCGCTTCGAGTGCCGCAGCGGGCAGAGCGGTACCTGCTGCAACAGTGTTGCACCCTGGTCGCCAAACCCTGTTTCCCATGCATCAGCCGTCTTGGCTGCGGAAGGTAATCGTGGTAATCGCGGTCGGAGGGCGATGGAATCTGGTTCTGACCTGTCTGTGGTTTTGCGCCCGTTCGTTTTTTTGGTTTGCTTCAAACCCGAAGTTGGTTTTCCGGGCCACGAGGGTTTACTTCCCGAACGAGAACCGGTTTTGCACCGACGTCAAGTTTGGCGGACCACGATGGCGTCGCGTAGGCCAGCGAATGAGGCACACGACCGAGCGCGGCAAGTGCGAGTTGGCGTGGGGTTAGAGCTGTTTGGGCTTAGGACAAGCTGCGCTGCGACAAATGCAGTGAAGAAGAACCTTGGGTTTCCCGGTTGCTGACACACCCAGGCCACAGAGTTGAAGGCAGATGGGAAAGGTCTTGGGAAGATGAAGGGGGTTCCCGACGACATAATCCTGACTGTACCATTCAGTGTATTCGTACTTCGTCGTGAATCCCCCCCACCCAACACGTCAGTTGAAAAAGTGAGACATCTTCGGCCGCACCGCAAGGAGTGGTAGCAGCTCCGACGCTCCGGAGATGAGACACGCAAACTTTCCTGATTGCCACACACACCGAACACAACCAACACCAATAACTCCATCCATGCTGGAGTCCATGCAAGCCTTGTTGTCAAATGATCGGGAAACTCCGCCCTTTGTCGCGGCGATCGTCGGTGGGCCCTGCACCCGAGCTCTCGTCTGGTGGGGTGGGTCCGGGGTTCAAGGCACCATCTGGTGCTTGGGCCTGGGCTCCTTCCGTTTAAGTCTTGACAGCCCGCACTCTCTCGAAATACTTTGGACCTCCCGTGACCAGTGCATGTGTTGATGCTCGGTGATTCAGACACATTTGGCAGTCACGGTTTGACCATATCACACACACATCAATCGCCAACGTCCACGGCAGACGTCCAGTTCCATGCAAGGTTTGCACCAACAGAAGATCGCCGGAGGTTTTCCCGGACCCCGCGCAACGGGTTCACACAACCGATCCGCGCTGACGAGACACGCCGGGACATGGCGGCCTGATGTTAAAACTGACAACACTGTCGATACTTGTACGATCTCTCGTTCTTCACGGGCCTGCGCTTTTAAGGAAGAAAGACATTAGCGCCCAGCGATGTTCTAAGCATCCCTACCTTACCTTTCATGTGTAATTTTCCAACTTTCCGTAAACCCTTGTAGGTCCAGACTTTTAAACTCGAAAGCCCAACTCAACATGAGGAAACACCTCCGCCGTTGTAGTGTAGCACTAAAGATGGCCGTATAAACGTCACAGTTTGGGATGCCGTCTAGTGGGTCGATATGTTACAGAGTGGGAGCAGACAGGGTCGGATCCAACGCCATCATCATCATTGTGCCCAAGTTTGCCTCTGAAGCTTTCCAAAACTCACCGATGTCCCCAGCACTGTCGGGATTAGTACGGAAAACGGTGGTATTTCAACAAGTAGGACTACTAGTATGAGAACACCAAAGAGGCCGAAGTCTAAACAAAGCACCAGGTACATGGCCGTAGATGGGATAAAGTGACCCCCGGGAACGACCGAACCCCGACGCGAGACTCGGACGACTCTATTGATTCAGCTTCATGTCGACATGAGAACCATCTTTCTGCTACGCCTAGAGCCAACTTGGTCTGTTCGCGAGGTCAATCCAAGGTCTTGGAGGTATACCTTGGCTTGTGGGCGATGTAACTCAGGTACTATGTCATTGTTTGTTCAGTAGCTACCTAAAATAAAAGGTGGTGAGAATCAGTGAGAAGGGAATGGCACCCGTGTACCATAATAGCCTTTGTAGAATTTGGCCTATCGAGCCCCGTCACAACTTTGGTTCCCAACTCAGCAGCTTCCCGTTGTTGTGGCTTTACCTAGGAGGACTGGATCACCAACCGTGTGCATGATTCAGGATTCATGGCCTTACCACAAGTAGAACGAAATGTCTCTCGAGTCGTCAATTCCCCCTCCAAAAGACAAATTATTCGCCACCCTCAGCCCCCTCCCGGTTCCTGTCAACCCTCCAGTACCGTGGCACCGTGGGGTTAGTCCCGTATCCCCGTGGACATGGACCGGGGGGCATGAGAGGGGAAGACGGACGCGTGGATCGGAGATCAGAAACTGGGTAGCTCCTGGACTATTGTGGCTGGCTAGAAGAGAGGGGAAAGGACTGGAAAGGTAACGTCTGTCGGAGCTCAGCTGTCTCTCCGGCATGTTCCCGCTCATGCAGCTCCTTGAATAACCACAGGGGTTTCCGCGCACCGCGCCGGCCGCGCTTCTCCCCGAGCCGGTAGCGCGCCAGCTTTGATCCGAGGGATGGAAGGCGAATCGCATGACCTGATTCGTTCCAGCTCAAGTGGTGCCTTGATGCCCAAACACGGCATCTAGAACCGTGCCGGATGCCGCAGGAAATATATCCGTGTGCCACTAGACCTAGGTACCTTACCCACCACCGATTTCACTACTTGTTTATACCGTGAGTTTCCCCGACGAACCAAACGATCATCACTTTGATGGTCTGTCTGGACTTGGCTTGAGAGATTTCGAAACCCGAGCAAACGATTTACCACAGCTGCCATCTATGACAAAAGGTTCGAGGCCCTGACAAATCCCAACTCTACAGCGCAGCATGAATCCGTGTGGGCTTGATCACCACCTCGATCCGTCCTCATTCTGCACCTAAATCACAAAGCGGTTAAAGCCAAGTCCGGCGCGGGATACGCGAGAGCTGAACGAGGTTCCAATTGCAACCATCCCGGTAGGTTATTATCATGCATTTCCAGCAGTCTCCATTACATGTATCCACCATTGTGTTGTGTACCCAATACATGAGAAGAAGAGGCGAACTGCATGGCCAAAACCGGCTCAATATCATACACTGTAGGTGCCACATCCGCTGCACCAGCCCGGTAGTAAGAAGAAGCCAATCACGCAAATTAGGTACCTACGCGCGACAGCCGAAAGGGTCTCTGGTAAAGCACATGCTCGCCACTGGGAATGACATATAAAAAGACAGAGAGGCCAGGAGCAAAGCAGGGAACACTATTCTCCTCAACCTTCCGAATAGGCCAAAGAAAACCTTATCGCCCCTTTTCCAGCTTGTTGCAAGAAGCCGCCGTCATACCTACCATTTCAGCCTCCATAAAATACCTGACTGTGCCACCCACACCCACGGCTTGTCCCGGTAAGTGTGAAGCGAAGCCTGGCGATACCTACCGTCGCCATCTCAACTACCCCCGTACAAAGCCGACGACCGCCCTCGCCAAACGCCAGAAAACGACGACCAGCCATCGTACAGGGCAGACAACCTACTGCGCTAGTTCTGTCGAGCCACAGAGCCACAATGCCAAGTACACTAATGTACGACAGTCTGTGGCATCCAATCGCTCCTCTGAGAACTCTGGAGGATTGACCTTGTAAATGAAAAAATGAAACGAAGCGTTCCTTCTTCGCTTCCTCAACATACATTATACATCTCAGAGACTCATCATTGAAGCTTCGCTTCAATAATCATGCCTTGTGAGCAAGCCACCATCCTCGGATACTCCCTGCCCTTGCTGATCAACGTCCCCGACCCTCGCAGCCATCGAAGGTGAATGGTCCGGGTCCTTTTCCTACCCTGACGGGACCAAGAGGGACTGGAGCTTCACACTCGAGGAAACCACCGACAACACCATCTTCAGGGGCACTGGGACCGAGTCCCGTGGTGATTTCAATATCACCGCATGCCAGACCATCCCCGCCGACGGCGGAAGTACCTTCAATTTCGTCCAGATCTACGAGTCCATCTGGGTCGGTCAGGTCTGGACCTACCGTGGCACTCTCTCCGACGACGGCAACACCCTGAGCGGCGAGTGGTACGGCTCTCCCGTGGACGGACGCAGCCGGGTCGGCCCCTTCACCGGCCGGGTCGCCCCCTGGACCGTCATGCGAGGTCCCATTTCCCCCTTGGCCGGCAGCTGGAGCGGCGAATTCTCATATCCCGACGGGACTTCCAAGAGCCTGACCCTCAACATTCCGGCCTTCACCGTCGGCGCCAAGTTCAAAGGCACCGGCACCGAAGGCAGCGGCGCGGCATTCAGCATCGAGGGCACCGGGGTGATGAACGTGACATCTGCCAAGGGCGGGTTCTCGTGGACCCAGACGTTCGATTCGCCGTGCGATGGCCAGGTTTGGTTCTGTGATGGGGTGCTGAACGCGGACGGGAACGAGATCAAGGGCAGCTGGCACGATTCTAGCAACGATAGCAGACAGAGGTCCGCAGGTTTCGTCTTGAAGCGTGCTTGAAGCTGGATATCACTCCAAACCTCTTTCTCTGCCAATGTAGCAGCCCGAAATGTTTACTTGTTGAACCCCAAATTGAACTTTTGAACATGTGGCATCGAAAAACAAATCGTGACGAATACGTCCATTCAAGTTTTATGTTATCACCCTCAGTATGGGAACAATGTCACCGTCAAGTCATATCCCGGGCCGCTTCGGTTTGTACGCATATGACCACTTCACAACCTTGAACGCAGGGTGGGCGTTCACCCTCCGAACCTGCAGCAATTGGCGCACTCCGAACAGGCATAAGTCTGACAACCCGGGCCACGCCTGGAACAATCGCCTCCACAGATCTTGTTGTTCTGGGCACACAACAGGTTAGCTTTTGATACAGCACCCCACCTGCCATGTCCTTGAAAGGAATGATAAGGGGAAAACGGGATGACAGGACTGAACTCACACAATCGCAAGGGCAAGCCCGTTTGTTGAGATCCGGACTCGATGCTACGTTATTCTCGGCGGCGATATTGTTGGCGGCCGCCGCCAGGGAGGCGGCGAACAGGGCCAGAACCAATGTTAGACGCATGTCTGGGCTTGTGGGCGCGTATCGACCCGGGCGTGGTTTGTTCGGGAATTATATAAAGAATGGGGAGAGGTAGGGAGACTGTGAGATGAGAATGGGTTCAATGTGGAAACGAAGAACAGAGAGGCGGCAGTTGCTATTTAAGCAGCGACAACACAGGAATCAACGGCTTCACTGGTATGTGGCTGGCAAGCTCGAGGTGAGAACTGTCGGCCGTCCCCTCGAGTCAAAAAGCCCATAGCGCGAAGTTCCTCCGTCTTACTCTACGCTGGATCTCATGCGACCATGGGTTGAGAATGTGATTCCCTGCAATGCCACCAGGACTCTGTTGAGTAACCGAGTCTCCTTTCGTCCTCGAACCATGGCCAATCGGGAGCGAACAGTTGTGTGAGAATGTTGAATCTTCGGTTGGGAGGATTCAGAGTGCAGCGCCGAGACGACCTGGACGCCACGGGGCACAGAACGACGACTGAATCCAGACAACGACCTTTCACAACGAGGTCCGTGTTTACCGAGATTTTTGAGAGGGAGCAGCCACTGCATGAATCCGCTCGTGCCCAGCATTGGCCGATATCATCCGCCGTGGTTAAGATCCTGCTGAACCTTTCTTCTGCGCTCCACAGTCTGCTTGGCAATGGAAGAGACAACGACGGCGTATTGGTTGTTTTACGGCACGAACAGGGAGTGACTCGCTCCGCGGTCCTTTTCTGCTAGTTTATTCACCGGGAATGAAATATCAGTGACAATAAAAGTGCAGGATCGAGATAGCCAAGTTCCACATGAAGTATTTATAGAATATTTCATCACAAAAGAGGAACACATTTTGGAATACAAAATAGGAAGTATGGATTCAGCACATTTATGTACTTCAACTGTGTCTAGTTTACCTGTGTCTACCTCAATTATGTCTCCAGCCCCTCTCGCACAGGTTCCCGAGTTGGCAAGGCGCGGTTCCTTAGAACCATGAACTTTGACCACCGGTTCTAGCCAAGGGATTGGGTTCGACCGGTGATATTGGACTGTTCAGTGATAGAGCCCCCAAAGTTCCACAAGATAGGGACCAGCATGGGTTCCAAGGACTGGAGCTGCAGTGGTCTACTTGCGAACTAGGATTGGACGCGTTTCGACACCGCTGATGGCAACCATGGCGAGTTGCGTTCTGGGCGACCAAGGACCCTTCGAATGAGGCTTCGTCTTGGAGGTGATACCTTCTTTCCGAGATTCCCTACCCCTCCATGGGGTTGCTTCGGCGTTCTCGGCGAAGGGAGCCATGCGCCTGTGCGAAGTCTATAAGAAGGAGGACTCCCCGTTGCCGCTGAGAAAAAAGATGAGGAACATTCCGCAGAGACACTGGTCTTTCTTTCCACTGGACAAAGGCTTGAATCGACATCGATACCACTCCGACCGCTCCCTCGTCCTCATAATGCATATCACAGCCCCCTTTCAACTGCTCCTTGTTGCCCTGGCTGCAACTCAGTCTTCGGCCTCTCCGCTAGCCGCTCCCGCGCCGGGTGAGGTTGAAGCTCGCACTATTACCCACAACACCATAGGGAAGCGCAGCTTTTGGACCTCGTGCAACAGCTGCTCCATTGGCGGTAGCGGTGATAACCCCTACTTGTTGTGCATGTGCCGCAGAACGAACGGTCTGTATTCCAATGCTCAGCTGTACCTCAACACTTGTCTCGCCAACCGTAACGGAAAGCTCAGCTGGGCAAGGAAGTAAGTACCGGTCTTCCCAACTCCAGCTCCGTAACCACCCACCGGGATCTAACCAACCTTTCCATCCATGTAGTGGGAACTTTGGGAGGAGTTGCTGGGGCCATCGGGTAGAGAGCGACGGTTGGTTTGTGTCCACTTGCAGCCGAAGTGGCGGATCTACGATGAACGGGATACCCCTGAGTGAGTCTCCCTCTTCCATTCACAGTCTCCTTTTCGTGGGCTTCGTCTGAACGTACCTTTCCCTCATCTAGAACACGTCCACAACCGCGACGGCGCTCTTGTTTGCAGTGGCTTCTAAGACGGATGCCGGAGATTCGATGCCACGGGTAGAAACGGTGACGCCATGCATCGCGGTAATGGGCGAAGGACAAAGACTCAGGTGTCAAGGTAGTCTAATACCTAGGCTTCAATGCAGTCCATCAGTCCGTGGAGTTTATTCTTCTACATTCACAAGCGTGCCTCTTCAGGATGGGCAAGGGGACATCGGCATGGGGGCGAGACGAACCCCAGAACATGTGGCTTTCGATTAATTAGCGCCAGCAGCGACTTGGCCGGCGCGTTGAAGGATTCGGGTGCGCCGACTAACGGTCTGGGCGTGTGACAGGCAATCCTTCGGGTTTGTCTCAGGAGTTTCGGTGACGGTAATTGGTAGTATCTGGTAGTGGGGAGCGGGAAATAGAGTAGCATGGGAAGGTTGGTAAGTTCGTGGGAAAAAAGAAGACGGGGTTCTCAGGCTTTGTTTTTCTCGGGCTCGTGAGATGTAAGTTGTATTAAGGGCAGGCTGGGCCGTATCTGCACGGTAATAGGCAACTATTAGGCAACTGGGTAGACCAGAGACACCCCGCATCTCATCATGATATTCAACCCATCTCAACCGCTCCAAGACTACCGACAACACGCCCTTTGTTTTCCCTTTACGTCCCCAACCTTGGCAACCATTAACAATGGGACCCATCACGGTCTTGCGAGGTTTCAAAATCCCCGTCGCAATCCTCGACCGCTTTCTGGAGGCCAACCGCGTGGAACCGACGTACGGCTACCCGCCCTTCTACCACCGAAGCGAGCCGGACGCCGGGTCCAGGTTTCTACGCGAGAAACTACAAGCAGCAGGGGATACCAAGACCCGGATATTCATCCCTCAGTTACAGGGCGAGCTGGACTCAACTTACGCCTACGTCGCATATGCCTGGGTTATGGTGTATGCGCAGCGCAGGCTCGAGCTGGCCGAGGAACTGCCCGATCGAGCTCCACCTGGCTTTGCTGAGCTCCGTGTCGAGATGTTAGGCCATGCCAACGGTGGCGATGTAGAGTTACTGCAGGTTAGGCGGCTGGAGGAAGGTGTTGAAGACCCGACCTCCGCCTTGTTTGTCGTCGTGGCCGAGGAGAGACCATACTCGTTTCAATCCTTTCCGCGTAAGGTGAGTCTCCAGCTCATTCTTTTCCAAGTCCTTATTTTGGGATTCTATTAACCGTTTCGGTGTCTGGTTGTAGTCGGACCTGCGATGCGACCGCTGTGATGTGGTCGTTGACAAGTGGGAGTTGAGACAAGCCCACCGGCGGGAGGTTCATGGATTGGAGTATAGGGATCTCCCTGAATTTTAATTTCAGGCTTCGGTTTATTTTAAGAGGTGGTGCAGCGACTGAGTGGGGTCGGCCGACTCCAGAGCCGAGTTCGAGGGACTGATTCAGACTCGGTCAAGGTTAGCTCAGTCAGAAGAGGCTGGACACTCGCTTTATCGAGAGTACAAAACCATCGACACTATCCTCATCGTCATAGGTGGCAGAATACGAACGTCACTGTGGAAAGCGCCTCCCCGTCCTCTACCAAGCCGCTAGCATCAGCCTCGTCCCGCTAGCACGGGCAAGATCACGATAACCCGATGTTTGGATCGTGGGCGTCAAGGGATTCACCCAAGGCGAGTTCCAAACCTCGTATTCACCATAAGCATCACATTATTGGCCCTTGGGAGAGATGGGAACTAATCAATCGCTTACCCTCCAGCCGCCTATACCCTGAGATCATGGACAGGTCCTGATGAAAGCGAATAGTCACATCAAGAAAGTTCGAACTTGTCAACCACAAGTTCACCTGGCTATCTGGCCAGCAAATCTGAGGGGAGAATGTTGTCCGATGCCCGCCCGAGTATTTCCAATCCCGCATTCCCTCTAGTTCAGACCCAGCCCAGCCACCCGACAAGCGAGTACGAATCCAGGCGGGAACCAAAACAAAGCGTGATTGAATTCCCTTTCCACGACGCCATCGAGGGCTCCCAACGAGTAGAGGCGGTGACGGTGTCCCAAGAAAGCTCTGGCGTCCCCGCCACTGCACCCGACCACGACACCATGCCGTTCTCCGAGAGACCGTTGCATGCACGACGTCAATGCCAAGAGGACTCCAGCCATGGAGGCGAATCAAGGGAGTGTGGCGTTTGCCAATACGAGGTCCGGCCTGCCGTTTCGGTGCATGCCGGCCAATGACGGCCCCGGATACCCCGCCCCGTCCGCTTCCGGGGGGCCTTTGTGTTGTCAACCACGATCCGTGACCGGCAGAAGGATGGTAGAGGATGGCTGGTTATCTGGGACGCGAGCTCGTAAAATGCTACCTCAGAGCCAGCTTCATGGGCTGATCAAGCCCAGTCCGGTTGAGGAGTTGGTTGGGTTTCCTTTGTGGTGAGGGGGATAAGATGCGTCGTCCGCCCGGAATGGGGGGACACAAGAGCTTTCTCCAAACACAATCGCTACTTTGTACTACACTGCTCAGCTTGACACTCGTTTAGATCAAGATGCACTCGTTTGCGGTACTGTTTGCCGCCGGCGCTGCGGTGTAAGTGTGATGGACTCACCCTCTCCCGGGGGCCCCTCTAGCCCTACTTACCTACCTACCCCTTGCTGACTTAACTTACTCGCACAGCATCGCACCTGTGGTGGCTACTGGCGACCATCACACCACGAAGGCCCCTCCACACCCAACCGGCTGCCCGACCATCACGGCGACGGCCCACCAGTGCCGCACCTGCCCGGTCCCGGCCTGCCTCGTCGTGAGCACCGTGACGCAGAACTGCGGTTGCCCGACCCCGCCGGCCACGTCGTACACGTCGTTCCCCTGCCACGAGAACTGCAAGGGCCTTTGGTGTGAAACCAGCTGGTCCGTGATCGGGGCCACCGGCTGCACGCTGTCCACCTCCGCCCCGCCTCCTAGCAGCGACACCAGCATCAGCACCACCACCAGCAGCCATGCTCCCCCTTCCTCCTCGACCGAGGACTGCGACTCCACGACGGTGACCATCCCGCCGACCAGCCACACCAAGACCAAGACCAAGACCAAGACCAAGACGCACCCGCCCCCCAGCAGCGAGACGGACAGCGAGCCACCCTGCGACACCACCACCACCAGCACCAGCACAGAATCCGAAACCACCCCGCCCTGCGATACCACCGAGACGGAAACCTCCTCTCACACCAAGACCAAAACCCGCACCCGCACCAAGACCCGCACGCACTCCCCCCCGCCTCACTCCTCAACCAAATCCCACTCCCCGCCTCCGCCTCCCCACCCCTCAACCAAATCCCACTCCCCGCCACCACCTCCTCACTCATCAACTAAATCCCACCCCCCTCCTCCTCCTCCTCCCCCGCCGCCGGCCACCTCGACCGTGCTGCCACCGCCGCCGCCGCCGCCGCCTCCTGGATCGACCACACCGGCTCCACCGCCGCCTCCGCCTGCCCAGAGCACGGAGGTGCCGCCGCCGCCGGGGGTTACTAGTAGTGTGGCGACGGCTGGGGCGGCGAGGGGGGTGAGGCCTTTTCGGTTTTGGTAGATGAGAGTTCGTGGGTTGGGGTTGGTGATGTGGAGGTGCTTGTGATTGGGGAAGCGAGGGTGTAGGATGGGATTAGGAGAGTAGGCGATGGGATTGGGGGGTGTGAAAGGGGTTGGGGATGGGCAGGGGGTTGTGCAAGGGGAGTATGGAGGCGTAGGTGGTTTCCTAGTCGCTTCTGCGAGGTTTGGCTATCTCTTCGGTAGTATGGTTGGGTTGATGACGGGATGAACTTTAATGTCGTAGCTTCATAGTTGCTGGTATACGTGTCTGGGAAATATCTCTGGGATCTACCTCGATAGTTAGTAATTTACTTAATGTTTTCTTTGCACGTCCGTTTTCGGATGTTTCGTTCATCGAGATGCTTATGAAAACGACTGATGGAGCAAGGCTCGGAAGAACATCTGCGGGCCCAACTCCATGTTGGATGTGAGAGCCGATATGAGCCGGCCATCCCCGCATCTCCCCCGTCTCCTCTCTCTCTCCACCAGCACAACACCCATCTCGAGACACCAACACTGAACCAACGGAACTCCGCCTCATATCAAACATTCTCCTACGACTCCTGAGACTCATCACTCCAACACCGATAACAAAATCCTCCCAAAATGGCCGCCGCCCTCACCCGCTACAAACTCACCTTCCACGTCCCCCCCGCCGCCCTCGAAGCCTGCAAAACCGCCATCTTCGCCGCCGGAGCGGGGCGCTACCCGGGAAGCGGCAACTACACCGAGGTCTGCTACACGACGCTCGGCACGGGCCAGTTCCGGCCCGGCGCGACGGCCAACCCGCACATCGGCACGCCCGGCGCGCTGGAGCACGTCGAGGAGGCCCGCGTCGAGACGCTGTGCGTCGGGGAGGAGGTGGCGAGGAAGGCGGTTGCTGCGTTGAAGGAGTGAGTGTCTTTCTGTTTGTTTGGTTGTTTGGCTGCTTGTTGTTGGTGTGCGCTTCCGCTGGTGTGTGTACCTGGGTGGCTGGCTGACTGGATTGCAGAGCGCACCCGTATGAGGAGCCGGCGTATTCGGTGTTCAAGATGGAGGACTTTTGAGTTGGACAGGGGTAGGGGCTGGAATTCGGAGGGCGGACATTGATGTGTGAATTGGAAGGTTGGTCGATCTACGTTGGACGGTGGGGTTTCCGGAGAGACGGGGCATCGCTAGCTTAGTGCTCTCGAACTCGGTGTTGCCACAGGTGACGGGGGCATCGTGGATGACGTTGTGAACCAGATGGTGCCTTCGACGAGGGTCAGCGAAGTAGGATATGAGTTCCTTGGCCGCTAAAAGACGATTTGGTGTTGATGTTGGCAGACATGAGCTGCAGTAACCGCCCGGGATTGAGTTGTTGTGTTATTTGCAAATGAAATCTTCACCGGTGATGTTTGAGTTATTTTACTCTTATTTTGATGCTTGTTTCTACACCAGATCTTACCATCGGTGAGCCATCTCCCGATAGCCCAGGAGGCGCCCTCAATCATGATGTGTTTACAGTGTTATACATACATCTAACGGGTAAAACCCATCCCAAGATCCCCCTGGTCGGGCCCCAGCTCTCCATCTCCACTACTCGATGTAGGAGATCTCCAGCTCCATCCCCGCCCGCATCCTCGCCGCAGCCCTCCACGCATCCAAGACGATGTCCGTCGGGCGCCAGTGGTCAACCTTCTGACCCAGCTTCCAGGTGAGCGTGGGGTTGGCGTCGCCGGCTGGCGCCCTCGTGAAGTGCATCTCGAAGACGCGCGTGAGGAAGGGCGGCACAAACGGGTGCGGGGTGTCGTCCCCGGAGAAGTCGTCCTCCAAGCAGATCGAGAATTTCTCGATTTTGGGCATCTGCTCCGCCGCCCGGGCCGCCCCCAGCAGCAACGGGATCAGCGTCCCGTCGTGAGGGAGGGTCCGGTTGCGTTTGACGATCTCCTTGGCAAGCGCAGTCTCCTTGTATTCCTCGTATTTCTCTTCGTCCTCCGGCCCCGGCAGCGGGTCCTGCGCGTGGATGCCAGCTCTGGTGAGCTCGACGGACTGCGTCCACGCCGGATCACTCGCAGCCTTGTCCCAGGCGTGCTTGCTGTTGTCCTTGACGAAGAACCAGGAGCTGGAGTTGGTGTCGGGCCCGATACCTAGGTAGAAGGTGATGAGGGCGGGGAAGGGGTTGCTGGGTATGAGATGGAAGAAGGAGGAGCCGACGGAAAACTGTCCGGACAATCGGAGGACGGTAAGCGAGGGGAACTTTGCCAGGGACTCGAACAATAACTCGGAAAGGTCCGACAGGAGTGTTCTTGTCGGCTGGGAGACCTTGAGCTCGTTGCGTATAGACCGGCAGCCCATGTGGACGTGAATCTCTTCGATGGGTAACCTGTAGTCGAGCATCTCAACGTGAGAAACGATATCTAGGAGTTAAGGGTGTTAGCTACGCGGGTGGCCCGTTTGGAGTCAGATGTGTGTTTTAACGTACCGGTTCTCCAGCCACCCTGCTCCTCCCAGGTCAAGAACGGCGACTCTGCGAAGTCGAAACGCACCAGCCGCAGGCCGACCAGCCTTTCTGTCAAACGTTTGACTGCAAAAAAGTCGGCCTCATGAACGCGGCGACGGGCTTCAAAGTGGACCTCGTCCACGCCGACTTTGAAGTCCGGAAGGACGGCATCATAAACTTCGTAGTCCAACGCCCTCTTCCGCGCACGTGCAAGCGCCCTCTGGGCTTCTTCGTCTGTGTGGTTACCGGAGCAATGCGTCCAGCCCTCCAAATCGTCGTCGCGAGCCCGAATGAACAGGTTGAATGGAGGGATCTTGAGACCAGTCTCGACGGACCTCTTTGTGATCTCGTGAAGCCCTTCGAAGAGTTTTCTCACGTACTTATTGAATTCATCACGCTGCAAGTGGGCGTCAGCGGTGACGCAACAGCAGGCCCCGTGGTATTCAGGACAGACAACAAAGCTTTCCACCCTGACTACTTCGAGGAACTGCCGCCGCCGAATCCCGGTGCTCTCGAACAAGGCGAGGGAGTCCTCAATAGGCATGCCGTGTCGTTTTCTCTCGTCTATCGTCAGGATCCGGAGTTTGTCGTCACGCTCGACGATCTTCTTCCAGGCTGGGTAAGCGGCTACCAGGGCCTCTCGGTCGCTTTCACCGCGCAGGTGACGGATGATCCCCATTCGGATTTCATTTGGAATGCGATCCATGGCGGCGATTGATGGCAGGGGACGTTTTAGCTATGGGTGATGAGAAGAATCGAGGCTAAAACCGGCAGCCCCCGAAAAAAGATTCCTTTATCAAGGTAGGATGACGCCGTAAGCGAAGTATGGGAGATGGGGAGAGTGTAGGGTAGAGTAATTCTGACAGTTGCTGCTAAGTACCACTGTCCGGTTAAGTACCGAGTGGGCTTTGGGGCCAGGGAGAGTGAAAGAAATAAGGGAATTGGCCACCAAGCCGCTGTCTAGGGGAAGATGCCCTGTTCGGGTACAAGGCAATGAAGTGTTAATGGGAGCCGAACAAGATACCTATGGAGGTACCTACCTAGGTATGGTAGGGTTCAAGGCCAGAGTGGGATGTTGGGCTAGCAGAGACTCTCGCCTTTTAGGTACCGACTTTAGATGAATTAAGATGGCCGGTCTGCTCGTAGAGATATGTTAGGACGTAATAACATACCGGCTAGATCCGGGAGGCTGTGCTTTGAAGTAGGTCCTGAGTTGCCCTGGACCGCCTTTGAATCGGGTGTGGCAAGGTCCGGATGATGAAGGTCTAGGCAACTCAGGAGCCGGATGATTGCCCGGAAGGAGCTGGAAAGCTATATCCAAGTTACACTAAACAGCTCTCCATCACCACAAACTGGTGAGCGCCAGGGAAGTGACTTGGAGTTGCGCCCAAGGTCAGGTGGCAAGCTGAGCGGCTTGGGCCCTCAACATTATCAGAACATGGCCTCTAAGCGGTTAGCAAGCACCTCTACACATTATTACAAAGCAATGTCTTGGGCTAGTTCTTATTTTCTTCAGTTATGGCCGTCACACGGGGTAATAGTCGAAAGAGATGGGAGCTGGCGTGACAGAGACTTGGAAGATCGAAGGAACACTAATTACCAGGTAGGTACTTAGTGTCAAAACTTTTGAATGCGGGCAGTATTTAAGGGGCATGGGACGTTGAAGTTGTTAGGAATTTCCGACACAATGCTCGCTACTCTTCTAACGATTTGCCTGGGCGAAACGATGAATAATATCATCCCGGGTACCGCGTTGGGCTCAAGTTATTCCTGGGTTTGTTCGTATCTTTGGACACCGGGCTTGGATGGTATCAATGGCCGCTTTTCTTTTTGAAATCCGGCCCTCTGTAACATTCCAGTTGTTCTTCTCGTTGTTTGCGTCACGGTGTGCGAACGCGCCGCGATGGGAGTTTATCGGGTCCCAGGTATAGTACGAAGCCACACGCTACATCGGCGAGGAATCAGAACACAACACGTAGGGCCAGTGTACACACTCCAACTCACATCGTTGCAGATGAACGTCGTCGTACTGTACAACTAGTCCACGCAGCTGCACCTCTTCAGCCCGGGGAGCACGCGCACCTGACCCAAGATGGTCCGGTCCGTTCACAATGACCTGCTGAACATTGCGCATGGGTAACAGAAGCCATGGGTACCACTGGGAGATAGTCGACTTCGAGCAGGCACTCGGCCGCAGACTCGACCACTACAAAACCCACCAATACCAAACCAACCCCCCAGGTTAGAAGAGGAAGGGACTTTTACGAGTACCGCAGAGTATGTGAGCCTCCAGCTCTCTCTTCGACGTTCTTGAGGCTAATTAAACCACGGGCGTACTAGGAACTCCATGGCATCGCCCAGGGGATCCGTCATGCCGGCCAGGTTCGCGCCGTCCTTCTTGCTCACCTCCACGCCGTTTTTACTCGCCTGGGCGCCGCCCTTGTTAGGGTCCTGCTTCGTGGCCTTCTCGTCGGCCGCCCTCTCGACCCTTCTGGCCTCTTGTCTGGCTTTCTTCGCCGTCATCTTCTCGCCCGTGGCATGGTCGCCATTTGTTTGGCCGCCAGGTGTGATGTCCACCACCCCAATATTGCGCAAGAAGAACAAGAAAATGCTGGACAAAGTCGAGACCACGACCAAGAAACACTACATTTATACATCGAGGGGCGACCAGGCTGGGAAGACGAGTTGTGATGGGGGGCTTTGCACTGACGAGTTTGGCAAACCGGGTGTCTTCCCCGTGTAAGCCTCGCTCGACCTCGTCGAAGCGGCAGCCTTAGATGATGTTCCCCTTATTTACGGGATCTCTCGGCAAACGGAACCCATGACGGAGAAGACTGGATATGAAGGGCCGCTGAGGCCTGTATCAAGAGCGCGGAGCTTATCAACGGTGGCTAACTAGGTACGTACCCCATCTTCCCTCGCGTTGCCAAAACCGGGTTCGGGTCCAGCCTTCATCTCTAGCTACAGTGGTAGGACGGTGTCCGACATGAGGTACCGAGGACTAGGTACCTAGTGTTGTGACCAAGGAAAGGAACAACTGCTCGAGACCCGTAGACCGCAAGACTGCGTTTGGGGATACCAGAATTAGTTCGCTTGAGATCTTGGGTGAGCCAGCCGAGTCTCTGACCAGAACAGTATTTACCGCCCGGCACGGTCTTGTATTATGCCCTGAAGGGTTGAGCAGGTATTGTGTATCTCTTTTTCGTGGTGATTAATTCACTTGTACTTGTTGACCATCTGGAGCAGACTGGCCCCGACCTCCTTGGGGTTCGTCGCGTTCAAGTAATGATGGCCGCCTTGGATCATGGTGAGGGTGGCCTCCTTGGATGAGGTGAACAGCTTGATCTGTTCAGCAGGGACCGTCGTCCCGAACGGCGCATCGTCGGTTCCCTTCGGAAACTGTCAGCTTTTGCCCATACACGCACGCACACACCACAACATCGCATACCTGTAGCCAGTACACGGGGCAAGTAATATCCCTGACCCTGCGGCAAAGCCCATCCCTGTCCAGCAGGCACGCCAGCGCCATCTTGACCTTCTTCCTGCCCTCATCGCCCTTGTATATCTCCTTCAGCGTCTCAGTCCAGAACGCAACCATCTCGGCGGTACCGCCAGCACCAAAACCCAGCGACGCGACCATGCCACACCAGACATCATCAACCACAAAATCCGGCGTCGGCGTCGTGCTGCACCACTTCTCAAAGAAGGGCTCCAGCAGCGTCTTGGGATCCCAGCACCCCTTGCCGCGCGAGTCGGCCGACTCGTAGTCCATCGACGTACCGAGCAGCATGAGGCCCTGGATGCGGTCCGGGGCGAGCAGGGCCATGCGCGCGACCATCCAGCCGCCCTGGCTGGTGCCGAGCGCGAAGGCCCTGCCGACCCCGAGCTTGTCCATCACCTGCAGCGCCATGACCGCCGTGTCCCAGTAGGTGAAGTGCTCCGTCGCGCAGCTGGTCGCGCCGTGGCCGAGTGGTTCGATGGCTAGTAGGTTGAGTGTGTTTGTGAGGGAGGCGTCGCTGAATTGCTCCCGGTAGAGTGACACTGTCGTGCACATGGAGTTGATGAGCACGCAGGTCGGCTTGGATGGGTCGTAGGTCCCGCCGGAGAGGGCGTAGCCGGCCTTGATGCCGCCGAGGTGTGGTACCTCGACCGTGGTGGTGGCTGCCATGGTGATGGTGTGTGTGTCGGTACTGGTGAGTTGTGATGGGGTGATGAGGTGCTGTTCTCGGCGGCAGGGTGTAGGTCTGTGTTGCCTCGGTGTGTGAGACCGGTTCGACTTGCACTGACTCGGGCTTCCACGTGGAGGGACGCGGAGAAGCAACCGCACTGATCGACAGAGAGGTTCGTCTCGGGGTCCGGTCTTGGAGATAACTGGAGCGCTAGTAGCGGAGACAGTTGGAGCACCTCTTCGGCGAACTGCTGGTGAGGGGTTCCTTGTCAAGTGGAGGCCCGACTCCAGCGCGCGACGCGAAGAGTTCCAGATCCGGGAGAGTGTCGGTCAAAGGGTGCGGCTAGGCCCGAATTAATAACGCCCCGATCGGCATTGTTGTTGATTGGCCATATTAACCAACTGGAATGGAGCCCGGCTTCGTTCCGTTGTTAGCACGTTAGTTAGCGAGCTTAGTACAAATTTGTCAGTAGTTGACGAGTGGTTTTCGAGACGGGTCCTTGTGAAACTCGTCGGCATCGCCGGAAGGGTCGGTTCGGGCGGTATGGGCGGGCATGTTGGTTCGGTGGTTCGCCATGAGTGGCGGTTGAGTGTTTGCCACCTCGAAGCAGGCCCGATATTGAAGGGGTTTAATGTCTTGATGGCCAAGGTACGATGTGCAAAAGCAACATACGCTTTGCCATGCTTTGCTCTACTGGTCAGCCTGTCAACCAATGCCAGCCTTGATGGCCACTGATGGCCAAGTTGTTGCCGCCCCCAAGTGCCGTGGAAGTGCCGAGGAGGTGGACCTCGGCGGAGACTGTCGTTGTTGCACCCCTTTCCCGCTGCAACGCTCCTGGTTATGCCAAGAAGCCGTGGACATCTCCAACGGATAGGGAAGTGTTGTCCGTTTACGACACAGGAAAACCCTTTGCAAACCCTACCAAGTATCATCCCTGGAAACCCCATTGTCTTCCACTCGTTGAGAAAACCGTTGTCTGAACGGTGGACCTCTCCCCACTGGGCTCCCACGAACTCTCCGGCCCGAACCGTTGTGATTGGAGAAGCAGGAAAAAGGAAAATAACGGTCTTCTGACGCCTGTGTTCCCCTCAAGGACGACGACCCCGAGCCCATGATGTTCAACTTCTCGAAGATGCCAAGGGCGCGGCTTGCTTATTGTTTCACCATGGCAAGGTACCTGCAGGGGAGTGACGTGATCGGAGAGTCGGGCTGATCAACAATCTCGACTGTCGTGTGAGTTAAATCACCGGTCGATAGCAACGTCTCAAGACCCTTGGGCAACTCTCGGCGATCGACCCACCCCACACGCCCCATGTAAGAGTAGCTTCAGATACGACATAAGACGCCTGTCAAGTGAAACTTTGTCGTATCCCTGTCCGTGGCGCCCACGTTGTTGTTGAGCATGGTGACAACTCAAAATCCGGCAACTTCCCTGTAGCCGGCCAGCCCTTTGATCCTTCGATCCTGCGTCTTTACTCAAATCCAACGACACCAGAACGACCATGGCGGACTCTGTGCTCCCTGGAATCCCGGGGTACGACCCTCACAACCTCCAACCATGGACCGTTGAGGTCGTCGCATCAGTGACCGTCCTCGCCGTTGTGTCAGTAGCGCTGAGGTTGTTCAGCCGCCACTTGAAGGGACAAAAGCTCTGGTGGGATGACTACATGATCATATTTTCCCAGGTATGCCGTTCCCGAGGTACTACTTAGGGTGCCAACATCTCACGGCCGGTGACAACACCACTGACTCCAACCCTGGCCAGTTATGGAACTTCGTCGTCGTCGGATTCATTTTTGCCATGCATAGCGCCGGTATGGGCATTCACGCAGACCATGTTTCCATGGACAATCTTGTTCTCGTGGCCAAGTTCCTCGTCGTGGCCGAGATCCTCTACATTTTTAATCTGGTGTGGACCAAAATCGCCATTTTGCTGATGTATTACCGCATTTTCCACTTCGCCTATTTCAAGAAAATGGCCTACGGCATCGGCGGCTTCGTCGTGGCCTGGTGCATAACGTGTACCTTTCTTTTCATTTTCATCTGTGTGCCTGTGGAAAAACTATGGTATCCGGATCTCCCCGGCCACTGCATCGATCAAGTCGGCACCTGGATCGCAAACGCGGCATCCACCATCCTCACCGACGTCGTCATCCTGATCCTGCCAATCCCGCAGGTGTGGAAGTTGCAGCTGCGGAGGCCGGAGAAGATCGGTGTCACCATCGCCTTTTGCTTGGGCTTCTTGTAAGTGAACCGGCGTTTTGTTTCCCTCCTCTCTCCTTTCTCTTCTTCAGTTCCCATCGCGTCGTTTTTCCTCGTGTGATTCTCACTGACTCGGCGCCAGCGTCGTCTTTGCCTCCGCATACCGCTTCAGCGTCCTCTTCTCCTACACCAACGACGACCCAAGCTACAGCCTCGCCCCTACCGTGGGGTGGACGGCCATCGAAATGTCCGCCGGCATCGTTTCCGCCTGCCTCCCGACCCTCGGCCCCGTCATGACCTTTTTTGCCGGCAAAGTGGGCATCAAGCGGACCATCCTGACCTCCCGCGCCGGAGCCACCACTGGCGCCTCGTCGAGGAACTTTCCCAAGTCGACAACGCCGTCCCTCAGCGACCGCACCGAGGTGGAGCTCCACAAGTCTACCAAGAAGGATAACGGGACGTTTTACCGTTTGCCCGACGATCAGACCTCGGGGAATACAACACGGGGGGTGGATGCCGAGCTCCGACCGGAACATGGATACGGGTATACTGTGACGAGTCGGCCGGCGGGTCCGAAGGCGGATGGAGCCAGCCTGAGCGGTGACGAGGTCCCGTTGCATGGTATCCGGGTACATAAAGACTTCAAGCAGGTTGGCGCTTGAGGATCTGGCAACTTTGCTGGCCGGTTGGTTGACAAGGGCGGTGTATTGCTATTCTTCATGGCTTGGTGGATTACTGCAAGAGCGTCTGCATTAGCGAAGCGTTGTACTTGAGCATATATATTTGTAGGATAATGTTGCTTCGTGCCTTCAACACGGAGTGTTACCAAACACGCCTAGGTATTGGTTTGGCATGGTCATTGGCATAACTCGGGCCCATCGTATAGGTCCCTCCAGCGTGGGATTTTATCGAACTCAGTGTGGTACCGTTGCCCTCACGGCGCCTCTCTCTTATGCTCGGCCCCATTTGGTGATGCGATCTCGGGGTGTATTTCTCTATGTATTTGTCCCTTGATTCTGATCCTTCTTCACTATATCCTCCTCTTCGATGTGCGCTGTACATCACGGTGTCGTCTGCTTCTATGCATCCTTCTCCCCAAGATAGCCCCCTCTCATCGTACCCTGCGCTTCCATGTATCCTCTTTTTCGGTATCATTCTCTTCATTGTATCCCGTTGTTCAATGTATCCCCCTCTTAAATGTATCCCCCTCCTGAATACCCTTCGCTAACGTGTCCCTCGTTTGCACGTGGTGTTCACGGGTGACCCTGAGTTCCGTATCGCCCGCCGACCGATCAACATCCGCCCCTGAATGCCGAGAACAAACACAGGTAGACGCCAAGGGGAGCCCCTGACTGTGAAGCAATGCTGTCAAGCCTTCCCTTTGTGTCCTCTGAATTATTGATTGGGGTTGGTGTGACGTTCTTTTACTTGGCTTGGATTTCTTTTCCCAAAAGGCAGGGACCCAAGGTCAGACGCCTTTGTTTGGAGTAATACGACAATGTCCTGTCTGAGAACCGGGTTAGCTTCGTACCCTAACTAGTCCATTGGCAATGGTGCCAGTGTGTGATCCTGATTGTGAACCTTTCCAGCGGCAAACCACAAAGCACACACTCAGCTGTTTCTACTGCTCGGGGATCTTCCCACACTTTCCACAGTCAACAGGACAATACTTTCCTGGTTCATGCGGCTGCCTTGTTCAGTCCCTTTTCGTTAACTGCCATAGTGCTGAGAGGGACAATGGCCATGAATATGGTATTTGACTTTGGGTTGTCTGGCTTGTATTTGGTGACCGGGAGTTGACTCTTTGACACCATGCCGACAGGAATCGTTTATGATAAGACAAGTAAAAAAAGGAAGTAACTTACATATGTCCAGGCATTATCCTTCCAGTTTTCCTTCTCTCATTCTTGTTCAGGGTGGTCTGTATTATTGACCGAGTGTGACCAAAGTCTCGTCTCATCTCCACGCTGTGATCAGAGATCTCTACTAGGTGTTCCCATCAAGCTCTTGACAGTGCGGCATCTTGTTGTTCGGCAGTGGGGCGTTGCCCATCTGCAACTGAGCATTGCACTGCAGTCCCTCTCTTGCTCGTCTATAAATCGACCTCTTCCTACCCTTCTCGATCTTCCTCTTACCACAAACTTCAAATCACACCACCAAAATTTCAAGTTTTTAAAAATTTCAACAAGACCAAGATGTCGTGAGTCTCCCTCCATGATGCCTTCATCGACCCATTGCCCTTCTCAGCCTTAATTTCCTCCTGGCGAGCCTCTTCTGGCGCCCTACCATCCGCTGCTCCCTCTTGGCCACCGTTCCTCCGTTCTGGGCCCCCTGGCGGCCAGATTATGGCGTTACATCTCTCTCCACCTTCTTCATTCACTTCCCGCGTGATAGCTGACATTATTACACCTGCTTAGCTCCGGAAACTCGGATCTCCTCGACTTCCACAGCCGTAAGTCAGCTGCACAACACCGCCTCGCCGGGCTCCCAACCCGACCGTTTCGGCACACAGCCATCCCCTGTACTGACTGCGACCTAGAATCGGTGAGCTTCATCCCGGTAAGTGCCCAAGCGCGTCACTTGGTTGACCACCTCGTGACGTCGGGTAACTGCTGGGGGAAGGTCTTCCGGGAGGCTTCGTGGAAGGCGTGGCGGGCCGAGCACGCCAGCAACGAGGAACGATGGTATAATGCCATCGTGTCCGAGATGCGATTGCGGGGTATGTTGGTGTTTTTCTTTATTTTTCTGCTGTCTATTCCTATTTTTGTGTTTTCACCTTTGGTGCCTTTTCTTGTTTTTCCTGCCCTTGGTGCTTTTCTTGTTTTGTTCCCACCTTTTCCAATGCTTCCGTTCTCCTCACCTCGCCTTATGTATCTTCCTCTCCTCTCTCGGCCTTCTCCAGTCATCCCTCGCTCAGCTGGGTCCCCCGTCACGCAGCTTGCTGTGCTCAAAAGCAATGAAGCTAACCGGCTTGTGTCAACAGTTGTCGGGGCTGCCCTCGCGGGTATGCCATAAAAGCCGGCATTCCCCCAACCGCCGTTGCTGGCAGAAAGAGGATGTGGTGGTGGTGGGTGGGCGGGGGAAGAAAGAGGGAGGAGGAGGGGGGGGGGGGGGGGGGTAAAGAAATCCAGACTGCTGTCGGGTGGTGGCCCTGTCGCTGGCCTGCTTAAGGTACGCCATTTCCCTTTCACTTTGTTCCGTTCTTCCTGCCTTTCCTTTCATCCACCATTCGCTAACCATGAACAGGCTCCTCCGGGTCTTCTGCGGCCGCCGCGGCGCGTGGCGAAAAGAAGAAGCTGGCCAGCCGTTTCGATGTGCAAGGTATGGCCAACGTGCTCACTTGAATCTTTTTGTTGTGGGCTACACACTAACCTCAACACCACAGGTCGCAACATCAGCGGCCCTGCCTATTCGATTCGCGCTGTGCCAGCTGTCTCTTCCTCGCGTTCCGGTGGCCGGAGGTGCGGAACTCAACCCGGGTGTTCAAGCTTAACCGGGGGTGTCCGGTCTTGGGTGGTATGTATCCGGACTTGTGATTCCTTGCGGCTCCTGCTAACCACGCAACAGACGACCGAGGGCCGAATTTAGGACGCCTCCGTTTGCCTCGGCCCCGAGGTAAACGAGTTCGTCTCGGTCTCGCTCTTCCAAACTCGGTTCCCGTCGTGCAAGTCCGCCAAAATCATGTCCGACGCCATGACTAGCCCGTCCCGGGGGTGCGGGTTCGTACGCTTCGGCGAGGAAGCCGACCAACGCCGACGGTGCCGCCGCGATTCGACTCGCAGGCCATGGGGCGCCCGCAGCAACGTCGACAAGGCTGCTGCTGCTGCAGAAGCCCGGCCGGGCCCTCGCGGGTCCGTCTTTGACGATAATGCCGGCAAGAACGACAACACCGCCAGCATTGGTAATGCCATGGTGAAGGCCATGGCCAATACCATGAGCAAGAACACTGGCAGCAAGCGGGTTCGCCCCTCGCGTGGTCGCTCCCAGAACAACCCTCCGGGCCACGGTTCGCCGTTGAGAGTTGCTGTTGCGGCTGGGAGTTGGGGACGGGGTTTTGACATGGGACTTTGGAGTTGAGGATCTTGCAGGACATGGGGAGGGAGGGGTGTTAGAAGGGTACCTATGGTGAGCACATTTCGGCAACATCGAGTCTAAAATTACACATATCACCTTGTCACGCTTGGGTCTTCATTAAAGTGATTGCGGTAGACAACCGTATCACCAGAGAATGCGCTCATCCCTGTGGGAATTGTCGAGTGCATGTGCGGTGAAACTCGGGGGTGTACAGCTGTCCCTGGGACGGCACAAACTGTTATGCACTGCATACACACTGGTTCCCAACGATGAGCTGAGCTGTGGGATAAGCACATGGCATCGTGAGAAATCTCCGAATTCCGGGTCAACACGGCACCACAAAATGCAACACTCGACCATCAGGGTAACTGCCGGGCCTTCAGCCAGAGGGTCCGTCTATCTGAGCCATTACAGCCGGAATATATTCATCTAAATATACCTCTAAACTCTGGTCGTTCTTGGTATCTTTAGACTGCGGGGTCACTGACAGCACACGGCCGAATGCTGAAAATGTTCAAAATGCCCAATCCCTCGGCGTTGGGCCCTTTCCCCGGCCCTTCGGCATGCAAGCAACAGAGAGCAGCGAGGCGACAATGGCGGCACGATTCCTATCAGTTGCAGCGCTGACTGCTGTTCTTGCTCCAGCAGTTGGGAATGGATTTGCTTGGGCACAAATACCCGCAGGTTGCACCGCCAATTCCTTCACAACACCAAGCTGGCTTGTCCAGGACTTCACGTCTCAGATAGCGGCAAACTTGACTGTTGCCTCGTTTCATGCTCTTAACAGGGCTACCAACGTCACAGCGGAGCTCAGGTGTACTTCAACTACCCCAACGGCAGGATGGCAAAGCTGCAGGTCCAGGAATCAGACCGAACAACCGTTCCTCGCGTCGTTCCAGGCCGACACCTCGACAGCCTGGTTCATGTTCAATGAGACATGGCCTTGTGACGACATGACCCCGAGCCAGCCGTACGTATCATCACACCATCTCCCTCGACTCACCGACGCCGCTAACCCACTGATGCTACAGGCTCACGTTCTCCGCCCTTGGAAACGGCTCAGTTGCCCTTAACTGCACAACCGACGAGAGTGAAACCACGACCTGTAATTCGGCAAAGCCTCTGCTTGTCAAAGCTGCCCTCTCCTCTCCCGTCAAAATCACTCCATCATATGTTAGTGGACCACCAGGACATGACATCGCAGGATGTGCCTCCCAGCCGGCCTGGGAGGTGGTAGCCAGCCAGATCAACCTCAGAAAGCTGTCAGGACAGCGCCAGTCCGGAAACGCCTTCGTCATCGTCAGGAACGACCACCTGGGCTACACCGCTTCCTGCGGCGGAGTTCTGAGCGCTGCTGCCGGGCCACAACCTCTGTCATGCGAGGGGCAAGTGCCATATCGCCGGGCTGACAAGTACCAAATCGACACCACCCTCTCGTTCGAACCCGACACGTTCGCACTCGGCATCGACCAGACCTGGTTCTGCGACGACCAAGACCCAGCGCAGCCGTGAGCCAACAACCCCCCTCTCCCTTCCCCTCTTCCCACACCCCCATCTTTCAAGGCCATCACTAACACCACCCCACCAACCGCAGCCTCTCCATCACCGGCTCCGGCACCATCCCCCTCGCGCTCGAATGCAGCGTCTTCAACGAGACCACCACCGAAACCACGACCTTCTGCTCCGGCGGCACGGACGGCACCGTCGCCGGCAACGTGACCGCGCGCGGCCTGCTCCCGCCCTACTCGCTCAACGACCCGCTGCCCACGGGCGAGAGCTGCACCATCTCGTCCGTCACCTCGCCGGCCTGGTGGTTCAACGGGTTCGAGACCAACACGACGACGGCGAACAGTGATATGGTGACCGCGCGGTTTGGGATGGAGCTGCAGACGGCGGCGGCGTCGACGGGGAATTTTGCGATTGTGGCGGCCGATGGCGTGCCCGTGTCGGAGGTGCCGACGAACTCGTCGGCGGATTTGCAGTGGAATAAGTGCGTGTTGCAGTCGGTGGGCGATGTGGCGCTCGCGCCGACGGGGTGTGAGTTTCGGTATGATATGGCCAGTCGGTTCTTGGGGCTGAGGGTGAATTGGACGTGTTCGGATTTGGATCCGGGGAGTCCGTAAGTTGGTTTCTCTGGTTGCTGCTTTTGGCGGTAATGGGAGCGAAGTCGGTACGGTGTTGTGCTAACTACCATGGTGTTGCAGAGTCATGTTCGGCGGAGAGGTGCGCACGCTGGTGCCCGAGTTCACCTGCGTCACGACGGGGACGAACATACGCTGTGCCTCGCCGATTACAGAGCCGTGGAGGGCGAACGTCTCGTCATTGGCTTGGATGTAGGGGGTGACGCCGAACCGCGACACCAAGATGGGGGACTTGGGGGCTTTTGTGGAACGGACTCAACGGATATGGCTACTCACGCAGGAGGATATATCATATATATATTGGTCAGCGTGGTCCTGTTCGATTTGTTCTCGCCCCTGATATCATTGTCTTCGAGACAGAGTGAAGCATACTGCCGCTCGCCGTCTCCGTAGCCAACTCCTCAGTTCTCAGCCCCTTCAAGTTGGAGCGCGCACCAAGAACAAGGCGATAATTAGAAGACCGGCGTAAGCACTCCATCGCGTGTCATGCTCACCGACACTCCCCGAGGATGCCTTCTGTCTTGATTGCGGGTCCAATGCAAATGTTGCCTTGCCTCAGCCAATAGTTTCCATTTGGGTGGTGTTGACTGGTTGAAATGGTCAGCTGTCGTTTTTGGGCTGGATGCCTTGGACAAGCCTGCATCATCCTAATTTCCCATGCACATTTAGTTAGTGTACGAGGCAAAGTGTGGAGGTGTGTAGATGGCCCATAAATGACCTCGGAATGTGGCCTTCGTCCTCTAGTCACCCGCGAAGCTGTCCGCCTCATCTCTAACCAGTATTCAACACGCACACCTACAGGCAAGGCCATTTATTCTCCTCGGCCTTTTCGACAAGTTCAACTAACGCTGGAACCATTCCACAGGTACGCCATGTGCCAACAACTGTACCCCAGGGTCAGATACAGCTGTCTACACGAGGTCGAGCAGCTACCGTACATCATCAAGTGTCCGAGAACCGATAGGCGGCCTGAATGCGAGAGACCGAAGAACAACTACAGCCTGGGCATTGCATCTAGGAGGGGTAGATGCCCGGATTGTGAGGATGTTGGGACTTGCTGGCCTGCACACGGCGGACTACCACGAGGCATGAACAGAGCAACGAGTTGGCGAGGGCTTGCCCGAGGAAGACGGCGGCCGTGGAACACGCCTCGCGACACATAAACGGAGCCAACCCCAGGGGCGGTTCCTTGCCTAGCAGAGGACGGCTTTGCACCTGACGAGGGTCATAACCTGGTTCCCTCGCCTCTCTCGGGCCCGCTCATTGTTGGGTTTCCCGGTGCGCCATCCTCCTCGTCACACACGGAACACGGAGCTTCGCGGCTTAAACGCAACTGTCAAGTCATGCAGCGAGTTCACCGTATCGAGTCGGGCCACAAAACAACCGGGGACTTCGAGCCCCTGCTCCAGTCGCCAACTCTATCACCGAGCAGCCCTCGTTGCCTCGACACCATCTTCCGCCTCGGCTTGGCACAACCTCAATCCCAGAGTTGAGGTAAAATGATGATCCGGATTAAGTTCACCTCGTCTCGGCCGAGCACCGCTTCGCCGAGGTTGATGACCAAGCGTTGGTTCGGCGAGTATGAATTGATTGGGGGCGTCAGTGGGTAGGCGGGCAACATCTCGTTCAGCCCGAGTGGGCCGTTGCCGAGGGGGGGGGGGGGGGGGGCTGAAACCGGAACACTTGGTTAGGGGCGAGGCGATGGGGTGACATGTCCTCTGGGACGGAGTATGTTCCAAGAAGAATTTGTGAAGAATGGAAGGGACGCGGACGGTGAGGAAAAGAGTGGTGATCTGGTGATTCTTGAATCCATGAGCGTGGAGTTTTGGCACAATTGAATGAGATTATTAATCACGGGCAGGTTGCCTTTTTTCGTCTGTGGTCTTGAGATTCCCCCGTCTGACAGGCACCAAATCAGAAAACGTCACCTTGCTTGGCTTCGCTTGTCTTGACCATTCGAAGTGGGTAAACGCGTCCCTTCACGCGGCCTTTCAGCCGCTAATTGGGTGATTACTCAACCACGACTCCGTCATCCCAAGTGAGGGTGTGAGGAGTTGCTTGCCAAGGTGCACATACTGTCAGACGGTTCGGGAGACCTCTTAGTTGTTGACTAATTCGACGCGAACTAGCGAGAATATTGAATACTGATATTGTGTGTTTGGGCGTCAAAAGGGACAGTTTGATGACGAGGCCTATGATCGGGCGGTCGTCAGCCCATAGATTGAGGCTTGGGAGGTTGCAGAATGCCAGTTTGCAGCTCGGAGTTACGAAGGGGGTGAGCATCGAGTTGGAATTCCGGCGCGGCTGCATGCGGATTATAAACCGCGGATCACCTCCGTTATGACATCCATCTCAGTCGACACTGACATCCCAACATCATAACACCCTCTACACGCTCAGTTCAAACAACAAGTCAACAACACTGCACTCAACAACACCAAAAACACACACAATATCTCGAAACCAACCTCTACAATGCATATCACCGTCGTCCCAGCTTCCCCCAAGACCGCCCAGGCCGCCATCCGCGTCCTCCTCGCCGATCCCTCCCACCCCACCGTCAGGGGTTACTATCGCGATCTCGCCAAAGTCCCCGCTGAATTCAAGGCTCACGCCTGCTTCGAGGCCGTCCAGGGCGATGTCGACGACGGAGCAACCCTCGACTTCTCCGACTCCGACGCCGTCTTCCACATCACCCCGCCCTTTTTCGGGAACTCGAGCCCCGTCGAGCATGCCCGCCGCGTGTCGGAGAACGTCAAGGCGGCGACCAAGAAGGCTTCCGTCCAGCGACTTGTCCTCGTGTCGAGCATGGGTGCTCAGTATGACCATGGGACTGTAAGTCACATTGCAACTCGCGACCCAAACTGAGCCACTCACCAATACCTCATCCAGGGCGAGATCCTGAGCAACCACGAGGCCGAGGTCGTCCTTGGCGATGCCGCGCCCGAGGTTGTCTTTGTCCGCTGCGGTTTCTTCATGGAGAACTGGGGCATGGGCCTGGAGACGCTCGCCGCCGGCTTCCTGCACACCACGCTCACCCCCCTGGACCATCCCCTGCAGATGGTAAGCAAGCAGCCCAGCACACCAGCACACCACCCCCTCCCCCCCAACAAGCAAAACAACAACCCCCCCTCCCTTAACCTAAGCTAACCCATCTCCCAGATCGCCGTCAAAGACATCGGCGCCACCTGCGCCGCCGAAGTCCTCGCCACGGGCACGCCCCTGCCCGGCAGCAGCCCGTACGCCTTCGACCTGCAGGGCCCGCGCCCCTACACGTCGGCCGACGTGCACAAAATCTTTGAGGAGGTGACCGGCAAGAGCATCGAGCTGCGGCTGGTGGAGAAGGAGGCGCTCGACGACTTTTACGCCGCCGTCTTCCCGCCCGTGGTCGCAGCTTATTATGCCGAGATGAATAAGAGTTATTTGCCGGGTGCTATCTTGCATGTGGACCCGCAGCCGACGGGGGCGACCAAGTATGGGACGACTGAGTTGAGGGAGGTGGTGGAGCAGTTGGTGGGGGCTTGAGTGGTGGTGCAGTTTAGGGATGATGGGGTTTGTTAGTTGTTGGTGTTTTGGACTTGTTCGTAGAATGTCTTTCTGAGATTTGTTAGTCAAATGCTTTTAGGGGGTAGCTGCCGTTCCTAGAATGCAATCATGAGCTTTTTGAGTTCTGCCTTGATTTCTGCCATGACTTATCACCTTGTGTAATAGTTAATACATGTGGTTCGGGGCTACCTCTTCCTCTCGGACCAATTTACGGACAAGAAATTCAGACAGAAACCACAACACCTCTGCATTATACAACGGCAACTTGCATTCATTACCCAGAGATTTGCAAGTTTTGTGTATTCAATGCGGCCAGCGAAGCGCTGCCAGCAATACGCCCACATTTCAAGCTCCAAGAACCGGATTCCGACTCGGGAAGATCTCTGTAGGTACGTACCTCGTACCATGCCCCCCTGCCCCCCTTTTCGCCACCTCTAAACGTCATCGCCGAGAGAGGAAACTGCCCGTGTGCTCACCCCCGATGCTCGATCTCGTTGAAGATAGTGGCTAAAAATATTGTTATTGAGCAGGCCGTACCTGATTCTTTTACCGCCATTAATCGCCGAGAGTCGACGTTTAGGGCACAATACATACACCATCACCGGACACCAACACACGCACACCTCCTCTATACCTCCCTACCCGACCGCCGTCAACATGTCCACCGGCTTCCTCCCCTCCTTCATAGCCGCAGTCCAGGCCAGTGTATCGGTCCTCCTCGTCTTACTCTCAGGCGGAATAGCAGCCCATCTCAAGCTCATTGACCGCGTGGACACCAAGTCCATATCCAAAATCTGCGCCCGCATCTTCCTTCCGGCACTGCTGATCACCAAAGTTGGTTCCGAGCTCCATGCCTCGTCCGCCGGCAGGTACTTGGTGATCGTAGTATGGGGCATCATCGTCCACATCGTTTCCTTCTTGGTTGGCCTCTGGGGGCACCGCGTCTTGGGCATGCCCGACTTCGTCACTCCGGCAATCCTGATCAACAACAGCACAAGCTACCCATTACTTCTCATCACGGCACTCGAAGATACGGGGATTCTAGACTCACTCATCGTGACGGACGAGACCGCCAAACAACTCATGGAGCGAGCCAAGGCCTACCTCTTGGTCTACTCGACCATCAGCAATTGCGTGACTTTCGCCGTGGGGCCGCGCCTGATCGACTCGGAACACGCCGCTGAGGATGAGGATGAAGACGACAAAACGAGAGACAGTCAAGGCAATCGACATGCTCATATCTTTGCCGCGGTCCCAGATGAGGAAGCCAACGAGGAGACCCGGTTACTCGATAACCACCTGCCAAACAGGTCGCCACACCCCCGGCGACGTAGCTCCTTTTCCTTCTCACTGCCTAGGGAGAGCGGAAAGCCACAATCAACACCTGACCATCGGCGGCCTTGGTTTATGTCGCCCCAAAGATGGAACCGTCTGTCTGTCCGGGTCAAATGGTGGTTTCTATTCATCCTCGATTTCTTCAACACTCCACTGCTTGGGGCCATCATCGGCGCCGTTGTGGGCTTGGTTCCACAATTTCACCGCGCCTTTTTCAACAACGCGGACAACGGCGGCATATTTACCGCTTGGCTCACTTCGGCGTTAAAGTCCATCGGAGGGCTGTTTGTCACCCTGCCTGTTGTCGTCGCCGGAATCACCCTCTTCTGCTCCACCAAGGAGGCCCGAGACAACAACGAGAGCACCATGAACCTGCCACTCGGGACAACCCTGTACATCCTGTTCATCCGCTTCATCGCCTGGCCGGCTGTCTCTATCAGCACCATCTATGTCCTCGCGGCCAACACTAGTCTGCTCGGCTCCGACCCGATCCTGTGGTTTTGCCTCATGATGATGCCGACTGGGCCAAGCGCCATGAAGCTCATCACCCTGGTTCAGGTTGCTGAAGGGTCCAAGGAGAGCGAGAAAATGACTGTGAGACTACTGACGGTGAGTGGAGGCGTTTGTTGTCTGGCGGCTGCCACTAGCTATTAACATGATTCAGATATCCTATCTCATCTCGCCTGTGCTTTCGCTCACCGTGGCCGGGAGTTTGCTCGCCAGCCAGTCCGCGATCCCAAGCTGAGAAGGGAAGTCGAGCATGGCGACGGCAGATACCTTTGGACAAATTACTGCCAGGGATACAGCAACATCGTCATCGCGCTACGTCGCAGAGAAGTGAAGAAGCCGATCTTTCTGATCACCGACAAGGGCACTTTCTGTTTCAACACGCAGTTCCCATCAGACACTACTCGGAATCACGCGCCCAACGTCAAACCCTCAACCTAACAGGCCTCAGCCCCCTCTTCCCAAATGTCGTCCCGTTCAGCCCGCACCCATCCACCACACAAGCCGACGCCGTATGACAGAACTTAATCTTCCCCCCCTCCACCCGAAACAAATGACTATCCGGCATCGCCGCCTGGCCCTGCGTACGGTCCAGTCCCGGAAACCCCACAAACACACTCACCGCGCCGAGCACCACATCCACCACATACCTCCGATACGGCACCACGATCGTGCTCGGCCACACCATCACACACTCCCCCTCCACCACCTCCCCGCGCGCCGGCAACCCCCCTTCCAGCCTATAACACGGCTCCGCCGCCCACGGCACCACCACACTCACATCCCCAAACCGATCGAAATACGCATCCCCCAGCGCCTGCACCGCCCCGCGCTCCGCCGCCCGCTCCCCCTCCGGAATCTCCCCCCACGCCCCCTCCCCCTCACCAGCATTCAGCTCCAAAGTCCCCGTCGCATTAAACAGCCAGTCACCCGCGTTCGTCACCACCGACTCCACGAGCTGCAGCTCTAACCGCGCCCCATTCCCATCCACAACACCATCGTTGAGCGCCAGCACGAAGCGGGTATGAATAACATGCGGCCGCTCATCCGTCGCGGCGATGACCTCTGCGAAAGCGGCGCACTGGTCGGGGTCGTGGATGGTGCGCGCGAAGTCGATGCGCAGGGGGGTGGCGAGGGTGGAGGTGGTGAGTGGGGTAGCGAGGTTGTTTTCGAGGTAGATGAGGTTGGGGCCTGGGCTGGCGATGGTGGTGAGGAGAGAGGGGTCGCCGGCGCGTTGGGCGGCGAGGTAGGCCGAGGTGAGCGACTCGAGGAAGGGGCGGGTGCAGTTGGGGGTGGTGATGCTTGTGGGGGTGGTTGTGGTGGCGGTGGTGGTTGGGGGGAGGTGGGTGAGGAGGGGGAGGGTGGTGAGGAGGGTTGTGAGGAGGGACGGCATGGGGGGCTGTTGTTTGGGGGTCTTATCCGGCAAGGAGTTTGTTCGTCTTGGTGGTGGATGCTTGCTCATTAGAAAAGGGGTTTGTGTGCAGGGTTAAGTACCAGTTGGTCGGATCTAGGAGACAAAACTGGCACCCGAAGAGCTTGACATCACGACTGTTACACGCGGAGAGTGGAAATGCAGGTACCATGACGGTTAGATGAAGACCATGAGGAGATTGTCAAATCAGGGGTCGACCAGGCCAAACTACGGAAGACGATAGCCGCCACTGGGACATAACCCAGATTAGGCAGGTTATGCAGGGGGGGGCAGGTCGCGCAAAATAGGCAGACCCCCCATCGTTGCGATTGTAACGAATTTAGCCAATCAGAACCTCGACCCCCATTTTATCAATCCTTCTAACCACCAATTTTCCAGCTCTCTCCACAATAGGACCAAATGTATATGGAACTGGGTTAGATATAATCGCAGGCCCCTACATTGGGTGCAATTGCAGGGCACTGCACCGAGTGCAATTGCAGGGCACTGCACCGAGTGCAATTGCAGGGCACTGCGTTGGGTGCAATTGCAGGGCACTGCACCGAGTGTAATTGCAGGGCACTGCGTTGGGTGCAATTGTAGGGCCCTGCACCGAGTGCAATTATAGGGCACTACATCCAATTTGGTAGGTGCAATTACAAGGCACTGCACCGAGTGCACTCGTAAGGCACTGCATTTGGTGGGTGCAATCGCAGGGCACTGTACCGAGGGCAATTGCAGGGCACTGCGTTGGGTGTAAATGCAGGGCCCTGTACCGAGTGCAATTGTAGGGCACTGCGTTGGGTACGCCTCGGTACCGAAGTACTATCAGAAAGTTAAAAATCAGGCGAGAGGTCGAGCTCGATAATGATATAGCCGGTATCTCAATATGGTATATATGTATATCATGTGATAATTATGTCGTAAATCGCTAAATGTCAACCTGTTGTGTGGGGTGTACCTGGAATTAGTGGTGTAATTCTAAATGCTGCAAAAGCTGGGTAAGCTGGTTATATCCCAGTGGCGGCTATCGTCTTCCGTACAAACCCCGCCCGAGTTGCTCGCAGCCATAGATACAGTCCACCCCTAGTTTGTTCGTTAGTGTATGACTTGTAGTGGGCCACAACAAGGGTAATGAAGCCAATCAATTAAACTGTAGGAGATTTGATAAATACAAGCAAAGACTAGGAGATACCCAACGTCGCATACAAATTAGCCATACAAAAGAGTTACAATTAGTACCCAGTATATCCCCCCTAGTTGTAAATAACGGCCTGCAGCCTCCTCAGCATCGAATGGACCAGACGTAGTAGGAATTCGGCCGGCACTGCATCCTACGCCTCCTGAACTACAGCCTTAAGGGCCAACCCAGTAGGCCGTTGATAGTATTTGCATTCAAGCCAACGCTTCATCCAAACCCACACATACTCAATAGGGTTAAGATCTGGGCTGTAGGGTGGCCAGGCGACTACCGTGGCCCCGGGGAACTTTTCTGCTATAAATGCCTTAGTGGATTTAGACCCGTAGGCTAGGGCGTTATCCTATTGCACAGTTCAACCTAGATCTTCCATCCAAAACTGGTGGAAAAGAGGGAGAATCCGTTGCTAGTAGGTAGTCGATATAATCTTTCCCCATTTCTTATCCCAAACTACCGAGGTTCCTTTAGTATTAAAGTGGCGATACACCTCAAAACCACACACACCACCAAACACTTACAGTGGGTCACGTGCTACGCGCACGTTGTAATGTCAATGTTGTATGAGGGAGGAATTGGCTTAGAGAACAATCTTCAATACTACGGATCCTACGACCGTGGAATTAATGTACCTGCGTGTATAGCCTTCTGGTTAGAAGGCCGCGGTTATAACTACCGTAAAAAGAGGTTACTTTAATAAGTGCGGAAAAAGAAATAGAATTGTATACCCTTTAAACTCTGAGAGGGTTTAAGCCTCTGACTAAATATAAGGATGCCCTAGGCGGATAAACGTAATAAAGAAACGGAAAAAACGAAATTCTAGACTCTATATCCCTTTAGAGAGAGGGAGCTTGTTACCCTAGTTTATACTTCCCTTTCAAACTTATAATAGCTCCTACCTATAAGTTTAAATCTAATCCTTCTAACTATTATACTATATATACTCTATATACAATGCTAGGTTCTATAGGTAACGGTTATACTATATAGGTATATCTATTACTTCCCTTTATATAAGAGTCTAACCCTGCTACTATATCGGTGTGACGAACCTGTCTCTGGACCCGTCCTGTTAGGGTTCAGTATCGGTCGAAGGTATTCTCTCAAGGGTGCTTAGTGTGACGAACCTGTCTCTGGACCCGTCCTGTTAGGGTTCAGTATCGGTCGAAGGTATTCTCTCAAGGGTGCGTAGGTTCGGTGCAGCCAAAGGGTGCACAACAAAGACTTGTCTCAACAGTAGGCTCTCGAGCTTGTAGCGAACTGTAGTTGTGATTGCTAACTGGAGAACTCCCAGAGCTCTCCAGGACGAGTGACTATATACCTGTCTAATTCTTGAGTGCTCAGTGTGCTCAGTTCCTCTGAACACTGATCACACTGATCACTTAGAACGTCCTGTTCATCCTGATTGGTGATTGGGATCGCGGTGCTCACTGTGCTCAGTCTGCTTGGCGACTGAGCTCACTGATCACCCTGCTGCATCCCTGATTGGTTTGACTGGCCCGGGGCGTCCCGTGCCTTGGGCCCCACATGTTGGCATATCCGTGACACGATGCCCCTCCTCCAGGGCTGACGTCCCGTCGGCCGCATCCCCAGCCAACCTCCTGAAATAGCGCCAACAGTCCTCAATCCAATCTGGTTAGCAACTTCCTCCTTTTCCTTCCACACCATCCTTCATCATGACTGACGGCATAAGGAAACCGAAACGAAAACAAAAATCCAGCACTGAACGCCGTCGTACACGCGCGCGCATCTCCGAGCTCTTTGGTACCGAAATGGTGAAGTGTACTCGTTGCAAAGAAAAGAAACTTGCAACTTGTAAGGCGACCGACAATTCCGACGTCTGTGGTAATTGCTTGTCCGTTGGTAACCATTCGTGTGACGCATTCGGCTACCACGATTCCGCTGTCGAGCGTATGGTGATTGAGAAGCGCAATCTCGATCGTGAGGAGCAAGAGACTGCGGATGCGATCCGCACGCTGATGGCGAAAGCGGACCGCCTCCGTATCCAGCGTCGTGCTCTTGAGGACAGAGCGCTGGTGATGTTCAACCAGGAGGGGGAAGTGTTGGCGGAGCAAGAGCGCCGCGAGGTTTCTGGCGCGCAGCCGTCTTCGGGTGCTGTTGCTGTCCCCTCCTCCGGTCCCTTCTGGGATCAGGGGTGCGTCCTTCTTTCTTCCCCTTCTTTTTTTTTTTTTTTTTGGTCCCCCGGTTGACCGTGTTTAGCTTTTCGGACGACCCCTTCCTCGCCGGGGTCGACTTATCTGCGGGGTTTCCTTTGGTCGATCCGGGTTCCTCTGGTGGAACTCCTGAAGTTTCTCGGGGCAGTTGAGATTTGTAGCTGGTTGCCATGAATTGTCTTCTGGGCCGAAGTCTAGCCACTTGACCAAATACTCCAACTGTCCTTTCGTGATGCGTGAATCTAGGACTTCCTCAACGTCCCACTCCTCCTCTTCGTCTTCTGCCTCAGCGTCCTTGTCGAGTCGTGCGTTCTTGGGTGCTGGTTCCAGAAGCGAGATGTGGAAAACGTTGGTCCGTAGTCGCATTGTCGAGGGTAACGCGAGTGCGTAATTGTTCTCCGAAATCTTTTTGTCGATCTTGAACGGTCCGATTTTGCGAAAATCGAGTTTCCTGCTTGGTCGCTTTGTGTGAAGATTTCGAGAAATGAGGTAAACTTTGCCCCCCTCTTCTAGGCGAGGTCCCTCGAGCCTGTTTCTGTCGTAGAACTTCTTCATCCTGGTTCGTACGAACTCGAGTTCCTCCTTGAGCATCGCGTGCAGCGAGCTCATTTTGTCGGCTTTGACTGCCGCTCTGGGCACCGAGACTTCGGGCCCTTGTCGCAAATCTGCTTCGTAGCCGTAATTCGCGAAGAATGGTGTGACCTTCGTGGTCTCCGTGACGGTGGTGTTGTAGGCGAGTTGTGCCGTTGGCAACAGCTCGACCCAATCATCCTGCTGGAAGTTGACGTACAACCGTAGGTATTGTTCAACGATCTGGTTGAGTCGTTCCGTCTGTCCGTCCGTTTGTGGGTGATAAGCAGTCGAAAGCTTACTCTTCGTACCCAGCTTCGTCATCAGAGCTTGCCAAAACTTTGATGCGAACTTCGTGTCTCTGTCTGTGATCCATTCTTCCGGCCATCCGTGGACCGAGGTGATGTTGCGATAGATCACGTCTGCGAGTTGTTCTGCTGACCATGTCTCCTTGTAAGGGAGGAAGTAACTCCACTTGGTGAGCCTGTCCACCATTGTGAGGATGCTGTCGTATTCCACTCCCGTTACTGAGTCCTTGGAGACTGGCAGTTTGGTGATGAAGTCCATCGTCACCGAGCTCCATGGTCGTTCTGCGACTGGCAATGGTTGCAACAGCCCATATGGTTTGTGTCGTCCTGGTTTGCTTCGTCCGCAGAGGTCGCACTCTGCTAGGACTGCTTCTGTCGCCTGCTTGATTCCTGGGAAGTCGTAATTCTGCTTGACTTTTGCAATTGTTTTGCTGATTCCCATGTGTCCTCCGAGTCTCGACTCGTGGATCTTTCGAATGAGCTCCTTTTGGTCACCAAGCCTGACGTAGGCCTTGTCGTGGTACCAGAGTCTCGTTCCATCAAGTCGCAATCCCGCGATCTTGGATTCTGGCTCTTCTTGCCATGCATCGCGCTCGCCGTCCGCGATGACTCCTTGGAAATCTTGTTCCAATCGTTGTTCCCTGAAGGCCGCACAGCATTCTACAAACGGTTGCAGAGGCCTAGCTTCGGGATCTTCCGACTGTCGCTGAAGTGCTGCGATCTCGTAGTCTTCAGTCGGTTGGGAAGCGTGCCGTAGCGATCCGTCTGTCTGTTGATGTAGCAATGGTGGTGAGGCTTCAGACGTGTTGTCGTGATGATCCGCTCTCCTACTCAAGGCGTCCGCTCGTGCGTTCTCTGAGCCTTTCTTGTAGTGGATCATGAAGTTGAATTCGGACAGAAATTCTGCCCACCGAGTTTGTCGTCCGTTCAGCACCTTCGTGGTGGTGAAGTATCGTAAGTTCTTGTGGTCCGTGTACACCTGGACTTCGTGTGTCGTGCCGCTGAGGTATGGTCTCCATTCCTGAAATGCTTCGATGATTGCGAGAAGCTCCTTGTCGTGGATCGGGTAGTTGAGCCTTGGTCCTTCGAGTTTCTTGGAGAAGAACGCAACTGGATGCAGCTTGCCGTCCTTGTCCCTCTGACCAAGTTGTCCTCCGATC